AAATTATAACAATTTACTATTATAATCATATTTATTTATTATGTAATTTAGTAACAATTGGAGGTCTTAAAAACTGAAGTAAGGACCTTACGAGAAACTATGGTTGTAATTTAACTGGACTTTACAATGAAACCTTTGTTTTCGTATTAAGAAACACAGTATACTGAAGAAAAGTTTCTTTTTAATGTCGCAAATTTTACCTAGCCCAATAATTACTAAATTCGGCCGTGGTTTGATTTGTTCAATAATTCTTACGTTTTATCAATAAATCACAACTGTTTTGAAGAGAATCTGCCGATATTGTAAAATTTTGAAATTTCGGCCTAGGCAACCTATTCGAACGAAATTTGCGACACTAAAAACTAATTTAATCTGTACAGTTAATTTAGATGGATGCAGTGAGAAAAGAAACTTTTATTAGTACCCTTAGATGTTAGATTTGTAGTGAATTTTTAAGCATTTCTAGATAGAGAAGATCGCTTGATACCGCCGCCGATTTTTGGGCCGTTAGCTAATTCCATCCGAATTTGTGGCAAGTAGGTCACACGTTCAATATACTTATGGAAGTCTAATGAAATTTACCCCCGCTAACTTCAAAGCAAACGCCTATATCCTCTCTCAGAAATTCTCGTATTTCTATCGTCTGCTGCCGTGTGTGTTAACTTTAAAATTACAAAGCTTAATAATTATTATGCTAGTAACTAACGCGCCGAATCTAGCGCAACATGGCAAACCAAATTTACATCCCCTATACCATACATATTCCCGTAAAATTCCGATTCGAAATTCCTATAACGGTGCGAGAACAAATCGCCACCTTTCGCCGAAATCATTTATGTAAAAACGAATATTTACAATTTCCAAAGCGAAAATCGCTATAATTTTCCCGCGGAAATGCGTTATTTTCATTACGTCGACTTTCGAATAACCGAAACGAGAATATTTATCTGTTTTACGTTCTTTAAACACGTCGCTTCGATTTTTTCGAATAAAATGCAAAAAAAAATTCATACGTAATTGATTTCGGCGAAGCGGACAATTGTCTCTCCAACAAGTCTTACACTAAAACTAAAATCACAGTGGATTTTAAACAGTAACCATTAAACCATACAATAAAATATCTTCGATAAAAATACTCCCGATTCGCCATTTATCATCACGCACGGTTGTTTTTGCTTGCTCAATGTTCGCGTATAAGCAAGAGGTGAGCCTTTTAAAAAACAAAACGAAATCTTTCCTAAATAATACGGCGAAAATATTACGAATTTCAAGTGCAATGAATTTATTCGCAAATGTTATCTGTATAAACCTAAAGTGATTTTATAGTTTACCTGCGTGCGTCTGACGCTATCGAAAAAAAATATCAGAGAATCTGATAAATACAATTATAGATATGAATGTTAGCTGTCCAATGCATTCGCTGCTGAAACGACGGCAAATTACAAGCGAGGTTACAACACCCGTTTTGGTTAATAAGGTTATCCAAAAAAAGCCGCTTTTCGAGGGGCATCGATCGCCGAGAGTTTCGACGCGTCATATCGCCCCATAGTGAAATTTAATTTCTTCAAATATTTTTCCATCTCAAGTACCATCAGCAATGTTCACAAAGGGGGGACGCTATTCACCCGATAAGATAATTAAATTTTGCAAACCTAAAAAAGCTTTAACTTTTTTAATTTGCTAATTTTTGTCTTCGGGGTGAAAATTTCAAAAAGCATCCCACTATATGTCGCATTATACAGGGTGTCACGGTCCAAACTCGAGGTAGATAAAAATGCCTTCTTACATTGAGTTGTTTCTATTTTTAACAATTTTGTCTTAATTTGATAAGCAAAGGGAACAATATGAATGCGTTGGAGTTTGGGCCATGATTTATGAGACACCCTGTGTAGAATTAGTAATTAAATATTATACATAATTTATTCCAAAGTCAGATCTAAATTAAATGAATCAAAGCCAATCACAGTGATGCATTTAAAAGATTAATGGATATTCATCAAGCGGGCACGAACGAGTTACGAGTTATGTTGTGGCATGGAGGATAGGATTTCAACAAAACTTTTAAAAGGCTTGCGCTTTGTCAGCATGCAATTTTCTGTGCTTGAAACGTGTCTGCTATATAGACTTATCCAACTTTACTTACATGTTGACGTATTATGATAAAAACCAAATGCCGTGAAAAATGGAAGTTTTGGACCGCGGATGCAATGCCGTCGACGTGACGATCGATTTTTTTTTTAATTATAAAACTAGACCGCCGCTGCCTGGACGATGATAAAGAAGTTTGACGCTCACAGAAAAATAATTTCAAAAGTGATTTATTCCGAAGTCTGCCAAGTCGTCGTAATATATTATGGTACGGTATGGAGACTGAAAAGTTTTCCCAACTCTCAGTTCGCGATTTTATACCGAAATTAACACTTACGTTCGCTTGATATTATACGGGGAGAACTATAAAAGTTAGAACGTAAACGTTTTAATCGCAAAGACTTCCGAACGTACCCGAAGCGAACTAAATTTTAAACAATTCGAAAGTTTAAAGCATGAAAAACAAAATTTATCTTTATTCTTCGTAATAACCTCGAAAATATGCTTTTTTATGCGATTCGACAGTAATATCATAAATTGCGTTTATATACATTTCGCGGCTACAAAATCCGCCAAAATCTATTAAAAATTTAATTAAAACCTTTTCCTTCAGATGGCGAAACGGACGTTACAATAAAAAAAAAGTTATTACGTTCGGAATATGGTATCGCTTATTCTTTAATATTTGTAACGCTGCGCGTTTATTTAAATAAGGAAAATGATGGATCATATTACTGTTACAATGTGTGAGTAAGAAAAAACGAATCTAAAGAAGGAATTGTTTATAAAACAACATATACGTTTATTGTGAATAATTTCTTAATCACTGACTGCTAAATGCTGTTAGATTGGAATAATTAAATTGCTATCAAATTTAGACACTCTATTATTTAAGAGTACGGTTATTTTTGCAAAAAGATCTTAACGTGGGAGGTGTGTAAATAATTTGAAAGACATTTACGGAAAACAGAATTGTTGGGAAAGTTTGGTTGCTTGGTGGCTATTTTATATCTAAAACGGAAATTTTGAGTGACTGTAGGAATTATACGGTTAGATTTAGTGCAAAGCCGATGGCACTCAAGTTTTCATAGTATATTAATTGGCATTATCTCCCGGTTTAACCGGAAGTTAATCAAGCGACAGCTCGAAAACAATTATTATAAGATTTCCTGCAAAAGTTATCTTGTCTAATGTATATTTATAAAAAGGTACAAATACTTTCTTCAGATCAAAAAAAATAATCTAGCACTTTCTGAGCCAGTTTTCTGACTATAGTAAAGCAGCACTTATAAAAATTTCAATCTAGATAATATTTAACTACAAAACACCTAATAAAAATATTTCAACATAAAAAAAATCATAGAAAGGATAAAATGCCATTGTAGAAAATACAAAAATTTCGAAAAATAAACAGCTGGTTACAATTTTTTTTTAAGAAGAATAATTATTAATCGACCAAGTCTAGCTATTTATATTCGAAAAATTAATTATTTTTTCCTATGGATTATTAATATTACTTCCAAAGAAATGGTTATTTTACTGATAATATATGCTAGATATTTTATTCAGACACGAAATGTGCGACAGCGACAGCTCGAAAACAATTATTATAAGATTTCCTGCAAAAGTTATCTTGTCTAATGGATATTTATAAAAAGTGCAAATACTTTCTTCAGATCAAAAAAATTAATCTAGCACTTTCTGAGCCAGTTTTCTGACTATAGTAAAGCAGCACTTATAAAAATCTCAATCTAGATAATATTTAACTACAAAACACCTAATGAAAATATTTCAACATAAAAAAAATCATAGAAAGGATAAAATGCCATTGTAGAAAATACAAAAATTTCGAAAAATAAACAGCTGGTTACAATTTTTTTTTAAGAAGAATAATTATTAATCGACCAAGTCTAGCTATTTATATTCGAAAAATTAATTATTTTTTCCTATGGATTATTAATATTACTTCCAAAGAAATGGTTATTTTACTGATAATATATGCTAGATATTTTATTCAGACACGAAATGTGCGACAGCGACAGCTCGAAAACAATTATTATAAGATTTCCTGCAAAAGTTATCTTGTCTAATGGATATTTATAAAAAGTGTAAATACTTTCTTCAGATCAAAAAAATTAATCTAGCACTTTCTGAACCAGTTTTCTGACTATAGTAAAGCAGCACTTATAAAAATCTCAATCTAGATAATATTTAACTACAAAACACCTAATGAAAATATTTCAACATAAAAAAAATCATAGAAAGGATAAAATGCCATTGTAGAAAATACAAAAATTTCGAAAAATAAACAGCTCGTTACATTTTTTTTTTAAGAAGAATAATTATTAATCGACCAAGTCTAGCTATTTATATTCAAAAAATTAATTATTTTTTTCTATGGATTATTAATATTACTTCCAAAATAATGGTTATTTTACTGATAATATATGCTAGATATTTTTTTCAGACACGAAATGTGCAACTTGATATTTTTTCCGATTTTGTCTAAAATCTGCGTCGTCTGAACATTTCGCTAAGACCGCATCGGTCCCAATAAAAATATACGTTATTCTCAAAGAGACATTTGCGCGGCAAAGAAAAATTGGATAAAATCTGATTCGCCCGGTAGTCCCGATAAAGTTTATTTTTTTGCTGCCGTTCCTCCGGGAGAGCCTGATAAATTTTTAAAACACCCACCGGATCTTAGCCCTAAGCATTGCTTTATATCTTGGTCACGTTACACACCCTCGCGCGCGTGGTACGTTTTCGACCCTCCCGTATAAACAACCGACGATGGGAATGACGTCATTAACAACTTAAAACTTAAACTTAAAACGGCGCATTGTATCGTCCGAAGCTTCCATCGGTTATAAAACAAACATATCTGAGAGATAACGATCGAGTTTATGCAGGAATGGAATGACTACAACTTACGATGGAACGAGTCGGAGTATGGTGGGGTCAAGGACTTGAGAATTACACCAAACAAGCTATGGAAACCGGATGTTCTTATGTATAACAGGTAACACGTGTTGTTCAGGGTTCGTATACCGACTTTTTATACCTCATTCTAAGTTAGATAAAGCGATATTTGTTGATAAATGCTTCTCCCCTTCAATAGACAGGAATACGCAAAATTTTTTTTCAATACCACCAAATTACTTATGCTTATCCTACCGGGGCAACAAAAAATTAATCAATCAAATCAATTAATCTAAACCATACGTATTTTTCTAAAAGTCGGCGTTGCCCCAATCCGATGGCAACATCAGAATTTGAAATGGTACCGATTCAAATGTTCCGTAGGATTAGAATCTCTAATAAAAAAGTATATAAATGAAATATTTTACACTTACGAATTTTCATCCTTATTTCACGTTACTTTAAAAGGGTTCTTTCGTTATTCAAAAGAAAAAAAAATGTATTTATCACAATAGGAAACGACTTTGATGAAGTTTTAAGATGCAGTTGAAGTCATGAAGCCAAAGGTTATACCTCCATTTCATTTCAAAATACTGTTAGTCACCGATTAGGATTTAAAATCCGTAGCAACGCTAGGCTGTCATTATGGTCAAACCGCAGTAGCTTTCCATTATTTTGCATTTTGCAAAAATCGAAGAGGATGATGCTGCAAAAATTTATGTAAAAAACATTATTATTAACAAGAAACTAACTGGTCAAATAAAAATATTTAAAAGGTGACAGTCCAATTACAATATAACAAAATTAAATGGGAAAACGCTAAAGTGGGAGGTGCAAAATGTCCCTAATGCTTCATCTTATTTGACAGAATTTTAATTGACATTAACAATAGGAAACTGGGTCTTATATGTCATGGCAAAATTGAGTAGCCTTCCGAAACGAAATTCCTTCGATTTTGGTTGATTTTTTTGTTCTCCCAACAAAACGGTCCACGTTCATAAAAATGCGTTCGAGATATTCCAAAATTTCTTCTCGAGTTAAAATTCGACCTAAACTTATATTAATACTCCGAATAAAAGCGCGCCGAAGAGTTCCGAAACGCTTCGAATGGAAACTTAAGACTCTTAGTTTAAATTCGCAACCTACAAAGTAAGGACCGTAAAAATTTTCGAATAAGTATAACGCGGCCCTTCTATTCAAACAGAAAATGGAAATGACTTTTAGGGAATCGGGTGACCCCCATTGTCTGTCACTTAATTTTGTTAATATCGTTTTAATAAACGCCCGTGACAAATCGTTACATCGTTACAAAATAGAGTGAGAAACCTGATTTTTAGCAAGTCACATCGATTAATAATAAAGTCAACTTTTAGGTATATATTTTACGAGTCGCCTGAGAGGTATAATGGACGCCATAATATTGCTGTTTACGACCAAGCTTTCCTAAATATTTATTTGAAAACGCAATTTATGGCACTTATACGTTTCATGTTTATCGATTAGTTTTGTTATTATGTTGCCGGCTAACAATTCTGATACTGCCGACTAAACAAATATTGCCGCCCCTGCAAATTTCCTTGGATATTTTAACAATTAGCGGAATTCGAATGGTTTGTTTATTTTATAAAACCGACCGTACAAATCGCAATATTTTTTAATTATAGATTTTGGATACAGCGGGAATAATGGAATAACGGAATTCGGGATGTATTTCTGGATAATCTGGTCTCTGAACGGTCAGCGTTGCATTCGAACCCTTATCACACCCACAGATTAATAGTCCAATCTTGGGGCGTGTTTTAACAAAAGATTAGCCGGACGGATTATTCATTCTCTGACGTTGCTGTGGTGCGAGGCTTTGTAACAATGCGAGTTATATAATCGAAGTGAAATAAAAGACCCCACCCCCCTTCCCAAAACTGCGAAAAAATGGACCTTCCTCTTTTGAAGCGGTGGCTTTAAAAAATAAAAACGTGCAGCCGAAAAAGCGACCACAATTGGGGAGGCGGAAAAATTCAATTCAATTCAATTCAAAAATGAGATAATCGTTTTGTAAAGCGTGATACATACTATATGATGTATACTTAAAACGAGAAAAATGGTCATAATCGCTGGTATATTTTATATTTTGTTTCGGTCATATAATTACAACGCAATAGAATTCACAACAAAAAAGTAAAAAAAAAACATAATATTTTCAACATACCGGGTTATTCCGCTTTTCGTTTGAATAATTTAACTCATTTTATTTATTCTGTCCTTTCCTAAGTGACTTATAACACTCATGCTACTATGGTATATTTCGTAGAAAAATCATACCTCCACATTTTTGCATTTTTAAGTGTAAGATATAAGTTTTTCACTTTAAAACTGTTCTCCTTCGTTATGATTTAGATGGACTAATGTCGTTTTTCTCTGTACTCTTAATTTATGATACTTCAGGCTACTACTTTTGCCATACACTATGACTCTCCCTGTATTTAGTGTTACTTTCAACGCTTTAACATTCAAGAGTGTTAATCGTAATTTTAAATGTACGTATTAAGAAATAACAATTCCATGCGACTTTAGAAAAAAGCAACCGAAAAAATATAAGCACGTAGCCGAAAAAAATGTGACCCCGCTTAACTTCTGGTGGCAGATGTGGGGTGTTCAGACAATTACGTTTCATTTTCAACATTCTGTATCTACATATTTGACTACTAACATTTGCCACCCCTGATATACAATGTTTTCCAGATTCGCCTCTCTATATAGCGATCTCCGCTCCTATTATGCCTACAGCAAAGGTTAAATGAGGAAAGTTTTAAAGGAAACGATCGGTCATAGTTTGGGAAATATTGACGGAAAACAGGAAATGGCAATTTTAGTTTTTCGCCAGTGAACCTAAAACGGTTAAATTGACAGCTGTCAAAATGTGACATTATTCAAACACCTTTTTAACACGAATAAGATAGCGTGTATGACATGTCTTAATCGTCTTTTGTTATCTCGCAACCCGCCTTAACTTTCATTTTTCTTATGGTCGCCATATTGGATTTGTCGATTTTTGGAAAAGACGTAAAATTTCCAGTATAATGATGTCTCACAAAGGCACAACAGATTGTTGTGGTTACCTTTTTCTTTTTTCTTATTAAAATCATAAATGTAGCGGACTATTTAAGTCAGGAACTTCTTAAGCGAGCAGTTTGACGAAATATTTATTTCATTCAATTATCTCGGCCTCCTAGATGCCCTGAACTTTCACCCTTCGATCTCTTCTTCTGGGGTCACGCAAAAAATGAAGTCTATGGATTTTTTAATCCTCCCGAGACAAAGAGTTTTGGACACATTTAGACACATTAGAAACATTACAACACTTGCCAGGGTTGTAAGAAAAAAAGTCACCAATTGCCAAAAATGTGTAATTAGATTTTATATTACATTACTTGTAAATTGTTTCTGTCGTGATTTTGTTTGAATTTTTATCCAACCTATAGGTTGTTCAAATGTCAATTAAATTAACTTTTTTGACTTTTTCTTTTTAAAAAATGCACAGTTGGTTATTTGCACAAAACATCTGACTTGTTGAGGAGTCGTCCTTTATGTTGATGTTTTATTGAAAATTCAATGCGTTTATTATTAATGTTAATGTTAAATAAATCATTGCCTACTTATAAAATAATGAAGACCTAACTTTACGGAATGTGATAAAATCTTTTGTGCATTTGTAAGACATCACGACCATAAGAAAAATGAGAGTTAAGGCGGGTTACGAAATAACAAAACACCATCGCGACATGTCATACATGCAATCTTATTGGTCTTAAAAAAGCATCTGAATAATGCCATATTTTGACAGCTGTTAGCTATTTGCTAAGTCTGAAGTCTGCTATCAAATGGACTAAGTTTCCCCATTTAATCCTTACTGTAGCTATAATAAGAGAGGACATCCCTATAAGAGAAGCGAAGTAAAAAATGTTACACTCTGGTGGATATGCTAACAAGATACACGGTTTGAATATTACTTTAAACGATTAAGATTCTAAATATACGCAATATAAACTAACAATTCTAAGCAATTAAATAGGAGTAGGAAAGATGAACCACTTTAAAATTTTAGAGGTATTGCGACGTTAATCTCAAGGCCTGTTATACAATTATACAATTCCTCCGAAAGCTTGCAATAACACTGCCATACATCGTTTTTACGAAAATTTCACTATCTACGAGGTGTGTTCAAAAAGTAAGGCGACTTTTAATTTTTAACAAAAACTACTTGTTTATTTATCAAAATTAATGTTGTCCCCTTTTTCCAATCCTCGAAGCACTTCTGATATAGCCTTGAGTTCTTCCAGCGATTTTTTCTTTATCTCCTCAATCGGCGCATAACTTCATTAACCGTACGACCTTGTGGTAAAAACTCCACGATAATTAAAGGAAACAATAAACAAAATCTTGACATTTGATCAAACTCGACGTGATTTTTAACCATATAGCCATGATTCATCACCACTTATAACCTTTTTGAGTATATTAGAGTCAAAAATTGCATGACCCTAGGCAATAGAGATGCCGACGTCATCAGCCACTTATCTAATAGTGATTCGACGATTTTTCAACACGATTTATTTCACTTCTTCAACGCTATCATCAGTTATTGACATCAGCCATCGACGTCTATTCGGCCATCTTGAAACAGCTTGTACCATTTATAAACATTTTTATCGCTCAAAGTAGATTCACCATATGCCGTTGTCATCATTTCAAGTGCTTTGCCGGCCTGTATTCCATTGTTCACACAAAAAAAGGCAACGTGCAAACTAGCAAAGTCGCCGAGCCAACAAAATACGTATTACGCTTCTGTTCACAAAGAAACTAAATGTGCAAACTGACTGAAACCGTGGACATATGTTATGTTAGGGACATGTGTGCCAACATAACAAAAAAAACATCGAAGACTGAATGTACCTAGTCCTCCCATTTACAAAAGTCTCCTTACTTTTTGCACGCACGTCGTACAATAAACGGTTCGAACGTTTTCACTTTTCTTCAATTAAACGATCAAAGTTGCAATTACTCGACCAATATACGACGGGACGTGTATGAAACACAAAAGCGGGTTTGTGTTGTCGAGGGTATTTTAATCAAATTTAGGTCAGTAAACATGAAATTTCCGTTCGGACAGCTTTTTTTCGCTATATATTTAAAAACGGCTGAATGGTTAATGATCTTTCAAAGACGTCATAAATTAAAACAACAGTTTTCATTATTTCTTAACAATATAAAAATTGAGAAATTATTTTCATCTGCTTGTTTTCATCAGTGGAAATAAAAACTGACCAAATGAGGGGTAGTGGATCCGGTTTTACTTATATTTATATAATTCATTGCTAACGGGTCTCGGGCGATTGAAAAATGTTCCCCGCTGTCACATAAACTAACGCCATCGCAAATACTAACGAAAACTGAAAATCACGCAAGAAGAGACGCCAGCTAAAAATAATATATCGCCTCTATTTCGCCGCAAAGCGCGATGAAATATCGTATTATAAATAAAATAAAACACGAACAAATGCTTCTATTTCATTAGACGCCGATAACATTACCCCCCCGAAATTCTACCCCCCTCCCCTTTTTTTTTTCAAAAACGAGAAATTACGTTTCTATGAAAATTTGATACGATGTGGTATGCATGGTTTGGACAAAGCGTTACTTCCGGAAATATTTGCACTTTTAAACCGTTTTGCATGCACGCTTTTACAAAGGAGCTTTTCGATACGGACTTGTATATATAAAGCATAAAATAGGCGAGCAAAGAAGACGTATTGAGGAAGTGTCGTTTATATTGAAATTCTCCGACGATAAGTCGAATATCGATCGAAATCTTGGTTATTCGAGGCGTACACTTCCATTTTCATAACGCTTTCGTCGGTTTATAGCTTTTAATCGCTTTGCAAAGAACAAAAGATCCCGACGGCTTTTGGAAAAAATAAAAACTAAATTTCTCGAGCGTTCGCTGAAAATTCCCTGTTTGCGACTACTGAAAATAGGCCGATATTTTATTCTAGACGAATGTCTGCTACACATCTGCCATTGACGTTTCGCAAATATTGAAAACGATATTTGAAATTATTTCCGACTGAATTAAACGATTTGTAAATTCCGTTTTTTGATAAATAATCTTGTTTTACGGATAGCTAAAAGAGACATCTGGGATAAATTCGATTCGATTCCACTAAATAGTTTTTGCTCCATCTCTTAAGGGAAAGTGGTGGGGGTGTTTGGTGTGTGTGTGTGTCGTGTTTATTTTGAACATATTGAACACGGAACTGTTTCTGTTAGAATCTATGCAAAGGAGTAGCCTGCAGTAAAACGCAGATCTGAGTGTTTTATCTGTGTTATTAGTTTTCATTATTATATTACGAATGTTAATTATTTTAAATATTAATTTTGTATATTTCGTTAAACGTATCAATATTAATATAATATTTTTACTGATGTTTAGCTGTCTTTTGTAGCAATAATTGATATTCAAGAAAATAAATCTTCGATGTAGTGATGTCGGTGCAACAATTCGAAAACCACCTTCTCAGGGTAGCGTTCTGACTTTGAGTCAACCTTAAAGCGATTTTCATTTTAACTAGCTATTATTAAAAAAAAACAGGATTTCAAATTCAGTAGAAAATAAAATATTAAAAAAATTAAGATCGTTGGCGTTTAAAACAAAAAAAAACGTCCGAAAGCGATATCGAATTGAAAATGTACTCCTGAAACACGGACTATACGAAAAAACGTGTTTTTTTATTTAAAACATTTGTTTTGTGTAAGTCGTGTAACCGAACGGATGGGGTTTATTTATGTTACGTTCCAATTATTTATTACTGTATTTTCTGAAACAACAGTTTTCACTCGAGACAAACGAAGTTAATGGCAGTCGAAAGGAGGAAAAGGGCGTACGAAATTTAAACAATGCGAGCTTGTAACAATTGCGGGCTTATAAAATAAACAACTCATTTCTTAGCCGTTTCGTTATTCCAGTAGAAAAAAATTAACGAGTTTCATATAGCAAAATAGCGGAATATTTAAAGGCGAGCTTTAATGTGCGATGTGCTGTGCTTTGGGTTGGGGTTGCGTGTGTGTATGTGAGTGAGCTAGATTAAGGCGGGAGGTACGATTCAGCCAGCCGCTGCTGTCGGCCACAGCTAATTCCGACCCTCTCGAGTCGAATTTCCCTCATTGATACCTCCATATTCAATGTTATTATTACTATTATTTTGTTAATATAAATGGCCGACGTATTCATCGAGTTTTTTCTTTCAGTCGGGGGTAGCAATTTGAAAATTCGACTCGTGTTGGGTCGGGTTGTCCCTCAAACACCTCACTAACAGCACTTAAGCTAAAGAAGTTTTAAATTTTCTTAAATTAATCCAAAAAGGAAACAATTAAATCGCAGCGACGCGACGCGCGTCTAAATAAAACACACGCGATTAAACCGAGTTGTTCATAAAACCCAAAATAAAAACAATTAACGATAAAAATCGAACACAGTTAAACCAAAATGCTAGCTTGGTCACTGCGAAGGTGTTGCAGCTCGATGTTTCGATGCTTTTTGTCTCATCAGTGTCAAGTTAGATGTTGTATGGTGTACATTTTAGTGTCCAATGCCGCCGCGTTCAAAGCCTTAATTGGAAATAGATGTTGACTGTTTGCATGTTTTGGAAAACGCCGATCTACCAAACGTGCGTGTTGAGAACAAATTCATGTTTTGAAGCGACAATATTTTCAACATTGAAATGATTTTAGTCCAAAATAAACCAAAATCGAACCAGAACTAGTGAAATATATCGCAATATTTTTAAATTTTCCTCCGCAGTAATTTATTTTCTAAAAATAATATTAACTCTCGTGTGATTTTTTGTAACAAAGCGTATACAAAATTTGACCAGTTCACATCTGCATTTTTAGTACGTATTAAAACATTTTTAATCAAAACTCTCATACGGAAATAAAAACAAATTTGCATATAAATTTTTTCATTTCGAAACGTATTTTGCAAATTAGTTCAACTTCTAGGGAATCCCGTAGTGACCAACGAGTAGAAAATTTTTGTTATATCAGCCATAAAATCGAGGAATAATTGACCTTCGAAATGCAAATTTGTTTGCAATATGTACGGCGGTAGCTGTCAATGAAATTGACCTGGACGTTTTAGCTAGTTTTAGCCACATTGAAATGCATCTACTTTGGCCATTAAAGGTGTTAAATATGTAACGAGAATTCACGTCGCATATCCAAGTAAAAAAAAATGTGTAAAATCTTGGTATCTATCTGCTGTAAATATTAAACGTAAATTTTAAATTTATAAAGCAATATTTTTTCTTATTTTATTACTTCCAAATGTCGGATGTGAGTTTGAAAAACTTTTGTAATTGTCTCTCTCTGGATTAACAAAAAATGTATTAAAGACTTCTAGAGAAAATTACGGAGCAAGGCTAATTTAGCTTTGTGTATCCGGAAGGAAGTTATGTACTACATAATTAAATTGAAAATGCTTTAAAGTGAAAACAGAAAAATAAGCTCTTTAAGTTTTCGCGGCAATGATGTATTATTTAGCTATAGAAAAGGTCAGAGAATTTAGGACAATTTTTGTAGCACGATAAAAGTCTGCGTAGGTGCATTATCTCAATTATTTAATTTGGACATTGAATTGAATTGTGCACCTATTTTATAAAATATCTCAAAAATATTCTACAATTGCAAACAAATTTATAATGTACATAGCGTGGTAATAATGAAAATGGACAAATTTTAACTGCGTATTCGGCAGATAAAAAGTTCAAAAAAATCTAAAATGTTTTTCCTCGAAAAACAAAAATGAAGAGGCCATTTTTGTTTACAATTGATCAGGGTATCGAAATATATTAACAAAAATTAACTTAAATGATATCACGAACGCCTCTGGTTAATCAAAAACAAATTTATCTATGGTATAGATTTGTTTTTTATTGGCAATAATACCTATTAACTTTGCAAGCAAAATTTAGAAAAAAAATTGCAATTTTTTAACATTTTGTTGTTGTTTGTAATTTGTTAAGGTTGCTTTACACTACCCCGTGCATTTCAGGTAACACAAAAGGCTCTATGCTAGAACGCTTTTTTTTTTAATGGAGTTTCCCCGCACGAACTGTTAATGGCCAAAGTAAATATGTAATGAGACGTTACTAAAACTGCTTATTGGTGTTCTTTCTCGATTCGCAATCGAACTCATCGATATTAAACAAAATCGTACACTACTAATCGATACTGAGAAACGACAAAGTGATGCATACACATTAGGGCGGTAAAAATCAATCGAATTCATAGACAGCACAATTACACGTCGGAACGAGGGTTGTGATTTCTTCTAAGCTCTGGGGGTTCACTTTAGCGTCGATTTTTTAACGCTTTGTGTTGTTATGAAGTGCTGATGAGGGTTTCGACGGAACTTTCCAAACAAACGTTGTGGTCAAACATAACGGCAGCTGCTTGTACATCCCTCCGGGTATCTTCAAGAGCACATGCAAGATAGACATTACGTGGTTCCCATTTGATGACCAACACTGTGACATGAAGTTTGGTAGCTGGACCCATGACGGCAACCAGGTATTGCTCCAAATGTTTACATGTTTAGATTTTACAACAACCACGCATTATAGGTATACATAATTCGTACCTCATCGAGTAAATTATCACACTGTATCACCAAATGCGCGTCAAACTCACGACACCAAACGGCGAAACGTTGGCACACCTCTGGCTCACCGATATCGCGGTTGCGACAACCAACATCACACATTCCGACTAATAACACACCAAATGATAAAACAAATACTCTTGACAATTGGCAAGATCCCTACTAGTCCACACTCAGCTGATCCCACATAAACGAAATTTAGTGATATGCATTCGTGCTAGTGCACGCTTTAGCTGCTAGGGTGGAACGTAATTTATTAACAAATATTTGACTGTAAATAGGTCCGAGGATTATATAACCGCGAATATACAGATAGCGCATTAGTGAGGCAAATAATTACATCTCTCTTGTCTATTATTATTTTGAAAAAACGTTTTAATAAAACGATGCATTAAATCAAAAGATCTCAGACAATTTAAACATATAATATATTTTTATAATTTTATTCAATCATCAAACACCCAATATATTTTTCCGTATTGCAATATCTTCAAGAAACGTTTATATAACACCGCGAAAATGTTTAAATATCAATAAATTAGCAACGTAGTAACATTTTCTGAGGAATCGCAATATACAGTGTGTTCCATTAAAAAAGTACTAACATCCTGTGTTATACTTTTAAAACGTTTGCCTTTTGATTTTGTGAATCATTTATTACAAGGTTTTCGTCATATAATACTTTTCCACACTAAGGCGCCACTCTGCAGTAGGTTTCAATTTGACATGAAATACGCTCCGTAAAATTTAAGAATTTTTTGTAATTTTCTGTTCTTTAGAAGTGCGGGATCTATCAAAATTGATTTAAAAATTTATGACGATATTTTTTTGCACATCTAAAACGCCCAAGCCTCAAATTACATAATTCAATAATCCCTTAAAAGTTAAAAAATTTGTAAATTTGGTAAATTGAATTATCCCTTTGGCCATGGAATAAAATACAAAAGAGAGCCTTTTCCCACCAGTAAAAACAGCTTCGCGGCTCATGCCCATCCTTTTTTGCGTTATTGAAAAAAATACTGAGCGAAGATTTAAACCGATTAAAAAAATCATTCTACCGAACGAACTCCGGTGGAAGCGAAAAAGCCTTCGCAAAAAAGGACTTTTTATTATTTAATTCAATTGACATTTTCAACTTTTCGTATATTTATTTTTAATTCATTTAAAAGCAACAACAAATTTTTCGCTTCAACACTTCAAAATTTACGAAATAATACGAATACAAATATAAATCGCTAACGTAATTTTAGCAAAAATCGAATATAAAAAACTTTTAGAACTATATTCTGGTCATGATATAGTGCGTTTTCAGGTCAAATTAAAAAACACACACATATATATATATATATATATATATATATATATATATATATATATATATATATATATATATATATATATATTCTCACGTATTGATTCACGGATGGAAAAATGTGATGACACTATATTCCGGGATATCATCCGTTCGCTCGTTGAACTCCGACTGGAATCCTGCATCCGACTGGAATCCTGCAAATCTTGCATCCGACTGGAATCCTGCAGACGTTTCGCCAAAATCTCACTTGGCATCTTCAATGCTCGCGCTCCGAAAACACTTCGAACACAGTGTTCGAAGTGTTTTCGGAGCGCGAGCATTGAAGATGCCAAGTGAGATTTTGGCGAAACGTCTGCAGGATTCCAGTCGGATGCAAGATTTGCAGGATTCCAGTCGGATGCAGGATTCCAGTCGGAGTTCAACGAGCGAACGGATGATATCCCGGAATATAGTGTCATCATATATATATATATATATATATATATATATATATATATATATATATATATATATATATATATATATATATATATATATATATATATATATATATATATATATATATATATATATGGGGTTGGATCATAGTTGTTTGAAAACGAGGTTGATTGTTTGTTACATTACCAAAACCATTCGGAGTATTTGATGGGTCCGTAATTATAATTTTTTTAGTTTATACCCCAAAATTACTACGCACAACTGCCTTTTTGAGTAGTCGTAGTTTACGTAACAAATTACAATGTCGCTAAATTCTAAAAGTCAAAGCCAATTGAAGTCCAAATAAACCTCCCAAAGAACAATGAACCTTATTTTCGACAACCGATCAAAAATACTCAAAAATCAACCCGATAGTATACATATTGACAAAATAAACTCCTTCATTAGGGAACCATGTCATTAGTTTTACTATTTTGCATGGAGCACAATGCCAGCAATTTCTCTGCTACTAACTTCGCAACCCTCTTCGAACCAGTCGCTACCTATACCGTGTTTAATACCCAAAGCCGTTAATATTGGTCACTCTGTCGGGGAAAACACATTTTTGAAAATCATATATTTTACAGAGCCATTTGGAAATTGTAATAAAGATACAATTTTTTCAACATTTTCGTTTGCGGGACATATTGTATAATAATCAAACAAAAAAAGGTATGAAACCTAAATGTTATTAATTTTCGTAAAATAAAAGAAAATAATTTTGTAGGCAAATTTGTGTCAGAGGACATATATGAATAAAAACTCGAAGATTAACGGTGGATATTTTCATTTTTTTATTTGTCCAGCCGAAAAGTACAAAATTTAATAACAAAAACAAACACGAATGGAATTATGAGTATTTATTTTTAACAAGCGCAATTATATGCATGTGTGCGTTCCGCTCAATAATTCAATGGAAAATATTCATTTAAAAAAAGAGCAGTCTAAATAATTGGTCGGAAAAAACCATTTATATATCTATGAATTACTTCGTAAAAGGTCAAGTCCATGGCATCACGCACAAAACATACTTGTAGAAAATAAGAAGATTTAAATTAAATTAAATTAAATAGGTTCAAGATACTATTAAAAGAAGAACAGAAAACCAGCAAGAACCCATCGTTTAACTTATATTTATTCCTGGTTAAGCTATAAGGTTGTTCGGAAAGTCATTTCGTTTTTTCCCGTCAGAGGACTTAATTACGTTTTTTCGAAACCAACTTCACACTTAAGCCGCATAACCATTATATGTCTTGAGACCTGATATTGCAAGGCTTGTGTGTGAAAAAGTTCTATTAATTCTACGCAGTAGTTTTTGGTTGGTGCCCTTTTAAATATGGAGAGCAATAAGCAGCATTTTCGTCATATTTTACTTTTTTACTTCAGAAAAGGTAAAAATGCTGTCCAAGCGAGGAAAAAATTGACGGATGTGTATGGAGAAGGCGTGTTAACAGTACGCCAGTGCCAGAACTGGTTTGCAAAATTTCGATCCGGCAATTTTGATGTCGAAGATGCACCACGGTCTGGAAGGCCGGTCGAAGCTGACGAAGATGCGATAAAGGCATTAGTTGATGCAAATCGGCGAATAACCACACGAGAGATCGGTGAGAGATTAAATTTGTCGAATTCGACTGTTTATGGCCATTTGAAAGGCATGGGCTTAACCTCGAAGCTCGATGTGTGGGTGCCCCATGTCCTTACGGAGCGAAATTTGTGTCGTCGCGTTGACGTGTGTGATTCGCTCCTCAAACGTCAAGAAAATGATCCATTTTTGAAGCGGATTATTACTGGGGACGAAAAATGGGTTGTATACAACAATGTTAAACGCAAGAGGTCATGGAGCAGAAAAGTGAACCGGCTCAAAGCGTGTCAAAAGCCAATATTCACCAAAAAAAGGTGATGCTCTCCGTTTGGTGGGATGTCAAAGGAATAGTTTTTTTTGAGCTTTTGCCGGACAATACAACGATTAATTCAGAAGTCTATTGTCATCAACTGGACAAATTGAATGATTCACTTAAAGAGAAGAGGCCCGAATTAATCAACAGGAAGGGTGTAGTGTTCCACCAGGATAATGCGAGACCTCACACAAGTTTGGTCACTCACCAAAAACTTTTACAGCTTGAATGGGACGTACTGCAACATCCACCATATTCTCCAGATCTGGCGCCTTCCGACTACTATTTGTTCCGGTCCCTGCAAAATTTTTTGGATGGCAAAACCTTTACCGCAAATGAAGAGGTCAAAAACCACCTGAACCAGTTTTTTGCCAGCAAGGACCAAAACTTTTATGAGAGGGGAATTATGTTACTGCCAGAAAGATGGCAAAAGTTGTTGGACCAGAATGGCCAATATATAATTTAATAAAATATTTATTCATTATACGAAAACTGTCTTTCATGTTCCCCAAAAAAAACGAAATGACTTTCCGAACAACCCAATAAATTGCTGTTAATAAAATAAAATTTTTAGAAAAATGCAATAAATTTTTTAAGCAAATTTTTAAAAAGGTGTTTTAAATAAAAATAAAAGTACTAACAGATTCGACGACTGGAGTACAATGTGCAATATGGCTTTTCCTACTGGTATCAACCCATGCAAACCAAATGCCGTAAAGAACAAGACACGACAACAACATCGTGATTCGATGCGCTCTGAACGCACGCGTTTTCATGTTTCTTACGTAATAAAAATAGTCCAGCACAAAAAGAAATCAATATCGTATAAGTGTCAATTTAAGTTATTTAATATACATTGAATTGGGAATATTGTTATGCATATTTCATTTTACCAATGAACAGGATTTCGCAAGAGTGTGGAGAAGTGCTTATTAATCATAATTTTGAATCAGCCCTTGAAATGAATTAAATCAAAGCGCAACCATTTTTAAAATATTCTCAATTTTCCAGGGTGTTCCATGAAAGCGTGGCAATAAAAAACTATGTATTATTATACACAACCTTCCATATATTGTGTGATGTGTGTGATATTCTATAACGGTTGCAGTCAAAGCATTCATTTAGTAAATGTATACATTTACTAGCCAATGCATTACCTTACCTTACCACACGAGGTATTAAACAATATAAACAGTGAAGAAGATTTGGAGAAAATTCTTGAAAATGTCAACGGTAATGAAGAAAGTGTCCAGGAGATTCCACGACTTGAAACCATTGTGGAAGATGCTCTAGAATCACATATACTCTTCAGTGAAGATGTCGGGGAATTGCTAGTGGTTCAAGATGACACGGAACAGCGTTGTTCACAGCTTGACACGACCCAACGAAAATGTGATGGATGTGACATTTTACTTAATTCGGAATGTAATAAAATGTGCGATATTTGCACGGTGCAATCACAGAATCAAAAGAAACCTTGCATAAGCAAGCTAAGCGCATGAAATTAATTTAGATGCTTCGCATCCTCCGGCGAAGGTAGGAATGACAGTAAGAATGAAGGTACCGGAAGTTGATAGAGGACGGGGAGATTCTCGTGCAATATTGGGATGTTTATTAACCAAAACGGATGATGACTATTTTCAGCGCGTGTCCCGGTAATATATTAACGCCAAATGATATTCAAGACAATGCCATTGAATTATCATTACGAACTATTGCAACCAAACAGTCGATAGGTACCGGACAGGGATTTTCTAAATGCCAATGTAAAACAAAATGCACAACAACTATTACGAAAGTGCAAAACAAATTAGATTTTTCAATAAATCATAAACCTTCACACACGGACACAGTCATACATAACAGCTCAAATCACCCTTATACACACAAAATGGCTGCATTCCACTCTTTTATACACAGACTTCTTATTACGCCACTCTCAACAGAAAATTACAACAAAGAACTTAATATCATTAAACAAATAGCACGGCTACAATCCGTCCATTATAGATAAAATTATAAATAAAAATCAAATACAGACAACAGTAAACTCTATTTATCCGAAACCAAATACAGAATACGAACAATTTAAAACAATTACACACATAGGAGAACCTAGTGAAAAAGTTTCAAAACATTTGTCAAAATGTGGTTTAAAAATAGCTTTCAGAACTAACAACACAATAGGAAAATATTTAAAAAACAATAAATCGAAATGTCCAAAATGTCTACAGGTTGAAATGTCCTAAAATTTATATTGGACAAACAGGTAGATCCTTCAAAAAACGCATTAACGAACATATAAGAGCGTTTAAAAACAATAGTCTAGATTTTAATTATGCTACACACAGAAAATTAAATTTATCGGAAGCCATGGAGATTAACAAAATGAGACATTCAAATGTATTGCTTAACGATCAATTAGATTTAAATACCTCTCCTTTATTGAACTTAAATTCTCGCAACAACATTAATTAAGGTTTTATGGTAAATTTTCGGTATATATAGTAGCAGGTAGTTTGTAAATATTACATTTGATAAAGACACGGTGTTGTCGCAACAATTGTCATGTCATAATATATAATTTCGCGAAAATCTCAACTTTTAGTTCTTATTTATTTTGATAAATGGATTTTCATCAAGTAAAAGCCACCTCAGTTCAATTTTCAAAAAAATTGTGCAATTCCAAATGCCATGGAAGTTTGAATTGTTCAAACAAATAAAGTGTTTTTCTTATTCATAAATGTGTTTGTGTTTCAAATTATTTTCTTTCTATGTTAGGTGCTTTTGTATTTTGATGTTATAACTAGCTCTAGTGCAATAATCATCGAGTCAATAATTAATTTAATTATTCGCTAAACTAAATTCTATTTTGAAATTCATCAATTTACGCTTTGACTGCAGTTGGTTAGTAACTGCATGCGTTACCTAATTAATGCATGCAGTTACTAGTTAAAGTGTTCATTCCAATGAAATGGGAAGCGTATGTATGCGTTGGCTAGTAAATGTATACATTGGAATGTACACTTTGACTGCAGCATAACCATTAACAATAGACCTTAATGCACTCGTAGTCAAAATGGTAACCGTTAACTTTATCTCCCTCTAGCGAGCCCTAAATATGAAATAAAGTGCTACGATCGATTTTTTATGAAACACCCTGTATGTTTTTTAAACAGTCTAAAAATAAAAAATGTTTCTGCTAGAAGTTATATAGCAATAAAACAATATTATCGAAAATAATAATTCTGCTATGGTATTATTTATATATTATTTTGTAACATGGGCTTGACTTTAAAAATACCTTTAAGTACTTACATGTTCAAGTGGCATGCATATAACTAAGTACAAAAAGTATACTTAGAATGACTCGGGGTTTTTAAAAAAAAATTGAAGAAATGTCATGGTTGCTTGCTTTTGAAAGCATTTAAAAAGTTAAAAGAGAAAATATCAGAAAAAAATATTTGGCAATTGAATGAAACCTATCAGTGGCATTTTTGTAATTTAATCTCTATATTAACAAATCGTTGATGATCATTCAGATCGGATTTATGTATTTAAAGTTTTTTCCAATATTTTTCTAAATTCTAAACGGCAAATCTCCATAACGAGATTTTCTTGCTATGGCTCAGGGTATTATCACCTTCCCCCTAATTCATAAAGTATATCCTTCTCCCTTATCTCGAAGTTCTTAGCAGAGGGGTTGAACATTTTGCTTCTGGTGGGGATGTTGGACAAGTGAGCGCAATGTGTGTAATATTAATAAAATAAACTAAGAAAAAATCTTCGTCTGGTCGCTGATATCGATTTAAAAAGGGACACATACACTGCATGGGGCACGGTCGGAATATATTCAAACATATTAACAATTATGCCCATTCATGCATGGTTGAAAATGGGTTAATTTTTAAATGCGTTTCGGCCTAAATATAAATATACCGATGGCGATATGGAAAAACCGAGTTAATATAAAAACACCAACATTAGTTAAAAGCATGACGTGCACGTTTGGATTAAAACTTGCGTTTTGTTTTTCCGTTCGAACGATCCGATTTACCATCCGTACCATATTACATTTATTATTACAACAAATGCGGCTTTGTGAAAGGGACTGGTTTCGTTTTGAAATAAAACTCGGTGAGCCAGTAAATTTCGGTGTCTTTTGTATATCTGCTGCGGACACTAGGTAGACCGAAGGCCATTAGCGATAATGATAATTGCACGAATTGCTGTAATATCGTTGCCGTGGCAAATTGAGCTTGAGAGCGTATAGATGAAATAATTAGGACAAATTACATGTCTAGTTTTTAATGCAGCTCGATCTAATATTGAACTCGGAAGGGGGCGGTGACCTCTCAGATTTCATCACCAACGGCGAGTGGTATCTTATAGGTAAGTCCCTCACCAGCATATCTTGGTGAGAGACAAATTCGTTTTTCAGGAATGCCCGGGAAAAAGAACACCATTATCTACGCGTGTTGTCCGGAACCATACGTAGACGTCACCTTCACCATCCAAATCAGAAGGCGAACGCTCTACTATTTTTTCAACCTCATAGTTCCTTGCGTGCTGATATCGTCGATGGCATTGTTGGGATTCACATTGCCACCCGATTCCGGCGAAAAACTAACCCTAGGTACATGCTCGACGTGCTATTTTACCATAACTGTGTGTTTGCACCCCTGTCTTGTGTGGGTCTCGCTTGACAACACTTCGGCCGTGCTAATACAAACGAGAATATAAATCACGATCTGGTCCAATGGAAAACCGCCTCGGGTCGAATATTTTCAGATTTTAGCGAACTTCTGCGACAGTCTACGACGAAAGGACACGAAGCACGTTCAAAACTCAAAATCTTAATTTCAGGTGTCACCATTCTTCTTTCATTGACAGTATTTCTGAACCTAGTTGCTGAAAAGATACCGACAACATCCGATGCAGTTCCATTGATAGGTATGATAGGCCTCCTGGGAGCATCGTGTATTTTAACGCCCCGTTGTCCTCTTTGCTGGATTGCCGGTTGATACTTGGAGGACGGATACAATTATATACATGTATAGTTTGTACTGAAGTATCCCGCCTATTCCAGAATATGGCGATTCAACTAAACTGTACATACTTTCTTTCTTTAAGTTTATTCAGAATAATTAACGATTAATATTAATTCAGGATTTCCGAGATGTAATTGGTCGAAATGTCTTCAATTTCAAGATAACTCGACGAACCAAAATTCTTTGGATATAAAACAAAACTGTCCCAAAAGTCATGGATCAAATTAAAACGGGAAGCGATTCTAAAATAAAAGTAATTTCCAATAAAAATATTGCCATTATAGAAGAAACGAAGAAGATTTCAATGTGATGAATAATTTAGTCTGGGATTTAGTTAAATCGACATGTTTTGGTCTAAGGAATGTGGAAAGATAAGTTAGGTCCATTTTTAAACACGCGCGATTCCTGTATTACTTCAACTTGCGGCATAAAAATGCGATTTTGAGGTCACGAATTTTTTCTGTATTTCAAGACTTATTCAAAATAATCATTTTGGCTTAAAAAAGTTTCCTGATTGTACCCGAGTTAACTTACTTTAGAATAACCCAATAAATACTTGTAATATTAGTTCGATAACACAAAAACTGATAAAGGATAATTCAACTTGAATACATTTTTAATACCACCATTCATATAGACGAGTGCCCACAAAATCGTAAGCGAACTGTATATAGCTAATAAATATTCAAATGAAGGATATCAGCATGCAGCGCAAAGCTGTTCCTCTCTGACCCTGAAATTGCTTTACTTCCTCCCTCGCTTAAATGGTAAACAGCTGTCGAAAGGTAAGTGGTACCAAAGAAAATAATAGTGCCCAAACCAAAACCCATTTTCTCGATTCTGTGGATCCCATCGGTGAAACGATGCAATTTTCGCAAATATTTTTACAATATTTTTTGTAGCGTAATTATATTTTCACTAAAATTTCATTTACTTGTTTTATTCGTTTTCCTAGATTTTATATTGGTTTAATAATAATTTGGCCACGATGATTTAATAAACAATTAATAATGTTCGGAATAAACAGGTAATTTCCTCTATGAACATAATGCTAAATTCTCACTAGTTACAGTTTCTTTAGGAGCTATTATTTTCGATTTTTCTGACGTCGTCGGTCACACGATGGCCTCGGACCCAAACGTAATCAACATGTATTCTGTTGCAGGAGTGACCATCTTACTCTCGTTGACTGTGTTCCTCAACCTCGTGGCTGAAACCCTGCCCCAAGTATCTGACGCCATTCCCCTGTTAGGTACCGACCGTTATTTGTCTGACCTGCCTGTGCTGACTACATCCTGAGTGCTGCCTGATTTGAAGAATATAACGTGTATCGCTGTGTATATGTGTGTGTGCCCGCGTTAAAATATCCGCTATCTATATAGTTGCGATCAAAGAAGAAATGTTTGTGGCGGAGCAGGGGCTTGAAGTGCTGTTGACGGATTCATTGCCATAGTTTTACATCTATCAGGAGGATGGGGTGGCGGACCGAAAACATTTCCTCTTTGAATCGTAAGATATTTTTTTGGGGGTGAGCCGGATACTTGGAAAGGAGGGGGGCTTTTTTCGTTTCATGGGCACCGCGTGTAAAACTCTGACTGGTCTGTTGCAGGTGTGACCATTCTATTGTCACAGACCGTGTTTTCTCTACTGGTGGCTCACGTGATTACCCAGACGTCCGACGCTGTGCCCTTGATAGGTTAGAGTCTCGGTTCGATTCGAACACACCATAGTTTCGTTTTCTTTTCGCAAACACACTGACGGGCACTAAACGGGCGCGAACCCCCCCTTTCAATCAACACCACTCGCGAACATTGCGTCCTTAGCCAGGGGGTAGTTGGGGGTACGCGCCCTGCATGTACCGTAACAGCACTTCGCCCAAGCCACAGCCACAGTATACACTACTAGTCGCTGAACGATAATCGCCGACTAGTGCTTCTCTTACTGTGTTCGGGTGAATGGTGAATTGATACTATGACTATAGTACGGTGTCGGCCATTTTGGCGATGCATGTATTGTAATCTCAGAGTCTACGATAGATAGAAAAATAATTAAATGTGTAAAATTTTACAGAATTTTGCTGCTTTCCTACAGAGGGTGTTTCAAGACCAAGGCGACAACCTTGAGATAGTGATTCCTTGTATGAAATAAAAGGTAGTTTATTAGATAAAAGTTGGGTCAAAAGCCAACCGTTGGGGAGATATCGCGCTACAAATATGACGGAAAAATAATGTTTTCATTTTTTATCTTAAAAACGAAAATGCGAACAATAAAATAATAGTATTAGCATTACAAAAACACATTTTCTGTTTTTTTTTTTTAATTTTTTACAATGAGTGGAGGGCGTTGAATTAGACTACCCCTATCATTCCATTCTTCTCAACTAAATTAAAAGAAAATCTTACTCAACGACATGGAAAAGATTTAATTGCGAATAGACTTTTTTATATCCTGGAATTTTTTCATAAAACTAACAATTTCCAAATAAAATAATAAAATGTTATGTGTGAAAAATATTTTGGAAAAATCATTTAGTTGTTATTAAGAATAATATTAATAATGATCCCTAGGTAAATTATGCAACATGCAATTAAATTGGTTTGTTTTTTTTTTCTCGAAAACGAAGCAATATTTTTGAAAATATGTATTTCCACACCCATGTTCATTGAAAAAATTTTCCTATTTCCTTAAATTATTTCAACGTTATTTCCAGACACCCTGTATATGGAACTAGATGTCAAGAATACGTAGTCTTTCAAATGTACCGACTGTTAATTGAACCCTTCATACTTACGAAAAGTTCCCATTCAAAATACCTTAAAAACCAATAAAAGTCTGTAACAAGGTTTCCGCTTAAACATTTTGTATCTTCCATAGAATCTAAGAAGTCAATACACGCATCACCGAATTGGTTCGCACTGTATATTTATATCCAAATTTTATATCTGCAACTTCACAGAGAAGAAAATTTTTATTAAGCGATGGCTATGAAATGGAAAGTTTTCGCTTAACTTTTCTCATGACTTGAGAAATTTGAGTTTTTTATGTATTTTTTTCTTTTAATTTATTTTATAAATGTTATATAATTATTTATTTTATTTTATTATTTTTTACGTTGGCTCTCATTTCAAGATGGCGTAAAAGACGCAAATATATTCAAACTTCACCGGTTCATAAGATCGCAATAAAAATTGTTCTTCCCGTCGAGAATTAGACAGAGGTTAACAATATATTCGCCAATGCTCGTAACGTCTTTAAATTCCTAAACTTGCGTAAAGGCTTGCGCTCTATCTCTACCTGTAACGTTGGCGCCAATTTCACGAATGTCGCGATATTTACGCAGCTGGATCTGTTGTCAAAAGATCAAATATTGACGTTACTTCTATTGAGACACCCGATGTTAAAGTAGTATCAAAAGTTTTAAAACGGCGAAAAGGCAGCCTTGGATTGGAGGACGTTTCCAAATCGTAGAAATTTGGTGCCAGTGAGCGGAAAGATAGGCACGAGTCTTTATTTGTAGTATGAAATCCAAATCCCGGCAAGATAAATCAAATGACTACTTCCGACGTAAGTAAAATGCGCACAACTCCAAAAGCAGTTTTCCTTTTCCAATATAAGGTCCGCTTTTGACGTTGTGCGTGTCTTAGTTTGATAAAAGTAGTCCCCGGTCTTGTTGGATCGTAATAGTTTAGGAACTAGCGAGCAATGGACGCCAACCGATTGGATGCTGATTGAAAGCAGCCAATCTGGCGCGCGTCGCTAATGCGATTATTTAGAATAAAATGTATTTACCATTTAAATGTAATATAAATTAAAAAATATTAACGATATAACCCAGTTCCTTCCCGATGATCTAGCTTAGCCTGGCCGCCTTCTTCTTTTATAGGTAAAAAGCACCTTCTTCTGTAGCTTGTTGTCCCGGTAGTTGGGCCGCAAGCAGCCGGGGGTTCCCGCCATTAAATATTGTAAAGCTGTTTCTTTGTTACTCAGACTCTCAACTATCTCGGGGTGAGCTCGACAAAGACCTTCTCAACCTCCAAGTATCAAAAGGCTCTGTCCCACTAGGAGTATCAATCTGTATGTTTTGTTGTTGATGTTTCATTTTCCCTTATTATTGTTTGTACTATTTGTCTTACTCGACTCACTTTTGTTTGTTTATATCTGTTTAAGACTCGTTACCTCCTCATAACAGTAGTGACAATTTAGAGGCTAGCCTAACCCGACGAAACGTTAAACGGATTCGCTTAAAACCAACACACGTAAAATGTCTCGACGTTATAATAAAAAAACGAACGAATAAGTTAAAGCGCCATCCACCAGACTAAATAAATAAAACTGTACTAATTAACGCAAACTATACGTTTGTTTAAATTGATGGTTTTGTGATGCATAGATTGGCGGTCGTGGAGCTAGTTTCTTGACACGGGCAATTTGAATTTGGGTCCAACTAGGTCAATGATGGCACGTGCAATCCACGCGATACGCCAGGTAATCATGCACACACACACTATTAAACCGAACGTAAAAACGATAGCCAGCCGCTTTGCATTTTCCTCTTGATCTCGCTCTCTGGCTATATATCCCATTTCAAAACCCACTTTAAAAAGTGTTAAAAAAACAGAATATTAAATTGAACGATTTAACAATGACGCAATATATATATTATATAAATATAGAGAGAAATACGGTTAGCAACGCGTCGTGTCGCCTCTGCAATTGAACTCTTGTGATAATAACGGAGGAGGGTACGATGGTAGTTTATCTGACACTGAGAGAACTACTCGTGACTTAAAACTGTATGAAAGAAAGTAGGTTATACAAGACATACTGTACATATTTCCGCCAAATATTTGGGAACGTGTGAATGCGTGTACATTCATTCAGATGCGTGTTTGTGCCTGATTGTCAACGTAACTTTATTCGAGTCTTCTTCATTTATTCGATTAATTTTTTTGTGTTCTGGATTCGTTGTAGATAGTGTACGTGTTGTGGACCGTAGCGTAGAATTCGTTTCGTGTCGACGTGCCACAGATACGACCAAAACAAGCTAACTAGTTCGATGTTTCAGGTACATATTTCAATTGCATCATGTTCATGGTCGCCTCGTCCGTGGTCCTTACGGTGGTCGTTTTGAACTATCACCACCGCACTGCGGACATACACGAAATGCCACAATGGGTGAGTCTATCGAATAGAACCATTCTCCATAATCAATCATACAAGGAATCTAAGAAAGTGCGGAAATTTTCTCTTGATTTCACACCACAACCTACTGTAATACTATTTACAAATCTTTTGGATTCATTTTGATTAATCAAGATTGCTGTTGTATTAGAAGAATTGTACATGTACCGGGTGGTCCAAATTCGTGGGGCCTCTATGGCTTTAAGCATTTGCAGCATAGTTAGCCCAAAACTAATATGCATATTAAGGGCTCGATTTTCGAGAGACGTCGAAAACTAAAAACCGCATCATGATATGTCAAAGTTTTTCTGAGCTAGAGCGTGATTCTTAAAAATGTGCATTTCTAAAAACCGTCTATAAATGTTTTATAAAGGTTTTTATTAAAAACATTTTTTGAATATTTTTTAAGGGCAAATCTACCTGTTTCACCGAGTGTCTTAAAGCCTTTAGTATACGAGATACAACACAAAGTTACATTTTTTTAAATGCAATAACCTCAATCTAAAAAAAAAGTTTTCTAATAAAACTGGCTATCAAACGATGTGCCATACATCTATTTTTATTAAGTAGTTAAAGAGATATCTGCAATTTTTAATAATTACCATAGTAGGCTGTGCTTAACTCTGATCCAGTTTTACGGTATCTATCTAGGTAGCTATGATCAGATAATAACAATTGCCATGATCAAACCTCATCTACAAGAATACGGATCCTTTACAAAACCGCTGTCTAGGACGTATAGTAGCCTAGCCAGAGATAGAGAGTTGGAAGAATTAACGGTTCTGGAAGAAATATAAATTAACCCGAATATTTCCAGCAGGGCCATGGAGAGAAACACTGGAATTCCACGCAGCAATGCCGTGCGGATGCTTAAAAAACGCGGACGGATGAGGCAACGATTTCTAGTGATGGAATATTCACCAGGTATAACTGCTATTACTGGAAACAGCAAAATCCCCATATTATGGTGGAACAAGCGAATCAGGTTCAGTTTTAAGGTATAGAGGTTATACACGAGAAATTATTGGGCCATATATTTTTGATGGAAATTTAATTGCCGAAAGATACCAACAAAGCACGTAATTCCGTTTATCGACAGTTTGCCACTTCAGCAAAATAATGAGCTATACTTTCAACATGCACAATGCACGGGACATTACTAATTTGCTAAATATTGTGTTTGTCGAAAACTCGATCGGAAATATTGGCCACCCAGGTCCCCAGACCTGACCCCTTGCGACTTCTTGTTGTGAGGGAGAATCAAAGACCTCGTATTTCGAAATCGCCCAACTACTAGAAGGGAATTGGAAGAGGCAGCTTCGTGCGGTAGAACTTCTTAATGCAGATGTAGAGTATAAGTGTTACATAGTTTAATTAATAAAAATTTTACATAAAAAAATGCTTTTAATAATTTTATATCCGTTTATTCTTTTAGGGTTGGTAATTATTGTAAACTAGCACTTAAAGTGCGATGTCGCTGTGTTTCCTCGTGTCGTAGCCAACTTGATTTTGTATGAAAAAAAAAACAATAAAACTTTATCTACACATTTAAGGTGCGCACAGCGCCTACTATGGGAAATATCAAAAATTGCAAATATCTTTTAAACAATTTAAACGAAATAGGTGTATGGCATATCGTTCGACAGGAAATTTTATTAGAAAACCGATTTTTTAGAAAAATGGGGGTATCCCATTTAAAGAATTATAGCTTTGTGGGATATCTCGGAAACCAAAGGCTCTAAGACAAAACGGGTAAAATAGAGAGATTCTCGTTTAAAAAAAACCTAAAAAAAATGTTTTTTACCAAAACTCTATTCTTACAATTAAAAAAGTTATAGAGGGCCTTTAAAATCCCACATTTTTGAGAATCACCCTGTAACTCAAAAACGCCTTGACATCACGATGCGGTTTCCAGTTTTTGACTTCTCTAGAAAATCGATTCCGTAACATGCATATTAGTTTTGGGCTAACTATGCTGCAAATGCTTAAAGCCATAGAGGCCCCTGGAATTTGGACCACCCGGTACATCAAATTCATTTTAGATTCTTCAGAGACACGGATTACAGCTACTGTGATTTGTGTCATGTTAGTTTTTAAGACCTAAACACTTCAAATCGTTAAAAAATTAGTATTTAATTTGTATGCAACAAAAAGGCGTTACTTACAGGTAGTTTATGAGATTACTTAATATAGTAATAATTGTATATGATTACAATTACCCAGATGAGATGATAATTCCGATATTAATAATTGTAATATAAAAAACTTCAGGAATCATAAACCACTCTACAGTGTGTTCTAGCATGTTATTAGCCGCCCACATAGCCTGTTCTATTTCAAATACATGTTTAAGGCACTCTTATTTTTACAATCAATATTGTTTATTCACTCTTGCAATGGGGTTCAACGACCCTCATTTTAAAAATGCTTTGCTACAGATCCTTTACTTATATCAATTCTGTTGGGATTTTCGAAGCGATTTCGTCGACAACAAATCTCGCTTAAAGATGTTTATTCAAATTTACAATTTGAAGTAGCTCAGTATATTTTTCTGATTTTTATTCCGACTTAAAATAAACCATTAAAAGTTGCCTTTTTTTTTTTCTTGAGCGGTAGCTGACATCCACGAGAAATAAAATCTACTATTTAGAGTCTGTTTTGGTTGAAACACTAATAAACCGCCACGGACAAATCCATTTTTGCTTTGAATATGATTAATTATTACTCCTACACTTTTTAATTTTAATTTTAATTTTTTTTATGAACGGGATTCGATATTCCTGTTTTTCCATCGAAACTGTCTCTTAAATATCGCCGTCGTCAACAGATAATTTCGTTTTTCACTATTAAAAATGATTTTCTATTTTTAGATATTTTATAACGAAAATTCATTTCCTTCACATTTTTCCACCATTTCTTCCTACCCGTGGGTGGAATGAGATTATCCTTGTTCATGTCAGACGTTATTTTGTCTAAGGTAGGTATAACTGGTGTATAATCTTTTTACAGTGTCTTTTTTTCCTGTACTTTGGCAGTGGGTGGCGAAAATAATACATTGAGAATAATAATTTCCCCAGAATTACCAATTCCTTTCTCAGCAACAAATTTAGGAAGAGTAAGTTAACGAGCTGTCCGTCTACCTATCATTAAAGAAGGGGGGGCATGAACATTATCTCGGATGATTGATTTCCATATTGGTGAAAGGTAAAAACCTGAGTCGCGGTTAAGATTGTTTGGTTGAATTTTAATTTTATCGAAAAAAATGTGTTGCCCGTGTCCGATTTTATGTGATGTTTTTGGCAGCTGCCGATGAGTTTGTCATTTGTAAGGAAGGACAACAATGACAAGCGTGGGGTTGTTTTTGGACTCATTATCTGTGGAAGGTAGTGCTGAAGTACATTTTATGATGGAACGCTTAATATCTCTAATGTGGAAATTATTAGAGAGAAGAGCAGACGTGAGGTGTTTTAATTCAGTGTTCAGTTACTCTCTGTAAACAAGAGAGTTGATAACCGATGATTTTTGGGCCGGATGGTGATGTTAAGGTATCTCTGTGTGCGAAGGTTTTCTTAAAGAATATAACTTCAAAACCAGATCTACCACTTGTCCAAAAATCCCTCGACATCTTCGGTCCGTCAAAGACAAAATTCCGTTTGACGTATCAGAAGTAATTCCATGCATATACGACAAAGAATACATTGGAGAGACCGGACAAAAGATATTAACTAAGCTCAAAGAACATGAAAGAATCTTAAGACTAAAGCAAATAAACTCAGCAACATTTGCCGAACATAATCACGAAACCGGAGATCAAATTTCCAAAATTCTTCGATGTTATGAATTATTCTACCCACGAAAAATCCGAGAATCTATCGAAATGTACAAGCAAAAAAACAATCTTAACCGTGACTCACCTTTTACCAATATGGGAATCAATCATCCGAGACAATATTCATGCCCGCCTCCCACATTTAGCTCCCCCCCTTTAACCAATACAGGGTGTTCGGAAACTTGGAGGAAAGATTCAACGTGGTAAAATAACGGTAGCAAGTTATGTAACAAAAATTCAAAATCCTATTATTTTCCGAGTCATAGCTTGCCAAAAATGATTTTTTTAAATTTTATTTTTAAAGCAGCGGCTTTAATTATCAACGGAACAAGCTGGCATTTTACACACAGCCCTGATTTTTGAAATATGCATCAGTGGAATATTGAAAACCGACATGCAAAAATTGAAGGAAAACATCAGCGTATACTGTTTAATTCCCGATTATTACTAATAATTTTATATTTTCGAAAATGTTATGGTCTGTTCATAGATATAAGAAAGTGACCAATTGCTTTTGATTGTCATTAACATACAATGCAACAAGATTATTACCGAAAGTTTCGGAATTTAAATTCAGGTAAAATTGTGGTCCGCAATAGAAAATAATTTTACACCTACTTGTGTTTAATATTCATTGGTTTGGTGTACTACTTAGTTTAAGTTTATTAGTAATTATTCTTATTTCGTGTGTAATACAGCGTGTATTGAATCGTGTGCGAATTATGCAAAGTGAGTCTAGTGTATCTCATTAGATGCTCCCGCCTAAATGTGGAAAACACTATTGACTAAGGAAAATATAAACAATGTTTATTTGATTCTCATTGAACGTGGTGCCAGCAAGGAAGCATCTTTAGAAGAAACGGCCACATTGACGAAAATTCCAACAACGACTGTATGGAAAATTGTGAATAACTCCATTTCAACGAGGAAAAAGAGAAACGATGCTGACATTTTCTCGAGTCTAGGTGAAAGTGGTCAAGATATAATACGGCGTAAAATTTACCAGTTATATGAGGTGTCAAATGTGGCAGAACTACCTTATGGAAGTGTATTCAACACATTTGTTGTAGATTTAAAAAAATTGACAAAAAGCAAGTTTTGGTTAGTTTTGGAATATTTTAGAATTCGTAAATTGCGACTGGAATATCTGAAAAGGGTTGGGTTGACTCAACTGATAAGTGTAAAACAAACGCGCCATCAAAAAGAGGTAAAAGAATAACTATTTTGCATGCTGACTCTAAAGATGGTTGGATTCCAGATCGACTTTCTCTGTCTGCGAAAAATGTTAAAGATTCTTCTCTGGACTATCATGAAGACACCACCGCTGATTTATTTGAATGTTGGTTTAAAAACAAACTAGTTTCAAACATTCCTCCTAATAGCGTCATTGCAATAGACAATGCAAGTTATCACAGTAGACAGTTGACTAAAACCCCTTCCTCATGTGACACAAAAGTAACAATCCAAAACTTCATGTATAATAACGACATTTATTTTTACGAAGATTATACCAAAAAGCAATTAGTTGAGGTTCTACAAAGCTTGAACCTACAAAAGGAATACGTCTATTATGCAAAAAATCTAGGGCATGCGGTTTTAAGGCTTCCACCTTACCACTGTATATTTAATCCCATTGAACATGTTTGGCACCAACTGAAATCTGCCATTCAATGTTTTTCCCCGTGTTAACTCCAATGTCCTCAAACTTATAGAAACCGAAGTTTTGAAAATCCCTGCACAAAGTTGGGCAAATTCTGTTAAACAGAATATAGAAAAAGCAGAACAATCGTACATCCATATTGCAAATAATATAGAACAAACAATAATTAGAACAGGCGATGATAGCGATAGTGATACTGATATATTATGTGAATAATTTTAAGTAATTTAAGTAGGTAATTTTATTTTAGATTTAAACATAAATACATAAATAAATAAATATTGTTTAGTATTTTTCCTAACAATACCCCAAATAATTAAATTCTAAGCAAAGTCGGACCTATTCGGCCATACTTCATTCTTACAGCTTGCCCGGGTCTTTCCTTAATTCGTATCATATCAGTCACTTTCTTATATCTATGAACATACTTTAAATGTATTTATGTTAAATAAATTAACTTGACTTGACTTATGCCATTTTTTCATTTTTCACTGCAGGCTAATATTGCTGGTCTGTATTTCCATTTGCGTTTAGTTTTACCTTTCTGTAAATGAGAAATATTAGCGTATTCGGGCCAAGAATAAAAAAGTCGATTTGTAAACGATAACACTTATCGACTTAAAACAAGAGTAACAATTTTTGAAGATGCGTGATTCTGCTTAAGGCAATCTCTTCTATTTTGCAATATCAGTTTAAATAAATAAAATGCAGATAAAAGTAAAAAAAATGTTCTAGGTAAAGTGCCCTCTAGTGACAGATTACTTATTTTATCACGTCGAATCTTTCCTCCAAGCTTCCGAACTAAATTTCCGAAGACTTTATAAACGCATGAACAGAGTAAAATGCAAGCCGGTTTCAGTTAATTTCCGAAGAAGCCAAGAGAATGATTGGCCATTTTTATCAACAGCCGGCGGAGGACGAATCCAGAAGATTTGAATTAGCATTACGTTAGCCTTTGAAAAAAATAAAAGAAATTGTTTTATCTTTCGTGGGTATCGTAAACTGTCATTAATATTTCGATATCTAAAAACGACATTGTCATCAATTAATAACACCATCCATGATCATCGTCATCGCGGTGTACAGCGAAGCGTCTCTAATTCCAGATCAAGACCGTGTTTCTGCAGTGGCTTCCGTGGATATTGGGTATGAGCCGGCCGGGGAAAAAGATAACGCGCAAAACGATCATGATGAACAGTCGAATGAAAGAGTTGGAGCTGAAAGAGCGTTCGTCGAAAAGTCTTTTGGCGAACGTGCTCGACATCGACGACGACATTCGCAACGTTTCGGGGGTGTCGGGCAACAGTTCGACGATGATGACGACGAGCTTGGGCACGACCTTCGGCAGGGGCGCGACGACCATTGAAGATACCGCGTTGCCCGGCACCAGCGGCCAACGCGACCTCCAACTCATCCTGAAGGAATTGCAATTTATCACGAACCGTATGAAGAAAGCGGACGAGGAAGCGGAAGTGATAAGCGATTGGAAGTTCGCGGCCATGGTGGTGGACCGGTTCTGTCTCATCATATTCACATTGTTCACCATCATCGCGACGGTTGCGGTTTTACTTTCCGCGCCGCATATAATAGTGCAGTAAAACAAAAGAAAAAAATGGACGTTATTTTACTGTGATAAGACAGCGGCGTCCGTGGCGGCACTGGGCAATGTGCAAACGTGCCTTCCCTGTGGAACATTCACGAGCTGTTTAAAGTTAAAAGGCAGGCACCTATGTGCACGTTATTGCTATAAAAGCTATACCCGTGCCGTGCGCGGGGCGGATTTCACCACTTCCGGATTAATACGAACCGCTTTTTCGCAACTACCGCACAGGGACAGTGACGACAACATTCATAGACTTAAAACCGACTTTTAGGCCGCGCCCCCCTTATCCCATCCAACCCTAACGATTCATCCCATCATGGTAAGTCGGTTTCATCCCGTGTTAATATTTTCTTGTTTTTTTTTTCCTAAAGAGTACTACGTGCAAGTAGCTAGTTGGTAGATTAACATTAGTTCGAGGTACACACGTGTCTGCCTTTTGTTCGCCCATTTAATACAAAAATTAAAGGTGTCCACCTGTATAAAATAAACCTATTGTGATGAACTTCGCAAATTAATGACTAAAATTAAAGATCAGTTTTATAGGATAAATAGGTGTAAAACTAACCCGAAAGTCCGGAATTTCGTAATCGGGCGTGTTTGTTTTTCGTTCCACTCTATTCACGAGACTCGACCACACATTTCCATCTATACGAGGGCGGTCGAATTTGAACATCTAATCGTATTTTTATTGATCGATGTCGAATTCTACTGCCCGAACTGATGCCGGCAGCGTTTGGACTTCGTGTTCGGTTGCACCCATATGAAAAAAATTTTCAAATGGTATTTGGATTGAACACAATTTTAATATGAAATTTTTATTTTAAAAATGAATCCGAACGCTCTGGACTTCTAGCGGCTTGTCTTTGATTTGATCTAATTTCGGTTAGTTGTTAGCTTATGTAAATAAATAAGCGCGTAGATTTAAAAAAATAAAATAAAACGCAACCCCCATTTAAAGCGGCGCGATACGGAAAAAGAGAGAAAAAATCCCCTTTCTACGTAAAACCGCCCGATTAACGAACACCCTGTTTTTTATACTCGAACCTATATCGAATGGAAGCAACGTCGCGAAAGGACTCCGCCCGGATGCGCCCCCCGTCACACCCCTGGCGAATAAATAATCCTGGTACAATTTAATGAGGCATTTCGCGCGTTCGATGTGATTTTTTTTTGGTCCAAAAAAAAAAAAAAATAATGATATCGCAAAGTATATTTAACAAGTAACAAAAAACAAATAAAAAAACTGCTAGTAACTGATTAATAATAAATCAAATCAGAAGCTTACCTTTACATTACGTAAATTACCCACACTACTAAAATTGGATTTATTTTTTATACAGAATGAGTCGAACAGATGGGGACGGGGTGACACATTATTAATTTCACCTCCCGTTTCTGTTACACAGAGCTTAATATAAAAAAGGGTTTTCATCTACAAATATGACAGTTTGTTGAAAATTCGTTCAATTAAAATTTGCATGTACGTTTTTTAAGTAAAAACAGCATATCAGCTGTACGCTATTTCCACTCAAAATTGCGCCTATATTTCGTTGGATACACCCTTCACTTTGAATAATTTTTTCTTTTGTACATTAATCACTGAATTAGAAATAATAAAAAGAGATTTTTGAATATAAAAATTAAAATATCCACAAAGAGTCTAGTTTTGTTTTTCTTCCTTTTTAATCAAAATATCCTAGCATAGATAATACCAATACTGTTAATGTTACATTTTTATGAAAGTTCCAGCGATAAAAAGACCTCTGATATTGCTTTAATAAAACTAACGAAGAAAATAAGCACAAAAATGTATTTTTTTTCCTTAATAACGATAATATGCAACAACTTCATTATAATCACAGACATCTCAAAAACTGCAATTAAAATAAAAAAGATATACAAGAGAGAAAAAATAAACGAAATAAATTTTAATCTCGAGGAATCTCGGGGGGTTAATAAGCCCCTTTTTTTCTGCGGATATGATTTATATGAACAGTGTAAACTACACACTCCAAGAATATGTGGGAAACTGGAAGATTTATAAATACAAATATTAACCCTCTGTATTAGAGAATCTGTAGCTAGGGATTGAAGCAACTCACCCTGTATAAAAGAGTGAAGAATACCTACTCAATTTTTTTTTAAGCTATAACATAATGAATAAATGAAACTAGTAAAAATCGCAAATTCTCAAGAAATTGATGGAAAAAAAAATTGCAAAAAATCGCCAACGATATAACGACATGATTCCGTGACATTATGCTGGTGAACGGAATGCCTCGCCGGATTTAAAAATAGGATTCGGGACGCGTGAGGTATGGTAATGAACAATATCCGGGCATTTTTGCGCCCAAAACCACCCCCACCCCGGACCTACGCCACGCCGCCCCCATTGAATCGACCTGGAAATCATAATTCTCGCGTCACGTGAAGTCGGCGGTGGTCATCTCCGTGTTGCGTGGTCCTGGCTCCATTCCGACGATGCTTCCGCTCGAAATCAACTCGTCACGTTATTATTATACGAACGCGGCACCATATACGCGACAGAAATTGATTGGGGGGTCCTCCCTCAACCCCACATTGAGCGCGCACGGAGATTTCGCATACTTTCCACCCCGAAATACATTCTGGAAAATCTCACCCCCCCGATGCTGCGCCGCGCGACCCCAACTGGAGTCCCAATCAGCCACCCCCACCCCCCCAAAATTCGACCGCTTTCTATTTTTTTATATATACGATTTGTTAATCTGCCGCGTACGTGTGGCTCCCCGTTAATATGATATTCTCTTTTTATATATCACGTGTTTATATTCTTTATAAAAAAGAGAGAAATGCATTCATTACATCTCAATTGCCGAGACGTTTTGATAAAAGCGAATAACCACACAACCTGGCGGTAACAATAATGTTCGTTACTTAAAAAAAAATGTATTAAAGTACTTAACAATAGAATTTAATACGATTTTAATAAAAAACTTAAAAAAAGAAATACGAAATTCTTTGGGCATTTTGTAAACATAGCGTTAAATACCACACTCACATATCTATCCCGTAGTTTGACAAGTTCCCGTTGGACATTTTTTCTGCATGACCTCCCAGCATTCGAAATCTAAATGTCGACCAAAATTTTGAATTCCCCCGAAACGCGTTCATTTTGCGAACATCCCCTTTTCCCTCACGCTGTTAGAATTGAAGAAGGCCATTAAAAGCGATGACCAACATAGCCTAGAATCCTCAGCGAAAGCAGTTAGCGTAATACGAATGTATTTGCAGAGATATGTATCCGACTTTAGAATATTTTAAGAGATACAACCATGGGCTTCGTTTGATTTATGTATAAAATCATATGCAGTGTCCCCCAAAGAATTGGACGTGTTTGTTAAGCTATTTTCTGCTCAAAAATGAGGAATAAGGTGGCATTCAGAACCAACAAACAATTTAAGCTTTTAATACCTTTATTAAACATGTAAAATGGCTACTGAATTTACTCTTTGATACCACGCAGTATGTAAAAAAAGAATTATTTCAGTTTCTAATGCAATATTTTATTACGTACATGGTATTAGGTATTGTATGAAAAACTTGTAAATAGCATTTTATGAAATTTAAGTTTCAAAAAAAAATCTAATATACCTAATACATGTTTCATTTGAAAATTAATTGAAAACAAATATTTCAAAAAAATTTCCTCAAAAACATTTCCTCAAAATGCGTGAAATTCCTAAAACAAATTGGGCCGTGGTGTGTGAACGTGTGGATCCAAATTTTTGGCGGACGCTGGATAAATATATATATTAATATATATAATGTACAAGAATAATGGAAGTTCGCGCTCAAAACTATCAACTTGCGTTGCCTTTGCTAACTCATATGTTTACGTTTTGTTATCCCAAAGCTGGAATTACAGAAAATTATGTCGAATAATTGTATATTATATTGATGAAATATACAAGCAGATATCAGTTTTAATTCCTGTTTTATTGCCATACCCAGTTCCCGAAAGCAAAAAAAAAACACACACAATCAAATGCAACCTATACAAACACAAGGCAAATGGCATCCAAGGTAAGTAGAAAATTTTCCCGTATTAATCCACGTTGAACGTTTCGATCATAAATTTGAAAAAAGATTTACTCAAAGCCTGTATTCCGATTTCATTTGCAACGACCCCGTAATTTATAAAAGCGAAGCAAAACGAAAACCGCTTATGGAGTGCTGCGCTCAAAGCGAAAGGCAAAAGCTAGCGCATATTTTTGCATACCTAATATTTACGCTCTCCTTCCCGTCTATATCGAACGACTCCGAATAATATCGTCCATTTGCAATGCCATTCTTGATATATATTTCGTAGACAAGATTGGTTGCACTATGATCGGTAGAATAAGGTATTTAGTACCGATTCAAATCGATATTACTGGAGTTTGATGTGTTAGAGGACTTTTAGCAGCGATAAGCAACCCGTATTGTAATTACTGTACGCGCTAGTTCGAAATTTCATTAACAACGTATCCTAACCAATCTAATTTCTGTCATATTCAGGACGAAACACGAGCGACAGTTCGCTCAAGGTGTAACTAATCTAAAAAATTGTTTACGAAAGATACTTTCAAGGGAAAACTAATATTATCATTTTATAATAACTGCGAATTAACGAGTTGCGATTGAAACTGTAGCAGATATATAAAACAAAGGCGATTTTACTTCGCACCATTTCCCACACTTTCCGAGTATATATAGGCACTGACTGGATTTTAATAAACCACCCGTGTTTCCAATAATAAACAGGATTCCCCAGTAAAATGTTAAGCGTCATAAAAGTAACATGAAATCAAATTTCCTTTAACGATATATTCCACTAATTTATTGGAAAACTGGTACCTTCAGATTGGATATATCTTGGATCTGCACATATCTCACTCGTTTTGATTTAAGCACACGCACTGCAAAGGATAATATAATTCTTCTCTCCTCTATTCAAAAATTCGTAGTCATACCAAAGGACGTCATACTAAAAAGTTGGCAGACAAAAACCCTGGACCAGTTTTAAAGATATTAAGAGGTGTTTGCATTATCTGATTTCCTATTTGACTTTCCAAAAACATCTTAAAATAATTAACCAAAAGGAATATTACTAACCTAAGCGCACCCTAAGCAATTAAAAGCAAAATCTGAAGATTTTTTACTTTTTAGACAGTAGACATTTTTAGAAAAGTTGAAAACGTTTCGGAGTAACAGGTAAAAACAGTTGAAGGAAACAGTTTTTCAAAATTGGATATACAGGCTACTGAAATGTAAAATCCAATGGTGTGCAAACAATTATTTTTAATTTTAACAGCAGCTCAGTTGGTTTAGACTGTAGCAAAGTCCGAAACCCGAGGTTTAGAAGAAAAAAAAATACCCCGCACAATTTGCAAATAAAATTTTTTGGCGCAATAAAAAATTTAACGGCCAACACTGAATTCCAATTTGGAAGGCGCTCAAGAAAAGTCACACGGTAAACGTTAAAAGGAAGAAGAGGAACGCGAACTTTCGCTATTTGCTTGATTGATTGGGGCGCGTTTAAAGGGCGATACCGGGAAAGGAGATCCAACCCGCCGAGATTGATTACAAGAAATACGCTCTCTGTTTCAATTCGGCAACACCTGAAACGGAGATACACTTAAAACATCCAACTCGAATCAACTGTTGCACGCAAGAAATTCGATCCGATCAGTATCGTTATTGATTCTGGACCGCTAAGGTAATAATTAAATGATAAAAATAATTTGTATCGCTCCAGATCCAATACTACATTTACTATTTTTACTTTAAAACTAAGTTTTAAATTCCCAACTTGTAATCTGATAAAACAAATCGTTATTTTTGAAGTTTGAAGAAAATAGGGGTCAATGTTCTTAGAAATGAAAAGAAAATAATTTTTATTCTGATAATTTTCAATACATAAAAAGCAATAAATATCAATCTCTTTCCATATAATTGCTATAAAATACCAACTCTACATCGGAAAGAAAAAATCTGGAAGCTTTAATATTCGTTTTTGTGTTTTAGACTTTAAATTAAATAGATAGAAAGCTCCATTTTCTAGTAAGGATTTTTCCAACTCTGTGATTTATTTGGTATGCACTTTTATAACGAATAAGCTAATACAATTATATAGAGATAAAACACTCTTCTTCTTGAAAAAGTTGAACTTCAATTTCTTCGGATTATTGAACTATTTCTAATGTTTATAAGGGCTTACTTGTCATTGTAATAGACGTATAATATAATCTGAATGAAATATTTCACCATGTCAAGTATATCCAGCGTCAGCTCAGCATTCACATAAATACCTGAAGAAGTTGTATATCTCTTTCATCAACATTTGTCATTGTATGTGTAAGAATTCTCATTGTAAAATTGATTATTACTGCTACAACTACAAATAAGCAAAAAAAAAACTTCCGTTTCTTTCTTACATTTTTTTTAAGGAAAGGGAACTTGGAACTATAAATATACAGGGTGTTCCAGTATGGGTAACGAGATACGACATTAAAGAAGCGGATGCTCCAAGAAATTTGACAATTTTTTTTATGTAAATCAGCGGAGAAAAAATGCTGGAAATTACTTTCGAGTATCTTATTTTGAATTTGGAAACTCGGTTTCTACAAAAATGTCTAATGGTAAGCATAGTTACAGTGAGTAGTACTTTAAAGCTAAGATGAGTTCAAATCCTTTTTGTGTAATTCCTTTTGCTCTGTTTCTACAAGGAAAGTGGTGGGCGGTATTTTCTTAAATATCCAAAAAAAATCTTTAATCTGTCTCGTAAGATAGTCAAATAGTCAACAACGTAGTAAAAATAGCATCTCCAAATCTTTATCCAAAAGGACTGAATGCCCAGAAAAAAGTTAGATTTTGGGCAAAATTTTCCACTTTGCAGGTTGTTATTGATGTCTATTTGTCGCAAATGTACTACATAAAGCGCTAATTTATAGTTGACATTCTTACACTATATTTATATATTTGATGTTATCATTAAATCTTTTGTCAACTAACTAAAACTAATCAATATTTTATTAAAAATTGAATTATTTAAGTGTAAAATGGATATTGAAATAATTTCCTTTGTTCCTAAAACGTCGATTTCTTTAAGGCATAGGATTATGATGAGTTAAAATAAGGGCAATTTTAATGCAATAAATATTAACGCCATATACCACGACCGTTTGGTCAGAAAAAAACAAAATTTGTTTTCATGGAAATTTGGATAATTATAAATGAATTATTTCTGTTAAATAAGATATTTTATTCCTTTTTCTAAATTGTTTTCCACATATTATCACTTAAATACATCAATAATTAATAAAATTAGTTAGCCTCCGACAATTGATTAATGACCCACTTAGTCATTGAGCGTCATTTTTTATGGAAAAATAAGTGGTAATATGTGGTAAAATATCAAAAAATATATTATAAAATCTTATTTTGATTTTAAATATCATTTGGCTTTATAAATAATAAATCAAAGTTTATTTGGTAAATTCGAGAATATAGCAACACGTAAAATGGAATTTATTTACAAAATTCAACCCTTTTTTTAGCGTTAAATTCTTTTATTCATTTGCCAGGGTAGGATAAAGATATTGAGATGTGGTTTTCACTGGGTTGTTGAACTCATATCGTGGCATTAATTTCTTTGTCAAAAGAATTGACTGATTGGGAAAGTAAGTGACCACAACCGCGTCACTCATAGCACTATTGAATATTGAAAAAAAACAGATTTGAATTTATCTCAACTTTAAAGTACATTAACTGTGGTTAACATTGAAAGCTTTTTAAGAAACCGAGTTTTAACATTCAACATAATAATGACGCCCCAGCCATTTGATACACTCGAAAATATAAGGTTGTTCGGAAAGTCATTTCGTTTTTTCCCGTCAGAGGACTTAATTACGTTTTTTCGAAACCAACTTCACACTTAAGCCGCATAACCATTATATGTCTTGAGGCTTGTGTGTGAAAAAGTTCTATTAATTCTACGCAGTAGTTTTTGGTTGTGCCCTTTTAAATGTGGAGAGCAATAAGCAGCATTTTCGTCATATTTTACTTTTTTACTTCAGAAAAGGTAAAAATGCTGTACAAGCGAGAAAAAAATTGACGGATGTGTATGGAGAAGGCGTGTTAACAGTACGCCAGTGCCAGAACTGGTTTGCAAAATTTCGATCCGGCAATTTTGATGTCGAAGATGCACCACGGTCTGGAAGGCCGGTCGAAGCTGACAAAGATGCGATAAAGGCATTAGTTGATGCAAATCGGCGAATAACCACACGAGAGATCGGTGAGAGATTAAATTTGTCGAATTCGACTGTTTATGGCCATTTGAAAGGCATGGGCTTAACCTCGAAGCTCGATGTGTGGGTGCCCCATGTCCTTACGGAGCGAAATTTGTGTCGTCGCGTTGACGTGTGTGATTCGCTCCTCAAACGTCAAGAAAATGATCTATTTTTGAAGCGGATTATTACTGGCGACGAAAAATGGGTTGTATACAACAATGTTAAACGCAAGAGGTCATGGAGCAGAAAAGTGAACCGGCTCAAAGCGTGTCAAAAGCCAACATTCACCAAAAAAGGTGATGCTCTCCGTTTGGTGGGATGTCAAAGGAATCTTTTTTTTGAGCTTTTGCCGGACAATACAACGATTAATTCAGAAGTCTATTGTCATCAACTGGACAAATTGAATGATTCACTTACAGAGAAGAGGCCCGCATTAATCAACAGGAAGGGTGTAGTGTTCCACCAGGATAATGCGAGACCTCACACAAGTTTGGTCACTCGCCAAAAACTTTTACAGCTTGAATATGACGTACTGCAACATCCACCATATTCTCCAGATCTGGCGCCTTCCGACTACCATTTGTTCCGGTCCCTGCAAAATTTTTTGGATGGCAAAACCTTTACCTCAAACGAAGATGTCAAAAACCACCTGAACCAGTTTTTTGCCAGCAAGGACCAAAACTTTTATGAGAGGGGAATTATGTTACTGCCAGAAAGATGGCAAAAGGTGTTGGACCAGAATAGCCAATATATAATTTAATAAAATATTTATTCATTATACGAAAACTGTCTTTCATGTTCCCCAAAAAAAACGAAATGACTTTCCGAACAACCAATAATTTCCAGCATTTTCTTCCTGCCGATTTACTTAATAATTTATTTAGTATACAGCTACAGTATTGCAGATTTTTTATACACCGCGGATTTAAAAGGCTAGTCACCCTCAGATAGCAGAGGGTTAATAAAGTCCGTCATATAATTTGGTATGCACCTATGCCGCATTTAATATGGCGACAAAATACGAAAACTCATGAATTGTAAAATGTTGTTAGCATTCGGAACGCTTAAATATTCCGATGAGCCGCAGTTCAGTCAGTCGTGTATACGTTCGTTTTTACGCTTCCACTACTATTGAGTTTTTCATTTAATTAAAAATACCCTCGCATTCTAGACGACGAACAATATCTGGTTGTGTCGAAGGGTAAACTTCGACATCAGATACGATATTTGCTTTAGGGTCGATAATAAGAATTCACAATACCCAAGACACCCTTAAAAGGCAAAGGCGAGTAAACAACGGCTGATAAGCATATTGTCAGTGTCAGTCAAAAACGATTTCGAACGCGATCATAATAGAAAGATTCGATTTCGGGCAACTCACACGGTCCAACGATGTGCTATGTGTTTAAACTATTATTGTTTGGCTTGTGTTATGGACAGTTCTTGTTCGATTCCGGAAGGGGTAAGTGTTTTTGTAACACGGTTTATTCATGGAAAAACATCGAAAAATAATGCGCTGTGACCAATCTACAAAGTTTTAGAGAGGAAATAGTACAGCCCCAAAAACTAACCTTGAAACTCTTTGTGTGGAAACGATATTTGTGTGGAATCTTTTTCAATGGACGAATTTTAAATTATGGTAATATTTCGAGTTCTGTTTCCGGTTTAATATATGCGAAAACCTTTCGCTATTACGACCTTGATCTATTTTAAATAGATCCATACACAGAAATATAACTCAAGTACCTATTGTTCCAGAGAAGATGCGGACAATTTCAATGGCCTCTTTTTGATTCACGTACGACTAAATTTCACTATGAGTGGTGCTGCCAAAGAAAGTTAAAATTATTACCTAGCATGTTTTTGGCGGGGTATAACTGATATTTTAATGTGCACAACAACATTACTATGAATTTTAAAATTCCTGCGACATTTAGATCATTTGAAGAGATGCCTCTACATCATCAATCAAACTACTCTGCCATAGACAAGATTTCAGATTTCAAAAGAGGAGAAACTTTTTAAAAAACTATCGAAAAGGTCTAACCGAAAACAAAAACGTCATTTAATTGAAATTCTCTATCCCGTCGCAGCATTCAATGCGAAAACGAGACTACACTGCTGCAACTTGGGCACGAACTATTCATCAAACGGGCGAAGCTGCAAAGTGTTCGAGACGCCAATCGCAGACGTTTCAAAAGAAGACCAACCGGCTTGTCTGAGCATCGTAGATTTCTGTTGTAAAAAACAGTTCAGGTAAAAACGATTTCCGGGACTCCCATTCAAATCCTCATTCGATTACAGGAACAAGACTAATCGGATTTTCCGGCAATCTACTCGAAAGGTCGAACCACCGTCGATGTGCAATTTTGAATGTAATAAATCGTTTTAAGTTTTCCGGGAATATTTTGTTAATACAAAATTCGCGAAGTCCGAAAACCCCGTGGAATTTTTTACTTCGAGTATCGAAAATATCGTCAAAACGAAACTAGATGTTTGTGCACTAGTGAGTAAATCGCTATAAATTTTCCGGGCGTTTTGCCAATTAACAGAATTTTCGCTTAAAATGTCGCAAAAATGGTCAAGGTGAAACTCACTGACCAAAACTAATAAAAAAAATGATTTATCAAGAAACGGTGTACCGGGAATCGTGAAAGAAAAAAAGAAAATTTGATTTCCGACCAAACGGAGTTTTTGTTTTTCCAGGTGTCGCAACTTTCGCTTTGAGAAATAATATTTTTATATATGCGTCAGTAATATAAGTGTTAATAGAAATTATTTTGATAATTTTGTAATATTATTTAGCTTGAGCTAGTCTGGTTATTTCTGGATAAATAATAATAACTATTTGACGTTTCGTTCTGAGCTTAACTCCAATTAAAAGCATAGCTTTTTAGTTAGCTAGAGTTTAATAAAAACTTCAGTACATAAAGTATATTTTAAAAAGGTGTTCAGCAATAAAAGCTCATTAGTTATGTAAAGCGTATACAGAGTGGCCCAACGAATACTTAATTCACTTTCATGGGGAATCATCATCATGGCTTAAAGGAAATAATTTTATTTTAACAGGCTAAAAATTAGGTATTATTAATCTATATTCTTTACAAAAAATTGTATAAAACATATATTATAAATATATACCCGTTATTAATAACGGGTCGAAGATCTGATGGATCAAGAAGTCAAGATCTCACATTTTCTCCTTTAATGACATCCTGGACTGCCGTTTATAGTTCTCTGGCGTCACATCGTCAATGACTCAATCAAACAGTAGCATAAGGTCTTTAATTTTGAATGTCGGGCTGTGTGTGTGTGTGTGTGTGTGTATCCTTTCAATTGCGCCCTTATAAATTCTATAGGATTTAGTTCGCAATGATGGGGCGGTGGAGGCAGGACAGTTAGACTGTGTTGCTTTGCTATATCTGTGATGGTACATTTCGTGTTATGTAAATTCGCTATAAGTAATTCAATTTTTTTTTGGTTAACTAGTCAATTATTCCCGATAGCTTGCATTATTCATAACTATGGGGCGTTTTTTTTTCGATGTATAGAACTTTAAGTTGCAATAAAACAACGATGGATTATCCGATTGACATGAATTTTATTTATCCGAAAGATAATCTTGTGGCATTACATTTTAAATATGATTTCTGACATATGACCGCCACGGCTGGCGCGGATGTAGTCAAATCTGGACGTCCAATTTTCGATGACTTTTTCCAACATTTGTGGCCGTATATCAGCAATAACACGGCGAATGTTGTCTTCCAAATGATCCAGCGTTTGTGGCTTATCCGCATAGACCAATGACTTTACATAGCCCCACAGAAAGTAGTCTAGGGGTGTTAAATCACAATCACAGGTCCAAAACGTGAAATTAGGCGGACACCAAACGTGTCTTTCAGTAAATTGATTGTGGCACGAGCTGTATGACATGTTACACCGTCTTGTTGAAATCACATCTCCTGTACATCATGGTTATTCAATTCAGGAATGAAAGAGTTAGTAATCATAGCTCTGTACCGATCACCATTGACTGTAACGTTCTGGCCATCATGGTTTTTCAAGAAGTACGGATCAATGATTCCACCAGCCCATAAAGCGCACCAAACAGTCAGTTTTTTTGAATGTGACGGTGATTCCACATACGCTTGAGGATTAGCTTCGCTCCAAATGCGGCAGTTTTGTTTGTTGACGTAGCCATTCAACCAGAAGTGCGCTTCATCGCTAAACAAAATTCGCTTATGAAAATCGGGAACAACGGCAATCTCGTTTTACTTGATGATCGTTTGGCTTCAATTCTTGCACGAGTTGGATTTTGTAAGCACGTAAACCAAGATCCTTCCCCAAAATCTTCCATAAAGTGGATGGACACAGATCCAATTCCTGTGCTCGATGGCGGATGGACTCATTCGGGTCTTCCTCAATGCTACGCTCCACAGCAGCAATAGCTTCTTCTGTACGCACCGTACGGCGTCTCTGGGGATGCGAGTAAACGTGGTGCGAAAACGTTCCATGGTTAATCGAATTAACTGCTCTGATGGACGATTGTCTCGACGATAGAATGGACGTAGTGCGCGATACGTATTCCGCACAGAACCATTATTTTCGAAATAAAATTGCACTATTTGCAAGCGTTGTTCAGGCGTGAGTCTATCCATGATGAATTGCCAAACCAAACTGAGAATAAATCACTTAACAACTGTTAAATCGGTCGCCATCTTCAACAGTAATGCCAACTTAAAGTTCCATACATCGAAAAAAAAAAACACCAATTACTATCGAATCAGTCGGAAGATAGTTTTCATTTAACCAAAAGAGTCCCTGGTAATAAAATCGTGGTTAGCAAACCTTCTTCTAAAAATCCCTCTTCGTTTCCAATATGGACGATTATCAGTCTATTCCATTTCATTATTACCCCATTATATTGCTGTTTTTTCACATGTGTGGTACTATATAATATTTATTAGTCCACATCTCACTAAGATATAATATTTTACTCTGCTCTCTTCAGTACTGCTTTATAATTCTTAAGTTTGTTTTTGACAAACAGCAAGGAATTTCATCGGAATGAAAAATATTTTTATTGCCTAAGTATACGTTCGCCCATGGTCGACACCGAAATTGAACGGAACTGGGAGGAATTTCCCATTCTATTACTCTACATTTTATTGAAATAGTTTATAATTTAATTTCTCCTAGTTTCGTGTGCATAGAATATTGATTATTTGAACTTAAATAATATTATTGTTATTATTGTCATTATTATTCATACCTCGTACACTTTGTATATCAGGATGTTTAATTAACGAGGGAAAATGAAATTTGCGATACTTAATTACGATTCAGCAGCGACGATGCAATAAATAATTCAATTAAATAAATAAATTCAATACAAACGAAGTTGTTTGCTTCTAAAACATTTTTTCTCAAAATCTGATTACCTTTTTGATAGACGGTGTAAGGAAACCTTATAAATCAGTATGAAAATGGTTTACTTTTCCTCACTCAATCAATTTTGCTGATCATTGCGAAACAACATTTACTTCTCCGTAATAAAAGTGCTCTATTAATATTATAATTAATACTATTATTCATATCTTGTACACCTTGTATATCCGGATGTTTAATTATCGAGCGAAAATGAAATTTGCAATACCTAATTACGATTCAGCAGCGATGATCCAATTTAACCAAATTGCCACGGCAACCTCCCGACGAACATTAAACCCGAACTTTATATCAGCAAATATACGTGACACATTTCACTCTGACCGGGTAATAATCGGGGCAAGGCATGTCAAGTTCCAGGAAATGCATTCTGCCGTTTACGCGACTACGATGATGGGCCAACAACGAAAATTAACATTCCTCTTTGTGACGGAATTGGAAAAATTATAAGCTCGCCCATTCGATGCACGAATTCGTCCGAGTATTAGAAAAACCTATTATCGATGACTGCAAACCTTCATAATTCGATTTCGCGCTAACCGACGTTGTGAAAATTCGCCTTGGCTTGTTAGAGAACTTATTATTTTTTTCCGTGGAACGGACGTTATTATATTGAAGACGCCTACCGAATTCATTTCAACAGTCCCAGGTTAACCAATTATATTTCGAATTACATTTAACCCCATCTTTCAACGAGACTAAATATAGAAACGCCATTGTACCGACGTATCTTTTTCTTCGAAATCTGCGAATTTCAAAAAGCCGCTGAAGGGTGTCGCCATTTCGCGGAAATTTTAATTCGGTTTTGTTGATAATGCAAAAATTTAATCCCGAAAATCCGTTTACGGTACAATTGAACTACATGCCTGGCATATAGAGTTCTCCGAACAATATACCGTTAACTTTGGTAAATTTTTATGAAGGTCTAACTACAGGAATACCTCGCTTGGGTTTCTCTTTGAAACACTCAATAAACACATTCGTAATTCTACATTGAGGTTCCAGATCCGTACTTTGGTACTTCGTGCATACAAAAACTTGTCTCTTATTGATGGTTTCGTGTAAAGTTTTAATTGTTAAAACAATATTCTTCTGATACGCAACATATATCAACCGTCTCACTTTTCCAGTATGGTGCATGTCAAATAGACTTTCTGAGCTTATCTTTCTTGGACACCATTCACAACTATATGACGTACTGTGGTATATGGTGTTTTAGTCATCTCGGGCGTTAATTTTATGGCTCCACTTGTCGATGTCGATTTCAGAAACATTTGGCAGCGACCGACAAATGTGTCCGAGTCGATTTGAATTTGACGGATGTTCACCATCAACGATTATTACGTCATCGACCACAATCTCAACTTTTTCGTCGTTGGACATAGCAAATAACTAACAGAATCGAATAATATTAGTATTTTTTTAACATAGATCAACAATAGGAAAATTCAACTTGAAATCGAGCTACCTCAAGTAGGAACTGTTTTAGGAAGATTTATAAAAAGCACACTAATATAACAGGTGAATCAAAGAAAATTTCCCTAGTCTTAAAATACAAAAGTCGGCACGCCACAATTCTTGTCGGCTAATATCTTAAATACGGCCCTGCCTTATGGTGCACGTGCTGAAAAAATGGCCAGTTCCGCTTTACAACAGGCAGGTATTAAATTCATTCTGATGTAAAAAACCATAAAAGGTTGTAAAAACGGTATATCGTTTGGAGAACTCTATCTATTTTCCATATATATATGATGATGATACTATATTCCGGGATATCATCCGTTCGCTCGTCGAACTCCGACTGGAATCCTGCAGATGTTTCGCCAAGATCTCACTTGACATGCTCGCGCTGTCATATATATATATATATATATATATATATATATATATATATATATATATATATATATATATATATATATATATATATATATAATACGTGAATATATATATATATATATATATATATATATATATATATATATATATATATATATAATACGTGAATATATATATATATATATATATATATATATATATATATATATATATATATATATATATATATATATATATATATATATATATATATATATATATATATATATATATATATATATATATATATATATATATATATATATACATCTTCTATAGCAAGTATAGAAGGAAGTATACGTCAAGCATAGGGATTAGTTCAACGACCTGCCTGGCCAGAGCGACGCAATATTGTTTGTTGCAAATATACATTATTATTATTATATTTTACCAAAAATACATTTATCTCTAATGAGAATTGATATTGCGTCGCTCTGGCCAGGCAGGTCGTTGAACTAATCCCTATGCTTGTATATTTGCAGAAAACAAAATAAATTGTTATATCTCAATTACACGATTCCAAATCATATTCGCAAAATGGAACTGGCAAATTAAATTCGATCAAAGTTCAGCCCTGAAACCATGAATATATATTATTGCAAATTACATGAAATAATTTTTTGATGAAACAACAGAAGTAGCACTCAAAACGAGTAACATAAAATCGGAGATTATTGGTAAAGGGAATGAAACATTTTTATACTGTATATAAGTTATATAAAAAATATCTCTCAAAATTTGAGCTTATTGCAAAGGAGGTGAGACATAACCATGAACCCTTAAGTTCAGATGATGAACATCAGTTTTTCATTTAACATTACTTGCTATGTTGGAGAGCATTGGGTATCTATGAAACTTTGAAAAATATATGAAAATATAGAATATAGGCAAGATTATTGTAACCTCTGAATCCTGTCTTTATCCATTTTACCAAAGCACGGGCCGTACCCACCATGACAAAAATTTTAAATTCGTATGCATTTGTTGATGGGTGGGTTAAGCCGAAGATATATATCAAAGCGCAACGCTAAATGCATGTTTTATACCACTAAAACATTATAAAACATATATTTTGAAGACGTGGATGGTAGCGATTTTTACTAGGTCAACCTCTGTAATTAATTTTTAGGTTGTTTCAATGTAACCTTGGCAAAGAAGAAGCGCGGAAGGGTACATGTGCGAAAAATGAAGGCGTCGTTAAGGTAAGAGCATTTAAAACGCCCTTCCTAGCAGACAGACGCTAAAGAATAAGGGTTAATTTGCGTTGCTAATGACGATGCGCTCGAGCACTCGGCAATGAATAAGATTTTACGCTCCCTTTTAGGAATGTTGCGATGCCTGCTCGCTCGGCATCGAAACCAAAAACGGCAAAGACCCTTGCGTGGACACTATCGGTCTGGGTTCACCTTACGGTGAAGCTTTCGTTAGTTGCTGCGAAGACGGCGAAATTGCATTTGGAATTACCACACCTACTACCACCCCTAAGATCCAAATTCTACCGACTTCCGATTTTGATAGCTTACCGAATTTACCGGGTCTATCCGAAGAGAACGTATGCGAGACTGACGAATATTGTGCCCAATTATGTGAACCAGTCGGAAGCACGTTCAAATGCGGTTGCTTCGATGGATACGAACTCATGAAAGACGGCGTGTCGTGTAAACCGGTTAAAAGAGCGAAAGGAAGTAGGCAAGTAGTTGAAAAAACCGGCGCAGTCGGTAGGATTCGACTAATTTTAACTTTCAGGTGTGAAAAAAACAATCCCTGCGATCACGACTGTATCGATACCGGCACATCTATCGAGTGCTCTTGTAGACCAGGCTACGAGCTGGCACAGGACAATCGAAGCTGTAAAGGTGCGTAGTTTAATTTTTGCTTTTCCTCGTTCAGATTAACTAACTAAAACGAAATAGTTTATCTGTATAGGAGGTGTTGTTTTAGTGTAACATTTTTATTATTTACATAATTCGCTGAAATTGTGTATGTGAAAAGATTAAAAAAAGATGCCCTGCCCTAAAACTTATTTAGTTTAATATAACCTTCACTTTGCATAATATTTTCTCTCTGTTATGAATTTTTGAGATATTTTTATTCTAATGAAATGAAGAAGAAGCACAAAAATTCACCTTAACGTTATTATTTTTAATTAATTATTTTAAGACAAAAGATAAATGTATATTCTACGTTTTTTTTTTTTAACAATATCAGAGGTATGTTTATGGGTCGAGCTTTCATAGAAATTCTACCTACAAAAAGGGGAAATAAGGTTCTTGGCCGATATTTTAAACCTTTGCTCTTTTTTATTTAAGAATCTTTTGTTATTGTCAGTTACTGTCAATTATTCATTAATTGTGAATTTTAACTTTTAATATAGTTAAGCTTTTGCTTAATGAAAAAAAAAGAATTAAGCTATTCAATTAAATTAAAAAAAACGCAAATTTGAGAACAATTCTGAGATATTACATACGTACAAAATGGACTTATTAGAAGTGATGGGGAAACAGACATTTGCAATAAAAATTTAACTTAAAGCCATGTATTATACAAACGGAGCGTAAAAATGAAAAATAGAATAATAAAAGTCCCCACGAATCTGTTACAAATTCTGTCCTAAATATCTTTTTCAGTTTTACAGTTCACAATTTTAATATTACCCGTTTCGAGTGTCAACGAGTTTAGTTTATCAATTAAAGTTCACATTTACGAGTTTTACGTTTATCTTGGCAATAATAGCGATTTAAGGTTATCGGTTTTATTTATATGCGATTTGATGAAGTGCGTTTTTAAAACCCATTCGCCGATTTTAATTGGAAATTCTAACCATAACGGGGTCGAGCGGTGTTATTTTCCATATTGTTTGTTATTTACGTGTATAATCTGTTATCAATGGCAGAATTGTTAGCAAAAAGGGGTGCCCGCTCTTTTTTTTTTTGTAATCCGCATTTAATTAATAATTTAATGAGCATCGTCGGGCGAGTGGTGTGGACAGGGCGAACAATCCTGGAAACGGGAGAACAAAATATTTGTAAAGCCCCAATCGGGGATTTGTTATTAATTTATTGTTCCGGTGCGATAAACAATGTTCGCGTTTATCCTGTTTGCGAATGCTTTAAAAATTGATAGAGTCGGACTAATAACGAACATTGAACCCTTACGCCGCGTACTAATCGCGTAAAACAGTTTTTAATGTTTTAAATTTTAAAAGGGTAATCTACGATAACCAAAACTGCAAAGAACATTTTTCGTTTTAACGATGCAAGTCAATATAATAATAAAAATAATAAAACAGTTTGTTAACACATTAGAAAAAAAACAATCAATAAATCAAACAAAACAAATAGCCGTGACTCCAGCTTCAGACAGGTGCTGTTGCAGTAAAAACAAATTGGAACAATAATAGTTCAACAATAATTGTAGATAGTGAGACAATACCGAGTATCACCGCTATTTTTATATATAGAAAATTCGGTTTTCGCGACAGTGTACTACTTTTTTTCAGAATTTTAAGATACAGAGCTAAATTCAAAATCCTGCATTTTCAGGTACCATTCTCAACTATCAGATAACTGACCGAAAATGTGAAAACTGTATCTTACAGAACTGACCCCATACAATTCAACCGTAATATTTGTCTCTTTTTACCTTTTCAAAAATGCGCTTTTTCTCAGAAACATGCAAATAAATGACAATTTTTCAAAATAAATGCTTATTTTAATAGAAGGTCATGACAAACAACAATAAACAATTGAAAGTCAGATATTGCTAACAAAGCCTTAAGTCTATTGGCTCAGTGGTGTTAACGAATTGATACGAAGTGGACTGTATATTTTTAACTATTTATATTAAAATTAAACACAAATTTTAGACCTCGGTCACTGTGTCTGGGTAAATTAATATCCAAACAAAATAGCAATGCTATTCGACACTTGAAAGTATCTAGTGTCAAAAACATATATAAAAAAACAGATTTTCATGCAAAGTTCCTTTTGTCATGATCAATAAAATGTCTCTCATTGGAAAAAAAGGTCATACATCACACAATTCATTTATAGAGCGTCTAAATACACCTGCACAAGTTTTCCCATCAACGACTCGTCTGATACCATCACTATCGGGATACAGCTTGGTAAATCTACCCAATTGCCATAGCAATGCAGGTACATTTTCTTTTATGAATCAATACAAAAGTGCCAATCTGTAGTACGTCGTTGAAGTTTTGCTTCCACTGGGTTGGGACTTGAAGTTCTGAGAGATAGTCTTTTTTCCACCGTTACCAAAATCTCTGCACAATACCTTGCATACGTTGAAACTTATCCATTCGATTGTCAGCAAGGTGAAAAACATCTGACTTTCTAATTAAAAAATGGTTCACGTGTGAGTGCGTTTAAATCGTTAGGATGGTGGGATGTTTAAATCAGCATTTCCAGGAATTCGTTTCAAATGGAATTTCGTACTTTTAATGCCCACCTCTCAGATACCTCTAAAAATTCGCGTTCGCAATCTTGTCGTGATTCTTAATCAAAAATTTTGACATTTCTTTCAGTTCGCGATTGGCACCAATAAAGTATCAGCAGTAATCAACTCCCACGTTCATGAAAACTGATTTCATTTATTCTTACGTTAAACAAATCACCTATCAAATAATCAGAATGTCACATATTAACCTTACAGCAAAATAACATAGTTTCTAATTACCTTTTGGAAAGCATTTCTAGCCGTTATGCACAATGCAAAATTCGTTTATGTTCTTCTCGCAAAATAAGCGCAGTTAATATGTGAGAAGCTGGGAAAATGATTTGGTGTTTTTTGTGACTATGGTGCTCTTGAAGCAACGCTGAGGGTATTGTGCCATTCCGTTCTATTCTGGGCCATGATTACGGTTTCATGAAGGCCATGGCCAATAAGATCCTTGGTTTGGTCTATCCATCTTTTGGGTGACCTTCCTCGCGGGCGTCTTCCTTCTACCTTTCCTTATATATAACAATATATATTAGCAAGCTTCGATTTATCGTTTTTGACAAATTTAGTTGAGTATTTAGTTCTTGAAGAACGAACTCATTCGTACGGTGGGCCCTCCAGGGTATCCGCAACAGCCCATTTTAAAGATCTATCCGCCTTGCATTACTCATCTTGATCGTCCAAGTTTCAGCTCCATAAGTGGCAATCGGGAACACAAGTGAATTCAACAATCTTAGTTTGCTGTTTTTAGTGAGTTCTTTGAGTATTCGCCACAGTTTTGTCCATTTTACCAAGTCAAAGGCCTTGGAGTAGTCGACAAAACAGTTATGTTATGTTAAATTCTCCGGCTTTCTATTATTAATGATTTGTAGGAGAATTTTACATGCATGGGTATTAATGCAATCATTCGGTAGTTATTTCAGTCTGCTGGATTACCCTTTTTATGCAGTGGCATATAAAGTGAGCCGCACCATTCCTCTGGCCAAGCTCCTCTCTTCCATGCTCGATTACATATAAAACGTAAAACATCAACTGCTGGCTGTCCTATTGACTTTAATATCTTTGAAGCTATGCCATTTATGCCTGGAACTTTAATGTTTTCGAGGCTCTTCCCGGCTTCATATTCAGTAAGTGTAGAATGGTTTACGATATTAAAGGGTTCATCTTCGTTGTAAAGTTTATTGCAGTATTTCCGCCAGACCTCAGCAATGCCATCCGGATCGGTAATCATTCTACCATTCTCGTCCAGTATAATATGTGTTCCTGTATAATATTTCCAGCAAACTGACAGTGTTACCAGATAACCAAGGTTTGGATTTTATCTCTGTGTTTCCAGGTGTACAGTTTTTTTTTGATATTTCATTTATCCAATCTCTAGTATCATTCAACATTTCTTGTGCATTATCTTTTTGTCTAAGCATTTCTACAGAGTTCAGTGCTGTCATTATTTTCTCAGTAGAGGGTATTGGGCACCTTGTCGTCTTGTTTAATTTCACTGCCCCTAGTTTGCGATGAAAGCTTGCCACTAAGAGTTTATGATCTGATCCACATTCCATGCCAGGTCTTGTTTTCACATTGGTGATAGAGGACCGCCATCTGCAGCTTATTAAGATGTAATCAATCAATTGAAGTTGAGAGTCGTCTAGGGTGGTATTTAAACATGGTGTTTGTGATAGTGAGATTGTTGTCTATTGCAAATTGAATGAGTCTCTCTCCTCGGGCATTTCTGTCTCCAAGCCCATACCTACACAAGATATTCTGTAAGATGCTGTTGTCTTGGTCTTTCCAACCTTTGCATTGAAATTACCAAGGATGATTAAGGGTTCTTTTTTTGGTATGGCTGAAACTAAATGCTCTATTTCCTGATAAATATCCTCTACTTGTTTGTCGTCTGCGTCAGTTGTTGGCATAGGATGAGATGAGATGGGTGTTATGGATGAGATGGATGAGATGGATGAGATGCATGTTAGTAGGCTTTGTACGGGCTTTAACATTCCGGTCGTTGATTGTTTGGTAGCTCTCCATGTATTTGGACATTCGTTTATTGATAGCTAGTCCATTTAGACTTACATTGTCTGAGAATGACACGAAAATCTGATGGTCATTAATTGTGAAATGTCCCTTATCTCTCCAGTGGGTTTCTGTCACACCACATATCTATTTCAGCCGCCATATTCAGCAATATTCAATTTGGATTTTTGGGGGAGCTTGATATTTTTTCCAGGAACTCTAGCTGCAGACAGAGCTTGGTCACCTACATCGCTCTGCTCGGTCACTAATTTCACTCAATCAAGCTTCAGTGGCTACTTGGATCGCATGGCACACGCATGCTATTACCTTTTAACATCATAAGTTTTCATAAGATATCCAGATGGGATCTTTAATGTGGTAGTCTTCCCGTGGCTTTCCACATCCGTATGCCGTTGATTACTTATTTGCAATTCATCCTCCTTTGAGGATGCCCTTACCGTTATCAGCTTCTCCACCCGTAACTGTTGACTGACAAGGGGGGATTACTTATACCGGTAATTATTCGGTCGACAGAGCCTCGTTGGTTGTCTAGCAGGGTGCACCACGTGCAGGCGAGGTTGTCAGTTGGGTCGACTTTCTCATTTTCATTGTCATTACCCCCTGTACGAAAGCGGATTTAAATTTAGGATTTTACTATTTTCATTTAAGGACCTTTTGTCTTAATATTCGTGTTTTTTTTTAAGCTTGAAGTTCTTAAAAAATCTGAAAATAGAAGCTAAAACTCTAATTATTTTAGTCAAGTTAGAAATTCGGTGTAATACAGTTTGGATCAAAATTAAACTTTCAATCAATCACAATATGCGATGCAATTATTTTTTGTTCTGGTATTTTTGAGTCAATTTCAGTTGTTGGAATATTCCGTTGGGAATTATTTTGCTTAAACCAATCAGGTCCGTACCACCGAATCCGAATGTTGAATGATTTTCGAACTAGCGGTCGGGGATAACAAGTCCGAGGGATTTTCATGCGTACTAACATGGTACCATTCGTATATTTTGGTTAGAGATTGAATTTCACTAACTCTATGGGCTTCGATTAATAAGTATAAATGGCGTTATTTTCATTGCAATAATAACAACTGATTATTGTGACCGATACTGCTGATCCATGCTAGTGTAGCTTCCACTGCTAGTCGATTTTGATTTTTCGTATCGAATTCATGTCTTTCATGCTTGGCAAGTCTTTTTTTTTCTCGTCCATCTGAATTTTCTGAGAAAAAGTTAATACTACTATATATTTTCGAAAAGGTTAAGAAATATAAAAGTTAAAGGCTATAAATAAACAGGGTGTTCAGTTAAAAAAATAGAGTCCGATAATTTTTTCACCTGGCCCTGTATACTAATTCCGAAGGAGGAATTGAGTTCAACGAGAAAAGCTATATAAGAGACAATTTTCACATTTTCGATAAGTTGTCTGCTACGAGGGGTGTCCGAAAATTCAATCTTTTCAATTTAGTTGAGTATTTTAAGACTTATGGAAATTTTGCTACCGGCATCTATATATCTACAAAAATAACGGATATATCACGCAAAAGTACCCAAAATGAGACACCCCGTCCATAACTGAACAATATGAGTAAGATGAGGACTAAAAGAAAAAATAATATAAGTAAGGGAAATAAAATATTGTTGATTAATGATCGAATATTTGTGTTCCTATATTGCTCATGCCTAACATATACTTCCATGTATATACATGGAGGTACAGTATATTATAGGAGATATAGATATAGAGGTATAATGGATATGGAATATATGGAAATAACTGGGCTGGCGTACAGAGTAGTTCAAATGTACCAACCTGCCTGCCACTGCCACTATTGATATTACTGTCCTTCAATTTACTTTTACATGTGTCGCATGTGTATGAAAATATAGAATTTTGCATTGTGTGTCAGTTTAATATCCGCACATTTTATTTAAAAGATAGACTACGCAAATAATCAACGGTTGGTTGGTTTGTTTGGTGACCCCCGTGATAAATTGCATTTCCATTTTCGTGATATCTTCTGAAGAAATTTAACGAACGGCAACACCGAGGAATCGCGAAGCACAATACAAAATCAACTTTCAAAGCACTGGGAAAAAAAGTGCCAAGGTCAAATTTACAATTCGTCAAGCCGAAACAATTCGCGCCACTCCGCAGCATACCGCGAATAGGGTGGAAACCATTCAAATCCGATCCTATTTAATTCATTACTTTATGTTTTATTTAGCACTGGTTCCCGACAGTTTTCGAGGAATACCCTCCGAGCCCGAGACCGTTATACAATTCCGGGTTCGAACTTTCCGAAATTTTAACCCTTATTGTTCGTTAACCAGCCTCCGACCGAGTTCGCATTTTGACGTCTGACGCGTCCTGTGCGTTTTGATTTTCGTTTTTCAGATATCGACGAATGCGCTTTGGGCATCCACGCCTGCAAACCGGACGAAGAATGCGGCAACGAAGAGGGGACGCATTTTTGCTACGTAAACGAACTTTTGAAGGAAGACGTATCGTTCCAGGGCAAATGTCCCACAGGGCTGAGATTTAACGCCGACAAATCTGTTTGCGACGGTATTTACCGCGAGATCCGAGTTACTACGAACATTACGTTACTTTTTTTACATCAAATAAATATCACTTCGCTTCACTTTCGTCCGTTTAATGTCAAACAAAAACTCATTCTTAATCGAGATTGCCCTGGCTTAGAAAGGTCAACTGATACGTATTAGTGTCCAACTCACATTGAACGCTTTAAAATAAATAGATACAACGGAAATACAAAAGGTGAATAGGTTTTAATAGCTAAGCGGTTATATATCTGATATTGTTTTGATTACTATGGAAAAAAGCCTATATCAATTAAAAACCAAGAGTCCACGACACCCATTTGCAAAAATTATTTTCCTGATAACTGAGAAATAAAATATATAGTTATTAATCAATTAATAATGACGATAGCAAAATTTTCGTTTTGAGCCCAATCCATGGTAGCTTTTGAATTTTCAAATTACACACCATATGTTTTTGCATTTTTTAATTCGGGAGATTATTCTTCACAGTATCAGACAATTTTTCCTAATAATTCTTGTATTTTTTTAATTTATTTAATTTTCAAAATTGTATCTATTGTTACTACTATTTATAATAATATTTATTTTATAATGTTTTTCCAAAATTTGAAAGCAAAATTATGAAAAACCGGTAAAAAATTACTTTGCAGGAAGGACATATCTATCAACTTTTTTACTATAACGAAGCGCTTTCAACAGTTTAAAATGTGACTTGCTAAAAGTCTCTCAAAACGTTAATCATTTCGCCTTGAAAATTGATCATAGAAGCCAAGACTCGAGTGATAGGGAACGATTTGTTTTCCCACTACACGAGCTTGTCGAGAGTTACATTCTACATTGCCCACATATCAAAAGCATATTAAATGGTCCTCCACTTGTGAATTGATTGTTTTTTATGATCACCTAAATAAGCAACAAGACAAAATCAGTAAGTAATAGTAAGAAAGTACAAATTGGTTTTAAAATATTGCAAAACATTGTATTATATTATACTATTTGCCATTCAGACAAGTGAGCAAAAGTTTCACTTAGAATTTTTCGTAAACAGTGCATAATGCGGTCATGCTTAGTAATGGAATGCTTAGGTATAATTTTCAAAATTGGTGAAAATGGGCCTATCTTACGTACACTAACCTAGTGACTCCAAGTGCAAGAAATATAGGATGTGTCGTTTAAAATTCCGAAAGTGAAATGAAATGAAATGAAAGTGAATCCATTGGGTTCACAGTGACGAAAAACTGCACGTTTAACCTAGATCGCCTTTGTATCACCCAGTGTAAATGATTCAATAGTCCTAATTATATTTCAGCAACTGATAATAATCATTTTATCATCATTAATGAAGAGAAATTGTTGAAAATCTACTTAAGAACAAATAAACGACTTGAAAGCTTTATACTTGGTTCTGTTTGGCAAAAACGTGTATTTTTATACTTATGAAATAAAAATCAAAAGACAGAAATAAACTTATGCACGTGTTCGCAGTAACTTGAAATGAGATCGCGCCTACAGTGTATCGAAATTCCTATCAATTTCGAGATGTGTAACATTCAATTGTCGGTTTATATTTTTCAGACGTTGACGAATGCGAAATCGAACTGATATGCCCCCCGCCGAAAGTTTGTAGGAATTCGGTAGGATCGTTTGCCTGCGAAGGTCCCGACTGTCCTTCGGGATTTTACTTCAAAGCGTCTATTGAATCGTGCGCAGGTAAATACGATTAACATTTTTTTATACAGGTATGCTGTATTTTGGGTGGACCATTGAGTTCAAACATCAACGATGCCAAACATCCGCGTATGATTTAAACTATGCTCTTAATGAGGGAGAGTTATAAATCATAATTGAATGGGGGGGTCTTCCATAGGCGTAAAGTCTGTTCAGAGATATAAGAAAGTGACTAACTGATACGAATTAAGGAAAGACCCGGGCAAGCTGTAAGAATGAAATATGGCCGAACAGGTCCGTACTTTGCTTAGAATTTAATTATTTGAGGCTTTGTTAAGAAAGATACTAAACAATATTCATTTATTTATGTATGTATTTATGTTTAAATCTAAAATGAAATTACAAATTATTTTTATTACCTACTTAAATTACTTAAAATTCTTCACATAATATATCAGTGTCACTATCGCTATCATCGCCTGTTCTAATTATGATTTGTTCTATATTATTTGCAATATGGATATACGATTGTTCTGATTTTTCTATATATTTAACAGAATTTTCCCAATTTTGTGGAGGGATGTTAAAAACTTCGGTTTCTATAAGTTTGAGGACATTGGAGTTAACACGGGGAAAAACATTGTTACGACGAATGGCAGATTTCAGTTGGTGCCAAACATGTTCAATGGGATTAAATATACAGTAGTAAGGTGGAAGAATTAAAACTGTATGCCCTCTATTTTTTGCACAATTATCACAGAGGTATTCCTTTGTAGGTTCAAGCTTTGTAGAACCTCAATTAATTGCATTTTGGTATAATCTTCGTGAAAATAAATGTCGTTATTATACATGTAGTTTTGGATTGTTGCTTTTGTGTCACATGAGGAAGGGATTTTAGTCAAGTGTCTACTGTGAAAACTTGCATTGTCCATTACAATGACGTTATTAGGAGGAATGTTTGGAACTAGTTTATTTTAAACCAACTTTCAAATAAATCAGCGGTGGTGTCTTCATGGTAATCCAGAGAAGAATCTTTAATATTTTTCGCAGACAGAGAAAGTGCATTTGGAATCCAACCATCTTTAGAGCCAGCATGCAAAATAGTTATTCTTTTACCCCTTTTTGATGGCGCGTTTTTTTTACACTTATCAGTAGAGTCAACCCAAACCTTTTCCGGGGTATCATAAGTGTCGAACCAGGTTTCATCCAAGTAAATAATTGGCCTTTGGTGTTCTCTGTAATTTTTTCTAGATATTCCAGTCGCCATTTTTGAATTCTAAAATATTCCATTAAAACTTGCCTTTTGTCAATTTTTTTAAATCTAAAACCCATGTGTTGCAGCAGCATTACTTCTTTTTTTCCTCGCTCTAAAGATGCTTGCTTGCTGGCACCACGTTCAATGAGAGTCAAATAAACATTGTTTATAACTTCCTTAGTCTCAATAGAATAGTGTTTTCTACATTTGAAACGGAAGAAGAAATGTGGGAAGCTGATAACATGCTAGAGAATACTGCAGAGCCCCTTATTATTTCTCTTGACTCCAACGATGATGGAGAATATGATGATCAAAAATTTACAAATGAAGTTGTATTTAAAAAAAAAATAATATAACTTACTTTCAATATTAATTAATATTTCATTATCAGCGAATCTCCATTCAACTTGAGTGGGTCTTAAAAACGAAAATATGTAATTTTGAAAAAGTCATCATTACAATTTATCTGAATTTTACGTTATAACGATTAGTGATCGCTGTTGTGAAAGTTTCCATTTTATAACTCTCTCGCATTAAGGCACAGAGCATAACTGTCTGCACTTTAGAACTCAGATTCAAAGCGTCGTACTCACTTCGTTATAGATATAGATGAGTGTATTACGGGGGACAACGATTGCAATAAAGATTCGCAGATCTGTTTGAACACAAAAGGCAACTATACGTGCGTGGACAAGGCGTCGAGGAAAGCGTGTCCACCGGGATTCAAGAAAAATGATACTACTTACGTTTGCGAAGGTAACGAATGGACACCAAAATAATAGCTATTACGAATGAAAACTTAACCCGAAAAAAAACTACCGTTTTATATAGATATTGACGAGTGCCAAGAGGATATCGAACTTTGTCAAGACCACGAGATTTGCGTTAATGAGGATGGCGGTTACAAATGCGTCAAAGTTGGACCACCCGGCAACAAATTCGGCAACGTTAACCAGTACACCACGCCCAACGTTAACCCTTATAGTCCACTCTCTTGTCCGCCAGGATATAAATTTAATTTTACGCAAAACACGTGCGACGGTGAGAAAGTTCCGCACTACGATGGAAAGTGACGATTAAAATATTTTGTAGATATAAATGAATGTCAACTCAGACTGGACACTTGCTCGGTTATGCACAGATGTGACAATACCATTGGATCCTTTTATTGTACCAGAACGGTATCATGTGGAACGGGTAAGAATCCATAGCGCGCACCTGAAAAAATAATGCATTGCCTGCTCGTTAGGAAACAAATCCTTTACCTATTTTAAAAGGATGCTAAAACAGATAGACGAAAACTAATGTCGGTGTCGTTTCAGAGTCTTAGGTTTTTTTGCAAAGCACTTACCTTTCCAAAAATACAGCATATTTGATGCTTTGTTTCAGCCGCCTCCGCCGCAAGTTTTGAAGTTTGAACAAGCAGGCTTTGGATGACGTCACAAATTTCCATGCACTTTTATGATACTCATCTAACGCTGAGTTCTTGCCAGTCCTGATTTTGGTTAGTTTCTTACTTTCGTGTTGACGTTATACGATTATTTTTAACGGCTCCTAGAATCACTACGTCTTGAAACTCAGAGAGAGTTAATTGATGTATCGTTTTCTGAACGCTTGTTCTCAAACTCAGTGATATTAATTGTGTTGTGTAGCAAGATGTCTTTAAGTGATTGTTTTCCTTCGGAATATTGGCAGTAGTGCAAATTGCCTGCTGTCTCTGCATTCTTCTCGACTTTCATAAAACCCAAATTACTACAAACTAACCAAATTCATATTCTATTTATAAAACTTCTGGATTCCTCCTGCGTCCGTTTTTGTCGTCTTGGCTTCTTCAGAGCTTGACTGAAACTGGCTCGCATTTTATTCTGTACCTGCCATTATATTGTTTGAGGGGGGCGGAGCTAAATGAGGGACATAAACACCGTCTCGGATGACTGATTTCCATATTGGTGACAGGTAGAGACCTGAGTCGCGGTTAAGATTGTTAGGTTGCTTATAGATTTCTATAGACTCTCGGATTTTTTGTCAGTAGAAGAATTGATTACATGTAAGAATTTTAATTTTATTGAATAAAATTTTATGTCCGGTTTCGTGAGTGTGATGAGTTTATTTATCTGAGTCTTAAGGCTCTTTCATGTTCTTTGAGCCTGTTTGATATTTTTCGTCCCGTCTCTCCAATGTATTCTTTGCCGCATACGCATGGAATGCTGTAAACTCCTGGCGTCTCAAATGGAATTTTGTCTTTGACGGATCGAAGATGTCGAGAGATTTTTGGACAAGCGGTAAATTTGCTTGTGATTTTTTGAATGTAAGGAAGGACGACAGTGGCAATTGTAAGATTGTAGAAGTATGGGATTGCTTTCGGCTTCATTGCTATTGGATGGTTGTGGTGGAGTGTATTTTGTGATGGAACGCTTAATATCTTTAATTATTAGAGAGAAGAGTAGAGGGAAGGTGTTTTAATTCTGGGTTTAGTGACTCGGGCTGAGATAGTTCTACGGACACAATGACCAATTGTTAGGTCTGATTTTCTATTGATAAGAATATCTAAGGATGGAAGGTTATTATTAGTTTCTAATTCAATAATGGAACGTATGTTAGGGTGTATAGAGTTTAAATGTCTACTAGACCAAGAGGCCAAATAGCGTTTCGATAATTTTGGTTTTAGATGCAAGGTGTCGAGAGCTTTGTTATCAAAGACGTCCATAAATATGTTCGCGATGACTGGTGACAGCGGGGAACCCATAGCTGTTCCCGAAGTTTGTTCCAAAAATTTGACCGTTATAAGGAAAATATGTTCCAATATGTTCTTTGAAAAATTAACCAAATTCATAATTTAGAACTTTATTATTGCCTATGATAATCCAAATAATAGTAAAAAAGAGCAAACTGCTTTGCTTGTTTGTCGATGCACCCAATCAAAGCCTCGTATGGAATATTTCATTTATTTCATAAAAATGGTTATAACGTAAACGCTATTTGCCATTACAAAAGTACGGAAAAGTTTTATTTAAAATTTTTCCAATCAGTTCGGTCCGGTTATTGCGAACGTAGGTACAATTTTAAAAATTAAGTAATAATTTTTAAAAATGTTTGGGATATCTCCAGCAAAATATGAATTTTTGAGGGGGTAATTGCTAGTTATTTTCAATAATTCAAAATTAGAGAGGTAATAAATATTAAATAAATATTAAATAAATATTAAAATATTCCATTTAGCTCATTAAATTCTGTATAAAAAGTTGCTTTGGAAATTTTCAATGACGAAAATAATATCAAGATATGCCATGACTCTGAAACGAGAGTAAATATTTAGGTGCCGTTTTTACGACATTAGTTTTCGTCTATTCCCTTCAGAACAGATAGTTGCGCTTTAAAAGTGTCCACTGACAACTGAATCTGTTCCAACTAATCAATGTATTTTTTTTTTATATTTGTAGTATTATGCGGAAATTTTTATTCTGCGCTAAGCGAATCCACATTAATAAGAAACCCTCTTAACAAAAATGACTTCAACAGATATTTCGATGATTTTAATTTCAACAATCTTCTAGGTTACACGTTGAATTCGGCAGACGACTTATGCGAAGACGACGACGAATGTGCGCTCGGCACCCATAATTGCCACGAACTGGGTCCAAATTATAGATGCAAAAACTTAATGGGATCTTATCGCTGCGAACAAGTTAGACCGTTGTTCCATCCGCCTGTAACACAATACACACCACCTACCCCACCAAGTACTACGACCAAAACGTCACCACCAACAACTTATTCCAGAACAAACGTAAACCACCCCTCCGTGACGCAACCGCAACCGGTAACTGAAATCATCCCTGGTCCGGTTAAAGCTTACACCACGGCATCTAGATCCAACTATCCGCAATATCCGAGATCGTACCACAATCCGAACCCATTTTGGCAGTACCAAACGACTCGACAAACTTACACAACAGTTGAAACTACTACCGAAACCACCCCTAGCCCGACTAAAGCACGCCCTACGGCACCGAAACCATATCCCACGCAATACGTTCCGTATTCTACGTCACCTCGGACTATCTCAAACCTTTACTTGCCCCGCTCAAACCCGACACCAAAGTACCCGATCATAAATGGAATTTTGAAAAAATGTCTTCCCGGATACGTCATGAACAACTATGGAGACTGCGAAGGTAAATTCAACAATAATTCCATGTTGCCGTTTTTCACTATAGTATGAAAAGGCAATTAATGTTTTTGGTTAAAATACTGAAAGACCAGGACAGGCGCCTGTTTCTATTTGGAACGCCCTGTATAATATGAAAAACGCATTCAGAGTTTTCAGAGATTAGAGTCAATTTCAAACAGATGTTGATTAATAGATATGCAAAGGACTACTGCAGACGTGCACCCTTTTGTGATTTCTCAAGAATGTAAATTTCTCAACTCCAGACGAAAGAAAAATTTACCAAAACTTCACCAAACAATAAACGTAAAAGCGTGTGAACTTATTATTTTTATGTTACCCTCAAATGAAAAGCATCACTCCACATTCAGTTCTGCTTATTGGGGCAGTCTACCAATAGCAGAAAGTATCTATAACTACGACTGAATCAAGATATTTTATCATTTTACGAAAATAGTCTTCAAAAACACCCGAATTCATGTCTCCATGGTAATCTCCCGTATGGCACGACTGAGAGATTTCTTTTAAAAGTCCCTCCTCACTTACCTACTTGTCTTGGCACATTTTTGGTACTCTATAACTTCATTAATTCACGTCGCCAGCAAACAATTTCATAGCTTTCAATAGGGATTAAAAATAATATTATCGCGCAAAGGTTACCTACGTTCAGGGCCTATGGTGGAGAAGAAATTTTCGAAAATATCGAAATAATGTCATAAAAATTGAAAAAAAAAACAATTTATGTAACACTCACATAATTTTTGGATTTTTTTCCAAATCCAAATACAAAATCTAATCTATCTTCATTTGGAGACTGCTTTAAAATGTATATGTATATTGACAATTAAAGTTACTTTTTTATATTGATATTGATTGAATCTGGTTTAGAACTTTTGATATGTCGGCAGTGATGTTTTGAATGTAAGGAAGGACGACAGTGGCAATTGTAGGATTGTTTTCGGCCTCAATACTATTGGAATGTTGTGGTGAAGTGTATTTTGTGACGGAACGTTTAATACCTTTAATGTGGAAATTATTAGAGAGAAGAGCAGAGTGAAGGTGTTTTAATTCTGGGTTCAGTGAGTCGGGCTGAGATAATTTTACAGCTCTGTAAACATGAGAGTTGATAATGTATGATTTTTGGGTCGGATGGTGTGACCATGCATTAAGATGTCGGTCTGTGTGCGTAGGTTTTCTATAACCACAATGACCCAATGTTATTATTAGCTTTCAACTCAATGATAAAACGTATGTTAGGGTGTATAGAGTTTAAATGTCTAAGACAATCTACTAGGTATTCCTGACCATGAGGCCAAATAACAAAAGTATCATCGACGTAGCGACGTTTAGATGGAAGATGTCGAGAGCTTTCTTCTCAAAGGCTTCCATAAATATATTCGCGATGACTGGTGATAGTGAATAGATACTTTAGTAAGGAGAGATTCTACGTCGAAACTAATTATTGAAGTGAAAGGAATTAAATAGGAAACTATCAGTTTTCCCTGTAAGGAAGCTAGATATTTTGCTAAAGAGAGAACCAATGGTGCTGACAATAGGTCGCAGGTCAGTTTCAGTCAAGCTCTGAGGAAGGAAACGTCAGCAAGTTCGACTCAGTAAAAACCGACGCAAGAGGAATCCAGAAGTTTTGTAAAAAGTATTACAGTAGCCTGTGGGAGTTTCTTTGAAAAATTAAGAAATATATTTGATTTTTTTCTCAAAACGCGGGACATGGGAGTGAGGGGCTACAAATTATGGACTTCAATTTCCGAGAATTAGCGTGCCCCCCACGAAAAACGGTCTGCCTACGCTTATGGTCGACACCAAAATTGAGAGGAAATGGACGGAAGTTCTTATTTTACTGCTTTACGCTTTTCTGAAAAAACTCTATACTTAGATCATTAAAGATTTTTTTTTTGGTACGCGACATCAACACGAATAATTCATGATTCAAAGTCATATTATACGTCAAAAAATAAATCCAAATAAATGCGGAGGGGTCATAACTGCTGCCTGTTAATTAATTTGCAGATATAAACGAATGCGAGAGCAACCCCTGTCCCAAGGGCCTAAAATGTTTGAATTTCAACGGAAGGTACGAATGTAGCTCACCCCTGCAATGCAAAATCGGATACGAGCTTAATGAAGCGGGAGACGAGTGTATTGGTAAGCGACGAACTTTCCAAACTTATTTAAATGAAAGTTTTACGGATCTTTAACATTATAAATGATCCGAAGGCGCAATGAATCAATCTATTTTTATACGTGTTGATCCGAGAAAGACCTAAAAGCTTTCGTAGAATTTTTAGAGCGGCAATTTTATTCCGCATCGCTGGACGATAATGTGAATTTGGGAAAACGAAAATTACAAAAAAAAAATCATTTACTTCTGAGCTTTCCGTGCCTTTAAATCCGTTAAAATATTATTTAAACTTTATCTCGATTTAGCATTATGGACTGAACTGAAAAATATAAGATAAATGTAGTTAAAAATTTCGAAATCAAACTAAGAATGTATCGACGTACCGCAGCTTTCTCGCGATGGTTTATAATTTATTTTAGATTTATTGACCAAGACAAATGATGAAAAATTTATGTAGTCAACTCCGCTACTCCCGGCGATATTGCCTTAGATCCATTTCCGCCTTTATCCTAGACAACTTTTATTATCGGCAATGAAAACATGTATCGAAAATCCCTAAAATATATCGGTAACCACATAAAGCTTTGCGGAAACACCTATACGAAAGTTGTAAAGAATTTTTAGATCTAGGCGCAAAAGAATAATTAAAGTATATAGTAAGTCTGCGAAATATAGTTTTATCTTTAACCCACTTCTTTGGTACTTTTACTCTACTGATAATAAAAACTGTTTACAATGCGGGATGGGATGAGCAGAAATTACCTCAGAAGTTACCGAATGAAACGCTGAATATTTCAAAATAAATTCAAGGAAAGGCAATTAACCAAGAAGATTGCCGACTTCCAACGAAATTTTAGCAGTAAGTTGTAAGTTGTGCTCGTCAAATTGGTCCTTTTGAAGTTGGAGTACGATGATTTTCGATTTACTGCTGTTACGTTGCGCCTGTTCAAATTTACATTTCATTTACAGACGTAAATGAATGCTCCAGGGGCAGCCACAAGTGCAACCGAAGTCAAATATGCAAGAACGGCCAAGGGTATTACACCTGCGAGTGTCCGCCGGGACATCACTTGAGTAGGTCGACTCAAATGTGCGAAGACATCGACGAATGCAAATTTTATAGGGTAAGTTCTGATTCCCGCACTTTCGACATCGTCAGGAAACAAAATACGTTCCCATAATTATTGTATTGTATTTGTAAATTCCGACTTTGCATTTCGCGGCTTGTTTTCTTTGAAGAAGTCATTGTTCTATCGTGCTACCGTATTGTATTGTAATGTGCATGCACCCTGTATAAGGCCATTCCGATGAGCTCCGGATCTCCTGCTCAAAACAACAACAACAACAAACTAATTTAAAAACCTTATTTAAAAATACCTCGCGAAGTTCGATTGTATTCAACTTCTACCCTGCCAAACCTGAAGGCGATAGATGCAAATTTGAGGCACTATATTTCTTAATATAGCACGGAATATCCCAAACAGTAAAATATGAAAAACTTACTAAACTTCTTGCTCTCTACACAGACTATCGTCATGTGGAGGAAATTGACAGCTGCAACATAATCTGCTAGTTATGGAAAATTTTCATCAAAAGCGGAAAGAATTTTTGTTTTTTTTTTTTTTGTAAATAATCTACGCACACTGTACATTTTCAAAAAATCATCGAGAATAAAAGTTTGTGCACCCAAATTTCCTTTCGAGAATTCGATTTCATCGATTTTTCGAAACTAATCAGTGTCAATTCAAAACCATGTCTTACAAAATGAAATTCGTGCAAAATAGTATAAAATATTTAAAATTGTTCAAAATTGGTCTAAAAAAACACGTCTGTTTAAATTGGGACAACATAAAATAAAGAGTTTTCAAAACATGGCCTTACAAGCCCACGAATGTTCAAAACAGTCTTACGAAATCATATCCAAGACGGTGGCTTACAAAATGAGATTCTCGCAATATGGTAACAAATATTTACAATTGACTATGAGTGGTGCCGTTCGCCTTTAGTAATGTTTTATGCGAGAGGGTCGAAAATTACTTTATTATTTACCGATAGTCCACAAAATTTCAATCCGGCAGTACGAACGTAGGCATTAAAAAAATATAAAACCTAAATTTTTAAAAACAATCGGTTTGCTTTCAAAATGCCAATTTTATTTAAGAAGAATTGTAGCTAACGAAAAAACCAATTTAACTCACATTTCCTGTAGGATTTAGAAAAAATATCTTTTGTCAAAAATTGTACCCCGGATTCTGAAACTATGCATTTAATCGTAAAAGAAAATGACGTCATTGCATCTAAATTGAGCGAACTGCCTGTGTAATACACGAAAAAGTAAATAAAAAAATTGGAGCTCTCCATGCTGCTTACTGTACTGTTTAAATCTAATCAGGAATTTTGATTTATGCCTATATAATTTATTCTGAAAAAGAACAGTTTTCAGAGTCTTAGATTTTTGTCCATAATCGAAATAGTATTTGAAATCAAAGTTGCAGTCCCGAAAATTCTGGAAAACTAAACAACAATAACGACCCGTAAAGTAGAAAATTTCTTCAGAGCTTGACTGAAACTAGCTCGCATTTTACTCTGTACCTGCTTATATATGACTGACGGATGACTGATTCCCATATTGCTGAGAGGTAAAGACCTGAGTCGCGGTTAAGATTGTTAGGTTGCTTATAGATTTCTATAGACTCTCGGATTTTTCCTTGGTAGAAGAATTGACTTTAGTTTTATCGAATAAAATTTCACTTCATTGAAGAATTAAAAGATACACAAGATATTCTAGTTAGTTAGAATTCCTCTTTACCTATTGCTGAAACTCCCAACATCATTTCAGATATATTAAAATCCGAGAATCTGGAACCAAATCTTCTCAACTTAACTGAAAAATGCTTGTCCGGAACATTTTTCTTATAAAGGTCAAATTTTTCAACAATCGTCGGGTTCTCCGCTATCACCAGTCGTCGCGAATATATCTATGGAAGCCTTGGGGAAGAAATCTCTCGATACCTTTCATCTAAGACAAAAATTATCGAAACGCTACGTCGATGATACTTTTGGTATTTGGCCTCATGGTCAAGAAACATTTTCTTAGATATTTAAACCCTATACACCCTAACATACGTTTTAAAATTGAGTTGAAAACTAATTGTGTTTACGGAAACCCTACGCACACCGACCGATAACTTAATGCATGTTCACATCACCATCCGGTCCAAAAATCATCGGTCTTGCTTACAGAGCCGCAAAACTATCTCAGCCCGAGTCATTGAACTCAAATTTTTGAAAAAACCGAATCTAAAATTTCCAGCAACGGCCGATTTACTTTTTTTATCAAAATCCCAGGATCTTCCCTAATATCGTACCTCGCTGCCCGTACTGGGTCACAGTGGGAGTGTAAATAGGTACGAAGTAGTATTGCCAAGATAGTAAAAAACTTCAAATATCGTCTTTTTTTAGTAACTTTAACACCCTGGAATTTACCATTTACAGTTTATGTGAACCTTCTCGTTGATCTCAGAGGACACCCTGTATATTTGTATAAAAAAAAATTTCAGCCTTGCGGTAATACGGCGGACTGTATCAATTCAATAGGATCGTACGAATGCCGTTGCAAATCTGGGTTCAGAAACAAAAACGGCTTGTGCGACGATATTAATGAATGCCTGGATTCTGTCGGTCTTTGCGAACACAACTGCGTCAATTTATGGGGTTCGTACCGATGCGCTTGCCGATTAGGATTCACGTTGAACTACGACAACCGGACCTGTAACGATATCGACGAATGTGACAAGTACAAAGATAGGAAGCTGTGTATAGGGACCTGCAAAAACATACCAGGGAGCTACAGCTGCGAATGCCCGCAAGGCTATCGATTGGGATCTGACAAACGTGTTTGCATTGGTAAAATTGAACGGCCCGGTTTTAAATTCAATTAAAATGGTTTATTTCCCAGATATAGACGAATGCCATGATAACGTGTGCGGACCAGAAGACGCTTGCGTCAACACGAATGGCGGATACGAATGCTTCCCCATCACGTGTCCCCCCAATTATGTCAAGGACAGGGATCACCGGGCGTGAGTTTTTTTTCTTTTTCGAATCCACAACATTTACAAGATGTTACAAAAAAGAAAAAGGATTGTGTTCTATGAAAAATTTGTAGTTAAAATTTGATGCGGGAAAATTTCGTTTTTTATTTTTGTTTTTGCTTGCTTTAATAACAAGTAGCATGTTCTACAGCTTACAAGGGAAAGTTCCAAATTTTAAAATTTCTAACCAAAATATTTCAAGTCCCATAATTGTTGTACCTTTCATAATTGAGATATTTACAATATAAAATTACTGAGAAGGGGAGAAATTTTTTTGCCACGTTGTGATGCAAAAGTTTTAATACCCTCCTTAAGTTTTTAACCATGCTTTGGAAGATGGAGCAAGATGGATTTCTGTTTGTGGATCAGCAATAAAATTCTAGATAACAAGGTGCACTTTCACAAACTGATAATGTTCTCAGACCAGACAACTTTAGTACAAACGGAATTGCGATTCATCGTCAATACTTAAAAAAGTAAATATTTGATGCGATGGAATTATAATGTACGTTCCTATTTATCCGACAAGTTATAAGAATTGCCTCTTTCGACAAAATATGTTTCTTTTAGTGCACCGCTCATTATGCGACAGATGTGAAAGAAATACGTCTGTGGTCCAATTTTATGGCCGCCTTGGAGCACCGATTTCATTATTTCTGATGTTTTTTTTGGGCGTCGTAAACAACTGACGTATCGAAGACCCATCGAAAATGACCAAGAGTTTTTAAATAGAGAATATTGGAAGCAGTAGCAGTTTTTTATTGCGATTTTCGTTAAATACAATCATTATTATCTAATACTGCATTGCCGATTTTGTGTAATCTCTATGAGTCGGTCATTTTGGATTATAAATATTCCTTGTTCTAAAGGCCAAATTTTTTTTATTTGACAAATGCTTCACAATTATGACAGGTGCAATCAAATAACATGTGATGCTGATCTAAAATGGAAATTGCGAAGTTTTGCTTAAAAAGTGACGTATTTGCTGTAAAAACGACCACTTTACTTAATACCAAAACAAGTGTCAAAAATGACGAATTTTCTTTTTAAAACCAGCAAAAAGTTTTATGCAGATTGACTATTTTCCGTATCTTTCACTTTTTGTCTAGCCTAGACCTATTGTCTCCTCCATCCGTGGACATACGTATGTTACTATTTTTCTTAATTTCTGTATATGTCGAAAACAATAACACAGATTTTTTTTGTTTTCATAGAAGAATTAAGCTGTCCTGTCCCGTATACTCGTAACCCTTTACTACCGTGTTATACCTTATTCCGCGTAGCAAATGTAGGGACTTGCTTCTAAAGCCCTCGGGGTTGAAAACGATCAATTCAGATCTGCTCGTGACTTCAACATTTAAGGGGCAAATACTGCTTCGGTTCATACGTATTGTTCAGCTAAACTTTAAAGTATTCAACGCAGTCGATAAGCAAATGACGTTCATTTCACTTTTTATTGCTTACTAAAGTACTCGCTATTCGGGAATACTTAGATGATGACACTTCAATTCAATTAGCATTATTAATTAAACGGTCGCTTTAACTGATTAAAATGCGAAGTTTGTATTTGCTCGGCATTAAGCAGTGGAGCGACAATTTTTGGATGATAACAAATTCTTTGTAATTAAACAGTCGACACAAATGTTATTTTAATATAGAATAAAGTTTCAAGCTTCGCCGAAAATTTTGCATAGTAATATCCCGAAGATGATAAAAAGTCTAGGAAAATATTCAATTGCAAGTTTCCCCGAAGTAAAACAATTAAAATGCTCGCGCAGCGGTACGATTGTCGGAATAACTTACCATAAATTTTAAGTTTGGTGGTGAGTAAAACCACAGAAATATATTCCACTTGTTCGTATTTGCGCCACATGGTCCTTTTTGGTATTACCCGTCGTAATTTATTTAATTCGTCGCAAAATATGGGGACATGAAATTACCAGAACGAAAATCACTATATTGATATTTGTTTGTTGTTAAAATAATTATTTTCAACTTCTACATTATATCTTCTTAATCTCATTTCGATTTAAGATGAAATAAATTGAAATTACAGGCGATGTAGGAAGCAACCATGTGACACTAGAGATTACCAATGCGAAAGGATGCCCGAGCAGTACACTTATCAATATTTAGCCCTGGTGTCGAATTTGCCCTTATCGGAAGGTGGCATTCGACTGTTTACCATAAAATCGGTGGATATGGCAGAAACAGCGGAGTTTTCAATTAGGCTAATGGAGGTGGAAGCACCTCCAAATATTCAAAAGGTCAATGAATCGTTTTTCAAAAAGGCAACCCCTAAATACAAATACAACACGATGGAATTGTACTTGGTAAGATCTATAGAAGGTCCACAAAAAGTAAAACTACAAGTTGAAATGAAACTATATCAAGGAAATATAGTTATAGGAAGTGTTGTTGTATATATGGTTATTGTTGTTTCAGAATATCCTTTTTAAATTAAATGAGGTAATAACTTTTTCATTCATTTTGAATTGTGTAAATTATTTTTTAGTTGTAGTTTTAATACACCGACTTTTATTATAGACATTATTTTCACAAATAAAAGCCGATATTAAACCTATTGTTTATTTGAATTCCTAAACCGTTAATGATTAAAATTGTCAAAAACCTAAGTTGCGCCATCTATGGAAGTACATACGTACCACGATTTTACGAACCTTAATAATAGAGGACGCAGACGTCTGTAAATTCAAGAGAGACATCTCTTACGCTGTGGAAATGGCGACATAATCCTAGGTTAGCCTACTGAACCATAGAGCGAGATGGCAAAACCGGGAACGTTAAACTCTGTAAGCTTGCCTATTCAGTGATCCACCAAATCATGATCAGTGGATGATCGACAACAATAACGAAATTCATATAATTTTGGCTCCATTTTGTGCTTGTGGCCATCGTTTCTAAGTAAGTAATATTGTAAATGAATATTTTCGTTTATCGTAACAAATTCACCTTCCACCATGAACTTTAATATAGCTCCTATGTTAGGGTTAATATTTAGCACTAAAAACTATTTCTTATTTCAGTTATGGGTGGATGTCGCTGTTCTTACAAAAATTGTAAAAACACAACGAAAACCACGGATAACATGCATTTCTTTCACTACCCGGTTAAACAGAAAGAAAGGTGCATAAAATGGATTGAAAATGCTTGCAAACCAAAATTTTTCGAACTAGAAGAAGAGCAGTTACGAAATAAAGTTGTGTGTGAAGTGCATTTTGAAAACAAATGGTTTCCAAACCTACAGAGAAAAAGGTTAATACAAGGTGCAATACCAACACTGGATGGAGATAGTGAAGATGATCATCCAGAAAATGCAGATGTGCCAGTGTTTATTGCTGCTCCAAACCCATATAGCTCCCAGTATAGTGATGTCCATGTATTGCCTGCAAATGATGATGGCACTGTATTTGTACTTGATACAGAAAATATGTACTCAAGGGTACAAAAAGTTGAATCTTATATAATTAAAAATGGAATATTAGTGCCATCAAATTCCAACCCAACCGTTAAGCCATCTATTCCCGTAGTCCCTAAATCAATATCAACTACTAAAGCATCAACAAGCAACACAGTGTCCAATATTTTCTATAGCAGTGCAGAAATGGAAGTAGAGCATCTACCACAATCAAAACCTACAAGTGATGTGTCACCCAAAGTTGATTCTCTCATTAAGCATGAAGTGGTAGAAACACCAGAAGCATCATATGGTCTAAGAAGTCAAAAGAAAGTGATTCTCAATATAGATGCTGGGGTTAATCAAGAAAAACAACAAAATTGTAATATAATCCCATTGCACAATGGGACTGAAAAAAGAAGAAATTCGTCTCATCATCGTTGCCTACCTCAAAAACCTGTGTTTGGAAGAAGCTACTTGCGCCAAATCAAGCAACACAGCCGAGACATAGCATATATTAAAAGAATGTTAAGAAGCAGGGCAAATGAACAAAAACCTGATTCTAACGTCATATTAAAAACCCTTGAAGGAAAAATTCCTCCCACATTGCACACCATGTTAAGCTTGGTGTTGGGAGAGAAAAACAATTTAACTGAAGATGATATTGAATTCTTCACAACACTTCATAGAGTCTCCCCTGATATGTATCAGTTATTAGCTGGTAAGTATAAATGGAACTTGCCAAGGGTGGATGTAGATGAAGCACCAGATGAGTAATTTTTTTTTTACTTTCGGATACAAAAAATCTTTTAATTAATCAATAAAAGCAAAAATATGGGTTGACTTAGGTGCAATTTGGAGTAGGTATATGTAATGTAAGGTATTTTAAGGAATAAACACATTTAATATTCTTATTCCCATAAACGCTAATACATCACCACCAATTGCACCTGAGTGGTCCCGTGTATGTTTGATTTATTATTATATTGTGATATGAGTAATACTTACTCTGAAAACTAACAAATTGTCTTATATATTTTATACTTTAAATGCATTTTATTGTACGCAAATTTCCTGTACCTACAATTTGATGAAACATGAACATAATAATACAATCATGTAGGAATTTTAAAATTTTGTAGCAAAAAGATTCTAAGGAACCTTCAATTTTTTTTAAATTAATGAGTTGTGAATATTAATGATGATAGTAAAATAACTAGATTGATCTGAATCTGTTTTATTTCAAATACCAACGATTTAAAGTATTTAGTCGAATTCAGCACCGATGGTAATGCTTACATCACCTAATAGAACTGACGTTTCATGATACCATCGGTTTGTGTCCAACACAACTAAAAAAAAATGTAATGAATAAAATACCCGTAAAAACTATGGTTACGTTACTTATTTCACCCGGTTCAACAAGTACTTCAAGTTCTTTACATCTATAGTAACATTCCGGAGGTGGAGCTAGTTTCCACATTTTTTTCCCACTAAGCTGAGCTTGCCAAGAAGGATAGTGGACGTTATCAACCTAGACAGCAATTTCTCGATTTACAAGAAAATGAATTCACTCCTCAAGACTACTTACATGCATGTGTGCCCCGCGTCCAGGCCCGCCCATAAAAATCCAACTTAGAGCAATATTTTCCGAAATATTTGACAAAAAGTACGGCTTTTCGTAGTGGCCCTTCAAAATATTGCCCGCATTATCATTGCAGTTACTCCAGCCTACGTACCAGGATTTTTCTCCTGGTTTTAGCTGAGCTCTTTCCGGTGTCATATCAAAAACTTCCCGCAGAGACTTAAATTCCGTTTTATAAGGGAAGAACTGGCAGTTTTTTCTCTCGCCTCTGTTGATGTCAACGGATTTAAATAATTTCTTAAAAAACTCAAAGTTGAACGTCTTTAATGCTGGCCACTTTAGAGCTCCGTCCGTTACGACGACTGGTTTTGCCGTTTTTACGTAGTTTTTGTTAAAATCTTCGGCGGATACGTTAGAGATTTTGTCGACTTGCGTCACATTTTCGCATATTTCACAAAACTCGGGCTCGCGGAAAATTTTCGAACCATCTTCAGGCATATCTATGATGCACTAAAATTTATTAATAAGTACGTACCTCATCTTTCCGGTACCGCTTACCGATCGACCACCACTAATAAACAATTTACTAAGAACCGAACACGCAATAACGCACGCGAGCAATACCCAAAAAAATCTGGAAACCAGTTGCAAGCCAGGAAATTTTAATTTTTCTACGACTTCAAAATTTTTGTAAAACACATCTGGAACGTCAGAGTTTTCCAGTCTGCGTAAAATCGCCTTCATCTTCTCTTCTGGCTTGCCCATTGTCGAATGAAAGAGAGATTTTCCCAACCCCAATCCCACACACTCTTATCAACAGTTAGCAGCTGCTTTACTCAATGAAGTGGCAAATTAATTATTAGTTCCACCTGGGGTGCATTTCCTTTAGCAGTGCGCAACGCTTGCGAAAAAAATAATAAAATATACTTTTTCATTTAATAAAGCAAATGACCAGTGTACTTGAAAAAGTTATAAATTTACACAAAAAGTATTAATATTTTAAGTTTACAAAGTAATACTATTTTATACATCTCATTAGATTATACTTACGATGTAAATGGCACTTGGTTTGGTATTGCAGAGCCAATAATTAATTATAAAATGAAATAAAATGTATATAAAAATAAGTTACCGCTTTTAATTAAAAAAAATTAACTCAGTAATTCATTTGTACAAACTCGAAATATGTCATTGTTTAACAGCCCCGATTCGTGTAATGTAACGTTAAAACCTTATTGCACCATAATCCAAAAAAAGGAATGTCGTAATTTTGAATTAAATGCTTTCTCTCTCACAGACTAGTAACAAATTCGTAAATTTGGAATGTTATAATATTATAACATAAATACCTAATATTTAGTATATAAAATATAATGAAAAATTAAAAATAAACAATAAATTATCAGCCAAAAGTTACTGTTGCCGAGAACTGTCCATGTTAGGTATATAATCTAGTGCCATCAAACATGCGAATACTGTCATTATCATTTTCGGTTTCACCTCCGTTATGTCTTCCGGTAGGGCATACACCCTTGCCCCTGCTTTACGTGACATCGATATCGCGTATTTTGCATTCGCCAAGTTATCCTAAAAATAACGAGGTTTCTTCAAAATGGGAAAATGATTTTGTAAAGGGAATTCTTCAATTCTACAACAAAAAAGCAAGAAGCCTGCAGACTTGCCTCTGTGAATTAAACACTGCATAAGCATTCCAAATATTCTCAAGAGTTTTTACTGTTAGTGCAAAAGATATAAGGACAGAAAAACATTCCCACAAACCGTATACCACGCCACATACCTCATCGGTGCCTCCAGTCCTAACTAGATCATAGTTAATGGCTCCGGGCCTAATGGAATCGATGAGATCGATCACTACCTTAGCGTCGGCAATAGTGGGATCTTGGAAGCTGCGAATGGAAGACTTTTTGCCTGCGGAAGCCAATTTGCTATTAACCCAATTGACGATTTCCTTTTCAACGATAGGGCTTCCAGATTCGTGTAACTGAGACAGGATCGACAACGTATACGCTCTCATCAACTGCCAAATGAGGGCTAAGGTTAAAGTAACGTTGCCCTCGTTGATATCCTGTCCGCCTATTCCGACTAAAGAGAATTTTATCTGTCTGCCGAGTTCAACGGCGTAGTTGCAATTTTCCAGCTTTTCCATGAACTTTTTCCGTTCGTTTGTGAATCGGCGGTGAACTCTACCCCAGTCTACTATCCCCGGCTTGATAATGTCGTATAATTGGAATACTACTAGCCCGTCGGCTAAGTCGGAATACAACCAATTGACATGTGGAGATACACCCATTGAATTTATCCAATTTCGATAAGCTGGCAAAAAAAAAAACGAAATAACCAACTTTAAATTTACAATCGGAAAATTTGTGGTCGTGTTTATAGTTATTCCGACAGCGCTCCTTTTTATAAATAATATTTTATCCAGAAATTGAACTGAGGTGGCTTTTACTTGATGAAAATCCATTTATCAAAATAAATAAGAACTAAAAGTTCAGATTTTCACGAAATTATATATTTTTACATGACAATTGTTTCGGCACATTTGATAAATGTCATAATATATAATTTCGTGAAAATCTGAACTTTTAGTTCTTATTTATTTTTATTTTGTCCAGTTTTCCTTCGCTATGGGATCTCCAGCAAAACTTTCCAGCTTTGCCAAGCACAGTTAAAGAGGATCAATTTTAACAGTGAACGAACAAGGGAAGAACCGACTATAAATTTGACTACAAATTGTTCCTAACAATATATACAGCATGTGCAGAAAAGATAAGCGACAAAATTAAATGCTGATTCTACTGGAAAATCGCTTCCAAGAAAACTGCCAATTATCATAGCACGTTTTTAATTTTTGTTAAAGGCTAGTTAGTTATTAAGTTAGTCTTTAGTTACTGTTAAATTTATTTCCAGGCCTCATGTGGTTTAAACATAAACAATCGGCAATGTTCTTCGCGGTTTAACAAATCGATATGTTTTAAAGTTTTCTTAATGGTCTTTAATTAAGTTTTCAAAATTTGTAAAAAAAAAACTTTTCTTAATATAATTCAGTTATCAGACTTTACATTTTTTACTCATTGCTTCGGGACACCCATAAGTAAAAACCTATTAGCAATTACTGCTGAATATTAAAAATTAAATATATAAACCGCATTCAATGGATAAAGCAATAAGAACGAGAAGCAACAGATTTGTTCGTGATTGCAATAAGTAACCAGCCGGTATTGCCATAATGTGTTATGATTTCTGAAATAGCTCTTACTTCTTTCTTCCCGAGTTTCTTCAATAGTCTCGTAACCGTCGATAGCGCCATTAGCTTGGTGTAACCCCGGATGATTGTTGAAAAGATTGGCGACAAAAGCCAAATTAAGTTTATAGACGCCATTAACAACATCTTGGGGCGTGACGAACGATCTACATTTCAATTTGGCAGCCTGTTGCAACATGATCTCTGCCCTATTGTGTAAATCTTTCTCCGTTAACGCGTCCATATTGACTTCTGCTTCTATTGGTGCTATCTGCTTAATCAGATACGTATAAACTTCTGAATCGGTAATGTCGCTCTGGAAATTTGTAACACGTCTGTGCGTGCCGGCACGTTCCAGATGGTAGTTCACCCATCTTAGCAATATGGCTTCGGGTGATAATTTCATAAGGTCGTCAATTTTTTCGTCTTGCGACAGTAATGTGGTTAGCCCGGGGCAATGTTCCAAGGTGATTTGATTGAACAATCCGATCCTAATGATCTGCCATAGCAATCCCAGCACCAAATGCGGCGTGCCCTTGGATAAACTATGTGCGTCAATGTTGATGACGTTGCAACCGATTCCCGATGCGGAATTCAAAGCCAATGTCAAATTCTCGAGTTTTGTGTACAACGTCAACTTTTCCTTGTTTATAACTCGCTCGTCAATGGTGTCCGGGCACGAATGGTTTATAATTTTGCTACGAAATAAAATAAAAACAAGTGTAAGGACTTCCGCCCACGCAAGTTGCATAGATATACAATTACGGTGTTTTATTTATCATCCAGCGATAAAAAATTATTTGAACATTTCAAAATATTCAACGATGCCTCACGAAGTGCGGATAAGTGGAAAAATGTTTACCAGCAAGTACATTCTAAGAGGAAATTGTTTTACATGTTTCATTTATTCATAATAAATTCGCACAATGAAAAAATCCTCATTGCGCTTCAATATTACAATTATTCACTAGCAGTGAAATCAATTTATTTCCATTTTCTTTTTAATATTTTCAGAACTTCCATTATTATTTCATGAGGAGTTTTAAACCCAGAAGTACAGTTTTAGAATGTGATCTGATAACATTTTTTTTTATTTACGCAACAACCAACGACTATAACAATGAGGTAATCAATATTTTCTAGGAATTACCGGCGATGCAGTAACGTTCAAGTGAAATTGATAACGATTTCCTCGATTGTCGTCGATAAAATTATATTCAAATTTTGAAAAGAGTCCTTGCAAAAAACGTCAAACTCGAATTGTCACTCACAATAACGAATTACCCACTTAAACAAAATTTAATCGATATTCTAAGTACATATGTCCATGGCAGTTTTACGTAGGTCCATGGGATGTGATGTGATGACAGCCCTATTGATATTAAAAAGATACTTCCATTGTTCGGAATTTTGGGACAATCATTGATTTATATCGACGTTTTTTCAAAGTTTAGAAGGTTTGCAATTTCTTAAAATTACAAATTATAATGATTAATTTACATCTTATTTTAACTCATTTGCAGAAATTGTTGAGAAATAATGATTGAATAATTAAACCAAATAATAGTTTTCGTTCGTTTGCTTTACTTGAGAGTACATCTTCATATTGCTTTGGTACATTTCTGTAAGGGACAACAGGTACACTTTACACTTATAATACTTCCACATATTATGGGCAGCTAGTAAAATGTTCATTTTAAATTTACTAAAAATCTTATGTTCGCTGGACGAGCCAAAGTCAAGAGATCATTTTCAAATCTTTTTTTTTATTATTTCAACGTACTGTATATCCAACAGTAAAGAGATTGCGGAATTACATTGATATAAACTTTTTTTCATAAAATCATCCAAGAATCACCTTATACATACTGGTACTGCTGTCCAGAGTACATGTTTGTGCTTTATGGGGACATTATATTCCGTATAAATTATAATAAAATTAATTAAGAATAAAAAAGATCTTTGTTTTTTTTTAGCTCACTCTTTCGTCGATAAACGACCAACTAATATTAATGCAGCCTTTGGGGTGTTTATAATAATATTTAATTGTCGATCGGTCGACTAATCCTTACCATAGCAATATACCGTCTTTGACTTTCTCATAAAGGTATTTCCCTTCGGGATCAATCGGCAGCAGTTTTTTTAAATCCGGATCGTGCTGCAAATTCGAGTTGATCCAATCCGAGAAAGCCAGCTGTTCCTCTAGACGCACCGAATGCGTCGTACCGTCATTAGACGCGTGGGAGGTACCGCCCAAGTGTTGCAAATTCTCCCGCTTTGAAACGGCGGTTCGAAAAGTATTCGCGACATCGTTCGCTCTTAGATCACAGATAAGCTTTTCGAATTCTTCATAAGTCAATCTGCCGTTTATTTTAGTCTTTTTCGAATTTTTGAATTCCTCTTCGATGAGACGCGATTGGTAACCGGCTATCTTCAGTCCGCAAGCCTCCAATGCCTCCCGAAGCTCTTTGAGGTCGATATGGCCGTCGCCGTTTTTGTCTATCTGTAATAAAAAAAAAACGAAATTATTACTAGCTTAAAGCGAGTCACGTGAAGGCAACGTGCGGAAAACGGGTGTCTAGACAATTCTACGTATTATGTTTGAAATAAATGTACGGTTTTACCGCCGTATTTTCGACACAAAACACGTTAATAAATCCAAGCGTTCATTGATAAAATATTGCAAATTAATAACGAATTTCCCGTCTTTTTTTATCCTATCGATACAACGTTATCAGCGAGCGTAATGCAATACGACAATAAAATTTCTATTGTGGGCTATACGGTGAACTAAATTAAAATACACGAAGACACTCGTTCCCAATCGGCAACGGAATCTGGTTCAAATTTTATTCTGAATCTTTTAAAACTTGGGCAGCACTAATATAAACATCTATTATTAAATGACACAATATGGTTGTTCTTCAATAAACGGTCAGTTTAAGGTGTTGCCTATTTAGCATATAGCATTTATTTTTATTTAATACTCACGAATATCGAAAGCTCTCATCTACTGAGAAAAAATATTAAGTGCATGGATGGAGACTTTTTTGATGAACTGTATATAAACAGATGCAATTTATTTTTCGAAAACAAAAATTAAAACGGTTTTGGATTTCCTCCTGGATCTTATAATTTTCATCGGTACGTAATGATCGAGAATTCCGTGGGTTAATAACCGAACGCATCCGAATGTAACGCCGATTTAAATAGAGATTAGGAAATGAAGATCGAGGACCGGCAACGTGAAATAAATATTTTATTCTGTATTAGACATCGCCGTTACGACTGTTAAGTGCGGATATTCAGAAGCGGATAGAGTTTAATATTGCTCCTATTATTTTAACAATAACTAAAATTTTTCGCCGCTTAACGCGGGTCAATAACATCGGAGGAATTCTGAGATTCTCGAGAAAATAAAATATTATTCCATAAGGCTAAACTAAATATATAAGTTTGAGACACTCGAAATTTTCCGAACTCGCTTATACAAGACTTCTTTAAAGCGTACTCTCGCGAGAAAGGTCATAGGAACTTAAAACAGTTTAAAAAGGCAACGACACGTCGGTACAACAAGGCTCATTGTTTCTGATCTGCGTGAAAAGGAATTAAAAAAAAAAGCGGCAGCCAGGACGGAGAGGTTCACACTACCACGGGATAGAATAAATGTATTAAATCCGCTAGTACGTATTTCCGTGCAGTAAAAAGAAGGGCGACGTTTTAAAAATAATATTCTTTGTTCAGTTGTCTCAGTGTTTCATTTTACCAATTTACGACTTCCCCCTTTTCGTCTTCGCTTATCAAAGACGCGTAGGATGTTCTGCTTAAATATTTATCAATTTCCATGACGCGGGTATAATACTACTTATGTGCATATTCGAGATGCGTGTGCAGTTGCGTGTTGAATTGGTAATGCGAGCAAAACCGTGGTTGGTTTTCGTTTTCAAACAACCGCACCGCATCGAACCGTTTTCGGATAATCTATTAGATTAAAGCCAAGATTCTCCGAACAATAAAAAAAAATCGTGTACCCACCGACTGTAACACGCTTTGATAAAGCAATTATTGAAGGTCGCCTGTCAGGAGATCGGATAATGTATAATAACATATACCGGAGAATCAGACGCTCTGTGATATGTGAAAAAAATACTGGAAATTGTTTTCGAGTTTCTGCAATGGCATGCAGTGGGCATAATTGCCATGTTGAGTTTTAAAATTCGGTTTCTGCAATATCTTGTTATAAACGGTGTTTTTTTTTCGATGTATAGAACTTTAAGTTGCAATAAAACAACGATAGATTATTCGATTGACATGAATTTTATTTATCCGAAAGATAATCTTGTGGCATTACATTTTAAATATGAGTTCTGCCATATGACCGCCACGGCTGGCGCGGATGTAGCCCAATCTGGAAGTCCCATTTTCGATTACTTTTTCCAACATTTGTGGCCGTATATCGGCAATAACACGGCGAATGTTGTCTTCCAAATGGTCGAGCGTTTGTGGCTTATCCGCATAGACCAATGTCTCTACACAGGCCCACAGAAAGTAGTCTAGCGGTGTTAAATCACAATCACAGGTCCAAAACGTGAAATTAGGCGGTCACCAAACGTGTCTTTCAATAAATCGATTGTGGTACGAGCTGTGTGACATGTTGCGCCGCCTTGTTGAGATCACATCTCCTGGACATCATGGTTATTCAATTCAGGAATGAAAGAGTTAGTAATCATAGCTCTATACCGATCACCATTGACTGTAACATTCTGGCCATCATCGTTTTTGAAGAAGTACGGACCAATGATTCCACCAGCTCATAAAGCGCACCAAACAGTCAGTTTTTCTGGATGTAACGGTGCTTCGACATACACTTGAGGATTAGCTTCGCTGCAAATGCGGCAGTTTTGTTTGTTCACGAAGACATTCAACCAGAAGTGCGGTTCATCGCTAAACAAAATTCGCATATGAAAATCAGGAACAACAGCAATCTCGTTTTGGGCCCATTCGAGGAATCTACGCCTTACTTGAAGAATTCATGATGAATGAATAAAATATGTATGAATAAGAGAACTTAAAATCTGAAAAAGAATTACAAAATGAAACCCTAAATTATTATTAGGCATTCTAAATGATAATTAAAAACGAAATAAGGCTTTGTTATTTATCTTGACAATAATTCGAAGGCGCACAAAATTATCTAGTAGCTGACATTCATACATTTTTATATATTTCACCCTTTTCAATTAATTTATTATAACTCATTTTTTTATTAAAATTTTTTTTTTCTTATACTGACCGAGTTGATGATTCGACTCAATTTTTAATGACACAACAAGTGATAATACTAAATACTAAAAACTAGGAACTAGGGTGTAATTTGGTTAGTTTTAGATAAATAACATTTTATTTCGATTTCAAATATCATTTGGCATCCTAAATAATAAATTAGCGTTATATTTGATAAATTCCAGATAATTAGACATTATTAACAATTCAACTTTTTTTATAAGAATAATAATCTTACCTCTAACAAAATCATATCATGTGACAAAGAAAGAGACATCACTGCCCTAACGTATTTACAGGATACAAACAATTAAAAGAAATAATCGAATTGATATTAAAAAAAAAAACAGGAAAATTGACAATATGCAATCATGAAAATTGCAAATCTGGACCTATTTCAACAAATCTTGCATGGTGTACAGGGATACTGATTCCGGCCCTGTTCCTGGTGACAGTCGTCATTGACCTGGCAGAAAAGTCAGAAATATTTAGTCAGAGAGACTAGGATTTTTCTTCACGGACATAAAGAGAAGGAACAATCAAGATGCCTAGACTATCAAAATACCGTTTACAGAACAGTATTCTAACTGAAATGCAAGATTGGATAGATAGATACTCCCGACTAAGTGAAGCAGCAAAGAGCATGAAACAAAGTTTTAAAACATTACTCACACATTTTAGAAACTCGAAAATATACATTTTTTCACATTACTAGGACGTCCGTTTCAATTCGTTGCTTCTACTCGACACACAATATAGGCTGGAAAATCGTGTGCACTCGATAAAACATATACGTAAAAACTTAGAAAACGAACGTGTTTTCAACATGACTCTTTTCACAAACATAGAGCTAATTGTACAACGGAAATCTCAAAAATTGCTTTATCGGCGGCGTAATCGCAACTTTTTCCTACACAAGCGAGAAACACATTTTATGCAGCGGTCGTGAGAATTACTTCGTCGGACTTCTTCACGGATCCATTTTTATTTACATAATTACTCGCGACTCATTAAGAAAATTCCCTTGAGACCCCATACGTTACGGTTGCAGTAATAGAAAAATTCGCACGCTCTTCGATTATACAGTACGATATCGTTAACCACACACGCGAGACCATCTTCGCTATTAATTATTTAAAAAACAAAAAAAATAAAAATTTACATTATATATGATATAACCAATAAATTAATGCAAAAAGAAGAATAAAATTCACCGGTTAGACATAAACAAATAAAAAGGAAACGTTCAAACATTAAATTAAAATAAAACATGGGATCATAAACTAGTCACAAAAACATTTTTTTTTAAATTTAATTACGGTTTTTATGCGGTCTCGGCAACAATAAATCCGGAACGAAAGAATGTACTATTAATAAAAGTATTGCGCAATTTTTATTAGACATTGTAAACCCCTTAAATAAATTGTTTACACTTATTGAGGTTTTTCTATTTATATATAAGTGCAATCGGAATTAATAACCCAAGAATCCGAGACCCAATATAAAACGCGCCATTTAGCCTTCGAATTAATTCTGATTTATTTTGCATGTGTGTACTTCTACAGGGTGGACACAAATCTTTTAGAGGTTAATGCCACTTTTATTTAATTATTTACGGCCTGAATAAAAATTGTTGCCCAACTAAAACATAATACCCCCGTTCGCCCGAGATTTTCTTTGATAATCGTCGATGGAAATCGTACGGGAATAATTATCAACCGCTTTGGTCACCTACTTTCTCCGATTATGACATCGAAATTATATTTCTTTACGTTTGAAATACCTAACCGTGACCAAGAAACCGCCACGTTCTGCAGTCATTTTTCTTTTGGAATGTTACTTTTGCCTTTTGTTGTCGCGTTTGTATTGCAACCGAAAGAATGTCGAACCTAAGCACTTTTGTTTCGCAGAGGTAGTTGTTATGGCGATATCATACGATTTCGTAGAATTCGTCTTGCTTTTTACGGAAGTGCATGTAAACAAGTGTGTATAACTTCGAAACGAAATTAACCATTAATTTATAAAAATATATAGAAACCCCTCCACATCCCCGCGTTCAAGTAGTGATCTGATCAAGATGCTTTTTTTGGTAACTGATTTGAAGGTTACACCACTACCTGTGTCGAACTCGTCCTTTTTGTACTTTTAATAGAAGCAATCCGACTAAAAAGTCAACCTATTTCGTAGCACTTTAAAATTTATTCATTTAAGTGTTTTTTATGGCGGCTATCATTGTATAAACACTCTAATTATTATCCGTAATATTTTTCGCCGATGCCGCGTAAAAATTACTTGAAGACGTCTAACCACCACACTTAGTCAAAACGGGCTTTCATGACATCACCTCGCGCTTTATCAGATTATGAAACAATCTTATAAAAACAACTGGAAAATACGAAATTAATATTATCGCGATTATCAATAATCTCAAAACCTAGTAATCGACCATCTGAGACGTTGGCAAGCATAAAAAAAAATCTACCTCACACCAAGCCGATAGGACGAAAATACCCACGCACGATTTATGAAAAAAATGTAGATCTCCCACATGGGCGGAATAAACATCCGAGTACCTTAAAAAAGTTCAAGATTTACGATAACTGTATCTATGGTTATTTAGTATATATTTTAATTACGTCTCAAAATCTTTGCGGTTCAAGTATAAATCCTTCGATGTAAATTTCCTCAATGAGTTTAATTTGTTTACAAGCACAAAACGATGCAAATGAATTTTTATTGTTTGAAACGTGCTGTAGTGATTAAAATGTATTCACAAAAATCTTCTAACTTTTGATTACCAGCAAATTAACCAAACGAAAATGATAAAAAGAGTCGGCGAGCTTACTTAGGTTTTTTGCGTGAGTAAGATATAACGTGACTCATAAACTTATTAGTTTTCATTATGTACGTACGTTTGTACATGTTTAGTTATTTTAAAGTTAAATTCCAATATTTTAGATAAAGTTACGATAGCATTTTACATGAACTTGCACTTAAGTAGGGAAAGTTGCCATGTTTCGCCCATTTTTACGGAAATTCCCGGGACAAACTGCACGGAAACTCTTAACGAACTTAAAGGATGATTTTTTTATTATAATGGGCGTTGCTACAACAATGAATTGCGGCAACTGTCAAAACAACGATATAAACACGGAGAAGGCTAGGTTAAAATCGATCTAAATAAACGGAAAGAAAAATTCCGAAAAAAAAAACAACTCACTGTACTAAAACGCTCCCTGATTTCCAGTTGTTCTTCTTCGGACAATCTTTGGAAATCCGAATTAATGGAAGCCATGGTTAAATTCTCGAAGCCACTCAAAAAATCTGTGCACTTATAAATTACCAGCTCCAAAAGGCACGATACCCTACGATATGATACACACTATGTGTTTGAAGTATGGAAAAAGGACACGCTGTTGCCGCTTTAAAATCCCACTCTAGACGAATCTGATAAGTTGCTAAAGCTGCGGTGTCAAATGTTGTTATTCCAATTTCGTTTAAGGATAACTTCAGGTTTCTGGAAAGTTATTCATACGAAATAACTAATACTGGCTGTATTAACAAAAAACCCGAATGTTTTACAAGAAAATTCATTTCATTAAGTCACTTAGAATTCGGCTCGAAGGACCGCGTAAATCACACAGTGTTATCAACAAGACACGATAGACTAAAAATGGATCATTTTAATTAGTTGAGTGATGTCTTGAATTAATTATATCTACGGATGCACGTTTAAAGATTATTTTTGCAATTACAAAAAAATATTACTTATTATTGTTTCGTCAATACTCCGTAATAACAACTTAAGCCGGCAACGTTGCAATTTCAGTACGTGGTCACGAAGATCACCGAAAATTTTCGATCGCAAAGCCGATCGGTAACCGCTGCCAAATTCCGAATAGGAATTTGAAAACGAAGTGCCATCTTTACGCGTATTAAAATATGATTCAAGCAAATATACCCAACAGAATGTTTGCTACTATTTTTAAGAAAAAATGGCCTTAAAAAACTATGTCACAACAAATGGAGGGGTTAATTAAAACACACCTAGGGGGAGTATGCTGGCGCCATCTGGCAAAAACTTAAATGCTTCGCAGTTAACCTCAAGGCATTAAGTCATGTCATTAAAGTATATAGCGTAAAGTTCTTGAATTTATTTGTAAAGGTATGGACACTGTTTAAATTAATTAACACATAATTTTGACTTATAAATCTATGTTCGCAGGATATGGACGGAAAAAAACAAATATTGGTTAATAGTGTCATAAATTTCCTACATGGGGAATTGAAAGCTAGCACCTTAAATGATGAAAAAAAGGAATCTTTGGAGGTGGCTATTCAGTGTTTAGAAACAGCATTTGAAATTGACGCAAATAGCGTGGAAAAGGATAATGTTGATCTTTTATCACTCCTTAACACTGAATCAAGAGCAGAAATTACTGAAGAAGATAAACTGAAAGCTGAAGAACATAAAACAAAAGGCAACAATGCAATGAAAGACTTAGACTATCAAGCAGCACTTAATGAATACACTAGGTAAGCAGCATATGAGACCCTCAATTGTATATATTTACTTAATATAATTGTTAGGGCAATTGAATTAAACCCATACAATGCAGTTTACTATTGCAACCGAGCTGCAGCTTACACCAGGCTAGAAAAGGATTGGTTAGCTATTAAGGACTCTAATGAAGCAATTAAGATAGATCCCACTTACGGCAAAGCTTATGGAAGACTTGGAATAGCATATTCCAATTTAAATAAATATGACTTAGCCCAAACAGCTTACCAAACTGCTCTTAAATATGACCCAAACAATGTAATGTATGAAACAAATCTGAAGCTAGCTCAGGAAAGGCTAATGGCTAATCAAGGTACAAGGTATAAGCCAAATTCTCAATTAAGTGTGATCACTAGGCAGATTTTGTTTGTAGATAATGCGGCACCTGCACAACACAGACCAATTGATATATCTCAATTTATAAATAACCCAAACATTATTAACATGGCCACTCAAATGCTAAATGATCCCAATTTTGGCAATATGTAAGCTTTAACGTATTTTGAGAACTTAAGTATTTAATCTACTTTGTTCAATTCTAGCATGTCTGGATTGATATCAGCGGATCATTCAGGGGAAGTGAATGTGGAGGCGTTATTTGAGGCGTATGGCACACATGAATTTTCAATTTAAAGTTCTAAAATTTAACATTTTAGAGGCCAAACCCTTGCAAGCAGGATGCAATTGAATGACTCTAATTTTGTGGAGACTCTGAGAAGAAATATAGATGCTCAAAGTGTTCCAAATTCTAATCAAAATCCAGCCAATGACTCAAAGGATAATTCGGCGCGCGACAAAAACACAGGATCTTAAGCTAGTTCTAAATCTAGTAATTTCTTTTAAATCAAACATTTTATTGCTTTTGGGGGTCCTCATTGTTATATGAAAATACCATTATATTTGCATCTCGTGTTGTACTATCATCGGATTATTCAGCAATAAAGTAAAAGAAATGTGTTTTAATGCTTTAAAAATGGGAAAGATCGAGAATATGCATTGTGCGATAAAATAGACCACTCTTTTTACATAAATTTTCAGTTGTTACCGCCATCTAGTGTCTGAGGAACGTAATATGGTACTAGCACATACACGGAAGGATGGCGCTTTAATGCATTAAAAAAATTTAATCATAAACTTTGGTTGCCATCCTGTATAAATATTGCTTTTAAAATAATTGGATAGAAAATTGCATCGATATTCGAAGCTAAACGGCACGGATATATTTTTGTAATTTTGTTGTTTATCCATCGACTTATTTCGTAAACCGTTTATAATTTTACCAAGAAAAATAAATAAATAATCATAAGGGGAAGTTTGTATTTATTTTCTCGGGATTCAAAAATTAAGATTCTCGGCTCTATTCGTTAATCTGTTCTACTTTTAGAACGGATAAAAATCTTGAGATGGTTTCGCCGACAATCGTATTTACATATTTTCTATATTTATGTGCACTTGTGTCTCAGATTTATTTTTAGCGTCACACATAACGTGGGTCAATACATATATACTTAATATATAGGTTATATGAAATTTGTGTTTGCCTCAAATACACGACCAATTAGATTTTGCAAATGGATGCTTATTTTTAACGTGAAAAATAAGTTTTATCAAAATCACCGTCCGCTTCAGTCGCCTTTTATTCGATACGGCCTCTATCTTTATTCCGCAAAATTTTACGTTTGTGACTAATTATCTAAAAATTTATCGGGACCACTTGCAACCGTTGGTTGTAACAAAAATATCTCCCGCTTTGTGCCAAGTTACAAGAAAAATATGCTTTTGCTTTTACGTAAAACGCGTTTTTCTTTTATTAATAATGTGCATTGATATTAGGAAAGTGCTTCTTTATCCAGAAAAAAAAACGTTAATTAAACACTAGAAAATACGAGCGTCGAATAATTAAATTCATATCCTCATTTAAAAATGAATCATTGTCTCCGGATAAATATAGTTCGTATTTTGGTAGATGTGATTCTGTCGTATGTTATTTACTATGGTCAACCGTGGATGATAAATAAACAAGAGCATGCGATCAAAACTCTTGCCAAATTTGCGCTAAATCGTTGACTCGCTCTTTTTATATCGGCCTTATTAATGGCCCCGGTATTTTCATTTTGACAACGGAATTATAATTCGGGTGTACTTATGCAAAAATTTTGTCAAAGTAAGTAATGTGAAGAGCGCGCCTAGCAAAACGTCATCACCCGAGGGGGGCGGGTGTAAAATATTTCAGTAGGACGATATGTGCTTCTTAAATTAGCGCACGAGCTAAATTTAACCTGGACACTGTGTTAGCGGTTCGCAGAGCATCTCTGACAACGATGCTATCGCGAATGTTTTTTTTTCTGGAACTTTTCCGATAATATTCACTCCTTTCGATCGCGCAAGCCGTGATGAAAACTAACCATAATTTCATAACAATAATAAAGTTTATTATTCCAAATTACAAAATTATATATGCCAGACCTAATATAACAACGCGCAAAAGGAATAATGGCTCCTTGCGCAGCTTGCTTCCAGGGGAATTTTCTGTTGAAGTCAAATATGCTTAAACAACTAACATTAAAGACTCAACAATAAAGAGGAAAGAATAGAAATAAGTAGGAAAGGAAGAGAAAGATATGTTTTCACGAAAATGACTATAAATTTACGGTTCATTTGTCTCTAGAATCAACTAAAAGAGATATAAGAATCAATTATTTTTATTTATCAATTGTCCAAAATGTTAAAAAACTGGATTTTATCCGCAGGTAGATATTGATGGATATTTAGAACACCCGCTTGAAACGTTAATTTTTCATGAAGATAGTGTGGATATTATGATTTAATTATCTTATAAAATAGACATACTGAATGCAGGACACGGCGCTGAAGTGTCACATACAACTTAGAATTTTTTTATGTAAACATACTAATCATAACATTGAAAATGCTTTCTTTGGGCATAAAGCAAAATTGTAAATTCCAATAATGACAGACCCAAATTTTGTATTATTTGTATTAAAGTGGTTCCTCTATTTACTGATAGTTTGCTCGTAAAATGAAATATATATTTTTTAGGTTGCGCCATCTTCGAAATATAAAATTGGTAGTGTTATTTTAATAATTGATAAAAATAAATGTATAACCACGGTATTTGATGAAATGTTGGTAATCATTTCGAATGGAACAATTGGAAGTATAACTTCATATTAATCCTCGTTTGTTTTAGAAAAAAACGCCGCTTTAATGCTCGAACTGACAACAAATTGGAGTGTAGCATTTTCATAGTTTAATTGTAAAACCAATAAATAAAAATTTAAAAATTAACTACCGCCTTTTAGTCTAAAAAATACGCTAGTTATCTTTACACACCAACACAGGTTCAACTTGAATCATGTTCAATTACGTTTCGAATAACCAATGGACTGTATTAAAATGACTACGAAGAACGCTATGGTAAGTATTCGGGTTAGTCATTACTGGTTATTCAATCGATTGAACGGCAAACCCATTTCGACGGGAAAACAGACGGCAAGGTAACCTACAATCGAAGCACAAACATTAGTCATCCATACGTTAACACGACCGAGTTTGAACGCCAAAATTTGTAATAACGCAATGGCTAACGGAATAAAAATATACATCCAATCAAAATTAATATCCGCCTCTCAATTCTAATATATATGTATGAACTAATTCTATTGATTCGCAATTGCAATGGCGTCAGTAGCGTGTGGGGGGTCAATAACTGAAAAAGTTGTGTCAAATCGAAATCCTAGTTTACGAGAATATGCAATTAGAGTCCTTAACGATATTCTGAGGATTTTTACTCAGGACGGTAAAGATTTTTAAGATGTTTGGTTCAAAAAAACTTTTACTACAACCATCAGTAGCTGTAGTCAATATTAATATTAACAATATTATTTTTCTATAGTTTCTATAGTTGGTGTGAAAATTAATACTAAGTATTCATAGGAAAACATCGAAAAAAATATTGAATTACGTACGAAACTCAATTGTGTAAACTTGCGAGACTTGGATGTTTAAAAATTTACAAAAATAGTACAGGCCGTACCTATTCGATTGATAATTCGATAAATATTTAGATTCGCCTTACGCCCGAGTTACAAACAAACTTTTAAAAGTTTTTGTTTGACGAACTTTCTCAGAATACCGGGTTCGGGAAAATCGAGAAAAATCGAAGCAAGGATAAGTAAAAAGCAAAATTAGGGGTATTATGTAGATGATGACAAAAACGTTGTGATCATAAAATGAAAAGCAAAAGTAAACATCTAATATTAGTCTAGAATGTTAGCGTCGACGATATATATTGTTTTTATTTTGGTACCATTGGAATAGTTACAACACTGGGAGAGCGTATCTTTTTAAATAAGATCTTTCGTCCGTCCTATTTAATATTATATTTAGGTCGTACCATCTGCCACTGCAAAATACGTTCCAGCCGTTTTGCTTCGTTAGTTAGTTATATATGTTATTGACTTAGTTATATATATAGTGTGTACAAGAGAAGAGGAGAAACCTGTGGTTTAGAAAATTTTCGTGGCCTGCTGAGATATTTGAGAAAAACGAGAATTTTACAATATCGATTTTATGTTTTTCTGACTTTATTTGAAGAGATATTACAAAAATAATAACACTTTCTGATTTGCACTTTGCATGATGGTACTTTTAGATTTTTTATTATAAATTTAACCTCCTAACTTTAGAAGTTAAAACATCGCTTAACATCTCTGGTTACATATTATCCTAACTGCTATAAAAGATACTCTCGCAGTTGCCTAAACAGTCTTCCAAATCATTTTGCAATAAATGAAGGTATCATACTGCGGTTAATGAATAATGTTAAATAAATGGAACTAGTATTTTAGTTCCATAGATTCCACCCCACATTTTAAGCCCAAACGTTTAAAGAATAGAAAATGCCATTTTCCTTGTAACTTAAAATATATGGCAAGCGCATACAGGGTGCACTTTTTTTTCAGACCATATAAAAAATATATAATTTACATATCTAATATAAAATCTAAAAATACATTTATGTAGTCCCTTAAAGGTGCCAATCAGAAAGTGTTATTAGTTTTTTTTAATATCTCTTAAAAAAAAACAGAAAAAAATAAAATCGATATTGCCAAATTCCCGTTTTTACCAAATTTGTCAACACGCCATGAAATTTTTTTAAGTTTCTAAACTTCATGTAAATTAGCTGCAAAGAATACAAGTTTTCCTTAATTTAACCTAAGCAATATCTGTAACAGGTACTGAGATATGAACGCTTAAGATTCTTATCTTAGACGGCATACAGCGTTGCGGTTCAGCATCTTGTCAGCCATTTATGGTAATCTTGTTTTTGATGTTTTTCTTAGTTAATCTTTTGCTTCCAATTATAGCTCCTTATTTCGTCACACTTCCAGTCCACGTTTCGTTCCTTCGCCGTTTCTCTTTTATAAGATTCGCTTGCATTCTGTGCTTTTGTACTGAGCCGTTTTGAAACTCTGTCGTTTCTCTGTTTTATGCTGTTCTAGATCTCCATTCCATTCACCGATGGTTTTCCTTTGGGCTCTTTAACATGTTACCATGTTCGCGGACGAGACTAACATGTGTTGCTGAGAAGGATTACCGCGAAGTTGGAGATCTTATATGACTGGTTATGCAGAAATAGAATAAAATTAAATGTATAGTGTCCGGTAGATAAATAAATTGTAACAAATATTTTGAGTTATTTTTAACAACAAGGTGTTGACGTGCACGCAGACAGAGATTAGCAGGATGCAAAAGTTACAAAACTTACAATTGCAATTGCAATTAACTTACACCTATAAAAAATGTGCTACGCATAAGGAATGTACTATTAAAAAAGCTAATAAACATCTACCGGTTTGTCTAACAAATTCTCTCAAAAAGATATGAAGGTGAAATTTTGACATAAGTTAGGTAAGAACAACAGCCTGGCAAAAGAACTCATAAGATATTTAAGAGAGAAGTAGCACTTAATGGTTTATGAGCATTTTTATATATGTACAGCTGTAAATTGTATGTACTAGGCAACTGCAAAATAAACAATTATTCTATTCCGCCTTTGGTCATGTTGTGTGCATCTTTAAATGTTAATATTCGCCTTCACCAGGAAGTGATCTTTTACATGCCAGGAAAAGCACTTAGATCCTAACATATTAACTTAGAATCTTGATGGGGATGACGTCATCGAATAATTATCGATAACAGTCGCCACGTTTCTTGATGTCAAGTAAAGCGATGTATGTCTATGTGTTGGAAGAAGCCAACAATGAGTTTAAGGTTGCATCATCTAAGCCATAGAAGCTGTATGTATGTATGTCTGTAATAAGATAGTTATATACTAGCACTGTTGCCAAATAAAAAAAAAGTTTTATGTAAATTTTAAATACATAAAAACATACATACGAAGCTAGAAGATTTTCATTTTTATGGTTGGTAGTTCTGGCGTAGAACTTTTTGTATTTATTGACATCACCGCTGTCAGCTATAAGTTATGCACCGCAACAATTTTGGTTTTTAGCTCTTTGAAATTTGAAGATATTTGTGAGAATGCCATTAAACTCTGTGTAACGACAAATTTCATCCAAAAAATCTTAATATCATGATGCTGTAATTGCAAAATATGCAAACCAAAGCGCTTGTTATCACTCCAAAATCTAGTTTGAAGTCCTCGAGAAACATTCCCCGAAGTTTGTACTTCTCTATTTAGACGATAAATTTTACTGGCTGTTTATTTTTTCGATTCAATTTACAACATAGAAGGCACGTGTTACCAAACGTTAAGAAATAAATGAAAAGTGTAGCCAGTAGGCCACGAATTTTTACCAACCGTTCAATTTTTGCAACGATGGTTTAAAGTGCCAAATGTTTTTCATTAAAATCGCTTTCGGTGACAGTGTGGTTGTTTAAAAATAATCATACACATAATGTTTTTAACTTTATAACAAATGACCATTACATTTGTTTTTTTGGGCAGCCAAGATCTCGTTGATTCATCTGCCAAATTATATTAAGGCTCACTCAAACACTTTTTTATAACTAACGCTTCAGTTCCATTGAACTGTAAGTTCAAACATTGCAAAATGTCAGTGAGTAATTTTTACATTCCTTAATCATTAGCGCGGCATTCGCTTTATGCCAACTAATTGCTTTTTGCTTTATTAATATGTTTACTGGATACTACAAAATTGCTTTTAGTATACAGGAAATTGATATTTAATAAATAAATGAAATGCACTATTCTTAAAGCTAAAGAGTTATTAATCATCATTGAACTATCAAACTAACGATTTTAGTCGTATTCCATAGGCGTAGTATTATATCTTGTAGCTGTACCTGTGCGAAAGAACTAAAAAACGAAAATCACTTTCAATAGAAAAATAATAGTGACGCCATTTGCAAGAAAAAATAGAGACAGTGGATTTTGAAAAATGCAGTGAATGCATCAAGCATTGAAACAGAACAAAGAATGCGAGACTCTGATAACGTGCTGGAAAACACTGTGGAGCTTATTATTTTTCTAGAGTCCACCTTTCTTCTTTCTCAAACTCTCACTAATTTATTCTTCTCTTTGACAATTGTCTTGGGTTATCCGAAAAACTTTACAATGCGGTAAAAATATCTTCGCTCAATTGAGAATTTGGTATAAGCACTTACGACAAGAAATTATTTAGTTATTAATAGGGAACCCTTCCAAAGTGCAGGTGTTAAAATTGATATTTTCGCAGCTGCTTATAAAAAAAACATGATTTTTTGCCAAATACTCAAATAACATTCTCGCAAATCAAAAGCCCCGCATACTTTCAAATGTTATAATCCACAGAATGACGGGCTATGTTTAAAATCGTAGAAGCTTGGAGTTAATAAACTTAATAGAAATTTTATTGCCGATATTCCGTACAAAGTTTCGCACAGGAACTTCGTAAGTACATAAAAATAAAAGCAGTAGTACATTTGCCTCTGCAACGCAACGTCCAGCGGTTATATTTAACATAAGCTTTATGACTATTCGTTGCAATTTCGAGTAATATCCGAAGTTCATAAAACGTTCTCCCCAGTTCTTGTTTCATAAACAGGAGAATAGTGGGTTAAATCGGATTTGAAAATTGCGAAAACAAGATCGAGAATAGAATAGAATAGACATCGACGAAAAATTTAGGAAGGTTTTTTTTTCAAAATGAGAAAGGTAATTAAATTCGGGAACTCTGATAAAATCAAATTTCCGTCTAAACGAGTAAATTATGCCCATTTAATCTCCAAGTTAGGACGCTTGAATAGCTTTCACGGTATCCTTCATTTTTCATTGATTGATTGAGAGAGGATAACTGCCAAAACAAAATTAAGTTAATTTTTATATACGTATAATTGTATATTATTTCGTAATGTCATTTGTATTAACACCAAAAATAAAAAAATTGTGTTAAAATTGCTTAAAAACAAAAGCTTAAAGGCTGGATTATTTGTAGTGAGTAATGTTGTGTATTTTAAATAAATGCTCGTATTTCGGGAGTGTGTTTATTTTCAGATCTTGGAAATTGCACCTACGGGAAAAAAACATTATTTACAGCTGGCAATAGGAGCTCGAATATCCAACTTCTCGTTTTAAATTGTTTTAAATATGTTTAAAGCAAAAAGATTTACACCGTTTTCAAATTTTTAAAATGTTGCGCAACTGCGCTCCGAAATACCTATCGAAACGAAAACAGGTACTTGGGGGCCAAGGATTTCGCCTTTCAGCACAGGAAAGCGTTTAATGTTAGTCGGGATTCTAATTTATGGAAACTTCCGAGAATATTATTGCCTCCAAAAGAAAATCCATCTACCGATATATCACACATAACTTTTTAGATCATTAACTGCCGAAAAGTTTGTTCTAAATTATTTAATTCAATGAATGTAGCCAAGTTTTCCAACTCGAACGTCATTGCCGTTTGTATTTATCTACTTAAAATATTTTTTCACAGTCTAACACCTCATAAATAAACCCGGGTAAAAATAGAATTTTTCCTTGGATTAAGAGAGCCATGTAATCATCAAATACTAGTCAATCGAATAATAATCAAAGCCCGTTTCCATAGTAGTATTTTCTAAAGTTTAACGGGACCGTAAAGTTACTTTGAAAACAAAATTAACTATCTGAATATACTCGAAATATTATTGGTATATATTTTTTGTTACAAATTGAGTTTTTTCCCCGATTTCTAGAAGTTGGTACAAGTAAACAGGAATTAAAATTGTTTTCTACTGTATACCGATGGTAGTTAAAATACAAGCAAATAGTTTCCAGTTCCACGCTTGGATTAAGGGGTAAATTTCATATGAAATAAATAAAATAACAAAAATGTAATACTGTCACTGATCGCCAGAAAAAATTACCCAAATTTAAAGTTTTCGTGGGATGCCATGAATTACAAAAGTAACATGATTCCATTAACAAAGGAAGGTAAGTAAGGTTCGAAATACCAATCAGATCAACTGGAAGCCATTAAATTTGGTGGTGACGTTTGCCTTTTAACTTCCAAGGTACTTAACCAGAATCTAATTCCAAACAATCCGAATGTGTAATTCTACTCCATTTTTCTGGAATTCCTTATTAATTATTAGTAATTAGAGCACCCTGCGTCTTACCCCTCTCATAAAATATTAAAAAATTTGGTTATTTTTGAAAATCAAAAGATTTTATTGGAAAAGTTTCCTACAAATGTGTTAATTTTTAATGTTCAACCTAGTTTGTTTTGGCACATCCTAATTTCAAGGACTCAACAAAAACTATTAAGATGGACTAGATCCAATACTTAATAAAGCACTTTTCTTTAAATTTATTTTATACATTCGATTTCAAAGAAAATCTTCATAGAAATAGTCAAAATTGAAATGGTTTTGATGTTTTTAAACCAAATAAAGTTTAGTGTATTTTATGACAATTCTAAGAGATATTTCATCTAAAAAATACAAAATACAAATACATTGAAATATTAAAATCGCAATAACTTTTACGATTATTATAGGTGCATTTAAAGATTTTCTTTGAAATAAGGTGTTAAGGAAAAATTTAAAAAATTTAATTAAATTAATTAAATTTAAAAAGAGGCAAAAAATTGAAAAACTCCGGGGAATGTTTTAATTTATATATTTTTCACGCAGAAATTATCTGATTGTTTAATTTCTTTTTAAATCACTCATATATAAAAATCAGCTAAAGTTTAATTGGTTTCAAAATATTAAAACAATATTAACTTTTGTCGATTAATTAATTAATGAATAAAAAAGGTTCCCATATGATGCCGGGACTTTAGTGGTGACACTGTATATTTGAAGGACGAAACCACCTGTTGATCCCAACATCAAAAATAGCGAGCCAAAGCGGGAGATGAAAATACGAAACGAATCAACAACGACTAGGCAGCAGTTTCCAGCGCCAACCGATGACGGTAAGTAAACTGCACTCGACGCGAAGCGTCGAATAGATTTTAATTTTGGACGAGCAATACGGAGATAACGCCGCGACGCTGCCACACGTTGTCTGTTCGTTCCATCGCGACGATCGCAGTCGTCTTTACACGAACCTGGCCGCCCTATATGGTTTGGCATGGATCCCGCCTGTATAAAATTACATCTCTTTCTCCGCTATCTTCTAAAAATACACCGACCCACGGTTCCTGAATAGTATTGTATACAACACATCGGCCGTTTTCATTTTCCTTTAAAACGACGAATCAATAAAAAAAAAACAAAACACCATCGATCGATGTTATCGATCGGGCCGTTTCATCGGAAATATCAATTGGTCGGGGAGTAAAATTAATCGGCGAAGCTCATGCACCTCAGCGGACGAGTTTTATAAATAATTTTCTTCGGATTAAAATTAACCCAACCTTATTTTCATTAAACTTGTTGAGCCGCCCTCGATTGCCAGTGTCCCGGGCGGATCAGAGCGGAGACGAGCGGAACAGAAGTCCATTCAATAACGAGTTATAGACGTTTCGCTGATGAGTCACTCGATGTGTGACACCAGGGGAGAGACACAGTAAACCTGTGGAGGTGGAAATTATTCGACAACTCAGAACGATCAACCGATTGTGAGCAATATTCGAAACGTAGTGGGGTTTTTTGGCGGGGGGCTATTTTCACGCTCTGGTTTAGAATCAGGAGTGCATATTGAGAACATTTAGTCAGTGCTTTGGAAGCTACCAAGTAACCACTAGAATAGACGAACGATTCGACGACGCGCCGTGCGACGGGACGATAAAGTAGATCGCGATAACGTGGAGTGCGTGAGAGGTGCGAGTGTGTGGTGCCGAGCTGTTCTTAACTCTCGAAAGAAGTAAGTCCGCTGCAAGCATTGGCGAATGCCGAATTAGTGGAGTTACAGTTTGGTGGGGGGTTGGGGGAGGTGCGAATCACCGCGAGAGTGAAACTCATTTTTCATTTGGACTTTCAGGGCAGGGTTAATGAGAACTCTATCGGAATAAAGGGTCAGAAAAGGCATGGGAGTGGCCGAGGACTTCGCTCCCAGCTTTACGCAGAAGCCGCAACTCAGACAAGAAGACGATGGAAACAAGTTGGTTTTCGAATGCCAGTTATTGGCGTCTCCGAAACCGGATATACAATGGTACCGGAGCGACACACTTCTCAGCGCAGACAGCAGAACCATTTTCAAAATACAGTCCATAGGCACCAACAAGTATTTGGTCGTGCTCGAATTAGACGATGTTATCGAAACTGACGCGGGCCTTTATAAGGTCAAAGCGAAAAATACGATGGGAGAAGTGGCCGCTTCCATCAACCTCAATTTCAGCCGTAAGTTCAACCCATCGATATTTATCGATTACGTTTTAATTATAATCGATCGTTTTTCCTTTTTCAGCTATGGACGAGCCGAAAGAAAAGTAAGTCGCGCGTACGCCTTGAACTAAGTCGTTTTATTAACTAACAACTGTCGAACAAATTGTAGACAAATCGACGGTCTAGCGCCAACGTTTGCCAAAAAACCAGCGATTCGACAAGAGGAAGACGGCAAAAAGCTGCTCTTCGAATGTCGGATACAAGCTGACCCTCGTCCGGTCGTCAATTGGTTCCACAATAACAACCCCGTTAAAGAATCTCCACGCCACAAGGTATGTACGCTAGGTAGATAAGTCTATCTCCGTGTAGAGTAAAATTGGCAATGAAGTCGTTCTATAATTAGGACGCTCTTATACCACACCTTCCATTTTCCGGCGGTTAAATTTAAATGTTTTTCTCGTATTATTAGAAACACCGAACTTTGCTCCACTAGATTTTCTTTGGGCAGTGGATCATTTTTCAAAATTAATGCGATCGACCAACGACAAGCCTTATCGACGGTTTCATCTTGGGAAAACTCAATCATTAGCAATCAAAGGATTAGCAAAAATAATACTCCAAATGACGGGATATTACCAGCGCGGTTCTTTCAAAATTGTTTATCTCTTAAGAGGTCCAATGAGAATATATTTGATAGAAAGGATCGATTTTCTTGGAAATCATAGATGTAAAACTTAACGAATTATTTACAGTTGAGGATAGAGAAGGACGGACACTCGTACTTTGCAACCCTTGAAATAGTAAATGTCACGGTCGAGGATGCTGGCAAATACAAGGTGACGGCAAAGAACGAGTTGGGAGAGAGCAATGCGACGATCAGCCTCAACTTTGACAGTAAGTTCCATGTAATGTTTGTTCGTTGCTTTGCGTGTCCCCAAAATGATCGAAAGATGTTCTTCGCGAACTTTTAATCACCATCGAGACCATCGCAGGTGCTTACGAATTCCGCCTAACTGATAGATTCAACAAACAAAACGCTTACGGACATATTATATTGGAGAACCGAGCGAATCGAATAGAGCGCCATCAGTAGTCTCGTTAATCCACCCCGTATAAAGCAGCAACTAAGGATAATAATAATAATCGAGGCAGCACTCGTGCACAATACAAAGGACTAACCGACGCTTAATCTCAGCTCAGCTTTTAATTTTTGCTGTTTTTTAACAATCCATTCCTAATCAGTGTACATTAAATATATCGAAGTCGTTTTGTGTGATTTCAAGCTTAGATTAGTGAAGTGAAGGGAATGGTGACGATGGCGACGAGAGCGCTAAAACGACAGGCGCGGATGATTTTATTCTGTTTTTAGGCCTTAGTCGATGTCCCGCCACCCCACCACCTGCACCATCGACACTATTTATGTACTTACTAGTTAAACATTAGATTACTTTCGAAGGCCATGTTCTTGCAAAAATGTGACACTTGTATTTCAGATTTGTACCACACCATATTATAGTATTTATCTATATATATTTATATTTACCGATTTATTTATTTTTGATCACTTTAACACAGTTAGGCCGTAACGATTAAAAGCTGAGCTTTTGTTTCGGTAAGCATTGTAAGTTGCGCGAGTGTTGCTGGCTGTCCCCTATTAAGATAGCCAGTTTAGAAGGGTTTCTTCACTAGGCGATGAAGCACCGGTTCCGGAGCAGGAGGGCATCAAACCCACCTTTACCGAGAGACCGGTCATCAGGCAAACGGACGATGGGGCTACTATCACGTTCGAATGTCGGTGCGTCGGCGATCCCAAGCCGGATATTAAATGGTACGTATATGTCGTACCGGAACTCCGTTGCATCGGATATCTGACCAACACGCCACGCGCAGGTATCACGGCAAAGAGGAGATCGACGAAAATTTCCGTTACGCGATCTCGATGGACCTGGACCAAAAACTCTACTATCTGGCGAGGCTCGAAATCAGCAACGTACAAAAAAACGACTCGGGAGAGTATCGGGCGGTCGCGACCAACAAGTACGGTAGCGCTGTGGCGACCATCAGCCTTAATTTCGAAAGCAACGAGAGACCCAAGTAAGATGCGACACTCGGACCGACACCTGACGTTCACGCGAGTCTGTTTCTCAGAATACCCGACGGGAAAGCTCCGCGATTCCCTAAGAAGCCCACAATTCGGCAAGAGGGCGACGTCCTGATCATGGAATGCCTCTTGGAGGCGAACCCTGACCCGGACATCACTTGGTTTCAGAGCGAAAAAAGCATAGCGGACAGCACGCGCGTTCGCATGCTAAGGAAAACGACGACCAAAGACACTTATCTTCTCACTTTAGAGATAGCGAATCCGACTAGATCGGACGGCGGCAATTATAGATGTAACGCGTTCAACGCGTACGGCGAAAGCAACGCCAATATCGCGCTTAATTTCCAAGGTACGGAGGAAGACAAGCTGAAAACCCCCCACCATGTACCGTATCTGTACCTATTGTCTGTGAAACGTCTCAATTCCACTACTTATCGTATATATCTGTTTTATGTTCCAGTACCGCCACCGTTTCGTTCCGTCTTCGATCAGTGTCTTGTCATTTTGCATGAGCATGGCCTTTTGATTTGATACCGGATCAATCTGAACGGTGGTAACGTGTTATTGGTGCGTGTTCCAGGTGGAGACGACGATGCCGGTTTTGCACCGTCGTTCATCGAAAAACCGAAAATAATCCCGAACGAGAGCGGGACTTTGATTACGATGAAATGCAAATGCAAAGCGAAACCCAAACCGGATGTCACGTGGTTCCGTGGAACCACCGTCGTGAAAGAGTCGTCGAAAATCACCCTCCGAGTGGTCGACGTCGAAGAAGACATCTACGAATTGATACTCGAAATTAAGGTACACTCTGAGATATACTTTCCCGTCCGCTACCAATAACGCTTCCTGGAAAGTCCTGGAAAATAAATAAAAAAAAATAAAATTCAGCTTAAGTCCATTTCAAGCTTAAATTTTATAAATATGATGTGTTAAATTATAATATCATTATTATTGCATATCGCAACACACATTTTTTTTTCTGGACATCTTTTAAAGTGTACTTGCCAAGACATCAAGCAATTTCACCAGCGTTAGCAAAAATTGCTTTGAAAACAATAACACTTGCTATTAACAGCTTTAATGGAATTAACTCCAATAATGAGAAAACTCAAAAGAAAACTTAAAAGGAGTTCATTAGTGATTCCGTTTGATAGTCGCTCAGTTATAGTTCTTGTCACTGCCACCAAATTTTGGTGCATTGGTTGGGCACGAAACTGTTGCATTGGCATTTTCAAAATATATGTAAGTTCCCGTCATGTTTTAACCAGTAAAATAATAACGAACAGTACTTCCGGTTGAAAAAAAATGAGCCGGAAATAATATTAGTTATTTCTTCTGGTTTAACTAGACTTACCAGAAGTAATAATAATAACTAACATTACTTTTGTTAAATCAGATGTACCAGCATTATAGTTTTTAAAATGGCAATAAAACCGTCACACAATAATTCCGGTTCTACTGAAAGCAATATTAATTATAACATCTGGCTTAACTGGATTAACCAGAAGTAAATTAATTACTAACATTACTTTTGGTAAACTGGAAGTAATGTTACGCAAAAATTCCGGTTCAATCGGATTAATGTTTGTTATTTCCGGTTTAACCGTAAGATGCTCCATAATTTCTAATGTAATCTAACATTAAGCAGCGCCCTTTTTTCCCTTGCAATTTTAGGATCCGTCCGGACCGGATGGAGGCACTTACCGATGCCACGTGAAAAATGAATTCGGCGAGAGCAACGCGAATTTGAACCTCAATATCGAAGCGGAACCGGAACCCGAAGGCGACGGACCGACTTTCGTGGAAAAACCTAGAATTACTTCACACCAAGGCGGCAAACTGGTCATAATGGAATGTAAAGTACGCGCGAATCCCCAACCGACGATCGTTTGGTACCGCGAAGGAAAACAGGTGACCGAATCTAGCAAAATCAAAATTAGCTTCGAGAAAGTCGAAGAAGACGTCTATTACATCAAACTGGAGCTGAAAGATCCCGGAATGGAAGATTCCGGACTGTACAAATGTAATATTAAGAACACCCTTGGGGAACTTAACGCCAATTTGACGTTAAATATTGAAATCATCCCTGTCATCAAGGAAAAACCGAAGGTCATTAAGATTATCAAGAAGAAAACCGTTATCGTTGAGTGTAAAGTAATGAGCAAGTTCGCACCAGATTGCACTTGGTATAAAGAGGACAACGCGGTCAAAGAAGACGCCAGACACTCGGTTCAAGTGGAGCAAGTCAAAGAGGTGAGTGTAACGGATTAAGGGAAAGGGACCGACAGAGGTTAGTCATTAACTTATATTTTATAGGGCGAATTTGCGGTTAAATTAGAAATATCCGACGTCAACAAAACCGACAAAGGCATGTACAAATTAGTCGCCAAAAACGAGAAAGGTGAAGCGACGTCCCAAACCGTCGAAGTAACGGAACTACCGCCCGAGGAAAAACCGAGAGGTGAAAAACCAAAGCTCACCAAACTCACCAACATCGTAAGTTTTCGATCAACTTAGATTGATCAAAAATTAACAGCTGTATTATACATTTAGACTATCGAAGAAGGCAAATCGGCAGATTTTATTTCGTCGCTCAAAGTGACGGACAAGACAGTTGTCATAACTTGGTATAAAAATACGACCGTTATCAAAGAATCCAGCGACTACAAAACAACGTTTGACGGCACAGTAGCTCGACTCAGCGTATCCAAGTGCAAAACAACGCACTCTGCCACTTACAAAATTGTAGCTAAAAACGAATTTGGCGAAGATGAATCGTCCGCTTTGCTCACCGTGAAAAAGAAACAGGAAGAAGAAGATGAGGAGGAGGAGGAGGAGGTAAGACATTTACACACAAAAAAGACCAATTAAACACAAACATATTAATACTAATCACAATCTACACATAAGGTGGAAAAATCTGAGGAAGAAGATGAGGTAAAACTAAAAGAGGAGAGCGAAGAAAGCGAGGATTCCTCGTACGAGGTACCGCAACAATTTTTGGAGATTTTTTTTACATTCTTGCGTGTTTTTTCTATACTATCCTTCCGCTCGACTATGTTGTTATACAAACACACTATGAGTGAAATTCTTTAACACCCGCGAGCTAGGCCGCCGTACATATTATAAGATATCACATTTCTTTTTTAGGAGGTAGAGGAAAAGAAGCAAGAGAAAAAGGAAGAAAAGAAGGAGGAGAAAAAGGTCGAGAAGAAAAGCGAAAAGAAGGAGGAGGAGAAAAAGGTAGAAAAGAAAGTGGAAGAGAAAAAATTGGAGAAAAAGGTCGAAAAGAAGGACGAAACGAAGGAAGAAAACAAGCTAATTCAAAAGGTAAATTTGGTCTTGTAAGCGTTTTGTATCGTCCTTTAATTTGTATTTCCGTCCATTTAGAAGAACGAAGAGAAGAAAGTCAACGATATTGACAAGCTAGTCAAAAATCAAAAGGAGGTGGGTATTAAACGATAAATGTTGACGTGTTTGTCTAATTTGCGTCATTGTTTCGTGCACGTAGGAGGAAAAAACCGGCGAGAAAAAGACAACCAGGCGATCTTCTGTGCAAAAGGTAAGAGGGCAATGTTAAAGCGTTTGCGAGACTAAGTGGGGGGGTATACAGGTCGAAGAAAAAACGGAACGCAGGAGCTCGATAATCAAAACGGAAGAAAAAGTCGTGCAAGACGGCGAAACGAAATCTACTAATCGCAAGTCTTCCATAGTGGAAGAATCTAAAAGCGAATCTCGCCGATCTTCTCTGATCGAAGAGAAGAAAAAGAAAACTGGTGTAGAAACGAAAAAATTAGAATCTACACCGGAAGGGGTAAGTTTACGTTTAACACGTCGCAAGTCTGGTCTAACATAAACGTTCGGCAGAAAACACCCAACCACGTCGACGACACCACTGCTAAAAAAACCGAAAGCATAAAACAAACAGCCCAAACAAAAGTCAAATCGCCACCACCTAAAGACGAGCCGGCTAAAACTGCCGCAAAGCAAACCCCGGCTCAAAACGAGCAAAAAATTAAATCTCCACCACCGGCGGAGGCAAAAACACCCGAACCCGTACAAAAAACCCAACTCAAAGAACCCGAACAGAAAACTCAAGCTAAACCCACACCAGAGAAAAAGCCCGAACTCAAAACAGCCACTTCCGAAGTGCCCGATTTGAACCAAACGCGTAGTATTTTGAAAAAGGTATATTTACACTTTTGTTTACACTATCATTTATTTGCCTATGAATTTATACTTAAATTGTTTGTTTTGTTTCCCTTCTATGTGTCTTCGTCTGGTGTTGTGGCGTTTTTCGGGATAGACTGAGCCGAAACCGCAAGCAGCTAAACTAAAGGTAAGATTTCAACGCACAATTTAAATTATTTTCAAAAGCCACGACGAAAACTATCGCGATATATAAATGAAAATGTAATTATTAAATAGCCGGACGAGGAAAAACCAAAGAAGCCGATACCGCCGAAAGCTGAAATTAAATCCGGTAGCTTCTTGAACATACAATTAAAACCCGTTAAAAAAGAAGGCAAAACAACCGAAAAAGCTACTTTAGAAGTTGACCTTAAGGTAAAATCTTCGACGTTCGGTGGCTCTATCTTCTTTTCTCTCTTTTCCTGTACTATCGGGACGCCTGTATTTCATCTACTTTCTTATGGCATCGCACTTCTTCTAACTCATTGTGACCTTTCTATGATTCTACTCTATCTCTTTTCTCTATTTTCCTCTCGTTAATATTTTCAACCTATGGTAACAACTTTTATACCGGGTGACGCAAAAAGAGTAGGAACCGTCAATAAGGTCTGAACACTCGATTTTGAAAATTGTAGTCAACAGTTTCCGAGTGTTCCCATTTTTTTGCGTGACACCCGATATACTTATTTCTCTCTTCCGCGCCAATCGAGAAGGTTAATAATATATCTCACACTTGGGGTTTTCCGATAGAAAAGTGAAGGCGAAAAGGTCGAGAAAACCGCGGTGAAACGCGGCTCGAAAGCAGAAAAATTCGACGTGAACGCTTGGGAAAACATTCCCGACTACGAGCGTCCCGTTTTGGAAAAATTCGAACCGCACGAAAAATCGGAATACGCCGGACGGGAGAAAACGAAGCTTTCGAAGGTATTAAATATGACGCTTCCGCTTCCGAAAAAAAAAATGCCACGCCCCCTCGTAAAAACCGCGCATTATTTACACTTGTCGTGTTCGACTCAGGATTATCCCCAACTTGTTGCCGAGGGTAAAGAAAAACCGGCCCTATCGGCCGAGCAAAGGCCCAGCGTGCCTCAAATTAAAACTCCGGAGGCGCCGAAAATTGAAGTAATCAAGGAAAAAACCCCGGAGCCTAGAAAAAAATCATTGGACACCGGTCCAGGTGCCGGAGCTGGGAGTAGACGTGGGTCTTTGATACCACCCGAAGCGATGGGCCGACGGGCTAGTCTCATAATATCAGACGAGGTAAGTGACAACACTAACAGGGATATTTTCGTACGTTTTTTGGAAATTTCGTGTGCAGCTGTTGAGTCGGAATGGTGTCCAACGAAGTTGTTCTATATTACGTATTAACATTTGTATCTTTAGGAACATAGGAAACTCAGACCCGGAGAAGTGATTGACGATAAAAAGGTAAACGGTCATTTTATGGAAAGCATCGTTGCCTGGCGTCTAATCAAATTAGTAATGGACGCGCTGTCTAAACTCTGTAATCTCTGCGTTAAGCGATTTTCGTAAACCAAGCGTCGTAAAAAACGTTATGATGATTTTACTACTACGGCGCGGATAAAGTGCACATGGGAAATTGTTATTTTCGCTCCGCCGGTTCGCAATACAAACGATGATAATTTCCTATGTGGATCGATCCGCGGACCATGCACGAATTGCATGATATCACCAATTGACACACAATAATGCACCAGCCAGCAGCAAGGCACCACACACCTAAATCTTCGATATATATACACTGTTTTATTTATTATTTGTAAATGTCTACGACCCAGATAAAAGTGGAAGTTCCATTCTGAAAAATTCCAATGTTCTTACAAAAACATATTTTTCCCAAGTCGTCCGATTATAGCGAATCACATCGTTAAATCCCATGACATTTTTTTTTTAATTATAATGTAATGTATGAATATATTACAATATTATTCTTTAACCTAGTTAAAGTAATTAAATAAATCGTTAAATCGAAATAATTGTGTAAATTAGGAATGACAACAGTGAAACGGAGGAAAAATGTTTATTCCTGTTTCTGTAAAACCGTTGGAATTAGGAAACGTTGTCCGAACGATACGTGCGTTTTATTTATAAAGACTGACTATTTCTACAGGGAGGAAAGTTACGACCCGGAGAAGTCCTTGATCCGAAGGTGAGGTTTGTGTTGGAAAACACAAAACCGGCCTTTTGGTTTGATTTGCAACTTGGTTTATTATTATTTTTTTTTTTTTTTTTGAATGCTAACTTAATTTCTTTTTTTTTACTTCCTCTTCTTTCTTTAAAGCCGAAATCAAAACGACCGGGAGAATTGCAGGCTACTTCTGACAAACATGTAAGCGCGGAAATATATGTCGATTTTCTTTATATTAAGTATAGAAAAGTCAATAATGTTTCTGTCTGTGTCTAACTTTTAGATTCGAAATGATCATAGCTTAGAACTTAATGACCGGATTTTCGACTGTGAATAATACTGTGTAAATAGAGTTTTCAGATCGTCTCTAATCTTATATGTCAATCTCCTCCCAATACTTGTTTATGTTTTTAACGTAGCCCATATAATCGTATTTAGTTAGATACGTTTCACCCACCCAAAGATATTTTGTGCACATTCTACCTTCTGCCAGCCTCCTGTAGATTTTGTTTTTTTTTTTATTGATTTTCGTAAATAACCCTCTACTTGTTTGGGTTTTTTGTGTTTTAAGAAACCACTGAGAGTAGTAGATTTGGATTTTAAATGTAATTTTCAGTAGTGTATATACTCGTAGTTAATATAACCGTTAATAATTAACCAGTGTGCTTGTATAACTAACACTAACGCTGTTTAAGCTGAATGGAGCTTCGTCGCTTATAACTGTATAATCTGTTACTTATTTTTTTTATTTAAAAAATGATATTAAGAAATCAAAAATTGGGAATTCCGTCGAAATAATTTCCAAAATTACTTAGCGCCGGCGTCCGAGTTCTGAAGTTCGACGACCGAGCATCGCCGAACTCGAAGACCTCATAAATAAACCTTCCACCCCGTTGAAACCGTCAGGCCCCAAAGGGCACGCCCCTAGCATAATAGACGTACAGGAGAACTACTCCTCAGTCGAAGGTAAATCCACTGACATTATTAATAATTATTTGGCACAAACGTTCCGAAAATATCGAAATTTCGATTGTTCTAAATTTATTTTGACAATTTTTTAATGTTGCTGTTTACGTTTGTCGCTGCCAAAAACCGCAATCCCGAAAATTACGCAATTCTCTGCCTACTTAAAATAATTTTCGTTCCACAAAAAAAGTAGCGAGGAATGCCGGTTGCGCAATTTTTTTTTCTATCCCGATTTAAATTTTAGCGTCCCGAAGGCACCGTCTGGAATATATTCGGTTTATATTTAGATCTTCGGATCTGATATCGGACGATACTGTTTTAAATAACATTCCTCAAGTTATATGAGCCCCAGACAGCAAATGCTAGCAGAGTTAATAAATATTAGTAATATTTTTGTGACTTCTTTCATTTTCCACATTTTCATTATTGTTCAGTCTGTGTTATTATAAGCATCTACCTATATGCGGAAAATATCGAAATGTTAAAAATATACAATATCAAATGTCTGTTTGAAGGGCAACGAGGTACGTTATTAGGGAAACAATTTTTTAAAAGTAAATCGGCCATCGGAAATTATTTTCGAGTTATTGAAGTGACCAGCAAGGGGTTTAATTGTTATCTTGAATTTTAAAACTAGGTTTCTACAAAAATTTCCAATGCGTAGTTACAGAAAATACTTTCTGAAAAGAGAGAAAAAATCTTTTTTTTTGTTTAATGCTTTTTGCTCTACCTTAGTAAGGAAAGTGGTGGTCGGTTTCATATTATTGTCTTAAATAAATGTTCATATCTCCAAAAAGGCTTAACGCGTTTTAGTAAATTTGGAATCCTTAAAGAGGGCTATAACTGACGTGTTTCCATAAACAATTTAGCGATATCAGTTATATCATTAGATAGTCGGATAGGCCCGATGACAAAGTGAAAACGGTCTCTCAACATCTTTGCTCCAACCTAAAATATGAATAAAAATAAATAAAAAACTAATTAAATGTTGAATAATTTATTAATTAATTAAATAATATATAATAAATAATATTAATAATAATAAATTAATTAATTATGAATTATTGAATATAAAATATTTTTTGAAATAACCAGTTTTGTTTTTGTTCCTAACGTGTCGATTTCCTCTAGGCACTAGATTACGATGAGTAGACAATTTTAGTGCACTAAATTTGTAACAAATTAAAACTAATTAAAACGGTAGGCAATCAAGAGACTTTGACAAGCATCAAATAATGACATGAAAGATGAGAGTGTTTGGTCAGATAAAAACAAAATTTGGTTTCATGGCCATTTTGATAATTATAATTTAATTATTTCATTTTTTACATGATTTTTCACATTTTACTAGTAAAATAATATAATTGGTTACTGACCAAGTTACTGATTAAGCGTACTAATACTAAATATTTGAAAACAGCTAAGCATATCAAAGCTAAGTCGTTTGGTGCCTTTCGAAGGAATTGTAAAAGAAATGATTACATTTTATTTTTATTTTAAATATCAACTGACATCATAAATAATAAATTAGACATTAATAATAACCCCTAAAATGGAATTTTTTCTCAAAATCTCTTTTTTAGAGTTATTGTTTTGTGATTATGTCAGAAGAATCCACCTGGTGGCAAAGTAAGCACTCACACCCCAGCAGTGAACAAAAAAGATTTGAATCTGATTAACAATAGAATTTTTTTAGAAACCGACTTTAAAGATAAGAATTAGGCCCCCTGGTGGCTATTTGAAAAACTCGAACAGAATTTCCAGAATTTTCTTTTGTTGGACCATCTGTTTCCCTAATACCGTTTCTAGTCGCCCTTAATGGGACGACCGGTTTATAAATATTTATTATACACACGTGAAATATTATAGACATTAAAAGTCATAATTAAAATACCAAATTAGTAGCTAGGAAGTGAGAACAGACGCTTAAGATATTAAAAAAAAAACAACTTAATGGATATGCATATTTTTATTTGGTTAAAAATCTTTTCAGATCAAACCGCATATATTACAATACAAGTCGAAGGCGATCCGCCCCCCACTTTTAAATTCTATAAGGTAATATTAAAGCAACCGCGAAAATCGAAAATTAACACGCTCGTACCTTGCAGGGTGTTACAGAAATTATTGAAGGTGGTCGATTTAAATTTTTGACAGACGGCGAAACCAATTTGATCACCCTCTGTATAAGGAAAGTAAAACCGAACGATGAGGGTCAATATAAAGTGGTGGTTTCTAACGTACACGGTGAAGATAAGGCAGAGATGATGTTGTACGTAGCTGGTAAGCAAACTGACACGGACTAATTGCCAAAAAATATTTCAAATTATTAATAAACAAATACATTTTAAGGTGCCGGTGGCGTTGACTTCCGTTCAATGCTGATGAAAAGAAAATATGCGAAGTGGGACAAAGACAAAGAGGACCCCGATTGGGGCGACTTAAAAGAAGTCGAAAAACCGATACCGCAACTCAAAAAGGTCGAAAAGGTAAGATCTATGCAATTTTCGATAGTTTTATTAAAATCTTACAATTATCTCCATTGGTTTTGCATCTTTTTTGATTTTAACTTTCCCAACTCGTTCGTTGACTGATGATTTCCTGGCGCTGGTTTTTGATTTTTGAGTTTCTAGTTCTTCGCGGGGTATCTACGAGGCATTGTTTTATTTTGTTCTTGTTTTGTTTCACTTCGAATTTTGATGGAGGTGAATATTGGGCGACTTTTTCAGGAAATATGTTTTTGTACTAACGCCCGGATAAGCTTTCCGCGAATACACGGGGTAAATCAGATTATAACAGCAAGTAATTTTTCAAAATGAAAAAAAATGCAATAAAAATTTTTCAAAAATAAAAACCGTTTGTAACGGTTCTTGTTGTTTTAAGCCGAATCATCCCGAGTTTCACAATAATAAAAATTTTGCATTTGGATAAAAAAAATTATAATCAAATATAACCAATGCCTATAGCTAAAAGCGCAATTAATCGTTTATTCGAATTTATTACTGTTGCAGTGCAGATTAAAAATTAGGCGCTTTTCTTTTGCTGACATCTACTGCGAATGGCCATTGCTGAAGAAATCCGAGGTTCTTAAATCTTTTTTCCGCATGCTACAGCACCGTAAAGCACAGACAGGGTGTGCGTTGCCTAAATACCAAAAGAAACTATAAAGCCTTTCCAAAAAAACCATTTTCAAACGTTACCGCGTAACAGCACACTCTGTAGAAGCGTTACAATTATAATCCTAACGCAAACAATTCGATTGCCTAGCGATGCTTATAAAATCATGCACAAATAAATATCAAATCCACGTTAGTCATAGGCAAAGTTGTAGTAAAATGAATGTCTGTAGGGGGGGGTGTTGTGCTGAGTTGTAGTTTTGTTTCTAGCCGCCCATATCGATGAGAAGGCCTTCTTTAGCGGAGTTAATTCCTGATTGGCCGATTTTACACCATTTCGAAAGGAGAGAGGTTGGACGACAGACAGTTCATCAAGTTTAAATGTTTTCTATGTGTCCGTTATGCACGTTGGAATGACACTTTATCGCTACCCCTTCCCAAACAATCCCCCGTATAACTTCGGCGACGCACTAATAGTCCTCACATAGATGTTGTCTCGATGCATCGGATTCGATTTTGTACCGGTCGTCGTGCCTACATTTTTTTTTTGATTTTTGAATTTTCCCGACGTATACCATGTACATATATATAATTTTTTTCGCAGTTTTTTGACGACAGCGGCCGTTTTTGAACGCACTTCTGTGAATATTTTGTGGATGTACAACGATTTTCTAGCCGTCGAACCGATTGTATCGTTAATTTTTCCCTGTTTTAGAAAGCGGAATCATTTTTGAAACCCTTAGTCGACCAATACGCGAAAGAAGGAAAAGACAAAAAAGTGGTATTCGAAGCCGGATTTTCGAAGCCGAATTGCAAACCGAAATGGCTTTTCCGAAAAGACGTAAGTCGAAACTACATTCGTCTAAATCGTCCATAAACCATAATCTTTTAGGAATTATTCCAAGGCGCCAAGTACAAATTCAAAAACGAAAACGACATTTACCAACTCATCATTTCCAACCCCAAAGTGGAAGATTCGGGGAAATACACCATCGAAATCGGTGGTGTACACTGTACTGCTTTCCTTAACGTAGACGAACCCGATCCGTGTTACACTTTTACCAAACCTTTGAAAAAGAAGCACGACGGATATACGGAACATGAAGTGGAGCTCGCCTGTACAGTGAGCAATAGTTTGGCGATAGTCGGTTGGTATAAAGGAACGACCAAATTAGAAGACAACGACAAATTTAGTATTTCAAAAGACTTGAGCGGTGTTTGTCGTCTGACGATTAAAAACTGTACGTTCGACGATGCCGGCGAATATAGTTGCAAACTGGAAAAACAAAACGACAAAACCCAAACCACCGTCGCCATCGTAGAATACCCCTACAAGTTCGTCAAAGTGTTGAAACATCAACAACATGTTGAAAAAGAGAACATCACCTTCCTTTGCGAGCTGAACGACGCCGGTGGCGAAGTGAAATGGTTCAAAGGCGATCAAGAAATCAAACCGGATAAAAGATTAGTAATCAGCAAAGACGGAAGAAAGAGGAAATTGGTGATCAAAGACGCGAAAGTGACCGACGCCGGGATGTATTCCTGCGTGAGCAACGCCGATAAAACCGAAGCGGAATTAGTCGTCAATTACCTCAACCGTTTTAATAAAAAACTCAAAGATACCATCGGAATTGAACGAGAACGACTCGTGCTCGATATCGAGCTGCAAGATCAAACCGCTCCTGCCGAATGGTTCTTCAACGGTGAACCCATCGTGCCCTCGGAAAGGGTCGAGATAAAAAATCTCGGCGGCGGTAAACACCAGCTGATCTTCAACAAACTGGACATGGCCGATAACGGCGAGATTAAATGTGAATCCGGTAAAATGGAATCCACTATGAAATTGACGGTAAATAAAGGAGAAAGTGCACCCGTCATCGACTTCCCGTCTACCTTCGAGGCACCCGCTAACCAACCCATAATCATGGAGGTCCCGTACAAAAGTAAGTGCGAATCCATTTTCAAAAATACATCAATTACCGACAACAATACAATAAAATAACAGTAAAATTAAAGTTAAAACATCTCAGATGCCAAATGAATTATTATATATATTCATCATCTGATGTTTACGGTCACATTATTTAGAGTCTGTTGGGACGTTGCAGCGAAATTAATTTTTTCGAAGTTCAAAATTAATTCCACATTTAATCAAGGTTTTCTGTTATGTGCTCATTGTGATATTTTCAAATTTACAAAGATTAAATAAGCAACATCTCGGTTATTTCGAATGGGACACCCTGTATTTTTTGCTCTATTCCATTGACCTAAGCCCGGTAGATACGACGCAACTTCTACATTTTTCTGCATGTATTTTTTCACTTAAATATTGCAATATGTCTACTGTCAAGCTGCAAGAAATTTGTCAGATAAAATTAGCAGCTAATTTTTCCCAAACCTGTGCGTGCAAAGTTATAGGTACAACCCCTAAGGAAAATGTAAATAAAATCGAAATCACCAAGACGCCTCTTAAAAAGATATCGCACAAAAGTGAAAAAAACCAACAACTCCAGAGCCTTCTATAAACAGAACGCTTATTCCATCATAGCAAGTCTAGTAATTGCAGATGACAGATTGGACTCCCAAATATACGATTACAAAAAGAGCCACAATAGAACTTAAAAGAATTAGGCTATTTAACACTAACAAATACTAAACTGTACGGTTTATCTTATAAAAATTTAAAAACTATCCTTTCAAAACAAAATTTCACCAAAACAATCAAACACATATTGCTCGAAAAAATTCCATCGTGTCTACCATCACAAAATTACCAGTTAAAATACGTCCATTTCAACAGCAATTTTTAGCTGATATAAAATATATGTAGAAATTGCATCGTATCTACCGGGTGCAATAAAGCATTTCATTTTTTTTCATTAAGTGTGTTCTTCTATTATTATTAAATATGGTTGAAAACTCATAAAAAAGTCTAGTCAACTAGCCAATAACACACACGAACGCAGCAAAATGCGCGGTTTCATCCATACCATATTGAATTATTGGCAATTTTCCGCAACTTTTTCAATAAACACAATTAATAATAAAAATATATAAGTATATAGAAAATCACATGTAGTACAAATTGCTGCGAATCAAATTACATATTTTAAATAAATATTCGTCAAATCAAATAAAATGAAATATCTGAAAAAGTAAGGAATTTAGATATATTATTTTATTTATTTTATTTTTTAAATTTGTACAGCTATAACAGGCACCCTATATCGTTTATTTTGAAAATCTCACATTAAGTTCATACCAGAACCTTTGGTTAAGTATGGTAAAAATTTTGAGTTTTGGGGTGGCCATGTTGATTAACACAAGCCCCTCATATATATATAAAATAATGTAAAGCTCTTTCTTTGACTCATCAGATGATAAGATAGAACAGGCCATTTAAAAATATATAAAATTTAGCAATATACTATTGCTTTACTTACCCTGTATATGAGTTTTATTATGAATCTTCTAATGGCAATTTTCTATAGTTCAAGGTACAAGGCAGACCCAGCTAGAGGCGAAACTTATAAAGGATGGAAAAATCCTCCCTTTGAAAGACGTCGACGTAATAATAGCCGAAGACAAGGTCACCTTCAAAATCAAAAAACCCAGCCGAGACCAGTCCGGTCCGTACCAGATCAAATTGTCAAACGGCCAAGGAGAAGACGTGAAAGATGTAAAAATTATTATGCAAGATGTGCCGGCACCGCCCGAAGATGTAGACGTAAAAGAAATCTTTCAGACACATTGCAAGGTGTCCTGGAAACCACCAAAAGATGACGGCGGTTCGCCTTTGTTGCAATATGTCGTCGAAAGACAGGACCTCAGCTTGAAAGGTATAATATATATATATATATATATATATATATATATATATATATATATATATATATATATATATATATATATATATATATATATATATATATATATATATATATATATATATATATATATATATTGAGTCACGGATGGAAAAATGTGATGACACTATATTCCGGGATATCATCCGTTCGCTCGTTGAACTCCGACTGGAATCCTGCAGACGTTTCGCCAAAATCTCACTTGGCATCTTCAATGCTCGCGCTCCGTGTGTGTGTGTGTGTTCGAAGTGTTTTCGGAGCGCGAGCATTGAAGATGCCAAGTGAGATTTTGGCGAAACGTCTGCAGGATTCCAGTCGGATGCAGGATTTGCAGGATTCCAGTCGGATGCAGGATTTGCAGGATTCCAGTCGGAGTTCAACGAGCGAACGGATGATATCCCGGAGTATAGTGTCATCATATATATATATATATATATATATATATATATATATATATATATATATATATATATATATATATATATATATATATATATATATATATATATATATATATATATATATATATATATATATATATGTATATATATACCATTTATATATACCACATATATTTCTTCTTAGCTTTGACCAGTTTTGCCATTTTCCATTGAAAATAACATTATATTTAAATCGCTGTGGGCTACAAGTTTGGCAATAAATGAAGTAGAATCTTACGCACCATTTTTTTAGCGGGTTGGGACAATGTTGGCGAAGTGAAACCGAACCAACCTACCGTGTTTAAAGTAGAAGGCCTTACGCCCAAAAAACAATACAAATTTAGGATTAGGGCTGTTAATAAGTTAGGCTCTAGTGAGCCCGCCTTATTTGCTAAGCCCGTACTCGCTAAGGATCCTTGGGGTAAGAATATCGCATTTATAAAACCCACACTTTTCACTACTTTAGAAACGTTTTAGACGAACCAAGCAAGCCGAACGACGTCCAAGTCGTCGACTGGGACAAGGACCACGCCGATTTAAAATGGTCTCCGCCGGAAAATGATGGAGGGGCACCTATTACCAGCTACATAATTGAATACAAGGATAAATTTGGTAAAGAGTGGGCAAAAGGTATCGAGGTCCCAGGCGAACAACTAAGTGGAACCGTACCGGGGTTGAAAGAAAACAGCCAGTACGAATTTCGTGTTAGGGCCGTGAACAAAGCCGGACCTGGTGAGCCTAGTGATGCCACCAAACCGATCATCGCCAAATGCAGATTCGTTAAGCCGTTTATTATCGGCGACGACTTGAAGAGCATCATCATTAAGAAAGGGCAGATTATTAAATATGATATCAAATTTGGTGGAGAACCTGAACCGGCGGTTCAATGGTTCTTAGATCAGAAAGAAGTCAAAGCCGATCTGGAGGAAAGAGTTACCCTCGACTTGTACGAGAAAAACACCATCTTGACGGTCCGAAGGGCCACCAGAGCCGACAGCGGTAAATACAGACTGGTGCTTACCAACAGTTCCGGCACGTGCGAGGGCGTTGCCGAAGTGATCGTCCTCGACAAACCTACCCCACCAAAGGGACCCTTAGAACCGGAAGAAATCAGAGCGGATCACGTGACAGTTAAATGGCAAAAACCCGAAGACCTGGGAGGAACCGATCTAACCGGTTACGTTTTGGAAAAAATGGACATGGACACTGGCAGATGGGTATCCGCCGGAGAAGTAGGTCCGGGAGATACAAAGTTCACGTTCAAAAATTTAACCCCCAAGAAAAAATACAAGTTCAGGGTAAGAGCGAAGAATAAGGAAGGCGAATCGGAACCTTTGGAGACCACCGATTTCATCTTGGCCAAAAATCCGTACGACGAACCGGGCGCGCCTGGTAAACCGGAAATTGTTGATTATGACAACAAGAGCGTTTCGCTGAAATGGGCCAAACCGGAAAACGACGGCGGACGTCCGATTACCCACTACACGATAGAAATGAAGGACAAGTTTTCGCCCGATTGGAAAGAAGTTTCGAAAACGTCAGACAATAATCCGGAAGCGAAGGTAGAAGGTCTCAAAGAGAATCAAGTTTATCAATTTCGTGTGCGCGCCCATAACAAGGCGGGACCCAGTGTTCCATCCGAAGCTACCGACAATCACCTCTGCAAGCACAGGAACTGTAAGAATTTTTCGTTTGACTTAACCATTATTAATTGGATTTTTTTCTGCGACTCTACCCCGGAATTTCGACTAATTTACTTACTTATTTAATTTTTTTTTAAAACAGAGAACCCTCGAATACACAGTGCTTACGTTTGTTTCCATATTTTTGATTTTGTTTGATTCCAGGTATTTATTTAGTAAAACTGTACATATTTTTATTGTATATATATTTTCTGGAATTGTGACGTTTCTACCATATTGTACAGATACCCCTATATACGAAGTGTTCCAAAATTAGTGCACGTTCTAAGGATTTTCCAGACTTGCGCACGCTACATCATAATTATTTTAAACTACATTTGGAACGCCCTGTATATATTACCGGCGTTGTAAACATTTCGAGCGCAACTAACACCGGATTAATTTTACAGTAAAACCGCGTATTGACAGAGAAACGTTTAAGTCGGTCACGATTAAGGCCGGAAGGACCCATAAATGGGCGGTCGATTTTATGGGCGAACCGCCACCGGAAGTTAAGTGGGTTTGGCGTGATAACATCCCGCTCACGAACACGGAAAGGATTAAAATCGAAAACAGCGAATATCACACGGACTTCACTTTGCTCAATGCGGTGAGGAAAGATACCGGAAAATACACTTTGATAGTGGAAAATTGTAACGGCAAAGACCAAGAAACTGTCGAACTGACGGTTCTTAGTAAACCGGACGCGCCGAAAGGTCCGCTTGTAGTTAGCGACGTCACTGCGGAAAAAGCCAAAGTCAGCTGGAAAAAGCCGGAAGATGACGGCGGAAGTCCCATCAAGGAATACGAAATTGAAAAAATGGATGTGGCTACGGGAAAATGGGTGCGTTGTGGTAGAGTTCCCGCTGATAAATTATCACCCGACGGTAAAGGGGAGTTTGAAGTAACCGGCCTGAATCCCGGTTCGGAATATAAATTTAGAGTAACGGCAGTGAACGATGAAGGCGATTCGGAACCCCTGGTCGCAGACAGACCGATTCTGGCTAAAAATCCATTTGGTAAGTAAAGTCGTTGACCGATTAGTTTATAGGAGTGGACGTTAATTGTATTATTGTAGACGAACCAGGTAAACCGGGTGTGCCCGAAATCGTAGACTACGACAACAAAGGTGTTAATTTGAAATGGACACCTCCGGCTAATGATGGCGGTGCTCCGATCGAGAAATACATAATCGAAAAGAAGGATCGTTACAAACCCGATTGGGAGAAAGCAATTGAAGTACCTGGAGATCAGTTGGAAGCCCGGGTAGAAGATTTGAAAGAACGCGGTGAATATCAGTTCCGCGTTAAGGCAGTCAACAAAGCCGGACCTGGTCAACCATCTGACGCTTCCCAAATGCAAATTATTAAACACCGAGCACGTAAGTATAACCAGTTACGACACAATTTTTCTTAGCTTTTTGTATTGAAGTATTCTTATTTTCTGCTTCATTAAGGCTGGTTTTTTCATCATAGTGTCTTTAGTAGTAATGAGAACAAAATTACAATATCCTAAATTTCCAAAAAACTGTAGTTTTGATTCGATTCGATTGTTATTGCGATGTTAACAAAATTCGATAATAGTGAAACCGAGAATTGACCGAACGAATCTGAAACCCATCATCGTCCGTGCTGGCAAACCCATCAAATATGATATCGACGTCAGAGGTGAACCTCCACCGACGTGCACATGGATTCACGCGGATACGGAACTTAAATCGGAAGGAAATGTCGAAATTATTAACGTCGACTATAACACCAAGTTAAACATCACCAATTCCATACGGAAAAATACCGGAGTGTACAGAATAAAAGCTGTTAACGAACATGGTTCCGACGAAGCGGAAGTTGAAGTCACGGTACTGTGTAAGTATACTAACAGTAGAGTAGTTGCTATAATTTTAAAGGCAATTTCTGGGACTTCTATTATACATTTAAACACGATATATTTATTTTATGATTAAAAATTGTTTTGTATATTATAAGTGGGGATCACTTTCAGCGTCGCCTTCTAAGCCCAAGGGTCCGCTTAAAGTATCCGATGTAACCAAAAGCGGATGCAAACTTAAATGGGACAAACCGGAAGATGACGGTGGAAAGCCCGTCACCGGTTACGTCGTCGAAAAACTGGATAAACAAACGGGGAGATGGGTTCCCGTGGGACGTACGGGACCCAACGACACGGAAATGGACGTTAAAGGTCTCCAAGAGGGACACGAATACGACTTCCGGGTGAAAGCGGTTAATGACGAAGGCGAATCGGATCCCCTCGATTCTGAGGGAACGATCGTCGCCAAGAATCCGTACGACATACCCGGTAAGCCTGGAACTCCGGAAATTACCGACTGGGATGCCGATCGTGTCGACTTGAAATGGACGGCCCCAAAAAGCACCGGAGGTGCGCCCATTACCGGTTATGTAATAGAAAAGAAAGAGAAATTCTCCACTTCTTGGGATGAGATTCTTACCACAGACGTAAGTAAAGTGCTGGTGTTGGTAATACTTAATTTTGCAACCTTTAACTTCTGCGCAAAAGGTTTCGAAATTTACAGGACAAAATCGTACCGAAGATCTTAATAAAAAAATAAATAAATAAAAAAAAGCACATCTAGAACTTCAAATATTTTATGCTATCCTAGTATCCTAGAACCGCGTTCAATAATAAAGTGTCTAAATTAATCAATATCTTTTATGTTACTAAAAACTAGTCAATAAAATTTCAATTTGTCCACAGTAAAATCACTCAAAATCGAAATTTTCCAAAAATCTTAAATACATTTTTGATTAATATTCCGTAGACATGAATTGACGATCAAAATTAAGAATTTATTTCTCTTATGATATTTTAGTTGAAAATTTCCATTTATCCACAGTAAAATCACTGAAAATCAAAATTTCTCAAAAATCTTAAATACATTTTTGTAGACATGAATTACTATCAAAATGAAGAATTTATTTCTCTTATGATATTATAGTTGAAAATTTAAAGTAATTTTTATATTATACATGGAACTCCTTGTATAGTGTTCTTCCAAAAATAAGAACAATCATTTAGAGCTATATACATGGTTATATTATATATAAAACGCCCCCTAGATGGAGCAATGAGTTTTTAAATTTTGCTACCAAGAAGTTTTTATACTAAAAAAATACTTTTTACTTAAAAAAATATATATTATTTAAGAGTTCAAGCTGCGATGCGAGAGTATCCGAAATGAAATAGAGAAACCTATCAGTTTCCCGTAAAGTGCTTGATTTTGGATCAATTTGCTAACTCTTGCAAAAATCTTCGAACTTTACAGGGCAAACTCATTAATTAAAGGGTTCGTCTATTTTATTTTATTAAAAATATGTTTTTCCCAAAAACCTATAACACCTTTTTTATTTATTATGCCGTAGATACGAAGTATTCAAAATTAGAAATTTCTTTAAGTTGAAATTATTTTTATTTTATACATGAAACCCACTGTACATTCTTCGATTCTCTCGAAACAATAATTTTTTATTTTCTAATGAATTTACATTTTTTAAAAGTTCGAATTACCTATAATTTAAGTATAATAAAATAAAGTTGGACTATAGCAAGAGAAAAAGGGGTTAATATAAATCAAGAAATTTTAACAATAATTTAAATTAATATACAGGGTTACGTTAGGAATAAAACAAGCTCCTTTAAATTACTTTATTTTTAAAGATGAAGTACTAAGTTTTAAATTTTGTTACCAAAGTGTGCTTAAATAAGTCCACTTCCTATTTCTAGTAGGATATCGGAAATATAAACTCATATAAAGGTCGCTTCTTTAATAAAATTTTATACTTATGCTCTTGGTAGTTTCTACATAGCGAAGGACCTTTAAAAAATTAATTTACATTTTTAAGAGTCCAAGCTGCGAAGCGAGGGTACCCGGATTGAAAGAGGGCAATACGTACCAGTTTCGGGTAAGGGCAGTGAACAAAGCTGGTCCCGGTGAACCGTCGGAACCAACTGGACAACACGTCGCTAAACCAAGACACCGTACGTCACATTTATAATCACAATATCTTATTATAAACACCGTTTTTCTTCCAGTACGACCTCTCATTAACCGAGAAAAACTCCACACTGTCAAAGTTCGTGCAGGGCAACTGGTCAAATTCGACGTCGACGTCAAAGGCGAACCTCCACCGAAATGCACCTGGAGCTTTGCCAATAAACCTTTGGAAAATGGCCCTAATGTTAAGATCGAAAATGAAGATTACAACACCAAGATCACTCTATCTGATACCAAACGAAAAGACACCGGCACCTACACGATCCGTGCCGAAAACGAATCGGGATTCGACGAAGCACCCGTCGAGGTTATCATACTGGACAAACCTGGAAAACCGGAAGGACCGCTGGAAGTCAGCGACGTCCACAAAGAAGGGTGCAAATTAAAATGGAACAAACCCAAAGACGATGGCGGACTGCCAATTACAGGCTACGTGGTGGAGAAACAAGACACCCAAACTGGACGATGGGTTCCGGCAGGGTTCGTGGACGCCGACAAGACCGATCACGAAATAACCGGCCTGGAGCCGAACAAAAAATACAATTTCCGCGTGAAAGCTGTAAACGAAGAAGGGGAGTCGGAACCGTTGGAAACAGATACCGCCACCCTGGCTAAGAATCCTTACGACGTTTCGTCGCCACCTGGAATGCCCGAAATCGTCGATTGGGATGAACATTCGGTTAAACTTAAATGGGACAAACCAGTTAGAGACGGAGGTGCGCCGATAACGGGCTACGTTATCGAGGCGATGGATAAATTCGGAGGACAGTTCGTTAAAGTTGCCGAAGTCGGGCCTCAATGCACCGGAACGGTACCAAAATTAGAAGAAGGAAATCAATACAAGTTCAGGATAAGAGCCCTTAATAAGGCGGGTCAATCGGAACCTTCCGAACAAACAAATTGGCATACGGCCAAAGCGCGATTCTGTAAGTACTGTAAGAGTTTTTTAAATATAAAACAAACAACGGTTTTGTTTCCAGTGAAACCACTTATCGACCGGACAAATTTGAAGCCGCTAACGGTTAAGGCTGGTTTATCGATCAGCTTGGACGTCAACATTCAAGGCGAGCCGCCGCCGACCGTTACTTGGCTGTACGACGGCAAAGAAATCGCTTCGTCTGAAGAGATTCGCATCGATAACATCGATTACAATACGAAATTCTTCATTCTTCGTTCGAAGAGGGCTCAATCTGGCAAATATACCATCATCGCGAAGAACTCGGAAGGAGAAGACCAAGCGGATGTTGAGATTTCCATTTTAGGCAAACCGTCGGCTCCTAAAGGTCCTCTCGATGTCTCTGACGTCACCAAACACGGTTGCAAGCTGAAATGGAAAAAACCAGATGACGACGGTGGTACTCCAATCGATCATTACGAAATTGAAAAACTCGATCCATTAACTGGACAGTGGATAACGTGTGGTAGAAGTACCGAACCAGAAGCTAACATTGTAGGGCTCCAAGAAGGAAAGCCGTACAAATTTAGAGTTAAAGCTGTGAACAAGGAAGGCGAATCTGAACCGCTCGAGACTGAAAAATCAATAATTGCGAAGAATCCATTCGGTATGTGACAGTTGATACGATCAATTTTAAATCCGATTATCATTACGGTATTTACAGATGAACCCAGTAAACCGGGTAGACCAGATCTCAAAGATTGGGACAAAGATTTCGTCGAACTTAGTTGGAAAGCTCCGGTCAGTGATGGCGGAGCACCTATCGAAAAATACATCATCCAAATGCACGACAAAGCTGGTAGGGGTTGGGTCGATGCTGCCACTGTCCCCGGCGACAGAACTAACGGGCGTGTAGATAACGTTGAAGAAGGACACGAATACGAATTCAGAATCGTCGCTGTGAACAAAGCCGGCCCCAGCGAACCTAGCGATCCATCCAAACCCGTAATAGCCAAACCCAGATTCTGTGAGTAACTTTCGATGCCATAACTATCACTATATTTATGGTTGTCATATCATACCTTTCCTTCAGCACATTCAGCTGTGAACTACGTCTTCTTTCATTTATCAGGATTTCTATCACATCTAATCAATTCGCCTATAATTTCCCATCATACGCCAAACTATTTTAATGCAACTTTTTAAGGCAAAAAAATGTTATTCTCAGTTGAAATTTTCTTGCATCATCTGGCAATTCCTTTTAACTGATCTTTGCGCATCATTTCTTATATCAATTTAAATCTGTATTACTAGTTTAAGACGCCTTGGAAAATAGTCGAATGTGCGAGACAATGTTTTCATTGCAGTGGCACCCAAAATCGATCGCAGGAATCTTCAGAAGAAGGTACTTAGACCTGGCCAATTGCTTCGACTTGAAGCTGATGTTAAAGGCGAACCACCACCGACTGTGACGTGGACTCTGAAAGAACAAACGTTAAGAAACAACGACAGAATTAAAATCGATAACGAAGATTACCACACTAGTTTTGTATTGCAGAAAGTTCAACGTACCGATACTGGTATTTACACGGTAACTGCCCGAAATGATTCGGGTGTTGATACGGTCGACGTTGAGCTTTTGGTGGTCAGTAAACCATCGAAACCTAAAGGTCCCTTAAAGGTGTCTGACGTTACTGCGGATGGATGTAAACTGAAATGGGAACCGCCAGAAGATGATGGTGGTGAACCGGTAACTGGATACGTGGTGGAAAGAATGGACGTAGAAACAGGCAGATGGGTTCCAGTAACCACGACCAAAACGCCTGAAGCCGACGTTACGGGATTAAACGAGGGAAAAGACTATCAATTCCGAGTCAAGGCCATCAATTCTGAAGGCGAATCGGAGCCTTTGGTGACCGACGAACCCACGACGGCGAAAAATCCCTACACGGAACCAGACTCGCCGGGTAAACCCGAACTCAAAGACTGGAATAAAGATCATGCTGATCTTAAATGGACACCGCCTAAAAACGACGGTGGTGCTCCAATCGAGAAATACATTATCGAGAAAAAAGATCCGGTTACCGGAAAATGGCATAAGGCCGTTGAGGTACCCGCCAACAAAACCGAAGCGAGAGTACCCGATTTACAAGAAGGTCAAAAGTATCAATTCCGCGTTAAAGCGGTAAACAAAGGAGGTGAAAGCAAACCGTCACCACCATCGGAAACAATTACCGCCAAAGATCGATTTGTCCCGCCAAAGATCGACCGCAGTACTCTGAAAGATTTAACAGTTAAAGCCGGCCAGCATATTAGGCTTGACGTGAAGGTTTCCGGCGAACCACCGCCGACTAAAACATGGTTCCTTAACAAAGCTCGTATTGAAAATCGAGACGACATTAATATCGATTTGGAAGACTACAGGACCAAACTTGTAATCGCGGTTGCCAAACGTGAACACACCGGCACGCTCGTCCTCAAAGCTGAAAATAACTCCGGCAGAGACGAGGCTAGCATCGAAATCAAAGTGCTCGACAAACCGGGCAAACCCGAAGGTCCCCTTAGGATCAGTGACGTTCATAACGAAGGGTGCGCCCTTAAATGGAACGCCCCGCTGGACGATGGGGGTGTTCCTATCGAGTACTACCAAGTTGAAAAACTGGACACGTCTACTGGTCGATGGGTGTCTGCCGGGCGTGCTAAAGAACCCAAAATTGAACTGAACAATTTAGAACCTGGTCAGGAATATAAATTCCGAGTAGCCGCGGTCAATGCCGAAGGTGAATCCGAACCGCTGGAATCCGAACAAACGATTGTTGCTAAGAATCCATTTGGTAAGTTATCGCATGCTTCTCGTTTGCTCCTATAACAATTAAAAATAATTACTTCCAGACGAACCGGGTGCCCCTGGAACTCCTGAAGTGACCGACTGGGATAGGGACCACGTGGACTTAAGATGGACTCCACCATCCAATGATGGCGGATCTCCAATCACAGGATACATTATTGAAAAGAGAGAGAAGGGATCTCCGAAGTGGACGAAAGCAGGCGAAACTGGTCCCTACGAAACGAAAGGGACGGCGGACAATTTGGATGAAGGCGTCGAATATGAATTTAGAGTTCGGGCGGTTAACGCTGCTGGGCCTGGGGAACCAAGTCAAGCCTCTAAATCGGTAGTCACCAAACCTAGAAGATGTAAGTGATCTCTCTTTCCTTTTTCAAAATATATTTTTAATTATTTGTATTAATACTTTTCTTCATTAGTGCCACCCAAAATTGACCGCCGCAATTTGCACAATTTGACGGTAAAAGAAGGAGAACCGATTTACATAGACGTAAAAATCAGCGGCGAACCAGCCCCCGACGTCACGTGGTACCAAGAGGGCCGTACGATTACGCAAACGGCACATAAACGCGTCGACGATATTCCCAATAACTCCAAATTCTTCAACGACAAACCCGAACGAAAGGATACTGGAGTTTATAAAATCGTGGCGATTAATAAATACGGTCAGGACCAGGCGGAAATCGAAATCACTGTCGTCTGTAAGTGCGGGAAACGTTAACAGTGTTGAAAATTGGATAACTAATTTTGATTCAATTGATTGCAGCTAAACCTGGGCAACCCGAAGGACCGCTAGAGGTGTCCGACATTCACAAGGACGGTTGCACACTCAAATGGAAGCGACCAAAAGACGATGGCGGGGAACCGATTGAAAACTACGTTGTCGAAAAAATGGACCCCGAAACCGGATTGTGGCTGCCCGTAGGTAAAACTACGGGAGCCACTCCGGAAATGAAAGTGGACGGTCTTATTCCGGGCCACGAATACAAATTCAGAGTGAAAGCTGTTAATAAGGAAGGTGAATCTGAACCATTGGAGACTGCCGGAACTATTACAGCCAAAGACCCGTACGGAACGGCCACCAAACCGGGAACCCCCGAACCTCAAGATTGGTCTGCAAATCACGTGGAGTTGAAATGGACGGAACCAGCATCGGACGGCGGGGCCCCAATTACAGGCTACATCGTCGAAATGAAGGACAAATACAGCCCGCTATGGGAGAAAGCTCTGGAAACTACCACCCCCACCCCTACAGCTTCCATAGGAGGGTTGATTGAGGGCAACGAGTACCAGTTCCGGGTGATCGCGGTCAATGCTGCCGGACAAAGCCCTGCCTCTGACGCTAGCAAAACGTTTATCGCTAAGCCCAGATTTTGTAAGTTACCGTGTTCTAAGCGATGTCTTTATTATATATTATATTTTTATGGAGGTTTATGTCATTAAATTTAAAATGGCCATATATTAACCTTGCATCACAGGGTGGTCCGAGAATCTCAAAAACAAGTAAAAACAAAAGTTGTTTGAATGCATTTATTTATGTTTCATATATATTCCTACAATCCAGGGTTTTTGTATTTTGGTTGACAAGTTACAACTTTCTTATTTTAAATTTAATGCTTGGCATATCAAGGCAGTTGTGAATTTCTCAGAACTTTTTAGACTAAGTCTTTGCCACGCTAAATTAATCTATCGATGGCATTTTATAGACTTGGGGTCTAAAAAAACTAATTAATGGAGAAAATACTATATTAAATACAACAAACCAAAAAGACCTTTTGACATTTTTTTTAACATTATGATGATTATTAAAGCAAAGATACTAATTAGAATAATTAATTTTAATGATTTTATCATTTTCAGTGGCACCCAAAATTGACAGACGTTATTTGCATGACGTCACGCTATCGGCAGGTTCGCCTCTCAAATTCGAAGCGAATATCATCGGCGAACCACCACCGACGGTCGAATGGCGTTTCAACGGTATCACATTGAAGAACGACAAACGCACCACGATTGATAACGTCGACTACAACACGAAAATAGCGATCCGCCCTGTAAATAGGGACGATACCGGACAGTACACGGTGACCGCCACCAACAGTTCCGGAAAGGACACTCACGTGATCAACGTTACCGTAACCGACAAACCGACCCCACCCCAAGGACCCCTTCAAATATCCGACGTGAACAAAAACGGTTGCAAACTCAAATGGAAACGTCCGAAAGACGACGGCGGTACTCCTATCGAGTACTACCAAGTGGACAAGATGGATCCGGAAACCGGATGTTGGGTACCGTGCGGCAGAGCGACGGAACCCAGTAAGCCCTCGCCTCCCTTTCCTCTCCCTATTCGGTTAATTTAATTTATTTCCAGATTTCGAGGTAACCGGATTAACTCCGGGCCACGAATACAAATTTAGAGTAGCCGCTGTGAACTCGGAAGGTGAATCAAAACCGTTGGAAGCTGAAGAGGCAATCGTCGCTAAAAATCCCTTCGACGAGCCTGGCGCGCCGGGTCACCTCAAAGCAACCGATTGGGATAAAGACCACGTCGATCTGGAATGGACGCCCCCTAAAGATGACGGCGGAGCTCCGATCACAGGTTACATAATAGAAAAGAAAGACAAGTTCGGCGATTGGGAGAAAGCTCTCGAGGTACCGGGCGATAAGCTAAAAGCCACGGTCCCGGATTTGATCGAAGGGCAACCCTACCAGTTCAGAGTGAGGGCGGTAAACGCAGCCGGACCCGGTGATCCGAGTAACGAAACACCCACGATAATAGCGAAACCGAGAAACTTGGCCCCCAAAATTGATAGGACCAATTTGATCGAAGTGCGTATCAGGGCCGGTCAAAACTTCAATTTCGACGTTAAAGTGTCGGGCGAACCGATGCCGACCACTAAATGGTTACAAAAGGGCAAAGAAATTAAATCAGGGCCCAACGTCAAAGTCCAACATGGCGATTATAACACGAAAATATCAGTACGAAACGCGACGCGTGGTGATTCTGGTACTTACACCGTCACCGCCGAGAACGTCAACGGTAAGGATATCGCAGAAGTTGAAGTGATCGTCTTGGACGTGCCTAGTCCGCCTGGAGGACCCCTCAAAGTATCCGATGTCCACGCCAACGGTTGTAAGCTCAGTTGGAGACCTCCGGCTGACGATGGCGGTCAACCCGTTGAGAGATACGTGGTGGAAAAAATGGACGAAGCCACCGGACGGTGGGTACCTGCTGGCGAAACTGACGGTCCCGAGACGTCGTTGAAAGTAGACGGACTAACACCCGGTAAAAAGTACAAGTTTAGAGTTCGCGCTGTTAACCGTCAAGGTAAATCGGAACCGTTGCAAACGGCCCAAGCGATCGAAGCTAAAAATCCGTTCGACGAGCCTGGCAAGACCAGCGCACCTGAGATCGTGGATTATGACAAAGATTTCGTCGAACTCAAGTGGGACAAGCCCGAAAACGATGGCGGATCTCCAATCACGGGTTACGTTATCGAAAAACGAGACAAATTTAATCCGAATTGGGAAAAATGCGCTGAAGTTGAAGGAGATGTTCCCCGGGGTAAAGTGAACGATCTTATCGAAGGTACTCCGTACGAATTCCGTATTAGGGCCGTAAATAAAGCCGGGCCCGGTGAACCCAGCGACGCGTCCAAAATCCACGTCGCCAGACCTAAAAATTGTAAGTTTTTTTTTTAAGTAATAGAGTAATTGTTTACCCGACGCTGTTTCGTTTCAGTGGCACCGAAAATTGATAGAAACGCTTTGTTCGATCTCAAAGTCAAAGTCGGGCAATCGATCGAATTCAACGTGCCGGTTATCGGCGAACCACCGCCGAGCAAAGAATGGACCCACAAAGACGACGTTCTATTTAATTCCGACCGAATTAAAATCGTAAACGAAGATTATAAGACAAGCATAAAAATATCGGACGCTCAAAGAGGCGACAGCGGTCCGTATACCCTTACCGTGAAAAACGTAAACGGTAAAGATGTCGCCACAGTTAAGGTCACAGTTTTGGATGTGCCTACCCCACCCGAAGGCCCTCTGACTGCTGACAATGTCACCAAAAATTCGCTAACGCTCCATTGGAAACCACCCAAGGATGACGGTGGTTCCGAGATTACTCATTATGCGGTAGAAAAGTTAGACACCGAAAATATGAGATGGGTGCCGGTAGGCGACTCCATCGGAACGTCCATGAGGGTGCCCAACTTGACGGAAGGGCACGATTATCAATTTAGGGTGCGGGCTTGCAATAAACAAGGTGATTCCGCGCCGCTCACCACTACGGAGAGCATTACGGCAAAAGATCCTTTCACTAAACCGGATAGACCTGGAGCGCCGAAACCGACAGATTGGGATAAAGATCACGTCGATCTCGAATGGAGCCCTCCTAGGAAAGACGGTGGAGCGCCAATTACGGAATATATTATCGAGAAACGGCCTAAACATGGGTAAGCGTAAACAAAATTTAGAGCCCGATAGCTTAAATAAAATATGATTATATATAAATAATTAAAATTTTAATCTTCTTATACACTATTTGCCTTTCAAAAAAAATATTAAAATATTAATTTATTTTTAAAAATATCGAAAAATTTTATTGAAAGAAGTTTTTTCTTGTTTAGTGTTCCAACTGTGTACTAATTTTCAAAAAATTAGGGCATACTTGATTTTTTTTGAAGTTTTCTAACTCTAACTCTTCTTTGGTACATTAGAAAAGTAAGATTCAATCTACTTAGCTGAACCAGACAAAATATTTTAATTAAATGTTTTTCTTTAAATTTATCTTTAACACTCAATTTCAAAGCACATCTTCAAATACAAACTGACATATTTTTTTCAATTTTATTTTTTAATATATTTTTCTTTAACAGAATTTATTACAACAAGTTAGTGGGCTGTCAAAATAAACTTGTGTGTGTACAATATTTAATGCGCATTGATAATTACACCTCTATTATACCCAATTTATCATAACTGACATATTTTGTGTTAGCATGAGACAGCAAAGAATAGCTCATAAAAAATTAAAATGATAGATAAATGCTTTGTATTTCAAATACAAAATGTAATACATATTTCTAAAAAGCTCATAACAGGCGTAAGAAGATTATCGACACATACAGAGCGTTCTATTAAAAAAAAAAAGAAGTTAAGTTTATATGTCAAAGTTTGTGAATTCCAGAAGAAAATTGATTACAGCACTGAATTTTACATAAAAAACAATATACAGAACAGCTTTCACTAGCAAACCCCACACGGGTGCAAAGTGAAAACAGATTAATAAACCAAAATATTTTATGCCGTGTCTTCAGCCGTCCTGTATTATCTTAGTCTTTAACACTAACCAAAGCAATCGATTTTTAGAACCTGGGAAGAGGCGGCGCGAGTACCCGGCAACACCACTAAAGGAACGGCACCCAATTTAACAGAGGGAGAAGAATACGAATTCAGAGTAATCGCTGTTAACAAAGGTGGCCATAGTGAACCTAGCGAGGCGTCTGTTCCTGTAATCGCCAAGCCAAGGTTCCAAGCACCTACATTTAACAAAAGTCTACTCGAGGACATCACGGTTAAAGTTGGACAACGTTTCGGTTGGGTCATACCGATCGAAGCGTCACCCAAGCCGACGGCAAAATGGACACTGAACGGTAAAGAAGTATCACCGAACGAACGAATCGACGCCGCAGTATACAACAACAAAGTTTCGTTTGATATATCGTCGTCGTTGCGATCAGACGCTGGAAGATATACTTTAACCCTTACCAACGACTTGGGAAGCTTTAGTGCGTCAGCTCAAGTCACCGTGCTGGATAAACCTGGACCTCCACAACCTCCGCTAGATGTTAGCAGTGTCACCAAAGAGAGCGCCAGAATATCTTGGAAGATTCCTCTAGACGACGGCGGGTCACCTATACTTCACTACGTGGTCGAGAAAATGGACGTATCTCGTGGAACATGGTCGGACGCTGGAATGGCCACGATTACGTCTCACGATATCACCAGATTAATCCATCGCAAGGAATATTATTTCCGAGTTAAAGCAGTTAACGCTGTCGGTGAATCCGAGCCTCTCGAAACGTCGAGAAGCATCATCGCCAAAAACGAATTCGGTAAGTGTATAACTATGAAAGGCAGCGATCTAAGTTGAATTTTCGATTAGGAGCGATTTTTTTTTCAAAGCAAAAAAGGTGTTAATGTTTGGGTTAAAAAATTCTGTTCCATTGCAGATGAACCAAGTGCCCCAGGCAAACCAGCAGTTACCGATTGGGACAAGGACCACGTAGATTTGGAATGGACACCACCGAAAAACGATGGTGGCTCTCCGATCACAGGGTATATAGTGCAAAAGAAGGAAAAGGGAAGCCCTTACTGGACGAATGCTGTGCATGTCCCTGCGCGTAAGAATGCTTGCACTGTGCCTGATTTGACCGAAGGACAAGAATACGAATTTCGAGTAATAGCCACAAATACCGCGGGTCAGAGTGAACCATCGGAACCCTCAGATCTCGTCACCGCCAAAGCGAGATTCTGTAAGAAAACGCCCGTTGCCAATCACATTCGTAACAAAAAACCAATTTTGAAATTCTGATTTCAGTGGCCCCTAAAATTAAAACGCCCCTTAACGATATCCGGATTAAGGCCGGTCTTATTCTCCATATCGACATTGACTTTATCGGTGAACCTTGTCCGGAAGTCGTTTGGACCGTCGGCAGTAAACCTCTTAATGCTGACGACCGTACGACTGTGACATCCATCGGTTATCACACTGTCATCCATACTGTAAACGCTAAACGTTCAGATAGCGGCTTATACCATATTCTGATTAGAAACAGTTCAGGTATCGATGAAGGATCGTTCCAAGTAAACGTTTTGGGTAGGTTAATATAGTTAACACGTTAAACCGCGTATTGAAAACTGGTTATTCAGATCGTCCGGCTCCACCAGAGGGTCCTCTGGAATACGAAGAAGTCACGGCCCAAAGCGTAACGTTATCGTGGAAGCCGCCTAAAGATAATGGTGGAAGCGAAATCACGTAATAATACTAAATTAATACTAAAATTAATGCATGTTCATGTATATTTAACAAATTGTCGATTTTTAGTGGATATGTTATTGAGAAGCGGGATTTGACCCACGGTGGTGGTTGGGTACCCGCCGTTAATTATGTCAACCCCAAGTACAACCACGCGGTAGTTCCTAGACTATTAGAGGGAACGAAATATGAGTTCAGAGTATTTGCCGAAAATATGCAAGGTCGTTCGGATCCATTAGATACCGAAAAACCGGTGGTAGCCAAAAACCAATACGGTAAATTGTGAAATATTTTAGTGCAATCATGTATCCTAATTTTATTTTTCAAATTATTGAAGACGTACCCGGAAAGCCAGGAAAACCAGAACTAGTGGATAGCGATAAGGACCACATCAAAATCAAATGGTCGGCGCCCATCAGTAATGGAGGCTCACCTATTGTCGGCTACGATGTGGAGAGACGTGATCGTGCTACAGGTCGATGGGTCAAACTTAATAAGGAACCCACTAAAAATCTAGAATATTACGATGACCGCGTGCAAGAGGGTCATCAATACGAATATAGAGTTTCTGCCGTTAACGCAGCAGGAAATGGTAAACCGAGTGACGCATCCAACGTTTTCATTGCCAAACCGATGAAAGGTAATGTTTGTTATCAGTTTGATATTTTATTCTGAACAAATTTTAATTATAGAAAAACCGAAATTGTGGCTCGACGGTATAATCGGAAGAAAAATAAAAGTGCGTGCTGGGGAACCTATAAACATCGACATCCCGTTGTCTGGAGCTCCTGCTCCTAAAGTAGAATGGATTAAAAATAAAGTCAATGTACCAGAAAGTAACAGACTTTACGTAAGTAGTTGTAAAACACGATTATTAATATTTTAAAAAAATGAGTTATTTGTATTTCACAGACGGAAACTAACAGCGAACACACTAGACTACGGGTTGAAGCTTCCAACAGAGGAGACTCTGGTGTGTATACGGTACGAGCTAAGAACGAATTCGGATCTGATGAAGCCGACATCGAGGTAATCGTCGTTGATAAACCCGGAATACCAAAAGGACCCCTACAGTACACGGCCACTACTCAAGATACGGTGTCCCTATCGTGGAATCCGCCAGCAGACGATGGCGGTGGCGAAATTACCGGCTACATTGTCGAAATATCTGAATTTGGAAGTGATTTATGGAGACCATGCCCGGGATTCTGTCCCAGACCATCGTTTACTGCGCGAGGATTGACGGAAGGGAAAAAATACGTATTCAGAGTGCGCGCTGAAAACATATACGGCGTATCGGAACCTCTAGAAGGTAAACCGGTGGTGGCGAAGAGTCCGTTCGATCCACCTGGTCCACCAAGTCAACCGGAAGTGACCGGATACACACCGTCATCTTGTTCCTTGAAGTGGAATCCACCTGTGGTGACGGGTGGAAAACCGATAAGCGGTTACATCGTGGAAAAACGCGAACGTGGTGGTGATTGGGTGAAAGTTAACAACTATCCCACTCCGAACGCTCAGTATACCGTCCAAGATCTTCGGGAAGGAAACAAATACGAATTCAGAGTAACGGCGGTTAATGAAGCAGGACCAGGCGAACCGAGTAAACCGACGGAACCAATTATCGCCCAACATCAAAGATGTAAGTTTAACTTTCAATTTTAAATTCAACCTAAAAATATTTTATTTCCCTTCCAGTCAAACCTTCGGCACCGGAACCACCAAAACCCGACCGCATCACTAAAGACAGCGTTACGTTATCTTGGAGACCACCTAAAAACGACGGCGGGTCGAAACTCAAGGGCTACATTTTACAGCAACGTCCTAAAGGTGCTGATGATTGGACGGATGTAAACTCCCTCCCCATCAATGATACCGTCTATACTGTTCCTAAACTAAAGGAAGGACAAGAATACCAATTCAGAGTTATCGCCGTCAATGACGTCGGTAATTCCGAACCCAGCAGACCCAGCAATCCCATCCTCATCGAAGAACAACCGAATAAGCCCTGCATGGATTTGGGTGGCGTTCGAGATATAACCGTCCGCGCGGGAGAAGACTTTAGTATTCACGTACCTTATGTCGGATTCCCTAAACCTACCGCCTCATGGTTTGCCAACGACAAACAACTAGACGAGACTGATAGCAGGGTATTTCCACAACTTGCAGACGATTACGCCAGCATTATCGTTAAGAATTCGAAGCGTTCTGATACCGGCCAATACAGATTACAATTAAAAAATCCGTCCGGTTTCGATACCGCTACGATTAACGTTAGAGTGTTGGATAGACCAGGTAAACCGGAAAATCTTCGGGCCGACGAATTTGCAGGCGATGCCTTAACCCTTTACTGGCAACCACCTAAAGATAATGGTGGCGCCGAGATCACCAATTACATCGTCGAGAAAAAGGAAGCCAAATCTTCCACGTGGACCAAAGTAAGCAGCTACGTAACCGTTCCTTTCGTCCGTATTCGTAACCTAACTCTCGGCAAAGAGTACGACTTTAGAGTAATCGCTGAAAATCAATACGGACAATCCGAACCTGCTATTACGTCTGAACCAATTCGAGCTAGACATCCATTCGATCCTCCAGGTGCACCTGGTACCCCGAGAGGAATCGAAACAAGCGAGGATTCTATTACGATACAATGGACGAAACCTCGACATGATGGCGGATCACCGATTACGGGATACGTAGTCGAGAAACGTCTTATTACCGAAGATAAATGGACGAAAGCCTCTCATGCTCTCGTTCCTGACTTAACCCTGAAAGTTATCAGCTTAATAGAAAATCACGAATACGAATTCAGAGTAGCCGCAGTCAATGCTGCGGGTCAAGGACCTTGGAGTTCCGCTTCCGATGCGATTTGCGCGAGAGCCGCCCCTATAGCACCGAGAATCACTTCGGACTTGAGTATTCGAGATATCGTTGTTATTGCTGGGGAAGAACTGAAGATAACCGTGCCCTACGTCGCATCGCCGAAACCTAAAACAACCTGGACTATAAACGGAGACGAAGTTCTCGCCGACGATAGAATTAAAATGGATACCACAGACATAGCTTCCATATTTTACAACAAGTCGGCCAAACGTTCAGATACCGGCAGTTATACGATTAAATTAACTAATTCCATGGGTTCCGATTCGGCATCTTGTCGCGTACTCGTGGTAGACAGACCACAACCACCTCAAGGTCCACTCGACATATCCGACGTCACACCAGATAATTGTTCGTTGGCGTGGAGACCACCTCTCGATGATGGCGGATCACCGATTACTAACTACATCGTAGAAAAATTAGATACCAACGGAATATGGGTGAAAGTAAGCAGTTTCGTTCGCAATACGCACTACGATGTGATGAGCCTCGAGCCAAACAAAAAATACAGCTTCAGGGTTCGAGCGGAAAATCAATACGGCATCAGTGAACCGTTGGAAAGCACCGAACCTGTGATTGCCAAATATCCATTTACCATACCCGACCCGCCTAGTGCACCCAGAGTTGTCGATTGGGATAGCAATACGATTAACCTAACCTGGGATCGCCCTGCTCACGACGGAGGTTCCCGAATTCAAGGATACAAATTGGAATACCGCGATGTTAGAGACACGCACTGGATAAGCGCGAGCGACTACCTAATTAAAGACACCCACTTTGACCTTTACAACATGGTCACCGGACAAGAGTACGAGTTTAGAGTTCGGGCTAAAAATGCGGCCGGGTTTAGTAAACCGTCGGCCGCATCGTCCAGATTTAAACTCAAAGGCAAATTCAACGTCCCCAGTCCACCACGCAATCCTAAAGTCGTCAATGTCGGCAAGGGTTACGTCGATCTGACTTGGGAGCCACCTAGTTCTGACGGTGGATCCAAAATAACCGGCTATATCATCGAAAAGAGAGAGATTGGTAGCCCGTTGTGGTCCAAATGTAACGATTACAATGTCACCGATACCAACTTCACGGTTCTTAATCTACATGACAGATCCGAATACGAGTTTAGAATATCCGCCGTAAATGCTGCCGGTAAAGGTGAACCCAGCACTTGCACGTCACCGGTTAAAGTCTGCGAAGTGCTCGGTGGAGAGAAACCCGACTGGATTCGACGTTTGTTCAACACGTCAGCGCCGCTTGGTAGAACTGTCACCCTAGAATGCGAGGCCAGCGGCAAACCTGAACCCACGTTCCGTTGGTTGAAGAACGGACGTGAAATTCAACACGGAGGAAGATTCAGACTGGAATCTAAAAACGGAACTGCCTTTTTGCATATTTCTGATCTGCTGGATATCGACGACGGCGATTACACTTGCGAAGCGAGCAATTCTTTGGGAGCCGTTACTACCACAGCGAGATTAAAGATTGGAAGTAAGTATTTCTTGTTCTTTGGACGGATGTGTGGTCTGCACTTTACGTTTTATTTTTGTTTCCAGATCCACCCAGAATCGAGCGACTTCCGGGTGACTTATACTTAGCCGAAGGTGATAATACGAAAATTAAAATTTACTACAGCGGAGATCAACCTCTCGATGTAACCCTAACGAAAGACGGACAAAAGATCGACGACGATTCTCACATCAGATTTACCATTTTCGACGATTACATTATCATATTCATAAAAGACATAAAAAAGAACGACGCCGGATCTTACAATCTGACGGTGAAGAATGATAGCGGAAGCGCATCTGGTAGTTTCCCGGTATTCATTACTGGTCTACCTGGACCTCCGACTGGCCCCTTAGAAGCAACGGATATTACCAAACATACGTGCACCCTTAACTGGAAACCCCCTAGCTACGACGGAGGTCTCCGCGTTACCCACTATGTAGTGGAAAGGAAAGATATCAGCGGAACCCATTGGATAACCGTTTCGAGCTCGTGCAGAGATACAACGTTTACGGTACAAGGATTAACCGAAGGACAAGAATATTTATTTAGAGTAATGGCGGTAAACGACAACGGCATGGGACCTCCACTCGATGGAGTTAACCCAGTGAGAGCTAAAGCACCATTTGACAAACCATCGCCTCCTGGTGTACCTAAAGTGACCCAAGTCGGTGGCGATTTCGTTAACCTAGAATGGGACAAACCAGAAAACGACGGTGGAGCTAGAATCCAAGGCTACTGGATTGATAAACGGGAAGTGGGCTCTCTAGCTTGGCAACGGGTTAATCCGTCGTTATGTCTACCCACGCAGATCAACGTATCAAATCTTATAGAAGGACGTCAATATGAGTTCAGGGTGTTCGCGCAAAATATTGCTGGTATCTCGGAACCATCTTCGGCATCCACATCAGTGGTCGTTAAAGATCCTCTGGCACCTACACCGCCTGAGATCATCAAACCGCTTAAGAATGCTCAGTGTATACAGAACCACAACGCTAAATTCGAATGTACGATAACGGGGGTGCCAGCGCCTACAATCACGTGGTACAAAGGGGCTAGGGAAATCACTAGCGGATCCAGGTATCACATTTACAGCGAAGGCGATGTTCACCATCTCGTTATTCATGACGTGTTTGGAGAAGACGCAGACGAATACGTGTGCAGGGCGGTTAATAAGGGTGGAGTCAAATCGACCCGGGCTGAATTACTAATAATGAGTAAGTTTGCGATGGGCTTAGATATATTACATATAGGGAAATTAAAACAAAAAGCATGTTTGATAAATTGGTTAAGGCTTTCGCGGCCCGTTGATAAGCTATTATCTTCATTCGGGTTTAAAGGCCGTCGTCGATTGGCATTACTTCCTAACGTTTCTGAGTCTATGTCCAACATAGGAGATGGAAGGACCTCTGAAGAAGCTCGCCACTCGTGCTAGCGAAACGTTAGGAAGTAATGCCAATCGACGACGGCCTTTAAACCCGAATGAAGATAATAGCTTAAAAAGCATGTTTATCTCTTTATTTCATCTGTTAATGTTTCATTTTCTTTTACAGCCGCGCCTAAACTAAACATTCCACCTCGTTTCCGAGACACGGCATATTTCGATAAAGGCGAGAACGTCATTATCAAAATTCCATTCACTGGTTTCCCCAGACCCAAAATTACATGGGTACGAGAAGGTGAAGTGATCGAATCTGGCGGTCATTATCACGTCGAAGTTAAAGACAGACACGCGATTCTCACCATCCGCGACGCTAGTAAACTGGACAGCGGTCCTTATAGGATCACCGCCGAAAATGAACTGGGACAAGACACGGCAATCGTTAAAATTCAAATTGCCGATCGTCCAGATCCGCCGAGATTCCCAGCTATCGATAATATCGGAACCGACTCTTTGGCGCTAAGCTGGAAAGCACCTGTATGGGACGGCGGAAGCAACATTACGAATTACATGGTAGAAAGACGAGAACATCCTTTGTCTACATGGATTAGGGTCGGCAATACCCGTTTGACAACAATGGCGGTGAGCGGACTCACTCCAGGGCATCAATACGAGTTTAGAATTTACGCCGAAAATATTTACGGCAGATCAGATCCGTCCGAAGTAAGCACGTTGGTAACGATGAAAGATACGATCAAAAAGAAAGTGGAGAAACGAAAATACGAAGTGGATGAGACGGGCAAAAAGATCCGGGAATCACACAAGGAACCAATTAAAGATTATGACAATTACGTGTTCGATATTTACTCTAAATTTGTACCGCAACCTGTAGAAATCAAAACCAGGAGCGTATATGATGACTATGACATACTAGAGGAAATCGGAACGGGAGCGTTCGGAGTCGTTCATCGTTGTCGTGAACGTAAAACCGGTAACATTTTCGCAGCTAAATTCATTCCCGTTTCGCACGCTATGGAAAAAGAATTAATCCGAAAGGAAATCGACATAATGAACCAACTACATCATCCCAAGCTTATCAATTTGCACGACGCGTTTGAAGACGACGACGAGATGGTTCTCATTTACGAATTTTTATCGGGTGGTGAGTTATTCGAACGAATTACCGCCGAAGGATACAGCATGTCAGAGGCGGAGGTCATTAATTACATGAGGCAAATTTGCGAAGGAATCAAACATATGCACGAGAAAAATATAATACACCTCGATATTAAACCGGAGAACATCATGTGCCAATTGAGGAAAGGGACTAATATTAAATTGATCGATTTCGGATTAGCCACCAAGTTAGATCCGAACGAGGTAGTTAAAATTTCTACCGGCACAGCTGAATTTGCGGCCCCGGAAATTGTCGAACGAGAACCGGTCGGGTTTTACACCGACATGTGGGCGGTGGGAGTTTTAGCGTACGTACTGCTTAGCGGATTGTCACCGTTTGCTGGAGAAAACGACATCGAGACCCTTAAAAATGTCAAAGCTTGCGATTGGGATTTCGATGAAGAAGCGTTCGCGAACGTTTCCGAAGAAGGCAAAGATTTCATTCGCAGATTACTGTTGAAGAACAAAGAGTAAGCAGCAAATGTTAAATTGATATTATTTATTCCAAAATGTTATTAAGCAAACATTTTATATAAACCTAATCATTCTTCTAAAGGCACAAGTTCAATTAATTAAATATTTCCAACTCTCGTCATTTTAGAGAAAATATGATAAAATCATATAATTTTTAAATAGGTCGACTGAACTACGCATCTGTCGTGATACACACATACTTAAAAATAGAAAAATGAAATAAAAAAAATCTGTGCATATATAATAAAATACTTTTATTTACACTAATTATTAACTTTGTTTATAGAAAGCGTATGACCGCTCAAGAGTGTCTTTTGCATTCATGGCTGGCCGGAGACCACAGCGATAAAACGCAAGTAATCGATCGATCCAAATACTTGCGTATCCGGGATAGGATCCGTGCCAAATACGACGCTTGGGATTCGTTTGTCCTCCCCATTGGCAGGCTCTCTGAATATTCATCCCTTCGTAAATTACTCATCGACAAATATAAAATACACGACACCTACTTCGGTAAACTTGACATGCTAAAAAAAGCGTGATTAATATTGTGGAGTTTTCCAGATCGTCGACAAGCCGCGCCACGATTTGTCATTAAACCTCAAAGCGCTTTCTGCTACGAAGGACAAAGCGTTAAGTTCTACTGTAGAGTAATTGGTGTCGCTACGCCGACGGTCAGTTGGTACCACAACAACGTCGAACTCAGACAGAGCGTGAAATTTATGAAGCGCTACGCGGGTGATGATTACTACTTCATTATTAATCGAGCCAAACTCCAAGATAGGGGTGAATATATTATAAGGGCGGAGAATCACTACGGTTCCAGGGAGGAAGTGGTATTCCTCAACGTGCAACGTAAGTGCATTAATATCGATTCCGCTGGTTTTTATTATGTACGTACCTCTCTTTCCAGCGTTGCCCAAAGTAGTACCAGAATACAAACCGGAAACGCCGGTAATACGAAGGAGGGAACCACTTCCTTACACCTTCTGGCAAGAGGAACAAGAATGTGCTCCCAGTTTCACGTTCTTGCTTAGACCGCGTGTGATGCAAGAGCGTGACACCTGTAAGCTCTTGTGTTGCCTCAGCGGCAAACCCTTCCCTACCGTCAAATGGTACAAGGATAAACGCGAACTGAGCAAATATGAATATTCAATGTCTCACTCGGACGGAGTCATAACAATGGAAATTGTCGGATGTAGACCATCCGATTCCGGCATTTACACTTGCGTCGCTACCAATCCTCATGGACAAGATGAAACGTCATGCGTTGTTATCGTTGAAGGTGAAACAAGTACTGAAGAACAAACGAAAATGGCGGAAAGAATATTACATTCTGGCGACAGGAAATTTATAGAGCATCCTATTAAGCCGGCACCTGTTCCGGTAACTATTAGGAAACAAGTAACCACGCCGAATCCGATACAACCCCGATCCACCAATACGAGTTCTAACAGTTTGGCACACTCGCCTTCGAATTTAAGTGTCGGAGATTCAGATAAACGAACGCCAAGGAAATATGGTCGACTCGATTCAACTGGAAGTCCAAACAGGTCACGAAGTGCGACCAAGGAACTAGCTCGTATGTATATAACACGGTTTTGTTAATGATCAAATAACGCAGGTATGACGGATGTACCTTTGTTTTTAATTATTTTCGAAAAACATCATACGATAATTTTGCAGCAAACGGTGCAAAAAATTTAAAGATACTAAAGATATTAAATCGCATTTTTAAGCTCCTAATGAATAACAAACAATAAAATATAAATATTTGTTGTTATTTGTTTTAGTTCCCCCAGATTCGACGATGGGACCACCGCAATTCACAAAAGGACTTACAGACTTAACAATAAACGACGGCGATAGTTTGACATTGACAGCCCACGTTCAAGGCGACCCGGAACCTCAAATAGTATGGACCAAGGACGGCAAACCTCTTAGTTCATCCGAAGTGATTGATCTCAAATACAAAAACGGAATTGCCAAACTACATATCAACGAAGTATACCCAGAAGATGAAGGCGTGTACGTATGCAAAGCGACCAACTCGATGGGAACAACCGAAACAAAATCGAAACTCACCATTAAACGTAAGCAAAAATTACATTTAAACTCACACCACATTCATAACAGGACCTGCAAACATCATCATCCGCATCCGGCTTGTGCTAATATTACTTACGTGATATAGCGGTAAGGTTGATCGGTTTCTTACACACACAAAACAGCTAAAAACCACGGTTGATTTTTGCTCGACTATTTAATAATTGCTTCAAGCACAAATCACACTGAGTAAAGGGTTCAATTAATACTGCTTCGGTGGTATATTTTCAGTAATGGCGAACGCCACCAACGGCAAGAAGAAAACCGAAGACAAACCGCCGACCATAGTAAGCCATTTGGAATCGGCATTCGTTAAAGATGGCGAACCGGTCACGATATCATGCCGTATCATAGGCGCCGATAAATTCGATGTAATCTGGCTCCACAACAACAAAGAAATTAAACCCAGCAAAGACTTCCAATACGTCAACGAGGCGAACATTTACAAACTGACGATAGCCGAAATATTCCCGGAAGATTCCGGTGTATACACGTGCGAGGCGTTTAACGATGCCGGCGAAAGTTTCAGCAGTTGTACATTAAACGTTGTGGTACCAGGCGAACAACCCAAAAGTCCCGTTTTCAAAACATTCCCAATTTCCGCTACGCTTTCGGAGGGTGAAACGGCCACATTCGCTGCCGAAACCGAAGACGAACCATTACAAATCAGTTGGTTAAAAGACGGCAAACAGATCAAAGAAAGCAAAACTAAATACAAATTCACGGCAGACGGTAAAAGATATACGTTGCAAATAGTATCGTGCGACTCTAACGATGTCGGTCAGTATCAAGCGAAAGCGATTGGAAAAAAAGGGGAAACTTTCGCCGCGTTTTCGCTCAATGTTGTACCAAGCGGTCAACTATAAAGCCCGCCTCCTCATCCCAACACTGACTAACCGCATTATAACGCTCTTAACGAAAAAACGACTTGCTCCGTTATGTAAATCATTTGTTTATTTATTTGTAAGTATTTTGTATAAAACGGTGTATGATAGGAAATGGCGCGTGGTTCTTTCCGGGATCGTTTCCGGCATCCTCAAACTTAACACCTTCGCGGGGGCGAACCGGGGAGAGAACCCGCTGGTAGATAATTATATTTTTTTCGAACGCGCGAAACAAGGAGCACAACTTTCGAACTATTACCTACTAATTAGATTAAATTGAATGAAATTGCGATGTTTATTTAGTGAAGTGCTTGAGCCATTATTTTCATTACGCCATCGTTGTCCGTTATTTAAGATTTCATTAAAGCGCATTATTGCTTCCGCGAGCCGTACCAAAAATGTATCATATTCTGTAAAAAAATAAAATATTTAATTTTTAAAACGCCTATTGACTTTTCAACCCGCCCCGGTATATGCCAAAACAGTGTTATCCCTAAAATGTTGTTCTTTTAATATAATAAGTGCAAAAACATATTCAACTTTTCTTTCTAATCAAAAACAGATTTTAAAAAATTTAATAAACAAAAATATTTTCGGGATTGGTATTACAGTTTTACTTTTTATTTTAGACAAAACATTCAAAATGTGAGAAATACATCTTTTTTTAAATGTTGCTCATATTAAACAAGTTTTAATATTTATTCCAGAAAATTATTTTAAAAAAGCAAAAGCAAGTATGTACTTGAAAGTTTTAAAAATTAAAAAGAAAATAAATTTAAAAAAAATGAACTGACTAATAGGTGTTACATTTTTATTTTTTGCTGAGCGATACATTTTTTATTTACCAAAAGGAACACCATATTTAGAGTTATTAATTACAGACATCCGTTTTAAAACGGTTTCTTGCCTATTAATTTATGGTGAAAACCATTTAACCATTTAATGTAAGTTTTGAAAATCAAAAACATAATATCAAAAACCGCCAAGAAAATAAAAACTACTAACGAAATTGGGAGAAATTGTTGGACAAAGTCTTGGTAATTCACATTTTTAAATGGGAAAAAATCACACAAACGCACTTGAAGGAGTGAAATTTTGAAAAATTCAATAACATAATGAAAAAAAAATGTTTTTAGTATTAATAAGACATTTTCACTTTTAACTGGGCCATGCATTTGTTTAGTTAACTAAAAGAACAGGATATTTTATTATTTATTATTTGAAGAAAAAGACGATTTCTTGCCAATCAATTTACAGAAAAATTTGAGTTTTCGAAATTGGATCTTGGGACATAAAAAAAACTAACAAGAACACAAACATTTAAAACACTTAAATTCCTTTATTAATGTAACCTACCAATTTTTGCTTTTGTTCAAGTGGATAAAATAATAAATTAATCAGTCTCTATTATAAAAGAAGAAAAACGCCAATTCGTTCACTAATTCCTTGACGAGGAACCCACAAACGATGATCTTTGGTCGGCAGGTTTAATGATTCTTATTTCAGACCCAGAATTTCCTCCAAATCTGTTCATGAAGTTTTGATCGTTATTTTGTCCCATCTGACCATCTCTCGTTCTTTCAACGTTGATATCTGGATGTCTGTGCTTTTCAATATGTCCCGAATTTAACAACCAAAACGGTCTGTTCCCTCTGGGCCACTGATTCAACCGATTTACCAAATCGATGTCGCCACGGGCGTCCGTTGGAAGTTTGGGTGTAGATGACTCATCCCCGCCCAGTCTATTATTCAACGGGACATTTTCTGTGGTTTCGGAAGAATCCCGGAATCGATTAGCCAGTTCTGGGTAACCTTTAACACTCGTTCCAGCGTACGTCGGTCTCTGGGCATCGGTGAAAGCGAATACCAAACCGAACACAATTAAAATTTTCTGAAAACCAAAACAAGCGGATTTAATTATTATAAACTTTGACCTAAGGATCCGGCTAGCTTATCGTTCATAAATACCAATTAGACGGTAAAAACCGTCTACGCCACAGATTTAATGAGTGATATCGCAGTGCATGTGAAATTTATTGAAATTCCGATTTTTGCAGTGAAATTTGCGGTTCATTTAAATGAACAGAAAATTTGGAAAGTTAATTTGTATTTTTCAACTTGCGAAAAAAATAGTAATAATGATATTCGCAGCATATAAAAATAATCACCATTACCTACCATTGTTTTGAGCGATTGCAACAAAGCACTAACTATTCGATAACAAACAATTCAGTTGTTGTTCGATAGGCAAACCGCAGACAAATGAAACGACCGCAACCGACGGAGTAGTTGAAATAAACCCCGATAAATTTATAACTGGAAGAGGAGTGGGTTTTTACCAGGAAAAACCAAGCTTCTTGTTGTGTTCTTTTTTATTTAACCCAGAACTGAAACCGCAACGACTATAGAGTCCTGTATTTTTCAACTTGTTTTACATAAATTCTCTCTGTCAAATTGTTTTAGGTATGATTTTATCCTCCCCAAATACATTTGAACATAATAAATTCACAGTTAAATTTCCGGTTCCAATTTATTGGTTTTTATAAATTTGCGTAGGAAATATTTATTGCAATATAACGTTTTTAGTCAACTAGTCACTTTTTTATTTAACCCAGAACTGAAACCGCAACGATTATAGAGTCCTGTATTTTTCAACTTGTTATACATAAATTCTCTTTGTCGAGCTGTTTTAGGTATGATTTTATCCTCCCCAAATATTAAATTTAAATTTAAATAAAAATTTTTATAATAAATTCACAGTTAAATTTCCGTTTTTAATTTGTTGGTTTTGTATTGTAATATAACCTTTCTAGTCAACTAAATAAAAACTAACTGCAATGGCAATGGCAATACAAAATCTCGGTTGCGGATACAAATAACATCAGACACCCGCTTGCATTAAAGCCTGCAATTTTAAGCCGAAACTTAAAAATAATTTGAATTCATATAATTACAATTAAATCAATTAAACTGCGTAAACTACTAAGTGCATTAAAATATGTAAGTTTGCTCACATTTTACACTTACAAGAGAGAGATAAAATAAATAGATGGAGAGAGAGAAGTGACTGAATCTTGATCATAACGTAGGTCATCTCAGTTAATTAATGATTAAATTGTGTTGATAAAAGCGTACATAATTATCTGCGTGGCGGACTTTACTATGGTCGCTGGGTCGTGGACACGAAATGCTTTTTCTTTGGGAACAGTCTGCTTGATATCTGAATACTGCAACACGCAAAATCAAACATATTGCGCATCCTCAGTTACTTCTTGTGATGAGAAACTCTAATTTTATTTTTATTCTAAATATTTGAGCTTAGTTGTTTGGTGATTGATTGTCTAGCGATAGATAAAATCTATTCTGCACATAAAAAAATTGAAAAGCGTCGGAAAAAATCACTGTATGTTTCTTTGGATTATTTAGCTCAAGGACTTTTAACAAAAAAGGCAAGTGCAGACTAGTTGACTTCCTGTAATTACTTACTTAAATTTAAAGATCTACTATGTATGCAACTATCTACAACATATTCCAATGAGCGTTTTGTTTTGCAGATGAGCAGAACTAAGCTCTTTTTAGGAGGCATCGCACCTAATACGAGAGAAAAAGATGTAGAATGGTTTTTTAGGAAGTACGGAAAGTTACGAAAAATAAACCTTAAAAATGGTTTTGCTTTTGTAGTAAGTTTTTATGAAACGGGCAATAAATATACTCTGCATCTTTGTTAATTTTTAAGGAATTTGGAGATAAAAAGGATGCAGATGACGCCATTTATGAAATGAATGGTAAAGAATTGTTAGGAGAAAGGTAAGCTAGGGGGCTTATCTTAACAACTGAATGCATACTCTTGTTTGTCAGAATATCAGTGGAAAGAGCTAGGGGTGGGCGTTCCAGAAGTACTGATCCTTATAGAAGAAGTAGTTTGAGCAGATATGCAAAAAGAGGGGTTGGTAAAAGATCCAGGTGAGATAATCACCATAATACTCAAAAAGTCCATCATTTTAATTAGTACCTATAGTTTACTATTTATATGTTGATTATATTAGATATGCTCCACTACAGAGAACACATTATCGTCTTGTGGTTGGAAACTTATCCAGCAAGGTGAATTGGCAAGTAAGTTCAAATGGCATTGGTAACATGTTTCGCAAGCCAACAAACTTAGACCCGTTAGATTAAGCTGAGCACCAGGGGTTCTAAAATGGTCATTTTGGGGCGTCAGATGTACTAGTCCAGTTTCCTGTTTACTTGATATCAACCACAATTTGAGCCGTACTTTCTTTGGGAGGTTCTTAAACTAACAGAGCTCAAACAGTGGTTTTTTTCTTGTGGGTCGTTCTCATTTCTAAGGAAGGTCAGACGTCAATTGCTCTTAGCGTCATCCAGGTAAATGTTGACTACAATGCAGAATAGCAGTTACAAAACTCGGATAAGTTTATTTAATTTAAATTTTGTGGATTTACATTCTAGTTCAATTTGATTTTTAAGTTAAATTTGTTTATAAAATAATTATTATTGAATGAGAATTGCTAAAAAGGAAGGGATAAATGTTCTAAATTACGTTTGTTTATAGGGGTTGAAAGATTACATGCGCCAAGCTGGTGAAGTCACTTTTGCTGACGCTCACAAGCAGAGAAGAAATGAGGGGTGGGTATTTGGCATTATTATGGTCAACTTGCTACTTATTTTTTATTTGTTCAGTATTGTGGAGTTTGCTTCTCACAAGGGAATGGACACTGCCATCAGCCGTTTAAATCACAGCGAATTGGAAGGTCGTAAAATAAGACTAAGTCGAGACCGCGGAGGTCGAAGAGCTTCATCCTCGTCCTCAAGTTCAAAATCTCGGTCCAGATCAAGGTGAATATGTAAAAATAGCATTTTGATGAATTATTAAACAGATTTTGATGACTAGAAAAAGAAGCTCCAGTAATTCAAGGAACAGTTCTGTTGCTGAAGAGAAAATCGGAAGTGAAAAATCGCGATTGCCATCTTAAGCCAAATTATGTTTTAATTATATTGTTTAATTGTTTATTATATCAGTATATAGATACATAAATATATAAAATTATTGGGTGTCATGTGTTGATATAGTGTTGACTTTACCTGAATAGACTATTAACAAAAAATATTTTTTCATTCAATACAAAAATAATAATGAATAAAAATATTAGCATGACTGGAGGACATCCTGCATCTTTAAATGAAAAATAGCCCCTCGCGAATATTCAAAAAGGTACACGTTTTATTTAAAAAAAATCTGTTTCTTGCTGCACATTTTATTCATTTATAGGAATGAATTGACACAGTAGTCGGGCGAAAAGCTCTGTATTTACACTATATTTTCTATTTACAAAATGTTTTTAAAAATGCTTATATACAAAAATAAATATTACTTAAAACAATGTTCATGATGGTTATGAAATGGAAGTTTTGAGTCTTAACCGCCATCTTGCTTGTTCTTATACAACCAATAACTGTACATCAAAGATCAAATATCTGGAGGAGGCTTGGTACTACCATTTCCCGCGGTTATGATTGGGGATGAGCTTCGGTCTCGTTCCTGGTCTTCCAGAAATCGATCCATGAAGTCAGTTAAGCCGGGATGTAGGCTGTATTTTTTCTTTTCAAGTCTCACTTTATTGGCGAAAATATCATGGCGTTCGGATTTTTTCCACAAGTAATAAAATTGGACTAGTTCTCCTACCGAACGGGTACGAACCTTGAATAATTTAAATTTAAACTGACAAAGGTCAGTTCTCACCTGTTCAAAGTATGATAATAGGAAGGATGTGATTTAGGTAGGTAAACATCAAGGGGTAAATATCTGAACCAAATTTTGATTTAGAACACATCTTAAAATAAAAAAATTATAAATGTTTAATAATAAGTAATTCCAACGTTTTCGTGTAGAATGGTTTTTTGCGTCAATTCAAAACGACAACAAACGGACTAACGCGCAAGCGCAATGCGTAAACAGCTGATCCAAATGCTCCGTAAATCACTGTAACCGAAAATTAATAAATCGTCGTTATTGCTTCGGGATGTGCACCATAAATTACCAGATATTTACCCGACATGAACATGTTAAGCTATTGCACTACACACCACCATAAATGAAAAAGCACCTGTTGCACGTTTACTTTTTATTTATAAATTTTTTTTACAAATATAATACTGTTATCATAATCATCTGCCCAGGCAAATAATGTAAGATTCATGTAACAAATAACTATAACGATAATTTCCGGTCAAAACTGCTATTTGCAGCCTATGTATAACTGAAATTTTATAATGGCTACTGGGGATTGATGTTTATGACAATGTTAGGTCCAAGGTCCAAACCAACAGTTATTCATTGCCCTCAATGCAGTGTCATCAATTTTTCAAATTATATTGAAAAGGGTGTAAATAATTCGAATGAATTAGAAGGCAAGAAGCAGTAATCAAGCTGACCCTCATATGACAATAAATTAGATATTTTCCAATCTTGGAAATAACATGACATTTCCAAATAAATAAACTCAATACAAAAATAACGAAACACAAACATGTAACATGAAAACCGATCCTATTCTAATCATTTACCTTATTTTGTTGAATTAAGTGAAAATTTTTGCCAAAGGACCGCACACCTGCTTCAAAATTGCGACACTCCTCTTCTGACCACAATGATTCATTGACTGAGTCGGTACTGCTTGTGGGTAATGTCATACGAAGCCTTCTAAGGGCTTCTTTAGCATTATGACCACATTGTTGCAGCATATATAGAGCTTGTTCATCATCTCTAAGGTGAGTGCCGCTCGGTAATGGAGGTTTTGTTATTAGATGAGCTTTTTTCAAATAGTCTTCAGTGTCACCTAGGGCTATTTTACTAGGATCCCAAACTAGTTTGTCATCATTTTCATATGGTAATACATCATCATAATGGTGTAAACCCTCTGGAATTTGTGCTTGATAATCACTGCCAACCATTATAGTCTACAATCATTTTAAATAATAAAGCTAAGTAATAAAAAATTTCACATTACCTTTTTCATTTTACGAACTTCGTCTTCATCTGGACTATAATCATAATCATCATCTTCTTCTTCACTAATTCGTGAGACAGCTACAAAAAGTAAGGAGTAGGGAAAGAACAGTACTGTGCTAAATGCGATTTACATCTTAGGAGCCTAGATGAGGCTTCGTTGTCATTGTCAACAATAGGCTCATATAAAGCACTAAGTTTTGACTGTTGCTCTGGAGGCAATGGTTCACTCTCTTCATCTTCCATCAGCTCAGATGAATTCTGACCAGTCTCCTCCTCTTCATCTGATGATCCTTCCTTCTCTTTAGTACTATATCCATATAATGCTAGCAACTCTTCCAAAGGCATATTCCCCTCCTTTGAAAAACAAATTATATCTTTGGAAGTAGAAAATAAAAGAACAAACCTTCTGCAAATCTGAAAGCTCTACCGAAGGATCATTTGATTCTCCGGCAGCTAAAGCTTCTTCTTCATCTAAAGTTCGTTCATCGTCAAAGTCATTTACGAGCATATCAATTGAAGGGTCAAACAATTTGTCTTTTGTGGGGGAGTCACTGTCTTTGCCCTTTTGATTCATAATTGATTGTTCCATTGCAACTTATCATTACAACTTGACCCTTAAAGAAAACTCAATTTAATATTACCGCTAATATTTAATATAAGAACAATTATTTTAATATCACAACAAAATTAGGTTAGATTCTCTATCAAACTAAGCGCGCAATTTTGACAAATTTTTAACGACTTGAATTTCTAAATTTTTTTGTTGTTTGAAAATGTAATACGTTTAAACTCACCACAATTTCAGAAAATTGTATCAATTCTCTCGAATACACCACAATTAAAATTTTTCAACACAATACAACAAAACATCAAATATAAATCCACAGTATAAACGTACACAAATATATACCGTGAAAAAATGGGAGAGATCGATACCATAGATGGTAGGTATTGGTATGTTTTCATACCATGGAAAAAAAAGGTAATGCTAGATAGAAATCGCTGAAATTGTTTAATTGTATTAATAATCTTTTTGATGTAATATATTTATGTTTGTTATATGTTGTATATCCCTAGGTTCGTAGAACTTAATTTCAAGAAAAAATAATTTAATATTTTAATTTTGTTAAAAATAAATTCATTTTAAAAATAAATAAAAAATAATTCAAAATACTTAAATAATTTTACGATTTTATTAACAAATTATTTTGGTTTTATTAATCTAGTACAGATTTGGGAGTTGCCAAAAATACAATGTATCAAAATAGCGCAATAACTAATGATTAACACTACATTGGTATTTATAATTCGTTTTTAAAAATGATGATATATAAATAAATTCTAACTATAAAAACTCTAAAATTCAGCTAAAAAAAAAAGATTTTGTAATCCGCTAGTATTCCAATTTAGATAAAATTGTGCTATGTATTCCAAGGAAGATCTAAACGACCTGAAATGTAAATCCATTAAATGAAAGGTTTAACCTTAAAACATAAAAACTAAAAAACAATTCGTGTAAAAATTTAAGCCGATATATGACATATATATTACAAGGTAATTGTAAAGTAGATTAATTGGTGGCTGTATAGGAAAGTAATTTAGGTTATTGCCAAAGTTAAGGCCAGCAATCATTCGATTTCACCCGAGCGATGAAATGTTTAAGGAACTAATATTATAAAATAAATGGATATAATAATATGGGTCTGACCCTTGACATTTTAAAAATTTTTGTGGATCTGCTCAATTTGCATATAAATCTACTGTGTACCAAACACCTGCGTGATTCGTTAAAATTTTGTTACGAAAAAATTTTTTATTGTTTTTTATTATTGAAAATGCTAAAATAAACATTCCGATTTGCATAAGCGGTGAGAGGCGGGCGATAATCATAGTAAAATTAAAAATTTGAGCATTGCATTAATGGCCAAGCTTTCCTCAAAATTTCCACAAAATAGATCACAATCATTATTATTTAGCAAATTCAAAATTTATATAGGCATCAGTGGCGTGCATACGGCTAATTGCACTGCGGGGTTCTTTATTTTATTTATTGTAGCATCAAATAAATGCATTATAGACAAAGTGACGAAGATCAAAATGTAATTAGTTTTAGTGCTATTTTACTTATTTATTAACAATTTATACAATGCATTCATAATTTTTCAAGTAGATGTACACCTGTCACCATGAATACCATATCTTACTTTTATTTCTCTTAAATGTTTGTAAAAAAACTCACATTTAAATAATACGCCGAAATAAGGTATCTCAAATCTTCCCAAACTAATTTGAAGATGATTTAATGTAGTACCAATGTGGTGGTATTTCCATATCCTGTAACCGCGTGAATCTCGAATTATAATTTGATTAAAATAAAAAAAAGAAATCCCAAAATTCCGAATTTTAATAAAAAAAACCCGAAAAATCTTAACCGTCTCCACACACCCAAACAGGTTTTCAATTTTGCTTCGTAATTATTGGCAGTTGCTTCCATATTTAATTCGCTGACCTTCATGGACAGACCGTTTGTCTTTCTGATAATCCTTCGACTACCGGTTACCACCTATAAAAGGTTACCAACCTTCCTAACTCCAATCAGTATCATACCAACGTGCTACGACCAAAAACCAAAAACAAAATCAAAGACAAAAATGAAATTGTCAGTGATCATCGCATTTACCTGCACAGTGTACTTAGTAGGGGCTGCTAGCGTATACAATCCAGAATTAGTACGAGAAAAAAGGGCACCCATTATAGGCGCTGCCTTGGGTGCTAGTGCGTTAGGCGTCGGGGCGCTGGGAGCCGGTGTACTGGGAGCTGGCGTGGTAGGAGCTGGACTAGTAGGAGCAGGAGCTGTCGGGGCTGCCGGACTAGGATTAGGACTAGCCAAAGGGGCGGTTATCGGCAAATCCCTGGCGTACGGACAGTAAGTATATATGTTTGTACAGTTTTATGTTTCTCTGTTGTCTTTAATAGTTGTTTAGCATTTTTACAATTCAAAACTCCTTTATAGCTAATATTTCTACAAATGAAATAGGAAACTTTACGCAAAGTCACCATTTTTTAAAATGCCACATACGGTCAAATTATAAAAATGTTTAATGTTACTTTTTGATCACACTGTATTTATTTATTTGTAAAATATCAACACAAATCTACCACTAATATAAATCCTCTTGTATAAGGAAATCAACATAAAAGTTGGAGAAGTCGATAGATATATTTCGACCTCTAAATGTCTCATGACTCTACAAAGTTCCGAGGTATTCAAAAATACCTTAATATACAGTGTCTCCCATTTAAAATAAGAAACTTCTTATTTGGTCACGAAAATACAAACAGCCTGTATATAAACACATAATATTTTAAAAGTAAGTAAAATAAAAGCGGCACTCCATACAATTATTAACTATAACCAAACTGGGAGCGATGACCACAGAAATGGTTTGTCGAATTTTTGAAAATAACCACAGAAAACATTGAATACCACACCATATGCATATTCGTATCTATCTAGTCGTTATTTTTCAATAACAACTTGTTTTAAATTCGCATTTATTGTCAATCCGTTTAAGTCATAATAAACTTATTTCTTCAAACTTCAAATGCGAAATTAACGTTTGCCATTTTTTTATAGCGGCGGATACGGCTATGGCGGATATGGAGGAGGTTACGGATATGGCGGTGGATACCACAGCGATGTTCACTACCACCATTACGAACCGGCAGTCCACGTCTACCATCATGACGATTACTATCACGGCTGGTGGTAAGTGCGAATAAAATCTTATTTCATAAAATGGTTAACCCTTTTCTTTCGGTTGCAGAAGTGCCAATCGGTCAGTGAGCCCGTACGCTTAATAAATTTTAAGTCACTAGTCGTTAATTACTTTTTGTTGAAAATTTTTAAATAAATCAGTATTTCGCTTCTACGAATATCTGTAGTTTTATTCCGACTAATTATTTCATGATCATCAACTCGATAATGAAGGCAATCAAAGATATAACAATACCACCGATGTATCCCATGAATACATTACTAAAACCTTGAAGCTTAAGTGGTTTATTTTGAGTGCTCCTCAAATTGCTATTAGCGTATTTCCATAGCATCGGTTTCGAGTTTGGAACCAATTGTTCGGGTTTGGTCAATCCAACTTCCATCAACTTCATAATCAACATGTTGATGGTATTATGATAAGGGTGTCCGTTTGGTAGATACATTTTCGAAAATATATTCCCAATTCTATCGGTAACGATATGAACACGCGGTTTGAGATTTTCATCTATGTAGATACTGGGTGAGTAAGCTATTAGCGAATACGGTTTTATTGGTGCAAAATTTGGTATGTCGTCGTTTATTTCGTCTCTACAGGCCGCTTGAGTTCGATAATCGTTATCCGTCGAACATATGATGTAGTTCGTCATCGTGTAGTTGTACATTGCAGAATTCGAATTCAGAAATCCGGGTTTTTCGTAAATTCCAATGAGAAATCCCTCTTTGATAATTTCTTTGAACGTGTCGACTTGGTGGGCGTACTGATGCCCCGTTAAGTAATACACGATGTTACTTTTGGCTGCGATGTTGAACAAAAACGCAAACATCACGGCAAAAGTGGATATCAACCTGATTCCTTTTAAATTCCTCTTCGACACGGGCTCTTCCGAGAATATCTAAAATACATTTAGCGATCAAAAATGTACGAAATAATTAGCAAGTAACTCAACTGTAATCACCATCCAACATACTTTACCACGCGAACGGGTTTCGCGTTTTACGTATTGTATTAGGTAGAAGCAGCAGGTCACCATTATTATCACAACAAAGTAACAGATCCACACTTCGCGCTTAAGAGACGCGAATGTCGGAAAAATGATCTTCGATTTCGGAACGACAAAGTGCAAAGTGTCATAATAATACGGTATAGATTCATCAAAATCCAGTTCGGCATTTTCAGAATAAAACGGCGCCCCTATAATGATATCCAGTTTTTTGTTCTTGAGATCTTTCCAACATTGGGTATATTCACCATCTTGTTTGATCACTTCGTAGCGACTTTCCCGTTTGATATATTCGACCGACAGGTTTAATTGGCGAGCAATTAGATCAACAAGGTTCATTTCCAATCCTTTACTTTTACCTCCATCGAATGTCGTGAAAAAATTTAACGTTCGATAACTCACTTTTAATTTACGATATATTACCGGCAGGGAAGTGCCTTCGAAAATTTTATCCACCTTACTTTGGTCTGCTTGATCCAGAGTTATTTCCCTGTTAAATACGTCGCGCATCGACTTGCTGTTCACATTTACAAAAATAACTCGAAAGATAAACTCATCCAAGAGAAATCGATTGGGTTTCCTGGTGTCCTGGTTAACCAGAAATATAAAGAAAGACTTGGGCGTGAAAAGGTGATGAGTTTTCAGAAATTGTATAGCGAAAACGACCGAGCTGTTCTGGATATCGACAACGAAGACGCTAGATTTAATTACGTCCAAGTCTGCATGTATTTGGTCAATCCGTTGAAAATCTAGAACAACAGAGGACAGCTGCAATTTCCTTAACATTTTTACCTCATAAATTCTTTTAAATTCATATTTTATTAATATCTGTTCAACGAGCTTTGTGATTTCATAATAAGCTGTATCTTGAGTATTATTCAGTGATTTCAGCGACCCAGAGCAACTTGGGATCATTGCGACGAGAAATATCAGGCCGTACTTGAAGGCTCTCATGATAGTGACTAGAAAATGACTACCTTGCCGAAGTAACGGCCGCCATAATTTTGTTTTGTTTGCCGCGTGTGTCAAATATTTGAGTTACAAATTACAAATGTCTCCACAGCTTTCGTCGAATTGTTTAGACAGCGTTTAATGTTGTAACAAACAAACTTTCGAAGTATCAATTTGCTACGGTTAGCCCAAGATAGTTAAACCTCTTTGATTCGGTGATACATTTTCAAGTGTCTTTCAGAAAACGTAAATTAAACTCGCCAAGTTGGATTTAGGGAAAGCTACCAAGGGGACATAAACGATAAGTATTAAAATAAACACTTATTTCTACGTTTTATTACAGTGGTAGTGTGTAATTTTTAATTAACAATTAAAGAAAATGTACATATACCAAAATCTTTTAATAAAAATCGTCTATACGCTAGAAAAATCCATATACAAAATTAATCAAAATATGTACCCTCAATTTGTCTACGTTTATTGACATAAGAATATAAAACACTCGATTCGAGAATATTAGTTTCACTTGTCTTCGTCGAACGACGACTTTAAATAGTTAACAAGTGTCACTTTGTGCGCCAGCCAAAGAGACTTAAACTATAATATATTGTTACAAAATGTGCAAAAAATGGAAATAGGTAGCGGAAGAACGCTCGAAGCACTTTGTAGGAATTTTACGTCAGTACAAAATTAATTTTTCGTTTATTGTCTCTGTAGCATTTTTGTTTATATTTGTATTGTAAGAAAACACGAAGATTCTTTTCCGGTGATCTATGGCTGTCGCTCAGGCCAACAGTCTCCGATTTTTTGCACAAACCCAAACTTCTAGAAAATGTACCGACTTCTAAAACAACTGAACCTAACTACTAATACCGATTATAATATTACTTTGTTAACGCATGTTAGGAATAAATTAAGTCGCGTATAACAACTGTTCGTTAACTGCTTTTAGGCTAATTATCACATTCTTAACACTAAGATCGAATTATACAACGGAATGCGAAATCTATTCACTGCCCAAGAATTAGGTACATTTTCGATCCTACGGCGAAAAACAAACTTTAATGTTAGGCAAAATTAGAGTGAACAAGAGGGAAAAACATCGTCTACGGATATAGAATCTATTGAACGGCAATAAAATAGAAGAGACAGGCATTAACACCTAGACACAGTTTAGAGAAACACATAGACAGAAAGAATGTTGGAATCGAAACCACCTAAACCTAAAACTCTATTTTTGCACGCCCTGATGACATTTATTCGCTGCCTTAAAAGGTTTATAATAAACGTTTATTTGTTCTACAGCAACATAAATTGCATGTGTGTAAGTGCAGATAGGACGTCACAACAATTACCTACAGGAAATCATAGGGCTCAAAAATATTGGTAATCATCAACTGTGGGATACCCTGTACAGAAATAGTGCATTATAATACAATAACGACTAGTTTGTTTATGATTTGAGCCTAATTTGTGCTAAAAAAGACGATGAACCTTCATATTAATGACTATTTACAATTTATTACATTGCAGTCGGAAAAATGTTTAAAATAAACTTTTGGCACTGCTAAATGTATTTTACAGCATCACAACACATAACTTTTTAGGTTATTTCGAGAATTGTTTTTTAAATTCTGACCGTGTTGTTATTGCGTTTGTGTTTTTTTTTGTCGGAAAATATTTGAGCACGTAATATTCGTATGAGATGAAGATACATCACCTGAGTAATTTCTTCGAGAATATTTCTAAAAAACTAACCAATCAACGGGGTATTAGTAACGGTCCGAGGACAGTAACAGTAACAGTCGACTTGATTGTGCTGAAAATATCACACCGAAAAGTCAGTCGTTCAAAGGAAACAAAAACAATCAAAAGCAATGCGAAATTATTTCTATTTAATTGTCCCATTGCCGTCAACAGCGTAAGGTCTGTTATTAACTTATTTTTTCGAGATTTTCCGGGATTATTTATTTTCACAAGAATATTAGTGCTTGCACCAATAATAAACAGGTAACTGGTTGAATTTACATCGTTCAACGTGTAGAATTTATTGCTTTCAACTTAACTGTTTCGCGTCAACAATTATTCTAAGATTTGTTGAGTTTGAGAGAGAGTAAATGTCTGAATGCTAAACCCACGTTTAGCACGTTTCTTCTTGAATGTTAACATATGCAATAAATTTAATATTCACTAATTCTTGAGGCAATGTGCGGAATCTATTGTCTATTAAATTAACAACCTTAAAGAATGAAGAGTTTGGACAGTTTGGGAAAAGCTGAGTATCTAGTGGTTATTTTAGAAGCCAACTGCGGAAGAATTCGATACTGTTTGAGATTTTATAAATATTAATTTGTTGGCTTTTATTTTAAAACCAAAGGATAATCCATTATAAATGTTGCTACCCTTTCTAAGTTTCCTATTTTACATTTTGGAAAAACAAGTTTAATACAAAAGTTGTAGAATTTAATAATACGTGTAACTGACTCTACAGATGCCAGAATTCTAGCGAAACGTCAGGCAACCGATTCTACTTTAGTATCAAATAACTAACCGATGGATACCCGAATCAACACCGGCACACGGGATATCATCCGTTCGTTTGTTGAACTCCGACTGGAATCGCGAAACATCTACAGGATTTCAGTCAAACGAACTGATGATATCCCCTGTGCTGGTTTTGATTAGGGTATTCGTCGGTTAGTTATCAATCAAATATTTTTTCCCAATTTCCTTCCTGCCAATAGAAGCATTTTTTTCTATTGGGCTTCCTTGCTGAAATTCGATTCTTCGGTCAAGATCCTCGTCAAACATTTGAAACAAATGTCTACAAAACTCTAATAGCTAAGTCTTATTTTCCTCCGTCGATTTTGGTAAATTTAATATTTATTTTTTCTAACGTTCTCCAAATTTTTCCAAAACTAGTAGAACCCGAGGGAAATATTATATTTTTCTAAACAAATTGTTTAGATTGTTGATATTTAATTCTGCATTAGGATTTAAGAAGCAGTGCCTAGTTTTTTTCTACAAATTGTAGTTTTTCCCTGTGTAGTCTAGCTCTATTTGCATTTTCTTCATTTTATTATATACAATAACAATATTTCGAACTTTTAGTCTAGTGAAACATTATTGACAATAATAATATTCACTATAGCCCCAGCTCTCATAAGCAAACAAAAGACGTGGCGTTCACCTGGCGCCAAGGCCAACTAAGTGCAGATTTTATTTTTGGCAAATTTTGACATCAATTTAACGTGTTATATATTTTTGTAAAATAAAATGGCGTCTAATTTAAAAGGATGTCACTTTGATATGCCTCGCCCTGAAATATATAATATTAAATCTACATATTAAACTCAACAATTTTCGTATTAAACTTTGTTTTTCTAAAATGTGAAATAATAAAGTTAGAGGATAATGCAGACCGCTCCGATATTAATTAAGCTTTTACTTACTCTCTCTCCGTATCAAATATACTATAGCCCCATTTAACACGAAAACAACGAATCCATCGGCACGGAGGCACGCGGAGCGGATCTAAACTAGGAAATTTATTGACGGATCATCAGGCTGAAAACGTCCATAACAGTAAAAAACCATTTCCTATAACAAACTATAACTTAAGATTCTTCGGCTTCTTCGCGGAAGAGGTAGGTCGACCAATAAATGACATTAAACAGTGCGAACACCAACGGAAACGTTATCCTCGAAATGACGTCTATACGTTTAGAGCGAGTTGGAAATTTGGAAAGCCACGATCTGCAACAATTAGGACGTGGTTGCATGTGGACTTCGCAATGGCGAGCTTTTTCCATATTCAACGGATCTGCAGGATGACGTACTAACGGCTTCTGAAAATATAGTTTATGTAAATAATATAGAACTGTATGATTTATTATGTGGTTGTATCTACCATGGCAAAGGTGGCGTTACTTTCCGTGTCAATAAGGTCGGACGTAGCGTCCAAAGATGCAGCGTGTTCGAGTTCGCATTGCCTTCTTTGTTTTTTCATGTTTTCGCGATGCATATCCGATCTTGACGCGTAATTCACGAGTGCAAATTCTAGAAGTGCCCCAAACACAAACGTGAGACACACTCCGGTCCACACGTCTATGGCTTTAGTGTAGGAAACTGGTGGTAACGAAGCGTTTATTCCTGAGGTTTGAGTCGCCATCGTCAACAACGTAGTCACGCCTACGGACCATTTTTGATTTGTGCAAAAAAGAAATCGTTAAAATAACGATAAAATCCCGAGAGCGTCGGCGAAAAGGTTGATCAGATATTAATGAGAAATAAAAGTAGAACGATTCAAATGTTGTATGTTGAAAAACGAATTCATCGGGAAAATTTTACCCACGCTTTGTGGACTTTCGGTTTTATTAATGGGTTTAAATGCAAGACGCTCGGACGAAATCGTTAAATATTCAAATTACTAGCGAAGCGGATTATGAAAAAATAAATAAAACGTGACGCAGAATTTTCTCGTTGTTAAAAAGGGATTTTTCGCTGGCCGCAAATTTAATTCCACGTCGCGGACATCTTACCTAGAGACACTCTAGCCGGCACAGCGCCTTGGTCTAACCAAAACGACACCCAGGAAACTATTACCAGCATACAACAAGGGATGTAAATTTGTATCAAATAGTAGCTGAACTCTCGTTTGAATAGGAGATCGACTTTTAGACAACTATATTCCCCTAAAAAAAGGCAATTTAACATGTTTAATTAAAGATCCCAAAATGGTGGTCATAAGATTATAGGAAACATTTCTTTTGCAAATTCAAACATTGCACATACCCCGATTTTGTTTAGAAAAAGGGTTATGGTCTGTTCATAGATATAAGAAAGCGACCAATTTTTTTTTTTTATTATTTATTAATTTATTTTGAAAGTTTCGGAATATAAATTCAGGTAAAATTGTGGTCCGTAATAGAAAATAAATTTATACCTACCTGTGTTTAATATTCTTTGGTTTGGTATACTACTTAGTTTAATACAGCGTGTGTTGAATCGTGTGCGAATTATGCAAAATATATGCGAGTCTAGTGTATCACAGGAGATGCTCCCGCCCAAATGTAGAAAACACTATTGAGACTAAGGAAGTTATAAACAATGTTTATTTGACTCTCATTGAACGTGGTGCCAGCCAGCAAGCATCTTTAGCAGAAACGGCCACGTTGACGAAAAATCCAACATCAACTGTATGGAAAATTGTGAATAATCCCATTTCAGCGAGGAAAAAAAGTGATGAAGATATAATACGGCGTAAAATTAACCAGTTGTACGAGGAACAAAGCGTGCCTAGATTAGATATCTTAATTAGGAGGCTTGAAAAAGATGAAACCGGTGCTAAATGTGGCAGAACTACCTTATGGAATTGTATTCAACACATGGGTTTTAGATTTAAAAAAATTGACAAAAGGCAAGTTTTAATGGAATCTTTTAGAATTCGGAAATGGCGACTGGAATATCTAGAAAAAAATAGGATTTACAGAGAGCAACAAAGGCCACCAAAGATTATACCAAAAAGCAATTAATTGAGGTTGTACAAAGCTTGAACCTACAAAAGGAATACGTCTGTGATAATTATGCAAAAAATCTAGGGCATACAGTTCTAAGGCTTCCACCTTACCACTGTATAATTAATCTCATTGAACATGTTTGGCACCAACTGAAATCTGCCATTCGTCGTAACAATGTTTTTCCCCGTGTTAACTCCAATGTCCTCAAACTTATAGAAACCGAAGTTTTAAAAATCCCTGCACAACGTTGGGCAAATTCTGTTAAATATATAGAAAAAGCAAAACAATCGTATATCCATATTGCAAATAATATAGAACAAATAACAATTAGAACAGGCGATGATAGCGATAGTGATACTGATACATTATGTGAATAATTTTATGTAATTTAAGTAGGTAATAAAAATAATGTGTAATTTTATTTTAGATTTAAACATAAATACATACATAAATAAATAAATATTGTTAAGTATCTTTCCTAAGAAAACCCTAAATAATTAAATTCTAAGCAAAGTACGGACCTGCTCGGTCATATTTCATTCTTACAGCTTGCCAGGATCGTTCCTTAATTCGTATCAGTTAGTCACTTTCCTATATCTATGAACAGACTTTAACTGTATTTGGTGCAGTTATTCCAAATAGCTCGCGTGTATCTTTTTACAAAAATGATATGGTTTCAAAGGTTTTAAATTTTCAACGATAAAGAATGATGAATATTATGTAACAAAATCATTTCTGAAACAAGCTGATATGGGTGGCTCCTAAACTCGATAATAACGTTTGAATTTGTATTTTTCGAACTCAAAATGATTCATTTTACTTTTATTTTACACCTTTTTAAAAATAAATGCTTATCTGTTTTTAAATTTGGTTTTCCTTAAATACGTAGATTAATGAGACCCTCTTTAAGACTAAATTCGTTGTAAAATCCGGGTATTTTTAGATTACTATTTAAATGGTTATTTTTTATGTGATTTTGAAAATTGTTTGATATTGATGACATTAACAGAAAAACGACACACATGATGTGGAATCCCTTGAGTGACTCACTTATGCCCACCTAGATGTAGAGATAAAATGGACGCATCTCTAATACCTTACCGGTGTTTGTTTTGCTGTTACAGTAATCGGTTAGGAATTTTTCCAAAGTGAAGCGAGGTAAATGTAAATTTTTTACAACCTGAACAGGATCGCCTTCTTTCCATAAAAATACTAAATCGGCCGTAGTCCAGCCATCTAAAACGAGCACTAAGCATTTAGAAGGGCCAGAAACCTATAGGCGCAAAACACTTACAACTTGCCATCCTCAATGAGCAAATTTGACGATCTAAAGGATAAAGCTTTAGATTCATAGGACAGGATAACGTCAACGATATTCTAAAAAAGAAGTGGAATTATGAAATGCTAGAAAACATGTCGCATACGTACCTAATACTGTACAGTACGGAACCATAAGGAAAAATGCGAATGTATACATTGGGCATAATGATATTATGAGTATGGCCGTCTTTTTCATTCGAGAAAAAGAGATCTGGCATCCAGACCCTGTTTGCTTCAGTGAGCGTAAGATACTTTAAGCGACCGTGGAAATCGTTGAATTTCAACCGCTCGTCCAACCATTGCTCACGGAATGTCAGCTGAACGCTATATTCCTGCAAATTTTTGACTTTGTATTATTACGGTCAGCGGACGGGCAATGGTCAAACAGTAAAATGAGATTAAAGTTTTCTAATAATACATGTTCCTCATGCCACGTGCAATATTTCTCGAAAGCAGTATTTCACTTGGGTACCAATATCGTTGGAGAGTGTTACTAACTTCCTATAGTCAGGGCTCACAACCAAAATTCCAAATTACGACTTGAAAATTATAGAGAATAATTGGATATGTAACAGTAATTTATATTTAAAATTTTCGTAACTCGCTTCACTGAAATACAACTTTTGTAGAAAAGAACGAGAAGCATTCAAGAGAGAAGCGACAGTTGCATTCCCAATCAGCGGTTCGCATGTTATTAAATTTGCTTGCTTTTATAAGGAACATATCCCCATGCAAAACCCAAATAATGCAGCAATCATATAAAGCCGGAAAATTCACCTCATGAAATCAAATCACAATGCGCTTACCCGTGCACGGAAAACCAAACCTCCGAAAGATATTTTTTGTGTCGATGCGGCCAGTAATTAATTGGGAGGTTTTGCCAAAACGCACCGCTGAAGGAAGCCTGAGCCCCGGACGAATTGGAAAAATAAAAACCGCGGGAAATATCTCGAAAAAACTCCTACAAAAGCTTCGGTAGTGCCTTCAAAGGTCGCTTACAACTTTAAACTCCCAAATCTACAAAGCGTGACTATCTAAAAGCGGGGGTTGGAAACTTTTACACCCAAATTGTCCAACGATACAATAAACGATCGAATCAATTTGTTCTTTCTCGTTCATTTTCGGTCACGGCACCTAAACGTATGCTTAAAAACAAGTTGCCTTGTCGTACGAATATTCACCAGCCACCGAAACCAGTCGATGACATTTTAAACTGGACAGCCTGTAGGAAAACATGCAACAGCACATCACATTGGCCGCTATATGTATGCATTGGCGTGTCACCGGGGCTGTACCGTCAGTGCATGCTTGCGCTGGTGCTGGTGCCTTCACCACTCACCAACTTTCGGCTCTGTGCAGTGAATGCAAATGCCATCTGAGTATACAGTACACCACTTGATATATAATGAATATATTTACATTATATTTGGCAATTACAGCCATCATATTCACAAAAGAGCAGATAAATATATTTCCATTGCTCGGGTGCTGCTTTTTTTATTATTTATATTTACTAAAATTAACATTTTTCGCGTGTCAATAATAATTCAGTTTAAACTGATGGCATATATTGTTTTCAACCAACTTTATTGCTTTAGATGTAAATACAGCTCAAGCGCGTTTCGAATAATCAACGCATTTTGCACAATCCGATTACAAACAAAATTTTGAAATAATAAATTAAGGTCTGCTATAGTGATCTAAATCGATATAGTAGATCCGCTTCATGTACAAAAGTTGGAAAAGACGTTGTGCTACAAACAACTACCAATACCTACGCTATGTTTCTTAATGCAAGAAAGTCATAAAATGTAAATTTGCAATGACATTTCAGTTTTTAAGCCCTACACACCTCCAATCGTTCCTAAATGACGATCACACTGATTTCCAAACAACCGAAAGAGGAGTTTAGTAAATAAAAGTGATGTGACAGCGCTCTATTAAAGGTAGTTTAATAACAATACTAAATATAATAATAATTATACAGGATTATAATTATAAATAAATAAATATATAATATAAATAAATAAATAAAGAATAGAGAATAACATGAAAATAGATAAATTATAACAACTATTATTATTTTTAAAAAAAGTCTACTATGTGTATTGAGAATACAACTTCATTTGGACTTTTTAGTGATCACGTCCCGAGTAGGTAGAGAGAAATAAGAATTGACTACAGTGTTTTCTAGCAAGTTATCAGTATAGGGTTTAGTTCACAGTGATATGCCGGGAGTATTTAGTTTTAAAGGGATTCGTCAAAAGGCGTGGGTATTTCTTCGGATTTGCTTCAGTGGTAGCATTGTCCATGACTATAACATACCCAGGTGGAATAAGATTTGGTATTTGCTGGAAGAAGTCTTCAGCATGTACTTATTAACCCTTTACCTTTAGCTATAGTATGGATAGGTATTACTTTTTTAAGTAAAACGAGTGTATTATTCGTCCGAAGGCAATCTTTTCATCCAGATTTTCTTTTTGTACTTCTCTTTGGTGACCTGACCGCGTCTATGCTTGTGAAAAAGTCGATACATTGTTGACTGTTTTTGCAACTCCGAATGTGAAGTTTTACTGACGAAGAGCATTGAGAATAATCATTTTCTCATTTTTAAAAGCGCAGTTTTACTAATCCGTTTCTCAGCAACAAATTCAGAAACGCTAACCATTTTTCGGAACGAACTTTACCAACAACTACCAGTAACTATAATTCTAATTTTAAACACTAAGGCAGGTAAGGTAGGTCAACTACCTATGGAATACACCAAGTTTTACAGTTCAATAATGATTAATAACTCCTCTCGCATTAAAAAACAAAGCATAGGCGTCATTTTAATAAAATAAATCATCATTTTAAATAATTAAATAAAAATTACCCTTTGGGATTTGAAAATATTAAACACGTACCAAATGTTAAAATGTAAATTTATTCCTTCCAATGTACGCTACCAAAAATTACTCAGGTCCCCTTAAAATGTGAACATTTACGTAAGTGAACAAAGCAGATACGGTGGTTTGCACTTTTGACAACTCTAGTATTTTGACTGTGGCTCTATATATATACAAAGCTCCGATTTTCAACTTGTCATACTTATCTGCTCCGTAATTTTCATGATTAAGTACTTGACATGACTGGCAGACCGTGCACTCACCATTTTATAATCGTCTATTTTGCTGATAGACCGTAGAAAGATGTTGATGTAAACTACCGTGGGTCCGTCTCCTACCACTGTGTGTAAAAAACAGAATATAGAGTACACTGACAAAATAGTCATAGGCGGTGGACGGGCAACGACCGTGCCAATCATATCTCGCATTATGGATGAATGCCCAACATGCAAGCGCGGCCACGCCCGAAAACCGCCACGTCATAAAACTGCGCCCCCACCACCCCATAGTATCGCAAAAACCTACTCGACTCAAGTCAAACCAATTATTGTATAAAATCACGCCGCATATCCTGGGCAATGGTAGGTATGACACATCCATTAACTGCACAACCGATTCTTAACACCCTCAATCGCCACGACAATCGGGCAATCAATCAACAAACCAATGCACCATAAATAGAGCCAATTGATTTATATTATTGCATATTTGGTCCTATTCGCTGGGGTAATTTTGCACCCTATTAACGGTTTAAATGGGCTCCCTGACTCCACTAAGTACAAAAATTATATTATCTGACTCAATCGTGCATTCAACCGAACTCCACTACTAAGAAACTGATGAGGAGGAAGACCGTTAATAGTTCGTTTGAAGAACATGTCTCAACCATAGTCTCACTTCATTTCCACAGCGAGGATAATGGTCCGACTTCCTAACTTCGAAAGCAGAAGACACTTAACATTTGCTTGCTTCGACTAACCAAAAATTCAATTCGATGCCTTACCGTAATTGGTGTCCATATTAAAATAAAACCACTTTCACATATGAAAAATCAACCGCGAATTAAACGGTATGTAAATTTTCTTGTCAGTTTAGAGAGAACATAAACGTGGGTACAATCATACACAAAAGCCATGCTTAAGGTATACTTAATGGTGACGACACAATTCTAATATGACTAAATAAAATGAATGATTCAATGTACACGTGTGATTTTAATACAGAAGAATGGATCGGATGAAAATGCAACAGGCGAAATGTATTTTGAATAAAATGGTGCGTGTGTGTATGTATGTGTATGTCTGGTGTTTGAAAACGCAACCTAGTTTCCCACACGTGACATGACATTATTGCCAGGCCACAGAATAACTACGAAACAAATTAATTAGGGACTCCGAATATGCTGCAGCATCAAAACATTAGCTGACCCAGAAACGTAGGTTGCTAGGGAGACCATTTTTCGGAATCTGGAATTACTGCGAAAACATTGGAGAGTTGGCCATTGCTGGCACTGTCAATGTCGCTTTACAGATGTTCGCGTTATTATACAACGACGCATCCGAGCGTAACTAACAAAGTTCATAATTGGCCGTGAACTTGAAACGAGATACGTGGCAGCCCTTTTGAGGGATCACCTGACCGTCGGATGGTACACCGAGACGACAGTCTAGGGGACCGTGAACTTATTTATTTTTTAATTATTTACCCATTCGATGATGATTGAGGCGGGGATGGATTTTTATTATTTATATAATTTAATTCTATCTATATGATATATATAGATATAATAAACAAGGCGCAGGACGTCAGTATACAGGAAGAGTTTAGTTGTCAGACTTTGAGAATGAATTTGGACAGACGTCAACATTTGTTGCCGCACAAAACAGCACTTACGGGTCTTTAAATAGGTAATTTAAACACATCAAGATTTATATTTTTAAGTTGCTATAGATGTTCTAATTCAATTGGTAGACTAAGCATCATATTAAACTAATCTTTAGTTACTGGTGTAAGAACTTTAATTACTCTTTAAATTTGGTTGGTGTTCGAGAAACAATTAGGAAAAAATATCCTCGGAGGTTTGGAAGTTTGGAGCACCGCGAATCTCAACCAAGAGAATTAATTAAATAGATTCAACAACCATACGAAAATTTAATCGATGCTCAGTACAAATCTCTAGATAATCCTGGAAAATGATCGCGGCTTATTTGTTAATGTGGAAGCAGTAATTGGTATCCCAACACACACGCCATTAAGCAAAGCGAAAGGTAAATCAGGCGAGAACTAGTCGTAGTTGATTTTAACTTTTTGGGAGTGAGCTGCCACGGTCAAATTGATTGCACTCTCGGACTTGGCAAAAAAATTACGTGGTCTAGGCGCCATACCAATCCAATAAATCGAGCAAACTAGTCGTCATAAAAAAAGGAATGGCCCGTGTTTTCGGTAGAATTTCCAGTGTAGCCTTGAATTAGATTTTTTTTTTCAAATTACAACTTCGAGTAGATCGAATTCCAAAAATTTCATTGAAATTGGTTTAGCAAGGATCGATTTTTAGACGAATAGTTTAAGATAAAACGTGTAAAGAATCAGTTGTGAGCTTCATGTTGGACAGGATGCGCTGAAAAAACATTCCAAGAACCCCGATACTTCGGTCATCAACATTCGATGTACTATACTACCATCCAAAACTACACAAATAGAGATAATCAATCTCATTCCGTTCTCCAACAGCCACTTACCATCGTTACGTCATCTATCTTTGAGATACTTCTGACAAATATGTTGACACGAACTATTGCCGGGCCATCTATAGCGATTAAGAGAAAAGAAAATGGAGCAATTAGTGTGCTTCATAACCGTATCAAACCGATTTGAATCGATCGACGCAACATGGTTTTAAGGCACCTGCACCAACCACCCCAAGACCTAGGCTAGCTTCAACCCCCAACAGCATTCAGCATTCAAACGCGGCTAGTCTGCAAACTGCAGCTATCCTACAAGCTGGCAGGGGTTAAATTTACTCTCGCCATGCGATTTCTGCAATTACCCACTTTCGATTTCCCTTTGCTCGTCATTTTCAAGGCCCGTATACCAATTCGAATGCAACAAACTGCCTATGAAACAAATAAATCGAATGCATGTCGCCGTAAACACCGGTTAACGAGTTTTGCATTCCAAAATCAACATATTTAGGATCGCAGAAAAATTTATGCTCCGAATTTAAAAGTGTCCGCATTATTTTTAGTACCTGCGTCCAATAAACACGTACACACGTTCTATCTAACCTCCGAGGCCTGAAATAAGTTCGAATTTCATTTGAAAAATCGGTGTTCAAATGCAAAAAACGAGACATAAATACATGATTTTGATAGCACATAGCAGCTGCTGAAAATTTGCATTCCATTCCATTTTCCATTCGCATTAAAAAAAAATTTATAGATGTTACCGGCAGCAAACAAGCTGTGGTTTGATCACCACGCCTATTTCCTGCGCTCAATTTTGTCGAGAAATTGTGTGTCGAAGACTGGGCCACCTTTTAGGTTGAAAGGAAACATTAGGCTTTTAAACTGTCTCGCGTGATATATAGGTCTTTTAACTAATTTCCGACGAAATGTGGGTCAATCACGGTCAATTTGTTGCAATCCCAATCCGCGAAAAATTATTCTGGATGTGTTCGAAAAAAAAAAGCACGTAATCGCAGTAAAGGTTAGTGGCGAGCGTTATAACAACCCCATTCGGCCTGTCGTAGCATAAAGTGGGGCACCTCTAAGCTACCTACAAGAATGGGGTGTCCTCCACTTACCATCTTAATGTCGCTTATGGTGGTAATGCTGCGTACAAACAGGTTAACCCGGACTATGGCTGGCCCATCTACAGAGATGGATGGACAATGTGTTACATTTACATATTTACAACAAGCAAAGGAAAACGCTGGTGCCCAAAGATGCGGATTTTCTCGGTGATCGCGACCTTGCTTTACCTACATTACCGGATTAAATATGCGTAACTAAAACATTACTCACCAGTCCCGTTAACCCCCGATGGTCTGATACGGGCGTCGTAACGGCCAGGTCCCAGTATCTGATCCAGCACTTCTTTTTCCTTTTCGCGGAAATTAATTTTTGGACTCGACCCGAGGCAACTACAAAAAACAAATCGACCATAGGAAACTATATAGCACACCGCTAAAACCACCAAACGGTATATTTACTTACGTGGTGAAATAAAGTGCGGGCAGGAACCAAACGGAAAACGTGCGGGTTTTCATTTTGCCCCGGCGAAATAAATTTAAAATTAAAAAAAAAGGAACGAAGCGAACCGAATTAATCGACAAACATTTTTTTTATTAGCCGCGTAAAATCGGAGCAGAAAGCCTTCTTGATGTGTTGTGTGCGGTCGGAACCTCAACTCAAACCCGTCTATTACACCGGAGTGAGGAACTTCGAATTGTGAGGCGGAGTACGATGAGATATTGATCCGGCCAGAGCTAGGAGCGAACAACGTCACACGTTTAACGGCTATTTAAACGAAATTCTCACTCAAGTTCGACGCCTCGGCATCGGCACTCCCTTGCGATTTGCATACAACTCGCGATATATCATTTTTCGTGTTGTATTCGAAAATAATCGCGAATTTGGCTTGATAGAGATCGTCGGTGCTCACACTGGCCGCGCTTGAACAAACGAACGCACGGCGTCGAATAGAGCGGCCTCGCTCTTATACGTCATAACGTTTTACGTAACACGCGATGACGTCATACAAATTGCCTTTTTCTCAATTCGCTCCGACCCCCTCAAAACTAGTTGGAGTCACCGATGAGTGTGTAATTGACGGGGACGGCTGAGAATTTACCGGACAAAACGCGACGCGAATGAGTTAAACCTAAATGTGGCAGAACGGCAAAATCGCAACGCTAATTGGAAGGCCTTTTGACAAAGTTTATATACAAATTGTTTGTACCTCTATTAACGAATTTAGAAAATATAAAGCAATGAAAGCTTCACAGCAATTACTTATACGTTGGAATTTATGTTTGTACGAAATATTACAGTCGGAAATATTCAATAACGAAATAATAAGAAAGGTTTGTTGCCTACGAAAAAGAAAATAAGTGTAATCTAGAAGCAATATAAACCTTAATAAAACCGTTATTGCACATTATAAATGTAGTTTTTAGTGCTGCAATTTTTTCTAATTTACTCAAACAGACTTTAATTACTTTTTTTTTTTCAAGGAAACTTCCGCAGCAACTCCACATTTGCTACCGTGGTCCTATTTTACACTTAAATCATAAATGACCACATATCAAAAGTTCTTGAGAAATATAACGTTAAAACGTAAAAGCGGACAGAACGGCAAAATCGCAACGCTAATTGGAAAGCCTTTTGACAAAGTTTATATACAAATAGGCGCTACATTGTTTGTACCACTATTAAGGAATTTACTAACTTTAACTTCAAAGCAATATAAGCTTCGCGGTAGGATGGCAATTACTAATATGTTGCAATTGACACTGGTCTCCGTAAAGTTACGACCGAAAATATTAAATAATAACAATACTTTATTTTTGAAACAATATAAAGTTTAATTAAACCATTATTGCATAATGTAAATGTAGTTTTCTATGCTGGAATTCCATTTTACTTTTGTTTTCAAAGAAACTTCCACAGGCTACCGTAAAACTATTTACAAAAATGTTCTGGATTCCTCCTACAACGAAAGCAACTTCACACTTGCCACCGTGGTCCTTTCTTGAATTTAAAACATAACTGACCACATATCCAAAATTCTTGAGAAATATAACCTTAAAACGTAAAAGCGGACAGAACGGCAAAATCGCAACGCTAATTGGAAAGCCTTTTGACCAAGTTTATATACAAATATGCGCTACAACTTTAAAGCAATATAAGCTTTGCTATGGGATGGCAATTATTAATATGTTGAATTTACTTTTGTCTCCGTAAAATTACGACCGAAAGTATTAAACAATTAAATAATAACCATAGTTTGTTTCCCACGAGCAAGGAAATAAGAGAAATCTAGGAACAATATAAAGCTTAATTAAACCATTATTGCATAATGTAGATGAAGTTTTCTGTGCTGGAATTCTTTTTTATTTTTGTTTTCAAAGAAACTTCTACTGTAATGCAATGTAAGCTTCACGATCGGATGTCCAGTATCAATAAGTTGACGTAACGTTTCCCTAAAATTACAAAAAGAAATACTGAACAAGTAAATAAAAAGAATAGAACTTAAAAAAATCATTATTAAACATTATGAGTGTGGTTTTAAGTGGTGGAATTTTCTGTGATATATTCAAAAATACAACATTAATTCCATTTTTTTTTTGTTTTCAAAGAAACTTTGTTAGGCTAGTGTTACAAATCTTCGAAAGCAACCCCACATTTGCCAGTGTGTTCAGAACATTAACAGTAGATTTAGCATTTGTCCAAAATTCTCTCAACATCTTCTATCCAACAAAGACAAAATTCCATTTGCGACGCCAGGAGTGTGCAGCATTCTATGCATATACGGCCAAGAAAACATTGGAGAGGCAGGATGAAAAATGTCAACTAGGCTAAAAGAAAGAGACAATGTTCCTCCGCCTCCACCTCCCTTAAACAGTATAGAAGCAGGTACAGAGTAGAATGCAAACTAGTTTGAGTTAAGCTCTGAAGAAGCCAACAGCAAGCTGTAAATTGCAATTTGCAAATTTATTCAAGCAAGGGGAAAAAACATCAACTAATAATTATAGACCCGTCGCATTAATTAGCACCGTAAGCAAGGCACTTGAAAAATGCTTGAGAAGCAGAATGTTGTCTTTAGAAAAATCTTCTCTTATCCGTTATACTCTTTTACTCTTGAAACTGGAAATCGGGTGGAGTTGACAATGTGTGACCTTCTTAAACAGGAGCTGTTTAGATATGGATTTCGCGGCGGAACCCTTAAGCTAATAAAATCTTATTTATTAGACAGGGAACAGTTTGTGGGCGATGACAGAAGTAAATCCTCTTTGGTGAAGGTCTCCAGTGAGGTCCCCAAGGGTCCGTACTCGGCCCCGTATTTTTAATAGTGTATGTTGCTGATCTAAGCCGTTTTTTGGGGTGTGTCAAATGTGCTTTACTTGCGGACGATGGCAGTTTTACCTTATATTGGGAGACTGGAGAGCCATGCGAACAATTGGTTTAAAAATAATTATTTGAAATGGAATACGGACGAAACTGAAAAAATATTCTTTTCGCTAGATAAATAGAACAACGGCGAACGGCAGTCGCCTAAATTACTTGGCATTAGACTTGACTGGAAAGATCATATTTTATCTCTTAAGCGGAAACTATCTTTCAGCTTATTCGTCCTTAGAAAAATAAAGGAGAGCCTAGACCAAAATACCCTAATGACAGTGTATTATGCTTTAACTCATTCCCACATATCATATGGCACAATATTATGGGGAACTCTGTCAATGCTGTTCAAATATTGAGGATACAGAAAAGGGCTATCTTTTAGAAATTCACAAATATACTAATATTTTTGAAGGTGTGTCTCTGCCGGATAGGTACAGACATATGGCTTTTGAGGTGTTCAAAACAAATATTAAAGTGTTGCTTATTGAAAATTGTTTCTATAGTGTGGACGAGTATTGAATCAACATAAAAAACTATATTAAAATCCTTGGCTTACTGAAACGTGTGAAGATCATAGACTTTCTGTACGATTTTTATACTCCGTGTTAGTGTTGTTGACCTTTACATCTGTTATTGTTCACTACTTTACACCTTTATACTTTTTACATTTTGTTTTTGTATTTCACCTTATATTGTAAATTCTTCTTCTTCTTGTTCTTCTCAAAAGAGTATGGTGACATCATGTCTCAATTTCTCGGATCGTAGTTCTTCATCCTTCCCCGTCTTGATCTGCAAGAGCATGACCAATAATTTCTTTGCTCGGATCCGCCCAACGCATCGGTGACCTTCCTGTTGATCGTTTGCCATTGACCTTTCCCTTCACAATTCGCTCTTCTCGAAATGTGTTGATAGCCTTATAGTGGAAAATATATCATATTCAGGAAATATATCAAAATATATCAGTAAAATATCAGTTATTAAATAAAAACCAATTTTGACTACTGAAAATGATCTACGCAAGGACACCGAAACAGTATTAAAGAAGTTAGATCAAGGTAAAAAATTGATAGATCCAGAGAAAGCCTTGGGCACTGTGGTGCATTCAGTCGTGCTTTAACAACAGGAGTATTTAGGAATAAGAGACATTAGCAATATTAAAAGTACTATTTGTAAAAAAAAATGTTCTAAAATTTTAGGAGGCAACCGAATAAAGGGGAATTGAATTTGGCGTGCCCCAGGTTACAGCGTTTTCAAAGCTCCTCATTAACATATACATGGACGACATATTAATAAATGTCGAAAAAACAAAATTTGTTGCCTTTCGACTCCCTTCCCAACCTGATTATCAACAGTTGAAGCTTTATGAATTGTGCTCGTAATCAACACATTGAAAGAAAACACTGTTTAAAATATTTAGGAATAATTTTAGATTAAAATTTTACATGGAAATAACGTATTGCTTTAGGGGCACAGTAAGAAAATTAATATTACGGCAGTATTGTTTTTGTTGACGCTGGTTTGACAGTTTTAAATAAATTTCAAGTAGTACAAAAACACATTTATTAAAGTTGTGTTATTCAAATATAAAATGTATCCAGCAGAGTTAGTCTTTAGAGTTATAATGAGGTTTAAGATAACGGTCCCTTAATATAAATATACTATTAATCATTGCCAAAATACAATAAATGCAGCAGGAAACAATGTTAAACTACAAAACTCCAAGCACTCAACATGTGAAATGTTCAAAATCAAAATCAAAAAATTTTTAATAGTCTTCCTAACAATATTAGGACAAATCGATCGGTTTTTTATTTTGAAAATATTAATAATTAATAATGGCATATACTTGGAGTTTATAGAATTGTGGAGCTTTTAATTAGATATTTATGTATAACTGATGATTTCGAAGATACAGGGCGTTTAATTTTTTTTTATGAATTATACCATTCATTGAGAGAACTTTTATAGTATAATAATCAAAATAGGCACTTTTACATTTTTTGACAATTAGGAACTTGCAGCTTACTGGAACCTTGGTCCTAGCATGATTTAGATAAATCGAATGAATCAGTTCTTTTTCTGTCGAGATATTGTTGAAATTTTTCATAGAAACTCTGGCGGTTTTTTAAGTTAAGTTAAAGGTATTTTTTCAAAAAAAAGCAATATTTATCGATAACAATTTTCACTAAAGGAGAAGTATTTAAATTTGATTGATCGTTAAGCAATACATTTGAATGTCTCATTTTGTTAATCTCCATGACTTCCAATAAATTTGATTGTCTACCCTTTGTGACTGTATGCAAAATATCAAAATTGCCTGTATTTAAGTGTGTAGCATAATTAGAATCTAAACTATTGTTTTTAAACGCTCCTTTATGTTCGTTAATGCGTTTCATGACCTGTTTGTATAATATAAATTTTAGGACAAGATCCGCATTTCAATCTGTAGACACCTGATTTTTGAGATTTTGGGATTTTGTTGTTAGTTATGAAAGCTATTTTTAAACCACATTTTGACAAATGTTTTGAAACTTTTTCACTAGGTTCTCTTATGTATGTAATTGTTTTAAATTGTTCGTGTTCTGTATTAGATTTCGGATAAATAGAGTTTACTGTTGTCTGTATTTGTTTTTTATTTATAATTTTATCTATAATGGACGGATTGTAGCCGTTGTTCAGTGCGATTTGTTAAATGATATTAAGTTGAAAGTGGCATATTAAGAAGTCTGTGTATAAAAGAGTTAAATTCAGCCATTTTGTGTGTATATGGGTGATTTGAACCTTCACACACGGACACAATCATACATAAGAGCTCAAATCACCCTTATACACATAAAATGGCTGCATTTAACTTTTTTATACACAGACTTCTTGATACGCCACTCTACCTCTCCTTTAGTGAACTTAAATTCTCACAACAACATTAATTAAGGTGTTATGATCATTTTTCGGTATATATAGTAGCAGGTAGTTTGTAAATATTACATTTGATAAAGACACGGCGTCTGAACTTTTAGTTCTTATTTATTTTGATTCCTGAAAACTTAATCTTTAAGTTCAAGTTAAAAATTTAAGCAAAGTTAATCCTGACTCTAGCGTTTCCAACATAACGAAGCTAATTGCAACTTCACCTTTTGTACTTAACAAATAATTCGAAATACCCATCAGTTAAGTTTCAAATGCCATTACATTGTTCAGGGTAGGTCAGATCGGATCCATGGCCGATGAAAATTAATTATCTAGCCCTGATACACAAAGTTTGTAAAGCGTTTCAGTGTTTAATGGAGTTATTCTCTTGGTTGATTTAGTTATAATCGCGGAACATTTTGCGACCGGCATTGCACGTACTACGCTATGGAAACTAGGTTCAGATACGCTTTCGAAATAATTCGAAAATAAATTTTTCAACACATGATATTAATTGTTTTTATTGGCGTTAAGCTCTACGGCTAATTTATAACCCAACTCTGGCCTTCTATCTCGACCTTCCACCATCGCTTTAACTTGGGAAGAGTTGACTATAACGCCGCTATTTGTTAACACCGTGTTTTTGGTTTTTTCGATATCGGACAAATCCACTCCCCTACTGCAATCGTCAATTAAAATAGTCCTGTAGCCGATGGCGAGGGCATCCACAGCTGTGGCACCTGAAATAAAATCAGTTTAGCCAATCGGAAACAATAATTAATGTCCCTGCTTAAATTCGAGTCATTACGGAGGAAGAATAAGCGAACATCGAAAAACATCAATGTCGCGCAGATGAGCCTTACCCACACACACATCGTAAGCCAAACCGCAGATATATATGTCAGTAGCGTTGCGTAGACGCAGTTGCGCGCACAGAGTGGTATCGGTCATTTTTTTGTTATCCCAGAAAACCGAATAGGAATCGACGTCAGGATTAGTGCCTTTGTAGACTTTGATGGCGTTTTCGACCACCTGAAAATCCACAATCTGATAACTAAAACTAAGTCAAAAGTGAAAATCACTTTTAAATCTTTATGTAGTTCTGATCCCCAAGTATCTTGGACGCAATGTCTGGGCCATAGTCTCTGCTTTTGCGGTGGTGATCCAGAAAATACTACCGTGTCGTACGTTTGGGCAGTATCGGCGGTCACCAAACTACTCGGATCGATTTCTCTATCTTTAATATTTTCGATGAACGAAACATGGTCGCTGGGGTGCCAGTCGAGGGAGTAGAAAACCGCGTCGAACTTCACAGTCTCTAGCAACTTATTGATGGGTTCGACTACATCTTGACCTAGAAAATAAATGTAACAATTTATCTACTATTGCGAAAATAGTACCGTTTTGCTGAGCCGAACAGTTGCTAATGTTTAGGGTTCCGCTGATAAAATCGTTCTGCACGTCCACGACCAGGAAAGCTGATATGGGACGAACAATCTGCAACTACATCGGTTAAAACGAACTGCCAATCGGAACGATATATATAAGCTTACGATTTTAATCCAGTGATTCCAACAAAACGTAAATTCGCTCTTATCGATTCGATTGTCTCCGTTCGAATCAAAAATGTCGAAAAGGTCTCGTAGTTTTTGATCTTCTAAATGATAAATTTTTCCTCGGTCGTTACGAAACAGCGCTCTAGTCAGCAACTTAAACTCGTCGATATTCAAATACCCGTCCCTGAAAACAATTTCGCATCGCATTTCCCATTTGAAAATAACTTTTACGTACCCGTCTTTATCGAAAGCTACGAAGCAAGCGTCCATAATTATTTCGGTGATTAAATAGTCACATTTTAAAGTTTCGAACGCGATACGGCATATTGAAATGGAAAGAATTCGGTAAAAACTCGCAAGCTTATGGGAATAGTTTAGGGTGATACCAAGTGGCACCAAATGTGTCGAACTAGTGTTCGAATTCCCTTGCTATTGTATACGAAATTTATTGGAATACCGACGTCATTCAGTTTTGCTTTTATGACCGTACACAATTTGCGCTGTGTTATTTTGCGGACGACGAAATTTGATTGGAAATAGAACAAAAACAGGGATTGCTTAATAGCAACAGAAATTAAATGAATATCTCCTTCGCAGTTAAGTCTATCGAACTCCATCTACAACGATTCGTTAATAAAGGATGGTTACAAACAAAATCTGTTCATTTAAAAGGTTTAATATGGCGCAAGGGCAACAAAAATTAAAGAATTAATTTTGTTATAAATTATATTATATTATAATAGATTATAAAGAGGGGTGGAAAACTCATTGTTTTTAATTAAAAAAAATATAGAAATAAGTTGGCAAATTGATTTAAATTTGATAATATTAGTTAAAAAGTTTTTTATGTGGCAATACATTTTTTTTTAATATTCGCTTAGTCCATCTACTGCTTCTCCCAAGGCACGGAAGCAACTAGCGCCTTCATGCGACGTGTAAAGCCAGTGATACTCTTCAACCAATCAGAAAACGACCGAGCGGAAAGTAAGGCAAGCTGCAGTTGCAAAGGTTGCACGTAGATGGCTCTCGAGGATGACTGAAGTATTGATATTAGATCAGGGAATTTGGTTTTCGAATATGCCCGATGCGTTTGAAGTTTTTTCCAGGGCGTGCAGTAGTAGACTAACCAATGAAATACTTTTTTGTGAGAAGCCAAACCAAACGAAAGTTGAATGAAATCGCTAAATATTATTTATTTATAGAAGCTCATTAAGTACGCATAGATTAGAGGCTTGACGTTACGTCAGGTGATAATTGTTTTAAATTTAGTTTAAGGGGGTTCGTCTGGTAGCCCATTAGTATTTTGAGCCACAAAAATTAAACAGTAACCGCGCAATTAAAGCACTAACAGGTTAAAATAACTTTTGAAAATTGTCACAGTCTTTAATATTGGTCAATTAAGTATGGATTTGTGGCGTCATCTGTAAAACATTTGAGAAGCTTCAAACGTCATTGCGGGTTGGAATCAAAACCAGAAGATTGGTTCTCTCATCTGATATGTCGTTGGTGGTACAGTGAGTGTGTAGTGGTTAGTGGTGCCAAAATGGCAGAAAATGGACAGAATTTTGCGGAACAACCGAAGACTGCAGGTTAGAAAAGCTAGTTCATAGTTTTTTGTGTTGGTTGCGTATTTTGCTAAGTAGTGACCGATATGTCCTTTCTTGGTCTTGCGGAAACAAATCGTTATATAAGTTAAATAAGTCCAACATCTGTAGATATTTTTTAACGTAATAAAGTTAATTTTATTTAAAAATGGACGTTCCCATTACTTAGGGGTTAACCGCGTTCTCCGGTAGTCATTCTAGATGGGCTTTACATTGTTTTGAATAGACGGTGACACCTAGGCAAATATTTTCAGTTAGTAGCGCTGTCATATGAGCGAAATGCATACAAGAAGTAAATTATTATTGTTAGAAATAAATTTGTGTACGTCTAATTTATCTCTACAGAGGTGATGCGTGGTAAATTCTAAAATTTCGTCACTAAGACCTGTCCAATTAACATTTGCTCTGCATTCCTAAAGTTATTGCTGCGACCTACAGTGGGATTTATAAATAAAAACGCACTTGCTATATTTAGTTCAAAAAAATATTCGATCATTACACCCGATCAATGAAAGAAAGGGCCAAAAATATAACCTTATAAATGTGCTTATCTTATCACCGTGGATGTACGAAAAGTAGGTATTTTGGCAACTGTAAGGTGAACCGGTTTTTCTATCTCATTTGCATAATTTTCATTCATTATTCATGGTAAGTGCGAACAATTTGCTGGATTTAATGGATTTCCAGCACGAATAAAATGTAAAAATTGTTAAACTTCAAATTATTTGCCATAAACCAGTTTTTGGGCAGGTGCAGGTAGAAACTATTATAAAGAGGTAAGATTTACTTAGAAACAGCGTATTGCTTCCAAGAATTCGCTTTCCAATGCCCTGTAGTAGGTATAGGCATAAATATTTTTTTAAATTTTCGTTATCGACTTCGCTTGTATGCAGTGTCACAGCTATTAATAAATATACTTATTTATACGTTTTCGAAGCATTTCCTCCATTTAAAAATAATCAGGTAGGTATTTCCGCAGGAATACCTGTTGTTCGGAAACGTTGTGTCTATTAACAGAGAAAAATCGGAAAAGGTTTAACATGATTATCGATATCCAGAATAAATTCGTCAAATGTGACTCATACAACATTAATTACGAATCCTCACACGTACGTGCACCGTAGGTACAGTGTCCGTTATTTATATTAAATGACCCCGTTGAATATTTTTTTATCAAAATCATTTAATGAGAATTCTAAAAAAAAAATCTGCAAATCCATGGGTCGGACTGCCTCGTGAAAACTACACGCATGAATTGATTTTAAACAATGATATCCATTAAAAAGACGGATTAAATACACATTTTGTTCGCAACCTTGCGGGATGTTGCTAAGTGAATATTGTATTATTTAGCAATTATTATGGAAACTCAAGCGCCTTTAAAAATTGTTCTTTTTTTTAATGTATAACAATGTAATATACTCTCGTTCCGATTATCGTAATATATTTTTCTAAAAATAATATAATTTATAATTAAAGATTGCAGTTTTTAATTCTGTCGGCATTTCATTCATCCTTATATATAAATTGCCATTTCATAATGTACCTGCTTTATATGTATAATTCAATAAATTTAAATAAAATAAAATAAATAAATTTTAGATTAAGTAAATATTCCCTTGCATTTGTATATTTCTCCATAAAGGCATTATTATTATTTTTATCCATTTTATCTTTACGATCTTGTGATCACATTTATTTAAATAATTTCATTTAAATGTTTAAGTAATTAGTTTGCGTCAAATTTAATTAATTAATAATAGTAGAAGTAAAAAATAATAATATTCAATTCAGTAAACTTAGTAGAATAAATGCTTGTAGGGATGGCAGGTGGGAAGATCTATTATTTTCGTTGTATTTTATACCAAGAATGGCGTTGTGGGATCTAAAACTGTGCCTATGAAAACCATATTTAAATCCAGGTTAATAACGCGTGTCTACTGCCGTTTAGGTCGGTCCATTGATAAATGGTGCCTATAGTGTATATAATATATAGTGTCCCTTTACCAGTGGATATTTATATTTTTCTTTTAGTTCCAGATATACACCCACTGCATTTTTCTAGTTTTACCCTAAACGAAAACGATGGTGAGATACTTTTTTTTACATATAAAACCTAATTTAAAATTTGTTCTGTTGTTGTGTGTGGCATGGCAATTTTTGATTTTAGACATACTGCTTCAGCGCTAATAGCAATGCAATACCGAGCATGTATTTTGTATATAACACCGCGTGTACACATTTTTAGAGGTGACCAATCAATAAGCTAAGCGAGGGACGTACATATTTGGTTTAGAAACTAACCTAGCATCAATTAAAGTCAGGTTCACAAATAAAAGTCTAAAGGAATAATGTTAATTAAAAACTCCACCCAAGCATGATGAATTGGCGCTTGTATGTCACTGGCAGGCATGCATGGTCAATAATTTCGTCCTTTTACGTATTGAAACAGTGCCGTACGAAAAGTAAATCCCCTTCGAAGTAATCGCAAGGGCGTTTCTAAATCTTTAAAATGTTTTTGTTTAACGATGACTAAAATTTGGCTGAACCATGCGGAAAAAATACTGATAACGATTAATCTTCTGTCAACATGTCTGATTCGTATACTTTAAGCGACGACAAAGACGTCGATCAGTATAATACGGGCGGTACAGGATCGTTGTTAAACGCGATTTCGAAAATTGCCATTTTAATTACGCCCATTCGTCGATAAATTCCTGGGATGTTTTTAGTTTTATTTCACAATTTGTTCCGTAAATCAGCGGCGTAACTTAATTTTTTTTTCTCCAGTTAATGTGTAAATTTATGGTGAAATATCAGCGAGGCATAGATGTTGTCATTCATAAGAGAAATCGCTCATAATAGGATTTAAAATAATAGTTTTACAGGCTGGTGCTTTACTTGGTCAACAATGCATTTAAAGATCATCGTCTGTGTATGAGATGTTGTTTTTTATCTTAAAGCTGGTTAATTGGCTTTTTCTAAATTTAATGACGTCCATTGTTTAAACTCTTCCGCATTCATTATTACATGGTTTGAACCAACTCGCTCTTGTGTAAGTTTTTTCATATTTTTTTTATTTTATCATTTTTTATTTGTCGAATTTTAGAAATAACGGTGTTTCGTTTAACGCGTTTTTAAAGCTATCGACGCTTCAAAAATTGCATTCATCACTCTCGGTAAATTTATTTCAAAGCATTTTTGTTAATAGCGCTACGTTTTCTTTTCCCATAAAATGACGATAAATTTGATTGACTTCATCGAGGATATGAATTTTCAAGTTAATTATATTTTTATTCGGTACTTTACAATTTTATCATTTTCTAATTTTTCCATGTCCCAGTGACTTCCATTTCTTTAGTTATATTTACATCTGCACCGCGTAAAAATAATTATGCAGAAACTGTTATATTTACTACACAGACATCGAGCAGCTTTGAAATAATTGCATGTGTTATAAAATAAGCCGGAAAGCTCGATCAGGATTTAAAAGCTTTCATTTCAAGCTTTCATCGACTTTTATTTTTTTCTGAATGTTTCGGTTACAATTCGAGAGGGCGTGTTTCATATCAAGATTTTTGATTAGTTTTTCTGCAGTTTCGAAACTGAAGTAGCGAGCAAATGATGTATTTGCTACTTATTGTTGCGTTATTTTGTGTTTGGTAGGTAAAAAACTAACTATCGCATTTATAATGGATTTTGATTGTTATCGGAAAGATGACAGGGTGATATCACAGTATGGGTGTGTTGCTAAGAACTTTTCCAATTTGTACCTCTACTTTCACCCTCCTCGTTGGATATATTCAAGTAGGAAGATTAAAGATGGTCGAGAAGCACTAAAAAATGTAATTTTTTATATATTAATCTCCGATTTTAAAAATTCAAAAGCGAAATAATACGTGGCAGCGGAATTTACCTCCCACTTTCAATAAACGACTGTGTTTTAGGTCCCAGCCTGTCAAATTATTAACTAATATTATAAACAGCGGTAGAGGGCGTTTGATACGCTTCATTTGGGGCATTCACGGTCGTAAGATTGTATTTCAGACAACGTCGGCGCTTGTTACCACTTCTAATTGTTCTAAAATTAAACGCAACTTGTTGCGTTGACACAAACGGCACCAAGTTGAAAGCCCTTTATGGACTATCAATAATTATTAATATACGTCACTATAGCGAGCACATGCGGGCTGACGTTTTTAAACTTATTCAGTGTCGTACCGAGCATCGAAATCTCCGAACGCTCGTTTTATTCGCCGCCAGTCATTTCTTTGCTAATTCGCTCGGGCAGCAACGAACGAATTAAAATTTTTAAAGCGCACACACTTAGATGACCGTGGTCGTTTAATAAACAATCATCAGTGTCGCGAACATCGAGTATTATCATCGAAACAAAAGCGCCTTTTACCGATAAAAGTAAACTATGTTCGCCCGTCAAAAAGCTAGTGTTCTTATCGTGTTAAGTCATGGCACCTAGTAGAGAACAGAGTCCGTGTTTTAGTGAACATATCAACTGCATTCGCAGTATTTTGGTGAAAACTTTGTCTTCGGAAAACATCTCGAAAAGTGACGTGCTCAAAGTAAAACGGTTTGAGGGATACGCCAAAGTGCAGACGTCGGCGTCAGGTAAAGGATAGCGATTTTCATGAATCATTTTCACGTGCAGGTGTTCTATACGCAACAACCTCCGTATTTGTTAAGAATTCCAATGCAAATTTAAAGGATCAATTCGAATCGGCGCGAGACGAGTAGGATGGAATGGGTTTCACACGAACCAATCGGATAGCCTTTAAACGACCTCAAGTCTCGATTTGTTTTGTTTATAATTATTATTAACCAACAATCGTCTATAAATGGAAATTATAGCGAAATCATTTTACAGCTACGATACAACGCAATCAATCTTTTTTTTTTTTTGGTTTAGCTGTCATCGCTATATTTAGCTGTACGTTAAATTTATAATTAGCCACAATTATTAAGGGTGTTCCCGAAAAAACGACGAACGACACTGAATAGAAAATATTTACTCAACCGCGGATCGATTTTTGCCTAACCGGACAAAATAGCAAAAGGTGAAGAATTCGAAAATCTCTTTTACATACAATCGTTAATCAAAGTTCTGCAGGTATGACAAATTAGGCACCCAAGCGTAACGTCGTTCCACTTCATTCTGCGACAAAAAGTGAGCAGTCGTTTCAAAGTCCTAATTTCCAGTCGTGGAAATACCTAATTATCCACACACTTTACCAGTGTGTCGGAAATTTAGAATTTTCGCAAAGTCGAGGACCGCACAACAAATCGCGATCATTCTAGCTTCCGATTGTATTTAATCTTTGCTTCAAGGATATATTCGCGTTAAGTTTTGGAAAGTAATTCAAGGGAAAATATTAATCTAACCTAGAAATTCGACACCGTGAGATATAAGAATGTAACTTTACGCATACAATGCTTTTAAATAGAAAATAAATTCGATTAGTTATTTTTTTATAACGGTCATTTTATGGTACTGTCCTGGAAAAATTCCGTGATCGCTCTTGTAAACTTATTGTTTAAGAATTTTTAGTTTTTTGTGTCAAGACGCTTTCGCTATATTTTGTTTGCCACCAAACAAATTAATTTTCAAAAAATAAAATGAAGTCTCATTTTCAATAAAAATCGAAAACGATTTTCAAATTCCCCGTTGCAAAAATATCTAGCGAGCATTCCCTTCCTTAGTGCAGTAAGAGTTCCTTGCGGTTTTATTTAAATCTAAGAAAAATTAACAAAATGATAATATTTTAAACCACATTGAACCATAAAACGAAAAATTGTATAAAAAATCCTGAAAAATCCTCTTTAACTAACAATTTTAATTCTTTCGTTGCAGTCGATAAAGAACTTAGATTGCGGTCTGTAAAAGAACGACAAAATGAAGAACGGCAGAAGAAATTGGAAGAAATCAAAGCACAAGCGCTAGCAGCACAAAAGTTTAAAGAACAGAAAGAACAAGAAAGAAGGAAGAGACTGGAAGAGATGCGGGTAAAAGACGACATTCGAAGGCAACAAGTGGAAGAGAGGAAACGAGCGATAAACGAAGCAGAACGTGACAGGTTAGAATCAATTCTCAGGCGGAACCACGAGAGGGAAGCTAGGATTGAGGCCAAAAAACGGAACGAACGGAGCAACATCGTATTTGCATTTGGATCTTCTACCCCACGCATGCTCGACCCGACAGACGCCTCGGTTTCATTTTGGGGTCATAGAAGAGCCACGTCTACGCAAAACATCACCAGCGCTTCTACAATGTCCACGTCGTTGACTCGAAGGCAATCGGAAAGGGATTTGGATACCGGCAGCAAAAAAAGGGCCACTTCTGCTGGCGGACTTGAAAGATCTGGCGAAAGTTAGTACGCAAATAAGGCGTTTTGATGATGACTGTACATATTAGACTCGAAACGCTAATTACCATATATTTATATTACAATTTTGTGATTATTGGTTAGTTCGAAACGACCCCGCCTGGCGAAAGGGCAAGCAGCTTTTGAATACTTAGCTTTTAACTGGTTAGGCTGTATATATAGGTTATCCATGCCAGAAAAGCTTGTTCAAACATTAATAGATAAAAACAAATTGAGTTGAGTTCCTTCATAAATAAAAAAAGGCGGTATGACAGAAAAAAAAATTAAAAAAATATATTTTTTTCATTGGACCTTGATAACACCCGGCAAAAGTCTGGAACTGAAGATGACCACCCGATAATTTTTGAATATTTAAATCGAATAATTCGATAACGAGAATTGATTAACACTGGAAAACCTGTTGGAAATTAATTTAAAGGAAATCTACAGGGTGATTCATTAATATCCGTCCCCAATTTAAAAAAGCGTTCTTTAGCGCAAAATAAAGAAAAAGTTCATATAAACACAGATTCGAAAAACGAGGTATAGGGTGTGAAAGTTCGTTTTCTTTTTCAGTTTAAAATGTTAAAAACAATGGATTCCAATTTGGTACATCTTTACTTTAAGAACTCAATCATTGAGGCTATTGAATAGTGTGTTGGCATATCAACAGGTTGTGAGACACTTTTGGGGGTGGTATTTAATCTCAACCTTTTTTTTTTCTCTGTTTAATTTGGAAACTTGTTGGTTGTTCTTCCGAATATTTTTCATTAACTGTGCTGATTTCACGGTAAATGTGAAAAACCTCTTTATTAATAAAAATGTTTGAGAGCGGTTAATTAATTATCGGCCCTAAAAATATATCAACCTGTAGGTATTGAAAAATGTTAACATCATTCATTATTGCCTTTTTGAAGTGCAATAGATGCACCAATCTTCAACTTCATTCATTTTTGTTTATTTTGACACGTCCTATTAAGGAAATTATTCTCACTTTGTATCGTACGTTTAACAATTACATCCAGCCACATTTTCATTTAATTAATGGTATCCAAAGTGAGTTTGAAAAATAACGGTTCCATTACAAATAAGTAATTTTTACGCTGCTCGAAAATTATTCAAAATACCAAAAAGTTGACTTCGACCCGCAAAAGTGAAAATGTTCAAACCTTCTTATGGCCTCAAGTATTGAGTTTTTTAGGTGAACTGTGTGAACCAAATTTCAGTTGATTATTATCAAAATTGCGGGAGAAAATTTGAAAAACAAAAAAACATTTTCGGGGCCAGGTTTATCTGAACTTTTTTTTCATATTTTGAGTTTAAGAACACGGATCCTCGAATTAATATCAATCAACTCGTACTATTACTTTCAGAAGAGAATAATTTTTATGTTATTTAATTTTTCATTTTGGGCGGCCTTAGATTAGGTCGATTTCCAATTTAAATAAAAACAACTAAAGAATAGTGACTTTTAACCTAGGCCGCTAGCTCTGTAGCTTTCTAGCAAAGGTGTCCTTCATTGGATTTGTTGTTGTTTTTATGCATGCCAACAACACTTTACAAATTCACCTGCATTCGAGCACCGAATCACATTTTTATTTCCAATTTTTAGTTTGTAATTGTAGAAGAAAGCTCCACAAATAAGTTGGTTTTCAGGTTGAAGCGAAAAATTTAAAAAACGAATTTGTAGAGACGCGAGAGGACGAAATCAAATTTAGAGTGACAGTTAACGCATAGGAAATATTATGGGTTTTGTTAGCAGGTATGATAAGTCCCTCGACCCCAGCTGGGTGTGCCAGTGGGTACGTAGGCCGGCGCAGGACCGACTTAGTGCCTACCGTTCCCTCCAGAGACTCTTCGTTCGCGTCTTCGGGTTCGCGCAAGTCACTGAATCACTCACCAGGTAGGGCGTATTCCATGTCACGTTTAGACCAGCTTGCCAAACCCCGTAAAAGGGCCGACACGGCCAGTGGCCTGCCGGCCCTGAACGAGTGTACTCTTTCTCCTGGCCGTTCGGTAACACGTAGCATGAGCCACCTCGCGCATGTGGGCAAGGCCCCCACGGCCACACGGAGGCCTCTGCATAAAACTGACAGCCGCAGCATGCATCATCTAAGTGCAGATGGTGTGCCTATTGCACCTCCCCGTGCAAATCGCGCGACTCAACTCAGACAGCAGAAGTTGCTTATGGCCCAGCAACAATCTTCTAGTTGCAGCGAGGGTACGTCCCAGTCCTTTCCGCTTTCAGACGCCCCCTAATTTCGGCGGTGGTTCTTTATCGCTACTGTATTTAATACTAGTCTCCCGGTTTTTTTTTTCCGTTCTAATCCTCCAAAGTGGTGACTGGTTGATCGATATCGCTATTTTCTATTTAGTTAGTCCCATTGGTAACATCACTTAGCGGAGGAATTAATCGAGCCAGATGCGCAGCAGTATGTCGCTTTTGGTTCCTTTCGTTCATCTTCAAGTAAAATAACCTTAAAATTGCAGGTGATTTGATTCTAAGGTGGATAGGCCTGTCGAATAATCATTGTTATGGTTTGTATCGCAACTATGTCTGATCGGAACTAATGAACCATTGAGCTTTCAAAGAGTTTGTGTAGCTTTTATCGAAATTTACTAATTTACACTTTATGGTGGCGGGTCCATATATACAGAATGAGTCATATCTTTTCATGTGATCGATCACCTTTCCAGGATATCTTGAGAATCATCAAAGTAATGGCGGATGTTTCCAAAACGTACACTGTATCTCGACAGTTTCTTGCATGACAATGTGAAAACCTTATGGAATATCTTGAATGGTTCTCAAGATTCCGAAAAAAAAAATGGAAAAATCTGGCTCCATTCTGAGAACGTTTAATTTTATTTGTTCACAAACACACGACACATTTTGGCACCAATTAGTGTGGATCATTAAAAGCAAAACTAACTATTATCAGCTTACTTCACCCGGCTTTCTATGGTTTTAATCTGTAAAATCCAAATAAAGTTTCACTTGTCGTTTTATCCCTACAGCGTCATCGCGGCCAAGTAGTTCCCTAAGTCAACAAAGCACAAACAGTGTTAGCAACTCGGTAAATATAAGGCATCGGTTGTCGGCCACCCCACGTAGACCCAGACCGGCCAGCATTGCGGTGACCGGGGTGACCACCGATATTCGAGAAAATAAACCACCCTTGCCTAGAACTAGAAAATCGATTACGAAAACGACCGTAGAACGAAAACCTATAGATAAAAACAAAATTAAATCACCCACTGACGAAAGTGTCGGGAAAGAGATTCCACATGAGATTATAAAAACGGCCGACAATGAAAAAATCGAAAGTGCTAATAAGGTCCCGCCTATTGTAGAAAATGCAATATTAGATGCTAACGAATCAACTGCAAGCAACAATATAATTCCACAAGGACAAACTGAATTAGAAATGTGAGTATAAAATTATTTTAAAACTATAAATTAGTCGTATTTTCAGAGCGGTAATGTTGTGATACTAGTATCCATGGCCCAACAAACCGTTCACTCCGCCATTTAACACATACCCCCGTTCATTCCATTTTTCTCTATATATTTCGTTTCTTAATACGAAAGAGTAATAAAATGTAATTTGCAATGACAGGGACCATTAAACAACTTAAATACCGTAAAGTTTAAGAAACTTATATATTTCAATTTTTCAGACCTACACTCTATTTTACTATTTACAATACAAGTTCATTTGAAATTTGAGTCATCATGTTCCGAGTAGATGAACTATATAGTTGGAGTCCAGGGAATTATAATTGGCCGTACAGCTCTGGCATGTTATCAGCTTCCCACATTCTCTTATTTCAATCATATCTTTTGGTTACTTTCTTAACGAAAATTCATTTCCTCCAAAGTTTGTTTGTTTGTTAGAGTTTCTTTTTTCCTTATACTTCTCTTTGATGACCTGACGGAGCTGCGTTTATCCTAATGCACAAGTCAATTTATCGTTGGCGGTCCAGCTCCAGTTATATTCGAAGACATTTCAACTATTGCCACTACGTATGTGGAGTTTTGGTGAAAAACTTTCTGATTTTTAGAGAACGCAGTTTTTCTATATCTCACCAAAGCTGCTTATATGCTTGGAAAAAATACGCAAATTCTTATTATCTTATCACTTCCCTGTTAATTTGGCTATCAATCAAGGTTTCTGGAGTTGAATGTATATAAAAAAATATCGACCCCAGAAGTAGGTGCATAGACTTCTCAAGGTTTAAAAATTTCGAAGGCGCGTTTCTTATTTCAGTGAAGTGCCTAAAACAGAGGAAGCCAAAACTGTAGTGGAGATACCCGCGGAAAAAATCCCCACCCCTCAAATCTCGTCGGAGACGTCCGTTAACACTTCCACGAACAAAATCCAAGAGTTCATAAACATCGAGCGATCGGAAATGGCGATTGTTCAAACCGAGTCTACAAATCCAGACGTTTCCAATACAGAAACAAAAGAAAGCGATTCAAACGAGATGACTACTTCCATAAACAAACCTCGTATAACTACCGAAGAAGAAGCCAAAGCCGCTTTAGCTGAAAGACGTCGATTGGCGAGGGAGGAGGCGGAACGACAAGCCGAATTAGAAAGACAGAGAGTGGAAGCTGAGCAAAAGGCTGAATTGGAAAGGCAGCTAAGAGAAGAAGAAGAGGCCAGACAGTTAGTTCAACTCCAGAGGCAAGCGGAACAGGAAAGATTACAAGAGGTACTCTTTTTTACTAAAACTATGAAATGTTCAACGAGTTAATCAAGTGATTGATGACGTTGTAGGCCATCCGGGAAGCACAGAAGCGCGAAGAAGAGGAAAAACAGCGGCGGGAAGAAGAACAGAGACTGAAGCAACTGAAAGAGGAAGCGGATAAAAAGGCGAGGGAAGAGGCGGAGAAACAGAAGCTAGAGTTGCAAGAAAAGTTTAAAAATGAGGAGAAAGAGCGGGAGGAACGTAGGAAAAGAGTGGAAATGATTATGTCGCGGACTAGGGGCAAAAACAATACGAATAATGCGTCCCAACAGGTATGACGCTCTCGCATCAGCGCCATTTTGTTCGCAAGTATTGATATACTTACTTTTCAGAATTCGCAAGATAAAAACGAAAATAAGTCTGAAAAACAAGTGGACGAGAATAAACTGAACGAGGAGAATAAAATAAACGGTACGAAACAAGAGAACGGAACTGCGGAGAACACGAAAGAAGCGAAGGACATTGGAATTGTTGATAATATGTATGTATCCTTTAGTTAATAGGATACATTTGTTTATATAATGTTAATTAACGAGATTTTTAAAAAACTAAAATCAAATTACCTTTGATTACGCGCGTAAAATATCCAGCGAATTGGAAAACGCAATCAACAAATTCATGCCTATTTAAAGTTAGAATTTTAGCGATTAGGACACAGTTTTTGCATATTTCAAAAGTCGTTTTTAGATATAATATTCCACGTGATTGTGCTAGAAATCAAAAAAAAAATTAATGCATAAATGGCTTATTTTGAATTTGTACAGTTGTTTGTACTGACCATTTGCCTCTCAGCAAATCCTAGGCTAATAAAAGTAAAGGGTTGAGAAAAACGAGCTTGCATGTTTATTTTAGTGTATGAATAGTTAACGGATGGTTTCAAAGAAAGAAATGGTATAATAAAATTTGCAGAATTCCAGATGAAAGCGTAAAGAATGCCAACACAGTAAGGGACACGATAAATTCGGACTCAATAAATTCGAATAGTGCGTGGCAGCCAACCCAGCAGTATGGTAATCTAGTATGCAATAATAACAGTTAAAAAGAATACGTTGATTTGTGTGTTTCAGATACATTGATGTAAACAATTTACGTAAAATTATATAACATAGGTTAAAACTAGCCCTTATTCTAACACTTCAAATAATTTATTTTGTATTTATATATAATAAATAATGTTATACGTAAATACAAGTGAACGGTTGTATAATTCAAGTGATAATGGCAAACGATTTGTAGAGAGAGCAACTTGTTTACCTGCTGTTATTTGGTTAGGTTCGACTGAGAAAGAAAATTACTGTCGCGATCTAGGATATATTTCTTCTAGTTTTTTTTTTCAACTCGGTCTATACTAGTCATCTATGTTAAATTGTTGTATAATGTTATATACTGCACTGTTCTGCAGTGTTTAGCATCCAATGTATTTTATTGCAGTTTTTATAATGCATTTTGAATAGTTATTAAAAAAATTTGTTGGTTCTATATTCAAATAAGCGAACATGGAAAGGGTCATTTTGTTTTGGTTAGGATATACGACTTCTCTTCAGTAAACTTCATAATCTAACCTGTTTAGTCTGTTGCGCTTTTGGTTAGCATTTCGTGCGAACGTCAAGGAAATTTGTTTCTCCCCGGTAATTATTATGTGTAATTATAGTATTAAATAACTATCCCCACGAAAACAACTATAGGTTTGATATGTCTCTATCTCCTTAAATTATAATCTTTAATAGTATGTGAGAAAAAAAACATTTCTTTATAATAATGCTTGTTAAAATTGCTTAATAAATGTAAAATTTATTTATGATTTTCGAATTTATTTATTTGCTACAAAAGTTCCTACTTTTATAGCTCTGGAACTCCTGGAAAGAACATCCTATGGAAGTCTGTAATCGGAAAAGTTTTAAGGCAAGCAAAGGTTTATGAAAATGAATGATTGGTTATTAAAAAAATCAACTATTCCTTAATTAAAACTTCATCCAGATAATTTTGGGGCTAGAATAGATGAGCGTACACTCAAATTGTGATAACACCACAATTTAAATACTCGTATGAGAAAAACTATAATTGTAGCAGGTGCCCTACGTTTTTTTGTCACGGGAACGTTCTTTGGGATTCATTATAAGCTTTAATTTTAATAACTCTCTTTCAATATTTTTTCTTTGTTATCAATCATCAAACATATTTTTATTTATAAATCTGGATTCTTCCAGCATCAGTTGAACGTAAATCGAACTTGCTGACGTTTCGCCCATCATCCTATTAACTTCTTCAGAAGTTAACTGAAACTGATTCGCATTCTACGTGCTTATATATTTGGATAGAAGAATTGATTACATACAAGAATTGTGTGTCTCAAACGACTTTTTGTCTTTGAACTGGTTTTAAGAAGAACTTTTGATATGTGGTCAGACCAGTGTCGTTGCTTTCGGACTCATTTTCTTAGGGGTTATTGTGTTGAAGTGTATTTTCTAATGAAGCACTTAATATGTAATGTGAAACATATTTGTGACAAGAGCACATGTTAGGGGTTTTAATTCTTGCCTCAGTGATTCTGTAAATAAGAATTGTTAACCAATGATGGTCAGGAGATGACCGGCGAAACGTCAGCAAGTTCGATTCATCAACTACCGACGCAAGTGTAATCCAAAATAGTATTACAAAGTTTCTTTGGAAAATTTACATTTTTACATAAGGTAATCGAAATGACACAAGTTTATTTAAAAATATATATATTAAATTATTAATATATAAATTTGTATATAAAAGTATAAAAATAGAATATCACTGATTTATAGAATTAACAGAAATATTGTTTTAATCGTTCGTAGCTAATTATGAATTCTATAGAATATATATTAAAAGAATAATATGTATTACTACAGCATCCACTTGACTTGTCTCGCGCTCCAATTTTTTCAATAAGCCGCGTTGATTTTTCTCCAAAAATTTAATACCCGATTCACGGCTTGGTTTTACTTTTTAGGGAAGGCCAAATATCCCACACGCCGTCCATTTTACAAGCAACGTCAAAGAATCCGCTTACCTTTCTTGGATGTCGAGTAAATGGTTTAGGTGTTCCTTATTTGCCCTGTAAAAACGCATAAGCTGAATAAGATACGGCTCGTAATCTTTTCCTCTTTCAAAATGTGTATAGCGGATAATCTCGGCTCTCGTGTGCCAAATCCAACACATAAGCGTGTCGAAGATGGGAAATATCATTTCGCTCATCAAGTTTTCCATTTTGATGTAAATCATCATTTTAAGGAGAGATTTTGTACACCTTCGTATTTGCGGTTCGTATTCCTGAAAAATAAGCGTTAAAATGGTGCTTACCGTAAAATATTAAGACTTGCATAGAAAAATAATGTATGCGATGCAGCGTTATTATCCTTTTTCAATATCTGCTTCTCTATAATCTCGCAAACATCTTCGTAGAAGTTGGATTTGTAGTTAAAATCGATTCTATCGCAAATCACCTTGAAAGTAAGTAACGAATATTTTAGAAATTCGAAGTATTTTAGATCAACATTAGCTCTACCGGTCACAAAAACCTCTGAAACGTAGCGATTAAATTAATATAACTAAAGCCCAGTATAGGTTACCATAAATTGAAGAAAATTCCGTTAAAATGTGGAATCGATCCTTGGTGGGTATGGAAGCGAATAGAAAGGACATCAAACCAACTCTGTAGTTAGTTAATTTTTGAATTTGTTTAAGGGTCTCATCAAACTCGGCGCTTACGGGATAATTGTCGAACTAAAATTTCAGAAATGAAAATCAAATAAATTAAACTAAAAGTCAATGGTTAATACCTTTCTGTAATCACTTAGGTAGACAATGGTCGGGATGTAGTACTTACTGATATCGTTCTTGTTAGACAACATGAACCTGTTGTTCAAAACATACTTCATAAAATAATGAAGATCGCTACAAGCCAAACCATAAATAAATTTTAAAAAGTCTTCGGAATTTAGAAGAACGTAATTATTATTTATCAGTTCTTCTAAGAATACTACACAAATTTTACTCAAGCACGGATTGTTTTTGGTGATGTTCCGAAAGCATATTTCTGTGACTTCTTCAAAATCGTGTGTTATCCTTCAACAAAAAGTAATGCAATACTAATACTAACTAGTTGCGAATACTTACTCCATGCAAATGGTAAACAGAAGTTTCATCGCGGTTATTTTCACGATAACGTCGTCAGTATCCAAAACGTGAATTAACAATTTTACGGTACTTGGAATTTTATTTTTATTCATCATGGCAAATGTAGCGAAAAACGCAATCAGCTGAATTAACATATCCTTGCGTTGGGTTCTAAGCACTGAAAGCAAATTACATTTTATTTTTGATGGAAGTTTCGACAATCATCCTGTTGGCTGCGTCAGAGCTTAACTAAAGCGTAAGAAGCCAACAGAATGCTTGCTGACGTTTGGTTAACCGTCCTGTTGGCTTCTTCAAAGCGCTTACAATTCAAAGTTTCAGGAGTTTCAATCACGTTCTCGAATATATCCATTATTTCTTGGGGCGGATTCTTTTTTAAAGTAACGCAAAGCTCGGTTAGATACATAACGCAGCCCGCGAAACGATCTTCCGACGTTAAGGATCTGTAAGCCTTCTCGCTGGCATCAGTCAATAGAGTGTCCTGCAAGGGTTCTTCCTTTTTTAAAATTGTTCTCAGGATACCTGTTAAAGCGAACGCAGACTTAATGCTGCAGATTATCAAACGCTGCTGATAAAGACTATTCCAGATCAAGTCGTGAATAGTTTCAAAGTTTGGCATCTCTGCCAGAGGATGATACATTCGCTCATTCTTCAGTATGGTGCCGTAAGCATCAAACAGAACACCTGAGTTCTCAACGACACAAAGCTAAAACATATCTCGGACCTCAGACCTAATGATTGTATAAAAAAACACACTCGCTTACATCACCAAAATTTTGAATTATGTAACAGGTCAGTAGGTGATGGTTTTTATAGTTAACGAATTGTAATAACGACTGCAACAGTACTGAATGTCCAGGCTGCATGTGATTAAAATGTTGTATTGTGTACTCAACATCTTCATACCTTGAATGCCAAGGAAAGAGTGCAAGTTTAAAATAGTATCAAAAGTGTTACCTAATCAAATGTTGGCACTTGTTGAATAGCAACTGGTACTCGAAGTCGTCTTTCAAGAACACGTTGGAGAAACATTCAGGGGGATAAACTTTCCCATCTAGTTCATCCGGATACACGAGTTTTTTATACAGATGCTAAAAAAATTGTCTATATGAAACGCGGAGTTATTTATATTAATTACTATGAATACTTGGGCGAATACTTCAGAGGTCGCGTCCTGGTGCAGAGCATTCTTGAGAAAGATTTTTAGGATCATGTTGCACACCAGCAACTCATTTTTTTCATGGAGCTTTAAATAAAGCGCATTCAAATGTCCCAATAATGGTTTTAGACTAAAAGGAGTGGCGTGGTTACACAAGGAGTAAATTATCTAAAATTTGTAAACATTATATCAATTGAAAGCTGATTCAGTTTCTAGAACTTTACTTGCGATCCGATTTCTGCATTAATGTTGTCAATAGAAAGCAAAAGTCTCGAAACGATGATAAAAATATTCCTGATTTTAGCTGCGTTTCCGATACATTTCCCGCGAATAATGAAAGAACATGCGACTAAAAGGTCATTTGGCGTCAAAGTTGCGATAATTCCATTTGCACTGAACTGACGAAAAATTGTGTTTACAACGTCATTTTGTACGGCGAATATGTTTGAAACAGTCTCAATTGCTTTGGTTTGAACACTTTTGTCTCTGCTTAATAAATGCAGTGTCACAGCTCTCCAACATAAGCTGTAATAGGCTACCAACTTATTTACACTTATTGCAGGTGGATTGAGCATCATTTGGTAAATAACATCCATTAAGTTGAAATGGTACTCTACGTGATTTTTCGATTCTAAGTAATTTGGTATCTTTCTGATTATGTCTTTGTAGTAAATTTCTTCCAGAAGGTTCAAAGTCTCGACGCACTCCTTCAGCGCAAATTTGGGCGATTCCCATATTAAAAAAATTGCGTCAACGATGTACTGTAATTTGCTATCATCAAAGTCTTTGAACAGGGAACACAAAAATTTTTTAAATTTCGCCACGCACTGTGGCTGGAGTGGCTCTTCGTCTATTAAAAAACGCAAAATACCGGCTAGAACGCCTCTGAGATAAACCCGATCAGATCGTTTAGAAATTAACTGTTTTAAACACCAAAAGCAATAGTTTGTGAAATTTTTGCCTAAAATAACATTTGATAAACCTAGTTGAAGGATTGTACAAATTAAAGCTTACATGTATTCAAGTCGCTGTATTCTTCCTCATTTTTCAAAATTATAATTTTTGAAAACATGTTAGCTGTTTTTGTAAACAACACAATCCCCAACCTGTTGCAGTATTCAAATATGAGTTCAATCACTTCAAACGTTATTTGCTGGTAACGGGTTTGTTCTGCCAAACTTTGTGTGCAAATGTTGAGGGTAGCTATATATATGTACCTCTCGAAAAATAATGTGCCTATTTCAGGCATCAATAATATTTTTAAGTACAATTTTCCACAGAGGAGCCCCGCTTTTGTCGGAGTACGATCTCGGCTAACTAAACAATAATATATAAACGTTAGCAAATACCCTTTCAACTCGCCGTTCATTGTTCGAAATAATTCCTTTGGACATTCATCAAACTTTGCATTCAAATCTTCAAAATAAAGGATAGTATCTACCGGATAATGGAAGCTGTATGCGATTGACTCCTCGGAATCCAAGATACGTTCCCTGCCGATCATTACTTCTTTATAAAGTTTTGTAACTATGTTGAAGTTCCCCAGTCTATTAAAATATTTTTGTACGAGTTCGAAAAAGTCCATTTCGGTAACTTCTTGTTTTACACCGACCTCTGAATCCATGACCGATCTTTGCTATAAACTGTAACGAAATGAGTCAGTCTGGGCGAGGCCAAACACAGTATTCTATCTCCAGAAAGCAAACGTGCGCAAAAGCGGAACTCATTACGCATACATATTGCCGTTCGGTGGACGCATATCTTTACGTAGGGCAATTTGGAAACTATATTGACCAAAGATTTGTCTTAAACCATTGGAAAGTTTAAATTTATACGGAGCGTCTCTTAATAACAGATTTCAAACGGTTATCACACTTTACCTATGTAATTAATTATTATTATTAATTAAACGACAATATAAACGCTTAACAATTAAAGCGATATATATCATCATCACTTTCGCGCTCATTAGACTAGCTAAATAAACGTTATTTTTCCTTTTTTAAGAATTTATTACGATACTGGATAAATATTAAAATTAAAATACGAATTGGCAAACTCATTTATGTTTAAAACCTTTTGAGAGCAACTTTAACTGTTTTAGACTGATTTTAAGTATTATTCGTTTCTCCAACTGCTACGTCTACGTACCGTAAGCTATCGAGCACCTTAACTGTCTATTATGGGCTACCCAAGCCCTGATCAGTCCATTCGTCCATCCTTTTCTACTGTATCATTTAATAGTACAGTACACGCGCACCGTTATTTCAAGTCCAACTGTTCATTATTCCGAATTAAGATAAACTTGATGAGCATCACATAGTGCTCCCCTTCCTCCCACCACAACCCTATGGTCCTTATTCTCCCCCTTGTTGGTTTTTTCCCTCTTCTTCCCCTTTTTGGCTTGTTCCGCTGCCCTCGTCTTTATCACCCCTTCCTGTGTCTTCTGTTGCTCACCATTTACCTCTTCCTTCTGACCTTCCTCCGGTGCCGCTTGTTCCTCATCATCCACATGATGTGCTTTATAATAATAATAATAAATACATTAATTAAATAATTTTGAAATAAAATGAGTGTAACAACATACCATTAAATAAAAGGCCGAGAAATCAAGTCAAGGAAATAAATCACTCGCTGCTTTTATTGCACATCAGGTATTCTGAAAAAAAAAAGTAGGCAAAAGAACATATCCACGCGATACTGCCTGAATTGCAAATTCATTTTCAATTCAACTAAATCAGAAATTTGTATAATCCATTTTTGTCAATTTACCCCGTTTATGACTATAAAAATGTGAAACTCAGGTGCTTGGGCTGTTTTAAGTTTAGGGTATTTCATTTAAGTGTTTCACTAAAAAAATGAATACTTGATAGCAAAACAGTTATTAAAAACGCAAAAAATCTAGGAGGCGATGTGATTCTTGCTTGTCATATACCAAATATGATTTTGCCCAGGTTGCGTAAAAGATGACTAGTAACATTGAAAGTTCATAAAAATTAACATATTAATGACAAACGAATCAGACTATCAGTGTTGTTGGCTCAATCCGAAATATTATCCATAACGGAAAACAACATTGTGGTGTGGAAGGTTGTGGTAAAACGCGATTTGAAGATGGCAAAACCCGCTACGTATCTTTTTAAAATTTCCTTTAAATGTAAAATTATTAATTGTTTTTTGCTAAAAAAAATATCTACCTACTTAAGGTTTATCGGAAATCATAAAATGTATAACTCGTGGCAGTTTCGCAAAGCAAAGTACATGTCCAAAACAATACCCCATATATTGTTGCTAAGTGGACGACAAATATAAAGATTTTTATTTTTTACAATATCTTATGACACGTGTAAGTGACTGTAAAAATATCATACAGAGTGTGTTCAACTTGGGTTTTAAAGTTTTGGTTAGCTATTTAAAATATAATTTTCAAAACAATATCATGTACTCCCCTCAGTCCAATGTTATTCCTTTATAATATGAGTATATTTATGAGTTTTTTTTATCGCATAAGTCGTAAGCTATGCAGGATTTTCAAAAATAAAAGTAAAAGACAAGACTAGATGAACTTAGAAAAGTGCTATATACGCGTCCTCATTTTCTTTGCCCTCGTCATGCCGTCTATTCTAGCTACGTCCCTGTATAATGAATATTAATTAAATTAGCTGATAAATATTTTGAGTAATTAACATGAACACACGTAGCATGACTCGATTCGATACCTACTTAAATTGCGATTTCATACTTAGGGAGCAAGGGTGACGTATTCAAGGTTAACAGTATAAATTTGCTTTCCAAAATGATTGAAGTAGAAGTCAAGCGATCGACGTGCCGTGTCGAGGGTTTGCTGACAAACGGGTTAGGAAAGTCATTCAGAAATTACCAACGGATTAAATTAGATTTCGTATTTAAAAGAGAAATCGAAATTCAGGTTAATTTAGGTCATCTGAAATACATCAACTGAAGTATCAAACCTGCGTTGTTGGGACAGGTATTTAAATGTTATTGTGTCATTTGGAATTATATAATTATTATACTTGGTGTTTTCGATTAGCAGTTACGATCATGCCTTGTCCTTTTTTGACACGATTAAGCCAAAATTATGTACGAAATTACGCTCCTGTTCTGGTGAAAATGTACGCCAACCAGTGTCCCGTGGTGTCGAGGTCAATTAACCATACAGTAAATTTCCCAGATGTTCAAGGTAATTTTCATAAGGTACTTGATTAAAAGATTTTCCTACTGGTAATTTTTAGAAAATTTGTCTGTTGATCAATATCCATTTTTAAACGAAATACCTGATGCTGACAAAGGAATTAAAACTGTGGATCCATCTCCATTAAGTGTGAATTTCAACCAGGGTTCAGAATCTTTTGGTTATGACCAATTTTTCCATGAACAAATTTTGAAGAAGAAAAAAGAACATTCCTATAGGATTTTTAAGAAAGTCAATAGACTAGCTGGCCCCGGGCAATTTCCAAGCGCCATTGAATATTCATCTGGAGCAAAAGCAGTTACTGTATGGTGCTCCAATGATTACCTAGGGATGTCCTGTCATCCAGAAGTCAAAAATGCAGTCAGTCAAGCCTTAGAGACATATGGTACTGGAGCTGGTGGAACAAGAAATATATCAGGCAACTCCACTTTACATGAAAATCTGGAAAAAGCCCTGGCCAGTCTTCACCAAAAAGAAGCTGCTTTACTGTTCACTTCCTGTTTTGTTGCCAATGACACCACACTATTTACTTTAGCTAAATCGCTGCCAGGTTGTCACATATTTTCAGATGCTGGCAACCATGCATCAATGATCCAAGGAATTAGGAACAGTCAGGTGCCTAAACACATCTTCAGGCACAACGACCCCATCCACTTAGAAGATCTTCTAAAAAAAGTGGACAAGCACATACCAAAAATAGTAGCATTTGAGACAGTACATTCCATGTCAGGAGCTGTTTGTCCTTTAGAGGTAAGTGAATTTACTAAGGCTTTCCTAAGTGGGTACAAATTAAAGTAATTATAGGATATATGTGATGTTGCACATAAATATGGCGCCTTAACATTTGTGGATGAAGTCCATGCCGTAGGCCTGTATGGCAATCACGGGGCTGGCATAGGGGAAAGAGATGGGGTATTGGATAAAATGGACATGATCTCAGGCACTCTGGGGAAAGCATTTGGAAATATCGGTGGATATGTAGGTAAGTAAAGAGTCAACTAAGGCACTGCAATGGAGTAATGTATTTTTTTAATTCTAGCTGGAAATGCTAATTTAATTGACATGGTTCGTTCATATGGTGCTGGGTTTATTTTTACTACTTCATTGCCACCTACAGTCTTGGCGGGAGCATGCAAGTCAATAGAGATACTGGCCTCAGATGAAGGGAGACAATTAAGGCACAAACACCAAGAAAATGTGAAATATTTACGCGAGGCGTTATTGAGAAATGGTTTTCCAGTAGAACACACGCCAAGTCATATAATACCCATCAAAATTGGTAACCCCGCGCAATGTAGCGCGGTATGTGATACATTGTTAATGGAAAAAGGTCACTACATACAAGCTATTAATTATCCTACGGTTGCCAAAGGTCAGGAAAAACTAAGATTAGCCCCTACGCCACATCATACGCATGAAATGATGGACGGTCTTGTTAATGATTTAAAAGAAGTATGGGTTCGTTTGGGGCTCCCCTTAACCGGTTCCCGTTGTCAGAATGTATGTCCACAGTTTTCTGTATTTTTACCAGATTTAATCGAATTATTTGTTTATTTCAGGAATGCCAGTTTTGTCAGAAACCCTTGTTGTTTGATTTCTATGAGTCCAGAAACAGAAGTTGCGCTACCGAATTCCTATGCAACAAGCCAAATTGCCCACAGATGGTAGCGGTCATATAATTTTTTTAAAATATCGTTTTAAAACTTGGTTGCAATTGTATTTTCATAAATTTCTTATGAATCACATTTTCTTTTTTTTTTTTTGTTATACCCATTCCCCTATTTTGTTAACGATCGCCAAGCCAACGAAAGCGCCATCTGACCGCAGGTAGCTGCAATGTAAACGAATAAAAAATATGAAGTCTACTACTTTTTGGAACTAGTTCATGTTCGTTTCCAAACGTATAATAAAAAAAATAATCGGCAATGACAGGGCATGAATATTTTTTGATCAATAGGTACCGAAACGGTCAAAGCCGGAAAATTAACAATATCCGATCTACTTTTTTTTTGTAAACCATCGACGAGTGATTTCATTGGTTCTGGTTTTTGAACCCCCACCACACCAGCATGCGCGTCTAGATAGCCAGGAGATACTTAGCATAATAAATGTAGTCGTTGCCATGTCAAAATATATTGGTTGTTAGGGTATAACTGAGTTCGTGCGTGAAAAAATCGTGTATATGCGAAAACCCGATTGCAATTTCGCCTGGAAAAATAGCCGTTGAAAAAACTTTCGTGTCAGGACAACAAAGGATTCACTGAAGCGATGGTTATTTTATAACGGGACGTGAATGCAACGCATGCTCCGTAGATAAAACACTAGTGACGATATATTCGTAGCGGCGTCGAACGAAAGAAATTTAATTCGATGTGTTGTGCCGAGTTTTCTAAGTGAAATCGTCAAATTTTCGCGATTGAACATTTGCTTTTCATAATGATTCCATTCGGAAAGTGATTTCGGACGTTTGAAATTTCAATGTTGCCGCAAACCGATGCGCTATCATGTAAAACCTGTGTGTAAATATTCCTCATATATCAAACATTGCATGTAGGTTACGTTCGTTGAGGTTCATACATTTCTTTCTTATTTTTAAAAATGTATGCTAAAGGAAAAGGGTCTTCCGTGCCGTCCGATGCTCAAGCAAGAGAAAAGTAAGTCTCACGCCCGCTCAATTTTATTCTGTTTATTTTGTTGCCTCGATCCTTTTTTTTCTCCTTTACATCGATTTTAAACAGACTGTTGCCGCTTTACTTCCTATTACTGTATTTCTGGAATATTGAAGAAATTCACGCGGTAGTTGCGTGCATGAAATACTTTTTAGTATGAGTTTTCCAAGCCACCCGAAAACATGATATTTTTAGTTTTCGATTTGTTTATTTTCTCGCTGAAATAAAGTTTACTGCTTTCGCAGGCTAGCATTGTACGTGTACGAATATCTATTACACGTCGGGGCGCAAAAAGCTGCCCAAACTTTTCTATCGGAGGTAAGGTCATTCAAAAACCGCGAAGTTTGTCATTTTTTATTTATTTAAAAAAAACGTTTTAGATCCGATGGGAGAAGAATATTTCTCTAGGGGAGCCGCCAGGGTTTCTGCATTCGTGGTGGTGGTAGGTTGAGTTTTATTTTTCGCCGAACTATTTTCGCCCTAATTATTTACTGATATTTTGTAGCGTCTTTTGGGATCTTTATTGCGCTGCTCCTGAAAGACGAGAAACCTGCGAACATTCATCAGAAGCAAAAGCTTTTCACGATTACGTGAGTATTATCCCATGCTTCTCTCCGTATTTAAACGATCAATACTCGGTGTGGTAAACATGGCAACGCCGCGCTAACTATACGCTATACGCGTTTGGCCAGGTGAAATCGTCCAGCTCCGCACTCTTTGTCGAGAAAACAGTTTTAAACCGTTCGACTTTCGGTTTTTCAATTCCTACTCGTTGCGATACCTCCACTTGTCGCTATTCTAAAATTTATTTCTGTGACGTGCAGCGGCAATTTACCATCTCCCACTTTTAAGCGCCATTTTGAGCACTTGTATTTATTTGGACGTCTTTTTGCAGTCCAGCCGAAGACCTTGAGTTTATCTAACAATTTCAAGGAACAAACATAGCGAGTACACTGTTTTAATATATGCTACAACCATTGCAGCTTTCTTGAGTTGTAAAGTGAACAAAATAAAATTATACAAATTCTCAAGTTCATGCATTCCTTGGGAACTGTTAGAACATGAAATAATTAAATCCGTAGCACAGATTAAATTTTATAGTTCGCGAAATAGTTGTTGATCTTAATCATTGCTAGACCTGACAGAACTAAGAGAGCTGTACGATAAATTTAGTATTTTAATATTATTTGAAATTATTGAAAACAAATAATATTAACACGTATTTAACACACTTACTTTCATAGTAGGTCAGAAATTATTAAACATATTGTATTAACGAAGTCCTTTAATATTTCATGATTCGCGAATGTAAAATGAAATTATTAAATTAATTAAAATAAATAAATAAAATTTATATGTATTAATACAAATAATAAATTTCATAATTGGTCAGAAATTATTAAAAAATGTTATTGACTATTAACAAGTCCTTAACAAATAAAATCTTATTTAAAAGTATTAATTAGGAATTAAGGAAAAAATCGTGGATTATAAAATGAAATTAATATTACTTGATCATCTGCAAATAATAGACTGTAGATGGACTCACTGTTCATCATTACATTGTTTTTACTGCATTTTCGTTTCGACTCCTTTAAGGCTTCATCTGCGTAAATTTTAAATAATATACATTTCATAATAGAAACGCCATATTTCATAATTGGTCGGAAATTTGAAAAAATGTTGAAAAGTATTAACAAGTTCTTTCATAATTTAAAATATTTTATAAACATAATTCACGAACTAATGGCACTTATTGGATAATATTTATAGTTATTTTTAATACAAGGATTAGTTCGCGAAATGATTTAAAATTAATAAAGCATTTTTTAATACTTCATGCCTGTATAATTTTTTATAATCTTATTTTTAATATTATAAAAAAGCCATAAATGATATAAGTTTTTTTTTATTTAATACAAAAATTCCCTAAGCGACTGCTTATTTGAAATAAAATGTAAATATTAGATGTGTTAACACTTATCGGTAAAAACCAAGATTTTATTTGAGTGATGCGTCCCTATAGAGTATAGAGCGTATCTAAAAATTCTTCTAGGCTAAAAATAACTAAAGTCACTGAATATTAGGTCAAAATATTGCCCAATTTTTTAAACAATTTTCAATTTTGCAATCAATCAATATGTTCTAGGGTTTCGTTAATTCCGGCTATGGAGTCAACGGAATCGCGCACGTAAGTCATTAAAAGTTCCACCGACATTCCCGATCAATGTACATTTTCTGGTTTTTATTTATTAGAATACAGGACCGGCTCCCAGTCCACTGGGACAAATGCCCCCGACGGATGGAATGCCTGGAGGGCCTATACCGCCCGGATTTTTCCCAGTGAGTTATTTGACCTTTGACTTGTTATTGATAAAACAAATACGAACGTAATCTTTCGATTTTTTGAGTTTGCGTTGGTTGAGTTCGCGTATTGTCGTGTATTTTAGAATTCGACACTGCGACCCTCGCCTCCCACACACCCTTCGAGTCAACCATCACCACATTCGCAGCCCCCTCCACCTCACTCAAACATTATGACTTCTCAGCCTTTTATGAACCCGCGTTATCCCGCAGGCCCGAGACCGGGCGTCAGGATGCCCCAAATCGGCAGCGATTTTAATGGAGTATGTATAAATATATTAATAGATCGATTGATATAATGATGTTGTATATTTAAAGCCTCCCGGACAGCCATTGATGCCTAACAACATGGATCCTACTAGACAAGGTAATCTGTCCTTCCCGTTTACTAATCCAGAATAAATTAATTAACGGTATTGCGCCTTATAGCTACAGAGTAGCATTTTCGCAATAATTACTAACAGTAGAGTTGTTTGTATTGATGATTATAGACATTTGGTTTGTATCCCTGAACAAAGTGTATGTAGTTTAAGGAAATCTATTGTAAATATGTCCTGAGCAGATCTTTTGCTCATTTAACATATTTATGACTAAAGCTTGGCGACTTTTTGGCTGTAAGGTGTGAAGTTTTTCTAATGTATTAATATCGAACTCGAGTTATCAATCGACTTCTGAACGACGACATAAATTTCGACGAAAATTGAAAGCCCAACGCACAAAGCATGAAAAATCCATTTCATGATACGCCTCGTATAATGCATCTATTTCTGTCTCCAGGTGATGGCGGAGAATTTGTAGGTTGGCAAGGTAGGCAAAAGCGCTCCTTCACCATCACATTTCCATTCTGCATAATGCACAGCTTGCTTTGCTTTTTTGGCGTTACTTCAAATCAAAGGGGTCCCTGTCCCTATACGTTTAGAGTAAACAGATAGATAGCAGTAGTTTTGTGTTTTAATCCAAAGGACCCCTTTTTGCTAATAATTTCTTCATTAAAAAGTGAACCGGTGCTGGCATGTCGTGTCACCTTTGCTGCATTACTTCTTGCGTACAGGGTATTTCACGAAAAAATGAACCTAGTCAAATAATGGTTAGAATGTACCAAAGCCTAATCATATTTAGTTATATTTACCACTTGCTTCTAAATTAAAATAAAAATACCTCTCTGTAGTCAAGAATTTAACCGACCAAAATAAAATGGGTAAAGTCAATTCAATAAAAAGAAAACGACTTTATAAAGGCAAGAACTCAACTAAAATAAAATTTCTTGAGTTTTTTTTTTTTTTTTTGAGTATCGGGAATATTTTAAATGTGTATATACAGTGTCGGCACTAAAGTCGGCGTCATGTGGAAACATTTTTTATTTATGAGTTTCGGAAAATTCTGATCGAGGGGAGAATCTAGCTTCATCATTCCCGTCATACTAAAACTTTGAGATTTGGTGATGATAAAAAAACCACAAATCAAACAGGGCAAAACCTATAGAACAAATATGAAAAGGCATATAACATTTCGCTGTTTCTATTTCTTCGTGAAACACCTTGTATACCGTTGCAGGGTGTTTTTATTGTCACATTTGTTAGGTCCGCCCGCTGCAATGAATCGAATGAATCCGCCGAGAGGGCCTTCGATGGGGCCCTTGGGACCCGGAACATACGGCCCGGGAATTCGGGGGCCTCCACCTAACAGTAGCCTAGGCCCCGGAGGTCCTATGCCCCCTATGACAATGGGCGGACCTGGAGGCAGACCGCAGTGGCAACCCAATACGTCAACAGTATGTAAAATATATAGTTCATTTCTTGGGAAAAGAAATAATAGGGGCTGACGAATAAAAAAAAAAACATACTAAATACTGTTAGATTCTTTTTTCAATAATAAATGGGACGACAATGAATGAGTGACATCTTGCTATAGTTAAATTAGCGAACCCAAAAAAATTATCAATCATCGTGAGGGAGCGTCGAAAAATATATTTTTATTTTAGATAGTTATTATGAAACTAGGAACTTGACCTAAGTGACTAAAATACGCTGTTTTAGCAACACTTGAGCCAAAGTATTTTTCCCCTATCTGGTAGCACGCGTTTCCGCACTAACATTGTCAAGTGTCAAGTGAAGGACGAAAATACTTAAAATTAAATGAATATTGCCGTAACGTGTTAAAAATATTTCACAATTTTTGGTTTTTTAATAATGCATAATTCGATTTGATCCATATACGTAGAAATAATAAAACGGACGCCGAAAATAACGTATCGACAAATTTATTATTAAGCAGCGACGTGAACGTAACAAGATGTCAGTAGAAGGAAATTCATTGTTGTTTGGTATAAAGTCAGCCGTGGTGATGATAGATTAGAGCAATCACTAATTTTGCTCTGGTAAATTCCATTACAGCCAATGAATTATTCGTCTTCATCTCCCGGCAACTACGGCGGGCCACCTGGATCAGCAGGGCCTGCTGGTCCAGGTACGCCTATAATGCCAAGCCCTCAAGATTCAAGCAATTCAGGCGGGGAAAATATGTATACATTAATGAAACCAGCTGTGGGTGGTAATATGCCGGGTGACTTCCAGATGGGTGGAGGACCAGATGCGGGAGGTCCGATGGGTCCGATGGGCCCCAATTCTATGGGGCCCGTGATGAATGGGGACGGAATGGACGGAATGAAGAACTCGCCGGCAAACGGAGGCCCGGGAACACCCAGAGAAGATAGTGGCAGTGGCATGGGGGACTACAACCTCGGAGGTTTCGGGGGCCCAGGTGAAAATGTAAGTATGGCATGTCATGCGATCCGACCTAGCCGAAGGCGGACTTGGGAAAGGTCGGAAACGCATGTGGCCGCCTAAATTGAACGGGTGCTGGTGCTTATGCTTAGTAGACTGACACTTAACCACTAAAGGTCGCTTTCCTTGCAGGACCAAACGGAATCGGCTGCTATTTTGAAAATTAAAGAGAGCATGCAAGAGGAGGCCAAGAGATTTGAGAAAGACTCGGATCACCCTGAGTATTTCATGCAATAACTCGGTCGCCTCGCCTCACCTCGACCTAAGGCTGGTGGACAAGCCTACGCCTACGCCTCTCTTCCTTCTTCCAAACCTAACCTACTAACACGGGCGGTGGTGTGCTGAGCTCAGTCCAACGCTCTCCGATGCCCCACGACGACTTCTAGTCATCACTGTTCTGTTCTATTTGCAGATATTCCTGTAACGCTCGTCTACGACCCGGAGTACAGGAAGAAAGATCAAGTTCCTCAACTCCCAACTACCCACTCAAAAGTCCACCAGCCTAGGTAAGGTCGGACCTAAATTGGCGCTCGCGTTTCTCCACCACTACTCTCATTATAGGCTAATCGGGGATGTTAAATTCGCTACTTAACTTTACCTTCGGTCGTGTGTCGTTTAACATCTCTAACGAACTGGATTTTTTTCAACTAGGACCTAAATAACAAATAGTTTGTTACATGTATAAAGTTGAACATACGAACTTTATTTTGTTGTAAATATATTTAGGCAAATTATCCGAAAAAAAATCCAGCATATCCGGAAAAAACTATTATGACTGTAGTACTTTACTTTCTATATTATCACGTGTCACTCTTTGTGAAGTGGATCGCAGTATTTTTAGGAAAATATATATTTGTCGCACAAAAAAACGCGTATGGTTTCCGTCACCATATAGCACAAACGAAACGATGCCCTCCTCCCCGCGCCCCCCCCCCCCCCCCAAAAAAAAAAATCAACTACGGACATCTAAAACCGGCCCGCAGGCAAATAGAAAATCACTTTCCATTTGTGTTATATGGGAATTTTGCAATTTTAGTCATTTTGTGTACCATATTTCCACGTTGTTACGCAAAATTGGTCCGAAAACTGTACAAAATGGCGCGGTCCACTACAGGTGATCCCGAATTTCCAACGTGTCTGTGTAAATATACGCAATAGATATGTGCAAGAGAGGAGCGCACTCCCAAGTGTAATTATATAATTATATGAATTAATATATACAGGTACATCGTGTATCCCTCAATCTGTGTACCTCTCACCTGATGATTTCGTTTACTTCCTCGTTACGTTATGATCTTGGACCGTAACTGGATTAACCAGGCATATTTATAAAATATTCTCTTAAATCGTATACTTAAATTGACTTATTAGATTATCGATTAGTTGCGGAATGAATGCTAGTGTGCGAGCCTGAAATGTGATATGAAATTATTACTATGAAAATGTGAAAATATTATTGTTTTCTTTTTGTATGGATAATAAATATATAAAAAAGGTTACTCGTCTTGTTTTTCGCCCGCAACACCCGTCCGGTTATTCGTGAAAAAAAAAAAAAGATTTCAGACGGGTAAGTATGCACCTGCACCGATATATAGAATAATAAACGTTTTTTTTACTCCCGTCTTTAAAATACCTAATCCCCCACTTTGCCACGTCGGTTTCGTTTAACGCGGATTTGAGAGCAATCGGATGTTTTCGGAGATATTTCCCGCGCTTTGAATTTTGACGTTTGTCAATTCTGACGGTCATGTTAATGCACGTATTCGTGTTGTTTTACGAAAATGTACCCAGAAACTAACGGTCGTAGAAAAACACGTATTAAACACTCGCTTCGCTCGTGTCAAATAAACTCGTGAGTCAAACGCCGTTTACCGCACTTGTATAATATACTATTTTATAAAAAAAAAAACTTAGGGGATTACTCCTTGTGTGGATTATCGATAAAACAATTAAATATAACGGAATTATTACTATTATAAAAACATACTTTCTGCATATTTTTTAAATCTCTCTCTTTCTTAACTAAATTTAATGAAAAACTTACACAGTGACATGGATAAAATTTCACAGACGGGTGTTCAACTTTTGGTTAGTTGGGTTAGGTTGGGTTATAGGTCTTTATATTAAAAGCGATTAAATTTTTTTTGTCCATATATTGACGTTTCGGTCTTCTATGACCTTCTTCAGAAAGGGATACAGTCAAAAAGAGACAAACACAAATCTTAAAATTGAAGAGGTCATCATATGGAAGTTCTATACTTTAAAAGCGTTTGGTTTTGTCATAGTGCCCTTGATAAAAGATAACATCGGTATTATTTTTTCTAAACCCTTATATATATTTTACCTGTTTCGTTAACTTTGTGTGTATTATGTGTGTGAGTGCCGTATACAAATCATTTTTTGTTGGACTTTTATCTTTTATCAAGGGCACTATGACAAAACCAAACGCTTTTAAAGTATAGAACTTCCATATAATTCAATTCAATTTTTCAATTTTAAGATTTGTGTTTGTCTCTTTTTGACTGTATGCCTTTCTGAAGAAGGTCATAGAAGACCGAAACGTCAATATATGGACACAAAAATTTTAATCGGTTTTAATATAAAGACCTATAACCCAAGAACCAAAAGCTAAACATAAATATAGAGAAGGTCTAAGAAAAAACAAAATATAAACTATATGTATATATATATATATATATATATATATATATATATATATATATATATATATATATATAGAGTGTTCGAAGTGTTTCGGAGCGCGAGCATTGAAGATGCCAAGTGAGATTTTGGCGAAACGTCTGCAGGATTCCAGTCGTATATATATATATATATATATATATATATATATATATATATATATATATATATATATATTCTTATATGATTATTAAGACTTAAAAGAATTATGGGAGTAGTCTAATTCAAACAATATATGCAGTGTTTATAAGATAAAACATAAAAACAATAAATGTTCCGCCATATTTGTAGCGCGATATCTCCCTAATGGTTGACTTCTGACCCAACATTTATGTAACAAACTACCCTTTATTTTAAGTTTTCGAAACGCCTTGTATAACCAAATAAATTTTATTGTAAAATTTATTCAAAAAAAACTTTCTTGCTCTCCAGTTAATAATCATGTAAACTGGGAGTAATTCTCAAAAACTTGCTGCCATTCGAATTTCAATATTATCGATACGTATTTATTAACGTCGATTTTTACCACGCTCCATTATCGTGGCAGATAAAATCTTTGAACATGTCAAGTACCCCACAATATCGTGATTTTACAAAAAATCGACTATAAACATATTCGAAAATCGCCAAAAATATTTCACACCTTCAACACACTAAAAAAAATGAAACTAAATACAAAATTGTTATTTTCAACAATCGAGGAATTTTATCAGGGCGCGGATATAGGTTTGCCGCATTTCCTTTCTTTACAGAAACGATGATTCTCAGACGCAAAATAAAAAACTATCATATGGTACAGTAGTCACGAATTGGCTCCAATTTGTTCTCTACGGGGCGTGTACGTTTAAAAATGTTAAATTAATCGTTGTTTGTCGGGTTAATGCAATTTCAGCGACGCGCCATATACACCGCGGGAGGTAAATCAAGCTAAATATACGTTGATGTAAGCTCATATTAGTGCTTCACACGCGGCGGTGTAGACTTGGTATTTAATTTGGTATCTTTTTTTAATTTCAAGCAATGGGGGAGAACATCAAACAGATTTACTTAAATTTAAACAACTTGCTAGAAGGTGAGTCTGCTGATTATTTAAACCCCATTGTGAGTGCAGTAGGACGTTTCAGATATTTGCAAATTTCTCTCGGGAGAAAAGTTGAATTTTCTATCCCCTGCGGAAAAAGAAGTAGCAAATACGCTGATATCACGGTCCAAAAGGCAACTTCAGGAAATTTCGAAAATAGTTCCCAAACTGAACGAAGAAGATTACGTGGATATGACGAAAAATTATTCAGGTATCGACTTTAAATACCGTTAGTTCTTTCCTCTTTAACCGAAAGAAAAACAAACCGGTGAAAAAAGCGCAAATGTTTTTATGAGCTGGACGAATACCTTTTTTTAAGTAACAAGTCGGAGAAGTCGACAGCTTGACGAATCAATAACCGGGCGCAAAAAAAGACTCGTTTCCAGGTGATAAGGGCAATAAATTTCGGCCGACCACTGAACGTAACTGTATGGATGACCTCCGTCACTTGTTTGTTTTAGCCGCAAACGACACAGACAGCCATTCCGCGAATTCGAATGTTGATAAACCGCCTATTCCAGAAAAACGAATTGTACCAGAAAATAAATGTCCATATACAGGTAATTTGAATTTGACTATAACGGTTGTTGCAGACTTGTATTTGCAAACCACTGATTTTAAAATGTCATGGTTGGCCCATATTCACATATTCCTATATAAAAATATATTTAAAAAAATGTGTAAATGGTTTGCTAATGGATGCTGAGATTATAATCAAAAATTATAATAGTCCATCTAAGTGAAGGATATATATTTGAAAGGCCCTTCAAATATTTTTTTTTGCTTTATTTTCCCCATAGTTCCCAGAAAGAAATTTTTATATCCGTTCCCTAACTCTTTTATTTAGTTTATTTACAAGTCAATACGTAAAGTTGTTCAAAATACCCATTGACCATATTTTTACTTAAATAGTTTTAGTTTTTAGTTAACTAAAACCATGTTAACTGACAAAATTGCCTTTGCCTTCTTTGAAGCTGGTTCACCCGTGGCTCTCCACTGTTTTAACTGTATTTTATTTTTAATATTTTTACAGTGTCGGCTATCCATGACAATTTTAATCTGCGGTCTTCTAGCATTATTTTGGAATTTTTTCTACTGTATGAGTTACTGTCAGTTCCACAGGATGTCCAGAGCTTGGCTCGTTAGTGCTTAAGCGAACTTCCTTAAATTCAAAAACTCATTTTTTAACCATTGAATGATGTATGTTATTCACCTCCTTATTTGAGAAGGAGTTAAACCCTTATGATTGCATGTTTTTCAAAATCTTCCATTTTTGGTCAAAATATACAAGGTGCTTCTAAAATACGCGGCAATATGTTTCCTCAGATCTTTCTATGAAAAAAGTTAATATAAATGCTTTTTAAATTTGTTTGAAATTTTACAGCGTTGTTCACTGAAACAGATCGACTAAAACTATAAGTTTTTCGTCTCTTGATTCTTTTTCATATCTTGCTTCCTCCACGAGCTAAAAAATAAAAACTTTTTGCATGCCCATTTATCATAAAGATATTTTTCAACATTCCAACAATTAAAAAAAATAAATTCAAGAGAAGCTAATTTGTTTAATTTTTATTTAGTTAGAGTCAAAACACTCCCTTATCATTAGACACAACTCTACCAAATTTCAATGAAATCCGTGAGACTATATTTCAGTTAATCTGAAAAACATTATTTACAACAAAAAAAAAACTTTAAAATCTGTATCTTGGACACAATGCAACTCCGGACCTACACTTATGGGAATTTTTTTCATAAAATGGTCTGAGAAATCACCCCCTTAAATATTGCCTATATATAGAATGTTGATAAAATGTCAGTGGCGTATCGAATATCTCGTTGACCGTAGCGCTAAAGGCAGAAAATGTGTCCCACGAGGTCAAGTGTGGTAATCTTTGGATGAGAAAAAAATTGATTTTAAACATAGAAGTGTTAAAAAAAGTTTTCGCCTCAATCCACGACAACTGGCTCCTGGTATATTCTAGTAACGTCGATTCTAAGCCTCTTTGTTTCTACGATTTAAAGTACTACAAAGCTCGCGAGGAAAGCGTCGATAGGAATTCTAGAATATTTGAGCTGATCGACTCGCAGTGTCCCGAGAAAAAAGTTTGTCAAGTAGGTGCATAAAATGGTGTCCCATTAAAACGCTAATTTTCCTAAATTCCAGTTTTCTACTAAAGCATACAAGGACATGATTCAATGGGTGTATAAAATTAATGGGTGCTACAACGGGGAAGAACCGTCCAAGGATGACGAAAGTTACGACATCATCGAACCGAATTTAGATTTGCCAGGCGACGAAGAAGAAAATATTTATAATGAACCAGAGATGTCGGTTTTCTGATGTTCAGCTTGGTGTGAGAATTCAAATTTGTACGATTTTAGGGTATGCCATAGGCAACCGAGCTGCCAGACGATCGTAAACACCACAAAACCTCCGTTGCCCGGAAGAAAACCTACCAACAACGTACCCCCACCTCCGTCGCCGGATTCCGTTCACTCGGAAGTGTCCTACCACGAAGTTATCGAAATCAAACCGAAAGAGAGGATGTTAGAGGTCAAGGACGATACAGAGCAATCGTATTACGAACCGGAGATTGTTTCAAAAACCCCGGATATTCGAAACGACGACTCCTGCTGTCAATACGAGTCCGTAAACGCCCAGGAATGCGAAAAAGTCGACCGAAATATTTTAAAAATAACGCGCAAAAGTTTATTCAGCGAATGGCAGCAACGTTCCTTGGAAACGTTCTCGCCGAAGTCCAGTTTACGAACGTTTCAAATAAACAAGCCGTCGATTAAAATGTACACTACCAATAACTAATTGACAGGAAATTATAGGAATTATATTATAAACGCATAATTAAAAAAAACGTAATCGTGGTTAATTGGGTGCGTTTTATTTTTCCTTCTATTTTGAATTAAACGGCAGGTAAAAATCATTCCCGACCAATAGCTGTGCACTTTGCATCGGCGCACGCCGCGGGGTTGTGAGGGTGATGAGCGCGCTGACGTCTTTCATTAGTCCTTCTGTGTCGCCGAAAATCTATGCGAATGTTTCGATGTGAAAGTGTTTCGTACAAATCAGCTGAGTATGTATCTGTATTGCTTCGATTAGGGTAGCTATTAATTTTCATTGTTGCTCGGGGATTTCAATCAAAACGCAATTTTGGTTTGCAATAAGTGAACCCACCTAACGTGCCCCAAAATCTCATCTATTATAGATCGCGTGTAAAACCATGTTATTTGCTATTTAAATATTTAATTATCGCATTTACTCCAGCGAGTAGTGTCAAAAACAAAATTAGGCATCTGGAGATGTTAAGGTTGTTATTTTTAAACAGATACGTTTTTGATGCTTATCTTATTCAAGGTCCCACTTGAGCTGTAGTTATTATTCTACCGTTTATTAACCTAAATAACATACTAAAATATTTTCGGTTGCAATAACACATACGCAATCTATTTTCCATCTCACCTTAAACACAAAACTATACTAGCGGAATAATATTTAAGCTAAGCTTAAGAAAATTGTTCAGATTTAATGAACAATTGTCCATCCTAGTACTGTGCTACAACACACCATAGCTATTCACCTAAATAAAAATGTTTTCATTATCGTTTTAACCCTTTGAACTATGAATCAAATGTTAGTTTGGGTTATTTACTTTAGATGCCATTGTGAACATAGAATTACAAACTTTTTTTTGCAGAAATGTATCATTCCCCTTTTTCGGGCTCTGGTCTAAATGTGAACATAAAAAATAAAAGTTTTCCTTTCTATGGTTAAAAATTAGGGGATTAAACACTTTTTGAAAAAAACGACAGATGGTGTTTTGGTTAAAATCGCGTCACATCAAATTTGACCGAACCCTTATTTTTTTGTGTGGAAAATTTATTTTGAAAAAAGAAATTCATAATGTTTAGAATTTAAAAAAAGTTTTGGCTAGTATCAGTTTTCATGAAAATGATGGATTTTCACAAGAAAGTTTTTATCTTTATATGTTTGTAATAGCTTGTGAATAATATTGGCAATAATATTTTTTTTTATATTTTTGATACGTAAAGAAAAACGAAAGTAAATTACTTGACGTGAGCTACGCTAAGCTATTAATTTTGATAGAACTCATGATAATTGAAGGCCCTAAGGCATGATTATCGATCGCATTTCGTCATCTTAGTAAGAAATAAATTTTTGAGTGACTGTATTTGACTACGGTTGCTTTCGAGCTCCTATATTATATTATATTATATATTAAGATAAAATTTATACTATTTAAGATCCCATGCCATTACTTAAATTAAGCGGAATATGGACAGGAGCCGTAAACAACGCAATTGGACAAACCAAATAAATTTATTTTAGTTTTCAATTAAACAAAGCGCAGCGGGAGGAGCGGACTCATTCTATCGACCTTTGGTCGAGTCTTTTGTTTGTGGATTTTTCCCCAAGCCAGCTGAACGAGAGAGAAGGCCGGCAGCCGTTTCGCTTACACTTATTCAGTAAAAGGTGTATCACGGTGTGGACACGTGCATCATTCATAGGCATTTTCGTTTCAATCCTGGTGTAAACAGCAGTTCTGTAAATAGGCAATCGTTAGGACGGATCCGTTAGTTCTTCGATTTATCGCGGGCTTGAGAGTAGTATTATCTCGCGCAACATATTTTCTTGTATGTTTTCCAAACATGTTGACCCATGGTCTACTGGAACAATTCAATAGGACAGCGGAAGAAGGGTATAAAGATTGCGATTTTTTAACAATATTCTTCCCATCAATTTTTAACAGTCTAATTTATGCCAAAATCTCGTGCACTTTTTTTAAAGTAAATGATTGATTATTTTTAATCACATTATAAATTAGTCTGACCTTAAACTCTTTTTTCATTTTCAAGACGAGTTGCCTTTTCTAAACAGTAGTCACAACAAACATATCATATCACATTTTATGTCCCAATATAACCACCCAGATTATAAGTAATGTCAGTAATTTAGATTTAATGGCTTTTTTATCTTGCTAATTGTATACACCAGACCAAGTCATGGGATTTCTTCATTAACATCTCACGCGTTGCTTCTCTAGACTAGTATTGTGACTGTACTTTACTGTTGTACATCTTCCAGATCGGGCACAATGAACAAATTGTGTCGTCAAGTTTCAATCGAATCTCCTGGGCCGATCATCAAAGATTGTGTCTTCAGCTTTGAAGTGCCAGTACCGGATGTACCATCCCAAGGAGCTCGTATTCGAGTCGTCTGTGCCGGGGCTTGTTACCGAATGCGAACCCGTTCCGCCTCAACTTCGAGCATTTCCTCTGTTGAAGCAGATACTGGGTACTCCCCAGCTCATCATGGAGTCCGAGATGGAGCTTTGTTCCCTGGCTACGAAGTAGCAGGTGTTATCGACGCTTTGGGGACAGAAGTTCAGTCTTCCGGGGAATTCAAAATAGGCACGCGGGTAGTGCTTTATCCATATGATGGTATTCCTCATGGTTATGCTGAATATATTGTCGTGCCGTCCCTCGATTATTTGGTACCCGTACCGGACAACTTATCACTTGGTGTAGCGGCAATGTTACCCACCGGAGCACTACTGGCCAAAAATGCTGTAACTACAGCACATGCACATGTCCTCCAACTCCTACAGGACCGGGCAGCAGACCATGTTGTCCGTATACTTATTGTAGGCACTGGTGGCCTGGCATTATGGGCATTGAGGATTGCCGAACATCACTTCAAGGCTCCCAAATATTGTAATAGAGTCAAGATTACAGTGGCCACTTTAAAGGATGAAGGATTCATGCATGCTGCAGCAGAATTGAAAAGGTAAGCTAATAGAAGCACTTATTTATAGTGAACTAACAAAATAATATGTTAGGGTAAACACTGTGCAATGGAATGAAGATCTATATGAAAAACAGCTCATAGAAAGGACTAAGGATGCCTGCAATGGGCTGGTGGATATTGTTATAGATTTCGGCACAACTTCGAGGTCCTTACACAGATCGCTTCAATGTCTAAATTCGGTAAATCTAAAACTTTTCTACAAGAATGAACATAATTGAAATTGATACCATTTCCTAGGGAGGAGTGGTTCTGGTCAGCGAAGAGGTGGCAGAACGACTACTTCCGAAATTTTCACGACTAATCTACGAAAGGCATCAAAAAATAGAAGCGGTGGCGAATGGATCAATCGAACAATTAAGGGAGTTAGTACAATACGTCGCAGCAGGGGAGATAGTGCCTCCTCCTCACACAGAGTTTTCAGCGGACGAAGCTCCACTGGTGGTGCAAAAGCTCTGCCAGTCGGAAATTCCTGGAAGAGCAGTTCTACGCTTCCACGATATCCAGTAAAATTGTAGTAGAATGTGTATTATATTTCACTCATATTATCTGACTTAGATATTTTCTTAACTTTTTTCTGCCAAATTCATTGTCTTGTGATCATTTGTATTACTTTTATAAAGTTAGGTATTTTACGTTTTTTGACCAGTGTATAACATTCCGCAAGGGAACGACTTATGCACTCGGGATTGTGATAAGCTTTAATTTAAAATAGAGTTCATCGAATTTGTTTACCTTATAAGCTGTTGTTTTATGCATTTCTCCCTTTTCCATGTGTCGCGTAAAAAGTATTAACAAAATGTATTCGAAGATGGCTGGGCACTCCATCTTGTATGTATTTCTATTTAGCGAGATAATGGGATAGAAGGTGAATTTTGCATTTAGATGGTGAACATCAAAAAGACATTTTTGACCGATTGGTGACTTGCAATATCGATTTTTTTTATTATTTTCTAAATAACTGTATTAACATTTAACCGTAATATACAGTACGCATAAATATGTCTAATTTATCTCTTACCTTAGTCCCAGGGTATAAAAATTGACGCAAATAACCTTAGATACTTCGGCGGGTTGGGGTTGCATATACCTCCATTGGTTAACTGCAAATGTTTTAACACGTTTCCCAAATATGAAATATTTGGGAAACGTAATTCCGATGAACGGTTTGAAAAAAACCGTGTAAACGTAGTCAAATAATCGCTTTTTCTACGGTCAAAATGAAGCAACGAATTCAGTGCTGTTTTCATATAGCGAATTTTGAATTTTTGTATACAACGGAAAAGGTTGTAGTCTCAATGTTAAAAGCACGTAATATTTTCTAGACCGCGACTGGATAGGCAACCAATTATTCCTCCCAGTTTAATAATTAGTTCGCGGAAAAGGATTGTAAAGAAAAAACTGTTAATATCGAGTATATATTTCTGTTCTATAAAATAGTTTTATTCATTTGTAATATGTTCTTCCGTCCTTTTAAAGGTATACAATATTCTCAACTGAAATAATTTAAACGAAATAAATACTGTTAACAATAATTAACTACAGTTAAACAACGAAAACTAATTGAGACGAATCTTTTGTGTTTAGTTTTTGTTCGAAATTAAATAACCTGTCGATCACTTTTTACACTTTGCAACGTCGTGCAGTTTTTTCCACAGGTCGTATTGTTCGGTACTTTTAACCATGTGAATACTTATTTCCTTTTGTACATTACACGGGGTGAAGGAAACCCTTTTGTTCAAAAACTCCGGGGCGTGAACTCGTTTGATTTTAAGGCCGTTCGCTACGATTCCGGTCAAAAACACGTCCTCCAGTTTGAGATATGTATGGTTCAATGCCGACAAATACAAGGGCTTCGCTAAATTCCCCGGTAATAAATAAGCGGGACCTGTTGTGAAATCTGGAAAAACGGGAGGCTTATACTGCTGTGGCGATATGTAATACTTCGATTTCTTATTCCTAATTGGTTTCCATTTCTTGGCTAACCGTCCGTATATGATTTTCTGTTCTGACTTGTGTTTCGTGACGAATGCGAGAAGACGCTGTACATTTATAAACATATCGTCGTCGGTTTTAAGTACAAAAGCTGCTTTCGAACAGTAATCATCGACCCACTCCAAAATGGAAATTGTTTTCAAAGTGAGATTGTCATACGTGTCAACGAACTTTCCTCTAATAATATCACCGTATAACTGCTGTTCTTCGGCTAATTTTTTGTTTATAGTCTCGTTTTGTATGGAACCCAACATGAACGCTATAGCGACATCTTTTCGTCTGGCGAAAGAACCCCACGTTTGCCTGATTGCGTCTCTGGCACTGTCGTGAGTTGGTGCTGACGTTATCGTTATCAGCAGCTTCAGGTTCTTTCCCAAGTCGGGACAGATATTGGAACTTACATCTATGTGACCAGCTTCGTATATGAGCTCGGCGGGAACGCCTCTAGTTAAATCCAATACTGGACGAGTATTGTTCGTATGATTCGACTGCGAAATAATTTGAGATTGCGGGGGCGCCTCAGACGAACCATTATGGCCAGCGGATAAACTAATGTTACCTAAATGACAGGAAACATAATCAGTTATTAAATTATTCATTAAGAAAATTCATAGTCAAGGCTAGCTTTTTGTGAAATGAAAGGTGGCACAAACAGAAATGTCATGTCTAATTTTTAAAAGAACCTTCCACAGGCTACTGTAATACTTCGAACAAAACTTCTGGATCCTGGCTCACATTTTACTCTGTACCTGCTTATATATTGTTTGAGGGAGGCGCAGCTAAATGAGGGGCATAAACACCGTCTCGGATGACCGATTCCCAAATTGGTGACAGATAGAGACCTGACCTGTTTATAGATTTCTTTAGAATCTCGGATTTTTCGTTGGTAGAATTGATTTTTGCAAGAATTTTAGTTTAATCGAATAACATTTTATGTCGGGTTTCTTGATTGTGGTTGGCAACAGCTGATGAGTTTATTTGTCTCAGTCGTAAGACTCTTTCGTGTTCTTTGAGCCAAGTTGATATTTTTCATCCGGTTTCTCCAAAGTATTATTTGCCGCATATGCATGGAATGCCGTAAACCCCTGGCATCGCAAATGGAATTGCAGTGGTAAATCTGGTTTTGACGTTATATTTCTATACAACTTTTGATTTGTGGTCAGTGATATTTTGAATGTAAGGAAGGACCACAGTGGCAAGTGTAGGATTGCTTTCGCCCTCATTGCTATTGGAAGGTTGTGGTGAAATGTATTTTTTCATGGAAATTATTAGAGAGGTTTTTTATTAATTCTAGGTTCAGTGACTCGGGTTGATATAGTTTTACGGCTCTGTAAACAAGAGAGTTGAAAACCGATGATTTTTGGGCCGGATGGTGATCTGACCATGCATTAAGGTATCCGTCTGTGTCGGTAGGTTTTCTATAAACACAATGGCCCAATGTTAGGTTTGATTTTCTATTGATAAGAATATCTACCAACTCAATGGTAAAACGTATGTTACTGTGTATAGAATTTAAATGTGTAAGAAAATCTACTAGGGTTTCTTGACCATGAGCCCAAATAACAAAAGTATGTGGATCTTTGGGAGTCCGTAGAGACGAGGAATTTTAGAGTCATGGGGGTGACAGATTTTTTCACGGAGTCTGATAGAGAAGAAGCCTTAATAACATATTTAAGGTTGAGATCCATAGATGACGTAGGAACTTTCTGTATATATTCTGTAAGAATATCTTGAATTTTTTCCTGATATTCATTTGGGTCCATGACCACCGTAGCATTTCCTTTATCTGCTTTTAGGATTACGATGTCTCGAATATCTAATCCAGACATCGTAAATCTGTTATTAAGCCTTCTTCGCTATCAGACTCCGAAAAAAAATCTGTCAACTCCCATGGCACCAAAATTCCTTCCGTTTCGTACTTAATTCCTTTCATTTCATTGAACACTTAAAAAGCATTACATTAGATACACAAGTTAGTTTGGATGTATAGTTCCTCTTTACCAAAGTTCCTATTCCTGAAATTCTCGACATCATTTCAGATATATTAAAATTCGAGAATCTGGAACCAAACCTTCTCACCTTAATCGAAAAATGCTTGTCTACAACATATTTTTCTTATAAGGGTCAAATTTTTGAACAAACATCGGAAACAGCTATTGGTTAGATTGGTTTTTTTAGATATTCTTATCAATAGAAAATCAGACACAACATAGGGCCATTGTGTTTACAGAAAACCTACGCAAACAGACCGATACCTTAATGCATGGTTACATCCCCATCAGGCTCAAAAATGATCGGTTTTCAACTCTCTTTTTTACAGAATCGTAAAACTATCTCACCCGAGACACTGAACCCAGAATTAAAACAGCTTACCACTGCTTTTCTCTCTAATAATTTCCACATTAAAGGTATTAAACGTTCCGTCACAAAATACACTTCACCACAACCTTCCAATAGCAATGAGGCCGAAAACAATCCTACACTTGCCACAGTGGCCCTTCATTACATTCAAAACATCACCGACCACACATCAAAAGTTCTACAGAGGAATAACATCAAAACCAGATTTACCTCTTGTCCAAAAATCTTTCAACATCTTCGGTCCGTCAAAGATAAAATTCCATTTGAGATTTCAGGAGTTTACAGCATTCCATGCATATGCTAAGACAAATAAACTCATCTGCTGTTGCTGAACATAATCACTAAACCGGACATAAAATTTTATTCGATAAAACTAAAATTCTTGCATGTAATCAATTCTTCTACCAACGAACAATCTTAACCGCGACATGTCTATACCTGTCAGTCATCCGAGACGGCAAGTGACTTAAAAAATTTACCGAACGTGTTGCATATTATACTTTTTCTACGGCCGTTAGTTTCCCAACAACACGAATACATTCACTCACATGACTGTTAGAATTGACAAATGTCAAAATTCAAAGCGTGGGAAATATCTCCGAAACATCTGATCGCTCCCAAATCCCGCACGCTAGATCGGTGGGTAATTAGGTATTTTACGGGCGGGAGTAGACAAACAACCTAACAATCTTAACCGCGACACAGACCTGTCACCAATATGGGAATCAGTCATCCGAGACGGTGTTTATGTCCCTCATTTAGCTCCGCCTCCCTCAAACAATATATTAGCATGTATAGAGTAAAATGCGTGCCAGTTTCAGTCAAGCTCTGACGAAGCCAACAGGATGATTGGCGAAACCGGCGCAGGAAGAATCCAGAAGAATCTTGGATTTTTAGATACAGAGCGATTTTGGAAATTTTGCATTTTTAGACACTCTTAGTAGTTCAACTACGCGTAACCTTATCGAAAAGGTAAAAGCTGATCTGGATAGGGTTTTTTACGTAAGATCCAACAGTCCAAAAGTAAAAAAAAATGCTAAATTGATTTTCTTTTATTAATAACCAAACAAATATTTATTCCAATTTGTTGAAATTTAGCAATGTGATTTCGTGTATCAACAGGCTAATTTAGCCATAATAGATTAATATTATTAAAACCAGTGGCGTCCATAACCTAAAGTGCACTACAAACAATGTTACAAATGGCCACCTTTCCTTTAATGGTAGTATCCTACGATATCGTCTTAAAGGACTGTCAATAAATAAAAACCTATTGGATTTAAGTCAATTTAAGGCCCTGCATCTTGAAAACTTTACATTCCCGGGCCCATAAAAACTTTTTTTTCATATTTTTTATCAAAGAATCGCCCTCTAAAATATCTTTGCCTGTGTAAATTATGGTGACATTTAATTTTGTAGTTGTTTGTAAGCTAGTTTTCCTTCGGATCAATTGCTAAGGACATCAATGAGACATTATGTATTAATGATAAAATTAGCTTAATTTTTTATAATCTAAAATTGCACAAAAATATAGGACCTTCTATTTAAAATTGGGATACCCTGTAGACAAGATAAGTGTTTTCCGAAAACAACCATTTTTAACACTACAACTACAAGATACAAGGCGTCCCAAATTACACCAAAAAATTAAAGATTTGGATATCAACAATTTAATATTGCAGCATTTTTTTTAAACACGAATTTTGATTTGATTTTTGTTTTGTCCTCGCATTAACGCAACCTTATAAATTTGAAAATAATTTCTAAAAAAAATCGTCCTGTATATAAAATTAGGAAAGCGTTTGATGAATAAATATCTCATTTTGCTTATCTTCGAACTTGAGGAGCTTGAACCCCTCGTTTCGTCTCGTTTTAACCGAATGTTACTTTACCTTGGCCCATTTGAAGTTCGGCAAGGTAGGATTTTAAAGGTGATGCTGTAGTCCTTAAGGTAGATGTATTTATGTATGAAACACAAACGAATACCGAGAGCACCGTGAAGGCAAATATCGCCAAGTGCAAAAAACGCACTTGGGCTAGCCATGGCACCCCCATGCCTGAAAATATATAACAGTTGGTATAAAAACGTAACAATCAAAATTATACTAGGTGTTCCAAACAATCAAAATCCTACATGACCGTTAAAGAAATTTTAAAACGTTAATTATTTCATTAATTAATTAACGTATAGGTTTAAAACGGCGATTGTGGATTCTATCTATCAATTCAGGGACTTGATCAGTGAACTTCACACTCACATTCGAAATGAAAAATCATAACGACCGACCAACACGTGAAACATATTGTCAAGATGGAAAATCATACTTAATTGGCAGAACGTGTTTAATATCTGCTACGTGTCACAAAACACAAAGTGAGACAATTTTTTATGTTGCCTGTACATTATTTTTTCGATAAAATGACCCCAAAAATTTTCCGATGCGATGTCCCATTTACAATAACTTTTAATATTGACAGAAATAATTGTAAAATTGATACCTCGGTACTAATACAGGATGTTTCACAGTAAATGCGAAAAGCTTAAGGGTGATTTATTGTTTTAAACTACGTTAGGTCAAAAGTCAACCTTATTTTTTTTATCTTAAAAGGAAAATAGATAGAATATCTTATTGTTCTTCCTTCTCTCTGCATATTTAGATTAAAGAAAATCTTATGCAAGAAAAGAACTTTTGATGACATATCTACAGCGCGGAATCACCTCCTGTTTTTCGCATTTATTTTGAAACACCCTGTATCGTCTACCGCGTCATAAAATTAAATACCAATTCAGAATTGACACATTAATAGCGATTTACAAATTGTTTTTAAAGGATCTCCGAATCCAATGGTTTTTTTTCGAGTATTTTTAATTACGAAATATATTTTCCATTTCAAATCACAGAAACAATTGAACTTTTTCCTAACACATTTTAACTTGGAGAAAAGACATTTTGCAATTTTGTTTTAATCAAATAGTTATTTTGCTCGAGGCTACAACCACCTACGTTAAATAGATACAGAAAAAAAAGACCTTCCCAAGAACTGGATAACCCATTACAAAGCATATAAATAATTATTTTGGGATAACAAAAATACCACAAATATGACGTCAGTGTTGAATAAATTGCTTTTAAATGGCCACTACGTGCAATCCTTTGTGGCTGGCCCGACAAAATAAAGTTTTATATTTAGTGTGGTGACATTATGCGTCAGAATAAATAAATTCTTCCAAACTCAGATTATCGAACCTTGAATATCTATACAATCAAAGTAATTCATTGATTTTATGCGAATTATTTGAGATAAGCTATCATTAATAATCCAGTTGACTGTATTTCCAAGATTACGTTACTATTAAACTCCCTTAATAGAGATATCGTAGAATGGAATCTAGCGTAATCCGGGGAAGAATTATAAGAAATTCCAGTTGAATTGCAAGGAATGATAGGTTTAAAAGCAATTACGGTGAACGCGCTTCGCTTTTAAGTCACAAGCAATGACTTCTAATCTGTCTATAACAATAATAAAAACTTAAGATCTGCTAAGAGATAATTAAAAGATTAATCACTGACGGATATGTATTATTGTAATTAAAAAACATGAGAATGTTTACAATTTTGGTTGGTTTTGGTAAAGTAAGAAAGGAAAAGTTTTACAACAAATTTCGACAAAAGAAATAAACAAAACAGGCCCTGAAATTAACATTATCAGATTAAATAACGCCTGGTAATCTTTTTGACTACGTGTGTTGTTATTTGCTTTACCATGTCAACAAATTTGTTATATATACCTCGTTTAAAATGTATTACGACCATTTAAAAGTTCGCCACATTGTCACGTATTCCACAATCCACTGACACACCCGACGAATGCGAAAAAAAAAAATACACGAAAACTTTTGTAAATTACATTCCGATCGTCGTCTAGAAACTGAATCGTCTGTCTGTCCTAACGACGTTATTTTATCTCATACGATTATACTAGATCGTGTTTTATTTGTTACTTACCAATTTAAGTAGATAAAAATAACGAACTTCTGTGGATGGCCAGACGTTTTAGCGACATGACGTTTGCAATCTGCAAACAATACACAAAACACCGGCTTAGTAGGAATAAGCACAAAGGAAAATAAAAATTTTCTAATGGTTGCGTCGTTAAACGTTGACTTGTACCAAAAGTCCAACTGATTAACCCGGAATTCCTACGCGAACAAAAGCGAAACATTTCACGAATTTCTAGTTCGATTTTTTCTAGCTGTGGAAAATAGCACGAAAGTCATTGAACGACGAGAAAATACAAACTTTGTAACCCAATTAATAGTAATTAATAAAATTACATTCTAAACTTACAAATCCTGATATAAAAAGGCAGTTGGCAATGTCTACGTTACATTTTCGATTTCATATCATATATAAATAACACTCAATAATGATTGTTTAAACGGCAAAGTCTTACTTGTTCAATAGTATTTTGGCTTCAAAAACGTCATTAAGAAATATTCAGCAGTGGTACATTTCGATTTTGAAACTAATCTTTTATTCTTTGAGATAGTGGATAGGCAAATTACCCAACCCATCTATAAGAGGAAGTAACATTAAGTGGCGTTTCTATTTACATTTTTAACTAATGCTAATAGAAAAGCCAATTAAAATAAACTATTCATAAGAATTTGCGCCAGGTGCTTGAATTAACTAATTATATTAAATTCAATAACTAATAAATTTATACTTGCTGAAACTTAAGGTTAAGAAATTTGTCACAGAAAGCCTTTACAGACATTTTGATTTTGTAAAATTTGCGTACTTAATTTTGATTTATATCTCTTCACTTGTGCGCCTAACAAATGTAAACTGCAAGAGCGAGGAACCTTATTCGTGGCATTTAATTAAGACTAGGGTTAATGTTTGTAGTGACATTATTATTCAACTGAATTCAACTATGAAATTTGTTGCGCAGGCGATTTTTTAGGGCATTTGGCAACAACAAACCTGTGCCAAAATTATTGCCCAGCAAGGATTACAGAATTTTATTACAAAAACTGAATTATCCATTGGCTACCTCTCTTGTAATAAGTTTAACTGCATACCTTTCTGATATGAACTAAACCTCCGTATATTTTCCGCAAAAAAAAAAATCGCTATTATTTACAAATTAACTGAACTAATGTTAAAAATTTTCCGTAAAAAAAATGTAATTTAATTAGTGATTACTTCCTGGGTGAAACTCGAAACGCGGCAAGTTTTATAGTTATTGTGCAAAAAGCCTTGCTGAAGCGAAGCCTCAAGGTTGACAATTTAAGACACTTCCGTGTTTTCCTTTGTAATTAACATTTGCTTACGTGGTAAATTACAGTAAATTATTGTGAAACCACACTTTTACTTACAAAAGATAGTTCTTCGAGAAAGGAATGGTTATCTGTGAAGAAATCACAAAGAAAAAGGATTAAGATCTTAACCTGCAAAAATCAAAAATGACTTTGCCTATTAAATGTAACACATTACTGTAGTTACGAAATTATAGCAACAGAATAAAAGGACATTTGGAGTGAAGATTGCAAATATTCCATCAACTTCAATCTGGTATGCTTCAGGATATAACAATTTAAAGATTTAATTTAATACTAGAATAAATTTTGGGTCTAAATCGAACGGTAAATATAAAAAAAATATTTTACTGTTCCAACAGATGGTTACTCGTAGCTTTTTTTTAACTTTTTGAGCACTCCACCGAATGTTTTTGGAGTTTGAATGACACCCTGTACATTTTCTCAATTAAGATGCGGTTTACAATTATTCAAAAATGGGGGACATTTTGTAAAAGTATATAAGAAAATCGGAGCCCCTAAAGCCACATACATGAAGATTTAAATTCGTAGTTATCTGGTATTATCAAGTTCCTGTCCTAAAAGATTGTTTTTTTTGTGATTAATTATGTATGTATCAAAACTTTCACACGGTATTGTCGTTCTCTTGTACAAGCATATAAGAAATATTATTTGTACATAATTTAATAAGCAACTATAAATGGCAATGCACAAAAATGCATTAAACAGCAGATACGAAATTCTTAACGAGGCGGTTTTCATTTATGGATCAAATATCCAAACCACATGCTACAAATATATCTGAAACGATAACTGCTTGGAAGCCCGTTTCTTATGTTAAATATTTTTAAAAATATTTAATTTTTATTAATAGGTACTTTCTACAAATATTTGATAGAAAAATATTTTTCCATTAACGCTTTCCGGTTGTAAATTAAATATGAAAACAAAGTTAGTGCGAACAACTTTGTGTATGTTAAAGCAATATAAATAATAGCTTTAAACGTATAAAAATCGTTAACGTTTGAAACTCATTAGGCGTTAAATTTTAATTCTCACAGACCCGTTTTTGTAGGAAATTACGTATGATTTAAGCAATTATTATTAAATTTATTAAATCAAAAAATATTGGTACCTATGTTTCCAAAGCTAGAAAAAGCTCTTTAAGAAAAAGTACTTCACAAGGTCATGTTATCAGACATCAGGCTATTTCTGACAGTCTATTATTGTCAAATAAGGATTAATTTAACGCAAATAGAACTTAACAGCCTTGACATCCCGAAATAAGGATAATTTGATCACCTAAATATCACTTGAAAAAAACCGCGAAATTTTCAATCGATTCGTAATCATTCACTATCATAAAATTGATAGATAAACATATCTCGAAAACACTTACCTGCAGATTCTGTACAATCCTTAACTAGAAACACAGGTTATAATAGTACACATAGCCATGCCATCGGAGGTAATGACACACGTCACTTCAAGGCATAGTCTACAATGTTAACCAAAACTAGCGACTCGAAGGACCGAGTGTAAACCAAGTTTTTAAACTGTGCCGCCTTTTTGTTAGGCTGCATTGCCGCTAGTAACAATTTATCTATGGGTGCATTCACTAGATATAGCAATTACGAATTCGCCTGAAGTAGACGTATCACTAATCTAAATATGTTCACTGAATCCGTTTTTGATCTTGGAATTTAAAATTCTAGAAAAAGTGACAATGCTCTACGAAAGAATTACAAAAATAACCAGATGGGGGCCTTTTCTCATCACTTCCAGAACTGACATGTCTGAACCGAATGTGGTTTATAAAACCCTCACTTGTTTGTACTTTCGGCTGGCAACGTCGCACAGATATAATTTAGTTTTGAAGTTTAAACTGTCCTTAGTGTTAATGTCAGTTGTCTGTCAGGTGTGTTGTTCACTTCCTTTGATTTGTTGTATGCAACAACAGGCAGTGGGAAAAGCTATACACCAACTAATTATAATTCATTTGCAATTTAAGCAATATTTCATTTTTATTGCGAATTATAAAAGGAAAAGTGACTGGTTTCAGAGCTATAATTATTATTTAAAGGAGGAATCTTATTATTGGGCAATATTTGCATTTTTAGTTTGTAATGTGTTTAAAATCATGACAAACTACTGGTGGATGCATTGGTTTTGGATAACATTTTATTTACATGGTAAGTCACTTAGATTTATAGATTATGATCAAGGGCTCTAAGTCATTAAAATTGGGTTGCTCTTATTTCTAGTTATTTCTGGGGAAACGCTGATGAACACACTACATTCCATTGCAACTACTGATTTGCCGACAGTAACCCTGGAAAATTTTGAAAAATCACTGTCCGAAAATGCGACCTTTGATCCGCCCAGTACCACAAGTAGTTCTAAGAGCATATCCAAGGCTTCAAAAAATTTTACAAGTATCAAATATGTTCCAACCCCAAATAAAAATTCAATCAAATCTAAGCTAATGGAGTTTTCTGAAGAGAACAATTCTAGTAGAGTAACTGACACCAATAAGGAATTAACTGTGATAAATACAAATGTTAATTTAACTGAATATCAGCCAGATACAGATAATTTAACATACAATGGGGAAGATATAAACAATAACCAAAGTCTTATTCAGAACTCTGAGAGACTTGGAATTGAGGAGGAAATAACTGATATAGAAAAAACAAATGGCAACCTATCAGCAGCTGGTATAACTGGTATTACTTTAGGTTGCATAATTGTAGTTGGTGTGGTATGTGTAGTAACATTTTTTGTTTACCGCACCCACGGATTTAATAGGCCTCAAGTACTTAATGATAGATGCAGTAATCCAGACTCTAGTGGTTATATTGATGATGCTTCTGTTAGGGTAAGAGTGTGATTGCCCTTTATCCACCTGTGGCCACTAAAAAACTCTTTGTAAAAAATTGTCTGGTACTTTACTTAATTATTCAGTTTCTCAAACAAAAAATTCAATATCAATATAATGTAAAGAATGCGGCAAAAGTCAGTTAACCTTATCAAAATACCCATGCAGGACAGTTTTAGCAATCAAGCTTCATATAGCCCTAGCAGCTCAGCAGTCCTTCAGTAATATTAAAATCAGTAAACTGAATTTTACCGCCCATTGATTGGCAATGAATCTAATAAAATTTGGTTTTTAATTTTAGGATAATTCAGAAGAGATGTACAGTTTAGATAATGATTCATTTTTGAATAGCCTAGAAGCAATGACAATTCAGAATTACTGGACGGACACGGTTAAACATACAAAACTGTAAATGTGTTTTATATATGTAAATAAGTATTTTAGAATCTGTGATGCATATCAATGTAGGTCGCTCCTAAGTTTATTTTGAAAAACAAGATTGAAGTCCCTTTTTGCGGTTTTTTATGTGTATAATTTAAATAAATTTGAAATTCTTTACTGGCTTCCAAGAAAATATGTCTCTTTTTTATCCACATTAGTTAATTGAAGTAATTGAGCATCATTTCCATATTTCTGTTCAAAACTGGCAAATCGTAATGTTTCAAGATTATAGGTTTAAAACTACGTGGTTTTGTGAGCCTGTGGGTCATTAAAATCCACTTATATACCTAGAATGATTTAAATGTTGTTTTATATCTTGTTTTTCGTAGTTAAAGCAGCATCTATTATGTGATTTTTTGTTACTTTTTACCTATTTATAGAAGCGTTTTTTGAAGTACAAATTGTTCTATTTTTTTGCTTTAATTTTATATGTTATACCTTTTTTATAATTCATTTTTTGTTGTTTACTACAACCTTTCAGAAGTAAAGTTAAATTAGTTTTTTCTAAAATAAACTAAAATTTTATAATAATTATATCTAAGCTCACTAATAAAGTATACAATCTTAGGATGCTATTTTTGTAACATAGAGTATAATGTGTAATATTGTTAAATTAATATTTGCAATAATTTTTTGTTAATAAAGAATTAGTTTTGTGAAGGTACATGTATAAAATGTAATTAAAAACATACAAAATACAGGCACTAATTTAACTTTACTGGTATATTGTTTGTTGTTATACGATAGTGAACAGTAACCAAATTATGTAATTTTCATTCAATGAATAAACATTATTTACAAAAATATATCAAAATTTTATTCATTTATAAAAATTCTTGGTCATTTTAACTAAATGCGACTTTAGGAAAATTTCTTTATTAACGACAATACATATAATTAATTGTAATCAATTACAATAACGATAATACTGATAATGAATAAAATATATCTAAATTACATTTTAAAAAATTTTAGGATGGCGTTAGGTTTTTTAACATCTTTAGGTACTTCTTCATTGTTGGCTCCTACCTCTTGTATGGGTAGATTTTGCTTTTGCCCTTTTGGAATGAAAGGTTTCAAGCTCCCAATGGTTCGCAACTGTGTAGGGGTCAAAAAAGACCGGTACTGATTCATGCTGCGCTGACTATGGGCAAAAGTAACATTAAACGTCAATTCAGGATTCAGTCCTCCTAGCGCACTGCTTGTGCTTGGTGCTTGAGCGGAATTGTTAGGCTTAGCTTCTTCAAAATCATTCTTTTCCCATACATCGGAAATTGTTTCTTGTTCTTCCGCGCCAATTGTAGTTGAGTCGTAATGAATATCCATGTCAACAAATTCATAATCGGTAAGGTCATCCTTGGAAGAAATATCTTTCATGGCATCGGCTAAAAGTGCTTCGCAATCGCTTGCTTCTGACCCAACTGGACTTGCGGTAGGATGGACATTTTTCTCCACATTATCGAAGTAATTCAAGCACAAATTTGCTTCGATCTCATCAATTGACTTTAAAAAAGCTGAATCGCTTGGCTTCTTTTCTCCTGAAGATTGACCTTGTTTTTCCATCCTGCACGGCTAAAATAGCTTTTTTTTTATAGAATTAGAATTGCTTTATTGTCAGTTATGTGACAAAATTAAATAACTTTCAATAATTTATAAAATGGCGCGCAACGCTCACTTTGATTTTAAATTACCAAATATCAAAAATTGGAAGTGGCGACCACGGAATGTACAAAAACGTTATATTTATTAATTTTAATTTTATTATTGCCTGGAAAATGCATTTTTAATGATTTTTCTGCCTGCTCTGTAGAAGTTTTTTTGCCCCTAAAGCCAGTATTATTAGAAAAGAATACGCACAAATATTATTTGTACATGTTACAAAGTGTAAGAAAACAATAAAAGTAGGAAAGACGAAAAAAAACAATTTCCTACTGATAGTGATGAATATAAATTTCCTTTTAATTGGCCCATACTATGCCCATTAGTGTAAGCAAATGGTAGGCCGGAGATAAAGAAAATCTTTGATTTTTAAGTTTTATCAGGTAAAGAAGACGCAATATACACTTTTTGACGATTATGGTACACGAACAACAATGTTAATCGTTCAAAGACAAAAGAGATGTCAGGTAAATTATTATTGAAAATAAATTACTACTATTACTCCTGTGTCGAACTGACATTTCGGCATTCGTCCTGTTGACTTCTTCAGAGCTTAACGGAAATTCAGGAAGTTCGATTTATAATTTGTAAATAGTATTAAGTAGCCTATAGAAGTTTCTTTAAAAAATTATAATTACTTTTCTGAAAAACATATAATTCTCGCTCGTTGGCAGTTTCATAGCTAGAATTTTTAGCCGCGGTTCAAGATATCAAAATAGAGTCCACATATTCCTCTACAACTTCTATATGAAAGCTTTTGGTTTCAGGAAAGCCTAGGTTTGGGAGAATGATATATTTATTTTAAACACAAATTGAGAAGTTTAATTGGACGAAAGGACGAGAGGAAATAAATATTAAAGTTTAAAACAGGATTTGTAATATAAAGACTTTATAACATTGGGGACAGTCTAACAGCATCACGAAATAAATAACCATAAATGAAAAAATAGTTTATTCAACAATTCTGAAATTAACTGCCTCTAATAAATAATGTAAATTTTACACCCTCACAGAGCACTATGAGAAATTGCACTTGATGATTCAAAAAAGCAATTTAAATAGCAAATTCCGGGGCAAGCACCATGCAAGTACGGCTAGGAATATACACCTGCAATAAAATAGTGTTAAGAATGGTTAGATATGTACACTAATTTGATATTAACCTGTAAAGAATTGCTTCTATTACAATAACTCTCGGGTTTAGTAAATGCAGGTACTGAACTATCTATCCTCTCGAAACCTCCAAATATCTTCTCATCAGAATTTAGGACTACTCTGTATGTTCCCGATCCTTCTATTCCTAGTTTATAATCCGCAAAACTCTTGGTTGGATGAAAATTGAAAATGAACAACAGTCCTGCCCTTTCAAAAGCTATCACTTTATCTCCATCATGTTTCATACTTACATACCCTGGTGGGGCTGCTAACCAACCAAACCTATAAATTGTAATAATTCATTAAAAATAATCATATTTTATCACATCGTTAATTTAGTCTGTAATTCTTGAATGGAAGTAAAAATGAAAATAAGCCAAATTAATTTTTGAAGCAAGCGGTTAAAAAAATTAAAACATTGACTTTACGAAGACTTCAATGATTTGTTAAGTGATGTACACTGAATTTCTCAATAGATTTATTTATTATTTTAAGAAGCGTTTGGACTCACTTATTTTCAGTTTTATTCATAGCTGCATCCCAATTGTTTAGGTATTCATATTTCAATAGTTTATCATCGACCAGATTCCACTGCCTTCTGGCATAATGATATGAACTGTTGTTTCCTTCTCTTGGAAAATCTAACCATTCAGGATGCCCAAATTCGTTGCCCATAAAATTAAGGTAAGCTTCCCCTCCCAATCCATGAGTGATAAAGCGGATCAACTTATGCAAAGCAATTCCTCGATCAATTATATCGGAAGGAGAGGAAATTTTACTCATATGAGTGTACATCTCTTTGTCCATAAGCCAAAAAGCGATTGTTTTGTCTCCCACCAGGGCCTGATCATGAGATTCTGCATATGCTACGTTTGGTTCCATCCAACGACGATTGGTTAATGTATGGACTATGTTTCCTAAAAACGTAAATTATATTGACGGAGAGGGCGCTTGTAAGTGATACATACCAACATCCCATTCTTCATCTTTGGTATGCTTTAACAATTCAATCCACTTATCGGGAATGGCCATAGCGAGTCGATAGTCAAAGCCCAAACATCCTTCTGATACTGGACGACATGTGCCTGGCATTCCCGAAACATCCTCCGCTATAGTTATTGCGTCACTGTATAAATTATGAGCGACATGATTGGCCAACATTAAATATACAACCCCGTCTGTATCTACGCCCATGTTGAAATAATCATCATAGTGCCCACCAAATCCTTGTCCAATACCTGGGCAAAATAGGACGTATTCAATTATTTGTTACCAAAACTAGTCAACACTAGATCAATACATTTTTCCACTTGGAATGCAATGATATTTAATATATGGGAAATCTATTATCCGGTTTTATATAAAATAAATAAGTTGAATCACAGCCTAAAACCCAAAATAGACCGCCCCACCTCCCCGTGTTAATGAAATTTTATATATTATTGTTGTAACATATAAAACAATTGAACAGCACTTAAGAAAATGCTAGTCAATTATTTTTTATTTATTTTATTTATTCATTTTAAAATGTACTTATTTCTGAATACAAAAACGCGGGATAATTATACACTAACGTAATTAACAATTACAAGGATATTCGAATGTCGTGTTTAATTATAAAATTAAAAATAAATTAATTAGTAACAATAGATGCTGAATTCAATTCTGCTTACCTCTAGAGTGATATAACATCGATGTAACCCCATCAAATCGATATCCATCAAAATTATACTCATCAATCCACCACCTAACGTTTGACAATAAAAATCTCATCACCTCATATTCAGAATAGTTAAATAATCTGGAATCCCATAGGGAATGATTTCCTCTAGGCCCAGAGTGAAAAAAACATGAATCAGTGCCATCAAACATATTTAAACCATCAAGAACATTTTTACTTGCATGGGAATGGACTAAGTCAAGCAATACTACCAATCCCAGTTCGTGGGCTCGATCTACCAATAGCTTTAATTCATCTGGAGTACCGTATCTGCTCGATGCTGCATAAAAACTAGTTACTTGATAGCCAAAACTGGCGTAATATGCATGTTCCATGATGGCCATTAGTTGTATGGCATTATAACCTTGATTAACAATACGAGGTAAGATATTTTCAGTGAAATTTTGGTAGGAGCCAACACCTAGTTGGTCAGTCGCAATTCCAACATGGCATTCATATATACGAAGGCTTTTTGGTTTTGGTGGTCTTGGGTGTTTAAACATATATCGCTGCAACATTGCAAGTGGATGTATTTATTACCTCTTCATATTTAAGTTTATACCTCATTTTTTGGTGGGTTATATAAGAGCTGCTTATATATTGTCCCTTCAATTTTTTTTGGTTCCTTAACATAATTGGCATAAGGGGAGAGCCTATCTTCTTTCTGTCCTGCTTGTGTTAAAACAACTATCTAGAAATTAATTATTGTAAACATTTTCCAATAAGTATTTTCAACTATAACCCAACTTTAATTTCTGACAAATGCTCTACTGCGGGGGTACCATCATGTTTTGGTGGTAACTTTAGTTCCCATTTGCCAAATTCGAGTTTTGTGTAAGGATGACTGTCCCGATTCCAATTATCTTGTAGAGACAACAAAAGTAAATGATAAAACTATTTAGGAGGGGAAGTATCCTTACTGAATTCTCCAGTTAAAAAAAGACCATTGGCCCCTGGTGCCCATTCTCTACATATTATTGTATTATCTGGTTCAACATGGATTCCAAAATATTTATAGGCTTGGGTAAAGTCATTCAATCCTCCACCAACATTTTCTATAACGTCTAAATAGTCTTTAAACACTGCATAACTACAAAATTAATAAAACAAGTAATAACATTATACCATAAACAGAACAATATTTATTGAATTATTGTATTGCTTGGCATGCTACGAATGGCCTATAATTTGAACAATATTATATGCATTAGCCATTTAGAAAAAAATAAAATAAAAAATAAATTACAATGTCCTTTTGTGACCTTCAAAAGTAACTTACCGGCGTCTAATTTCTTTCTCGTAGGGATGCAAATATGGATCTCTGTTTAACAAATCCTGAATATTCGGAACATTTACTTCCATTGGGTCTAATTTTGAGTATTTCCCACCCATGGCAATCACTATAATAATTAAAATATATTTAACAAGAAAAGTAATCGCAAGAACAAGTGTTTTTTTGGAAAATTTCCTAGAAGCCCGGCTTAACGGAGATAAGACATGTCAAAAGATCAAGAGAACGCAGATACCTACTTTTTCTAAATTATAAAATGATAACGAATATAATCCTTGGATAAAAAATGTAAAATCGGCTTTCTAAATAACACTGAATACCAAATATAAACCAAATAATGCGCAGATGACAGCCGTGGAGTACAGACATTTCAAATAATAGTTCTATATACGGTGCAGAGATGGCAGCAGTTGGAAGATATATTCAAAAATATTGGTATAGGTATAATTTACAGCTTGGTAAAGCTAAAATATATCAAACTAGCATTTACTCTTCAAATCAAACAAAAACGAAATATTAATGAAACAAAAATATTCCTCTTAAGTTTTCATGAAAATCGCTGTGGTGATTTAGAGCTGCCAGAATAACAAACTGTTCCGTATTTGTTCCCGATAGCCTTGTGCAGGGCGCCATTTAAATTCAAACAAATTTCTAATTTTATAATTCCTCACTTTATTCTTAATTGATTCACTAATATTGATAATTATGATAATTAGTACAAACACAAAAACACCAAGCTAAAATGACCCATTAACATCATTCCAGAGCACTCTTTTCGCATGATGATCCATCCACGCTACGGACGCATCTACCTATACATACATACATAATGTGTTTTTCTGTTACTTAAATTTTTTGCGTTATAAAAAGAAGAAGTTACATAGGCAGTCTAGAATAATCAATTTATTTCCCATAATATTTCCTTCACAAGTGTATTAATTGACAACACGGAATTAGCATATCACATAAACATTTTTAAAATTGCACATTTTTCAGTTAAAATTGCACCACGGTAATTTTGTCCTTATTATACATAAAGTACAGATCACAAACGAACACGCTGTATAAAAACACTGAGCGTTAGTATGAAAATCCTAACTAAACAATCGACCAATTTTTTTAAAATTGTGCGTTCTTTTATTCCGAACATCTGAACTGAAAGTATTCGAAATTTTCCTAAACAATTTGAAGTCGGCTTCGTGTTTTTCGCTAATCATCGGCATATACCCGTAAGGTGTGCAGTATTCCGAAAATTCATCGAAAAATCGTTTGTAACCCCCTTCGAGAAGATAAATCTCAGGAAAATAGAGTCCTGGGTAAGTGTGGACGTTTAACTGTCGATCTTCATTCCTCAGGAAGCGATACATATTCGGTCCTCTTTCGGCTGAATATTCACAATGAAAAATCAGTATTTGTTTTTCTTCTTTAAGTTTGAAGTTCTCTTGCGCGCGATCTAACAGAGCCGAACACTGATCGAAGGTGTACAAATTTATAGCTCCGCTAATGTGTCCTCCGTTGTATTCGTAAGGAAATCTGCAATCTATAATTTTAAACGACCCTATTTCATCGATGTAATCCCCTCTTAATAGTTTTGCCACCGTATTAGCATCAACGGCTTTAAGATTTTCATGTCGCGTTTTAGTTAAAGGCAAACGATAATTTCCGGTAAAATCACCAATTAATTCCGAATGGCTATTCGAATCCTGAACTGCGATTTTAATACGTTCGCTGGACTGAGGCGAAATTTCGTTTTTGGTTAACTTTGTTCTTTTAACACGCCAATCTTCTTCCGTTTCAAACCTTTTAAAACATTTCTTTTTGATAGCGAAAGATTCCTTTTCGTTTTTAAGTGTTTCTATATGTTTGCTAATCACATTTGAAAAGCTGGTTGGAATTTTTGAGACTTTCGGAGAGCCAATCTCGGGCAAATCCTGGAAAATATCGTCTGCGAGGTCTGATTCGTTGGAACACCGAAATGTCGTGAGCTCCTCGAACCCCGAGTCTCTTGAGTTAGATTCATACAGCGATAGACAGTCGATATCCGATCTGGAAGAAAAATAAATAACTTTTAAATTACAAAAAAGCTAACATATCTAACTTATTTTCATGACATTTAAGTAGTTGTAAAAAAAATCGACAAGACAAGTGTATGAAATTAACAGTTTACCTTAAAATCGGAAAACAACCATCAGAAGTTTCCGATATTGATTCATACTCCATCGCACTTATACACTACAAAAGAATACGAAAACGAACTGCCTGAAGATAAAGTGCACGACCCAAAAGCAACGCAAGAACTGACACCCTTAAAAGCGCCTCGGGTTGTATTTATAAGGGGGTTCGAAGGCGCCAAAAGTCCTGTACCTGTGTGATTTTGGTGGGGATGTATAGGATCGCAAATTAGAAATTCACCGATGAGCTAGGAACGACAAGATACGGGTTTTTATTGCCTCAATACTATATAACTTAAAAATCACACATACTACATTTTTTATACGAATAACTGAATTTGATTCATTGATTTATTGTTTTTATTCGCATACGGCCGTGGTTGAAAATAATTGGAGTTTAATCAGAAATCATAGGCATATTTTCCAGCATTGTTTCATTAAGAAAGTGTCATAAAACTTCGTATTTTAAGAAAAAAAACGAAGTCCTTGCAAAATGCTTAATAAATATTTGTCGATTGATATTCAGAAAGTTCCAAATCAAAATATGTAATGAAAAAGAGCTTCCAAAAACGTGAAAAATATTGATTAGATACATTTACTCTTTAGGTATTGTCGAGTCCAAGTTATTTAAGAAACTGTAAAATGTAATTTTGAACGACCCTCTACTCTAACTTCCATAGAAATGAGGGTACCTTTCTGGATTTCTCCTGTTATTCCTTCTCGCTGACGTTTCGTTAAACATGCTGTTTTCTTCTTCGGAGCAGTAAATAGTTCCATCCCGACGCAGAAGAAATTCAGAAGCAGGCTATCCTCCAATTCAAGTGTTGTTGTTAAATTGGCGGATTCGCCGGTTAATTACAGTTACATCTAATTCACTTATTCATTTAATTCAAACTGTTTTTTAATGCGGGGTACAATATTTCTGATCCCAATATACCAGAAAAGGCACAAGTGATTTCTTCGAATAATTAAACTGAAAATCCAATAGGATTTTATTGCCCAATACACCTGAGCAAGTATTTTACCTGGGTTTAATAGAAAGATTTATTTGGGTACCTGCTGGCATCGCATCTCAATGTTTTGTCGTCTACGCCAGTGTGGTGTTTATTCCCACACCTACCCATTTATTATGGCTTTTGTGCTCAAAAACTTAAAACATGCCGCAATAAAATCTTCAGGATTGATAACGAAAAAATTTAGGATAGTCCCAATTTGCATTATTTGTACTCAAAATATTGGGTTGTTCGGAAAGTCATTTCGTTTTTTTTGGGGAACATGAAAGACGGTTTTCGTATAATGAATAAATATTTTATTAAATTATATATTAGCCATTTTGGTCCAACACCTTTTGCCATCTTTCTGGCAGTAACATAATTCCCCTCTCATAAAAGTTTTGGTCCTTGCTGGCAAAAAACTGGTTCAGGTGGTTTTTGACATCTTCGTTTGAGGTAAAGGTTTTGCCATCCAAAAAATTTTGCAGGGACCGGAACAAATAGTAGTCGGAAGGCGCCAGATCTGGAGAATATGGTGGATGTTGCAGTACGTCCCATTCAAGCTGTAAAAGTTTTTGGCGAGTGACCAAACTTATCCTGTTGGAACAAAACACCCTTCCTGTTGATTAATTCGGGCCTCTTCTCTTTAAGTGAATCATTCAATTTGTCCAGTTGATGACAATAGACTTCTGAATTAATCGTTGTATTGTCCGGCGAAAGCTCAAAAAAAAAACGATTCCTTTGACATCCCACCAAACGGAGAGCATTACCTTTTTTTGGTGAATGTTGGCTTTTGACACGCTTTGAGCCGGTTCATCTTTTCCGCTCCATGACCTCTTGCGTTTAACATTGTTGTATACAACCCATTTTTCGTCCCCAGTAATAATCCGCTTCAAAAATGGATCATTTTCTTGACGTTTGAGGAGCGAATCACACACGTCAACGCGACGACACAAATTTCGCTCCGTATGGACATGGGGCACCCACACATCGAGCTTCGAGGTTAAGCCCATGCCTTTCAAATGGCCATAAACAGTCGAATTCGACAAATTTAATCTCTCACCGATCTCTCGTGTGGTTATTCGCCGATTTGCATCAACTAATGCCCTTATCGCATCTTTGTCAGCTTCGACCGGCCTTCCAGACCGTGGTGCATCTTCGACATCAAAATTGCCGGATCGAAATTTTGCAAACCAGTTCTGGCACTGGCGTACTGTTAACACGCCTTCTCCATATACATCCGTCAATTTTTTTCTCGCTTGGACAGCATTTTTACCTTTTCTGAAGTAAAAAAGTAAAATATGACGAAAATGCTGCTTATTGTTCTCCATATTTAAAAGGGCACCAACCAAAAACTACTGCGTAGAATTAATAGAACTTTTTCACACACAAGCCTTGCAATATCAGCTCTCAAGACATATAATGGTTATGCGGCTTAAGTGTGAAGTTGGTTTCGAAAAAACGTAATTAAGTCCTCTGACGGGAAAAAACGAAATGACTTTCCGAACAACCTTATAGTATATAATGGATATTACTATCTTTTAATATTTGCAATATTTTGCGTCGAACGCTTCAAAATATTTTCAAGTTTTTGAAAAGCGAGGAAGATGAGGTAAAAAAAACAATTTAAAATAAAATAGCAATTCTATTAATAAATTAAAATTAGACAGTATCACCCTTAAAAAAGCAAAACTCAAGACATAATTCCTACAGTGTTCAGTCTCTTTGAAATGAATCATAATAATCACATTAACAGAAAAGTATCTCTTGAAATTTGCATTGTAGAACACAAAACTAATCGAAAATGCATTGCCGTTAAATACTGGGCTTTAAATTATTAACAAAAACTTAAATTAATATGTAAAATAAAATAAATATTTGCACTGCGAACCGATCCTATGACCGCCCTTTGTGCATCACAATTTTATTGCTGAGGGTAATTGCACATAAAACAAAAAGAAATTCTCGCCTAGGGTCGATTTTGCATAAAAAAAAACCGGAAACACTTTGGTGAATAGCATTGCAAAATATGATCTCCTTCATTGAATGAAAGATTTTATAAATAGCAACAGTATGTACATAAATGCGTTTGTGTTGCTAGATTACTTAATGTTAAGCTTAGGGTTCCGAATTCTCCCGGGAACTTTTGGTAATAATTGCTCACTAACAAAACAAATAAATCGGAATATTTAATGATTTTTAACTCGACAAAGAGATTTTTTTTTTAATTGGCCCTTCAAATTCCCTCTGAGAATCGGGAACCCCTACTACGCCCTATTTTAGGAAGGAAGTTAATTTATAAAATTTGGGTTCATATTGTTGCAATTAATTCATAGGGAATTAATTGCAATAATATTACGTACATAACTAGGTCTCACTGAAATTAACGTCAATGTGACGCATTTGTTTTATAAAATGAAAACCACACAAAGATTTGTATACATTAAGAATCAAGATACGTTTTGTACTATTCGTAAACAAGGGCATTTATTTTCATGGAATAATTCTCTTGTAGGCTTATAGTCGTTTGATACTTTTGATGGGCCTATGTTTGCTGTCGACATTCCAAGTTTTGGATTTTTGCCGAAATTGTCTCAAATCTTCTTCATGATCGGGATGCAACATTTCCTTGTAAGCGTTTGGTTCGCACATACCGGAAAACTTCTGGAAAAAGCACTTGTAGCCTCCTTCTAGAAGGTATATTTCGGGATAGTGCAGTGATGGATAAACAGCTTCATTTCTCTGCCTATCCTCTCTGCGTAAGTAGCGATACCTGCAAAAAAGAAACAAAGAAGTTAAATCACAAGGGGAAACACATAGCAATAGGTAAAAAAACGCAAAAGCAAAAAAATACTCACAAATTTGGCCCACGTTCGCTTGAGAATTCGCAATGGAAAACCAATATGTTCCGCTTGACTGAATTGGCGCTGGGAATTTTATTATCATTCAAAAGTTCGCCGATTTGCTCTTTGGTATAGATATTGACAGCTCCATCTATGTGACCCCCTTTGAATTCGTAGGGGTAACGACAATCGATAACCTTAAATGACGCGACGGTATTTGAGAACTCTCCTTTAATCAGTCTGGCGAGAGTCTCAGCGCTGATTGCTTTTAAGTCCTGGTGTTTTCCATTCACCAGCGGCAACGAAAAGCTTCTGCTAAAATCCCCTATTAAGTCGGGTTCTGTGGAAGATTTTTGCACGGCGCACATTATACTCTCTTCGGTGGCGGAAATAGCTCTCTTTAATGGCGGCCTTGAGATCAGGGTCTCCCGTTGAGTCGCGAACAATTTTGACTTTTTAATAATAGCCTGGTCAGCGTTGGACGGAGGATCTGGTCTTTTAAACGGCCTGTTCTCCGCATCGCAAGCTCCAAAGAGACTTGTCCTTACTTTACTGCTACTAGGAGTAACTCTAGAATTCTGCAATGATAAGGCTCGCCGGAACAAAGGTCTTATGACGGAGTCTTTTGGCGATTTGGCCTCAGTTTTGTGCACGAGAGGTTCGTTTATGAGTTTACTAAAATCTCTTGGAAATGTCGACCCCTTATCCAACGGCTCTACGTCTGAGAAATCCTCAAGGAAGTCATCCTCCATGCAACCCACCGAGGCTGACCCAAACGATATGGAGGATCTAGGAGGAGAATTGAATGATAAGAATCTCGCAGCTTCACTGTGGTAACTGGCAGCGTAGCCCGAATCCTGAGATATGGTTTCGACATCTTCGAGAGATCGCCTTGTTGCTCTCGGGTAGCGGTGAGCAGCCTCGACGCAAGAAATAGGGACGGTGCTCGCATTTTCATAAAGAGATAAGTCGTCATGTTTTGTTGGGCATAGATTTTCCTTGTTGATGTACTGACCTTCAACGTTTTCGTCGAATGTTTGGCTTCTGAAAACAAACAGCATTTTCGTTCGGTTTCTTTCGAGAATTTGTAAAAAAAAAAAGTAAAAAAAATATTTCAGAAAAATTTTTGCTTTTTTGTGTAATCGAAAAACGAAATTGAAAATAAAAAGTCCGACTCGACAGAACATCCTTTACTGAACATCTACCTAGTGTTTATATATAAAATATAACTGCACCTTTCAAATACAAGCTAAACTAAATAACACTCCGATTTATAGACGGTACATGAGTCTCCGAAAACTCAAAAAATGTTTTGCAGCAGGAAAGTTTGGCTAAATGAAAATTTTCGAAACCATCACCTGCATATTTTTGAAACTTGGGAAGTGTTGAAGGATATGAGGAATATCGTTATTTTACAAGGAACGTTAGAAAAAGGTATTCCTTTTAAAGTTTAAAGCGAGCCGCTCACGTCGATACTATTTTCACTTTCACAAAGCTAAGCAGACAGTAAACAACACACACGTTGTTAAGCCGTTGTAAAAAAATTACCTCGAATACTGGCATATATCACATGGATCGCTATCCATAGCTTCCCACATAGTGCACAAAGTTTATTTATCCAACGTGATAACAAATTAGTTCATAATTCTTTATTTCCTGTGTTAAATCCCACAAACTAAATTCGAACCGAGCCGGACGCGTTAAATCGGGCAAACTCGGAAGACACACGCAGACGTTCCACAGGCTCAGCATAGACTGACGGAGTTGCGGCCGATGCTAACTGTCTTATTGAGTTGGAAGTCCCCACACTAACAGTTAACCGGCAGAGGGGGCAACCACCCTTAACTTTTTCCTAAGGGGGATGATACGGGACTTTGACAAGGGCGCCAAAATGAGATCCCGCATGTGTTGCTGGTTCATATGGGAAAATACATATGCATCGCATACACATTTAAAATTGCACAGGGTACAGATGGATGTTGTGCCATTTGGTCCGAAAGAGCTATTAAAAAACAAAAGACACACTTCTAATATAACGTAAGTATATCAGAGCAAATCTTGTAATAAAAACCTCTTAGTCTGATTTTGTAGAGCCAAAAAGTGCTTTAAATGATTGCTTTTACATGGCCAGGGTTCGTTTAATTAAAATACATCGACTTTGGTTATTCTTTAATTGATAAATGTTATAGTTTTGGAAATTAATGGTCTAAACAGAGAGCTTCCACAAAACTTCAGAAAAAATAGAAAGCTTTGACTGCTTTTTAAATCTTGTACAATTGTAAATATTCTCGAGGCTAGAGCTATTAACCACTGTTTAGTTTAGTTTAAAATACATGACCTGTGCAGCAAAATACTGTCATGTGCATGGGCAAGAGTCATTTCAGGTGACTATTTTATAAAATAAACAAGGTGATTGTTTGACTTTTTTCGAAATATTATTTATTAACTACAAAGTGTTTTTATTTTTTATGTATTTTAACGATAGTTTACATAATAAAAACAAAAGATAAATAAATATTTATAAACTGAATAGAGCAACCCCTAAGCAAATGGAAAAACATTGCTACCGGTGTAGTAAATTATTTAAGGCAATTGTTTTTTCTTGGCCGAGAAGATTTTGTTGCCCCATGAATCTATTGAATATATTGAATGGCACTAGACATAGAGTTTATGTTATTAGTCAAATATTAGTCAGTATTTTTTTTAATGCTTTTTTTTATATGTTCATTCCAACTGATCTGACCGTCAACAACCAAACCCAGGTGTTTTACTGGAGAGACTTCAGTGATAGCCTCGTTATTTATTTCCAATTCAATAAGACTAACTACCTACTAACTAAAGACTAAAAACCATAAAGCTAATCTTGTCGACAGTTTGTTTGATAGCATAGCATAGCATAGCACAGCCATAAAATCTTGACAAGTCGGCATTGTTGGTCAATATTAGGATTTCAAGTATGAACGTGAGGTTCGAACACTGAGAATTTTAGTTGAACATTCTATATATAGCTGTTGCTAATTTACCATCGAGTTTTACAAAACTAAAATATAAATGTGCAACTTATCTGATGCAAATATTGATAACCGCAACTGTTCCATTTAAAGAAAAAAGTATAAAATGAAGCGTGAACGTATAAATGAAATTACGTTAATGAAGTAAACATCGCAAAGGTAGTAAGTAGTAGGTAACCGCGCCGTCCAGCTGATGACCTTTGACTGAAGGGTAACGTACCATCAAGAACTAGATTGCGCCTTCGATGGGAAACCTGTTTCTCCACCTAAGTCTGTAATATTTTCTATTCTGAATGTGCATTGCAGAAAATGCGTTTTTCTCTTTTTGTAATGAAGAGTGAATGTAGCAGCTTAACAGGTTGTAGACGTGAACGAAACAAATTGTGAGAACATGGATTTTATAATAAGTAATTATGTTTATGTATTTTGATTTAATTATCGCAGTCTCTGCCTACAGCGCATTTATTTTCAATACGGTCGACGTTTATTCACACTCGTTTAATAACCAATCGGTGCTTTAAATGATACGGGATTGCCAATAACGTCGATAAAGTTGATACGTACAAAAAGCGGCAAAAGGAAATCGCAGTGCAAAGTCGTTAGGCAATGTTGTAAGGTGTATATGATAAAATTGAATTGGATCTGTTAATGGGAGTCATGTGGGGCGCAAAACGGAAAGGGGGTGTCGCGGTTTGCGAGCCCCATCCGACCGAGTCGGCATCTGCCCCGCAGCCCTAAAGAACTTTACTCGTCACGGTTCGAAGGACATTAACCTTTCTCCTAACTAATACGTCCTTTAACTTTACTTTTGTTTTGTATGGTTGTGGCCCTTCTGGATCTTCAAACTACACAAAACGTAGAAGCGGTGGTTCCAGAAATATTTTAAAAAAAATGATAGCAGATAAAAAACCCGAAACTGCAATGAGAATTAAAAAAAAAATCTAAATACCGCAGATTTTGTCTGTAGGCTTTTCAAGATGTATAAAACGTTCGCACATCAACGAGCAAGTATTTTATGGTAAAACTAAGAAGAAATTAAAAAAAAAAACTCGACGTAATACAGAAATCCAGTTTTACAGCGGCATGAAATTATTTTCCGTGTGAGAACGATTCCCTTTCAAAATCGGAAGTAAACTACGTTTCAAACCGGATGGTATCGTAATTATTAAACTAATCAATGCAACTAGGCAGTTGATTAATGCCATTGCCGAGTGAAAATATTAATATTATGCGGCAAAAACGGGCGGGAACCTTTCCTTTTCATTTCGGAGTAGTATATTTATGGGGAAAGATGGTTGCACAGAGCCGGCTCTTTTTAAAATCTGTTTTTGGAATGTCGTCGATATCGACTTCGCAAAATTCTCAGAAAGAAAATATGTGAAATTCACTACCGCCCACGGCAAAACAAACACATGGTGGTCTTTAACGATCGGCGATAATAAGGGTTTTGGCCGCCGTTTGGCGAATTTGGTTTATTGTTTTTCTAAAGAATTTAATGCTTTGACAGTGGGCGTTAGTCATAAACAATTGGTCAAGTATTTTAATACAATTTTCATATTCATTTCGTAATAAATTTAAAATATTGCTTGTCAGTTTTAAATCGAACAAGGGGATGAACGAAAACTAACTAAACCCCAAAGCCCAATGAATTGTACGCAAGTTTGAATCTCCTTTAACTCCTAATCCTTAACTAACTAAAAGTGATAGTTAAAACAGTAACTTTAATTAGAAAACGTGTCGATTTAATTTTGTTTTCCGGCAACGATCGCAACAAAATGGCAGAACGCTAGAAAAAAATTAGGGGGAAAATCAGGGGGGTTCGACGAATTTGACGTGACGCAATTTAATCTTATTCATAGAGATCGCAAATAAATGGGTTCCCAGCTTCCCTTTTCGGTTTCTTGCCTCAGTTCTACTTTCGATTGTTAAAATTAGTTCCGCATCTACCTGAGTCGGAAGCTTTTGACGGCTGCTACAAACTAAAACGTTATATCCGAAAATGTTTCCCGTCTCAGTCCCGTATATACATCTATATATATATATATATACCTGATATGGGAATATATATGATAACACGGCGAGGAAAAGAAATTTATACAAGGGGGGGTTTCTTGTAACTGCGCCAGCTGCTCTCAAGTAACGTTCAAGACTGGCAAATCCAAACCAAAGGGTCCTTTCGGTGACAATGGGGCACGAGCTAGGAAATAATTGTAAGAAAACACAATGTCTTTTCTGTATCTGCTCGAATATAAATCTTATATCGGGATGGGGAAATCCCCTGTTATCGTAACACCTTTCAATTTCATAGATTCAGTAACGGATCGATAGCAACTGGTCTAATCAGTTAAATCGTAATTAGTTTTCAGACTTCTGCTCTTTATCATGGAAAAACATTTATGTTGAGATCTAGGTAGCACATCTGAAACACCCCGTATACCACACAGTTTTATGTCATGTACTCGGTTATTGTTGATCTAAAACCGAATAAAAGTATTGGTCTTTATAGTATTATCAAGTTATCAACATTCGTGTTGATAACAACGCAATAAGCAGTGCATGGGAATAAGATAGCCGTCACACTTCATTCACTTCCTTCGTGTGTACTAATCAAGCATTTCGTCGATAGTATTAATTGTTCATAAAAATGAAAGTATGTCCGTCGGAGCTTCTAAATATATTATTATTATTCCTGACGTAATTTCTCACCTAACATTCTTGAGACGAATGTATCTTAATGATAGTCACGTCTTCTACATCTTGTTGATTGTTGTAAAACGTTTTGTCGGAACGGCTTAGGTAGGAAATCGTTGTTAACTGAAATTATTCAATGCACTTTGCATATCAAACGTTGACGTTGTCAACGTTACCATATCAACGGACACCATCTTATAGTTTCCATTGATAATAAAGTTCTACAGTGATAAATATATTAATATAAGTTTTGAACTAATGTTAAAAAATTGCTTTCTTAGCGTTCTTAGCACACTGGCTAAAATAAAATAACCTACAGAATTTGATCATTTAATTTGATGACATCAATATTCTGTTGAAGAATTGTAACAATTCCTAATTGAGTGTATTTTAATGTAAAATTTAAACATTAAAGTAATAGATTTATTTCCGCATTGCTGCTCAATTACTAGCTTCAAGTAGCAGTGTTTATTATATACCAGTAGCAAAACGAGGTTCACAGATTCCAAATAAGCCGTATTTAAGAGTCATAATTGGCGACATCTCTGCATACACAGATAAGAAATGTTGACAAACAGCAACGGGCGTCGGTGATAAAAAACGGCTGGTTTCAGTTTAACAAAAAAAGAAAACAGTGAAGCCTGTTGACCCATAATGTGAATTCAAGGTTGTTTTAACGGATTTTCATGAATACGCACCACACTACATATACATATAAATAATTATTAAGGTCGTTTATATTACGGAACCGCACCATAATTGCAACACATGTTTTCGCGTAGAGTTTCATTAATAAATAAATTAGAACTCGGCGCGCCGTTGTCGGAAACTTTAAGTCAAGGGAGAAAGAAGCCTTAAAAAGCTCTAAACCACCGGATATTCGAATTGAGGCACTTGTCGGCCAGATTTAAACGGGATTCGGTCTACATTTTTTTTATGTTCGTTAAAACAATTCCTGGTATCGTTTCCCTTCAGCTGGGGATATTAAAAATGCTGAAATGGAACAAGAATATTTTTCTTCAGCGTAAATCTGATACATCG